ACTCATTTACACTGTCAACATTAATAAGAGGCATGTGATATTTTGACTTTGGGCCTTTTTTTCGCAAATATTCAGATTTTTCTAACATTTGAAAAATAAATGTATTGTTATTGCAATATTGTCTTGATTCTTTCACCCCAACCAGTGAATGTGGGTGAAGCGTGGAGGTCAAAAAGTCTGAATGACTTTCATTTTTATATTTGTTTTTGCTTTGTTTGCCTTTTTTTAACATGGGGGGTAGAGAGTGGGGGTTGAGGTCAAACCATCGACCGCTGCGACAAGGACTACAGCTTCAGTCCATGGGGCTCGCACTTTAAACAGCGCCCCGCCAGCGTGACTTTCAATACATTTGGTGACTTCAAAATTGCTTCTCTCCTCTGATTCCCCCCTGAAGTGATTCAACTCAACAGGCTGGCTCTTCTGCAAAATTACAGCTGTGGGAGTCTGTAATGACACTCCAACCGTCTTAATTACTCTGAACAATGGCTGGTCCTACGCCGCTGTAATTAAGCCTTTCTGGATGCATATGGTAGCTGATGATTTGATCCCCCGGCTCTTCATGGCCCACTCTCATGTCTTCATGATTTTATCACAAAATATATTGTGCTGCTATTATTTATTTAATTTTCTGAGCTAATAAGAAATTGATCGAAGACTTCATTTTTTTCTTTTTCTGGTTTCTCTGAAGAGGAGCTGCGGCAGGAGCACATGCCCATCAAGACAACCAATCAAGACACTCTTCCTGAAGCAGGCGATGGTTTAGCACAAGGCCATTTACTGTCAGAATTTAAACCCACATGATTTATGGTATGGTCGCCCTGGTCTGCTTTCTCTCCTTAGTTCAAAGGCTGAGTCTGGCTGCAAAATGCTCAAGGGCACGGGCTAATGTGATAAACAGGGAACAGAGGCTGCAGGCTGGGGGGAGGGTGATGTTGGGTTTTCTACTTGCTGCAGTTTACCCTCACCCCTGCGGTATAGCCGGCCATGTCTGTTTGGAGGGGGGGAAACAGCTTCTCTGAAACCAAGAGGAGCAAAGGGATGTGAGGACAGAAGATCTTCTCCCCCATCAGCTCTAACAGGAAGGGAGGGAGGAAGGAGGGAGCAAAGGAGGAGGGAGGGAGAAGAGGGCCATGTTGCAGGGATCACCAGTCATGGAGGATTATAATTGCTAAAAATAAGGTATTTTCCTCTTTTTAAATGAGTTCCTCTGGGTTTCTTTTCATATTATTATTCTTAGAAGAGGGAGAGGTTTTTATGAAATATGCAGGCATCATCCGCTGAATGATATAGCATGCTAATATATTGAAATGTATTTGGTTTCTTTGCAGATGTTGTTTGTTGTGGAGGGGAAAATACATCAGCTTACTGTCGAGCCTTGAAAAAACTGACAGTAAACATACATCCTCTTTAAATCAAAATCCACTCAAATATCTGACACCAGCAATCAGAGGTCATGTTTTTGAAAGTGCAGATTTCACATCATGGAGTTAATCAATACAATTCAATCTGATGGGCAGATTCAATAAACAGTACTTAAACATTTCTTTTAGCATTAACAGATGGATTTAAGCTTCTCCGGTCAGAAATAAGCAGCGAGCTGTATAAGCCTGACAGGGTTTGCCTGGAGGGGAGATTGGCTCTGCTACGAAACAGACATTTACGAAGGACCACTAACAGATGGCAGGGTGACAACTTGAGATGTTGGTTCTTGTGTTGACACATCACTGTGGGGTCACAGCTCAAGGCAGCACATCATCACATCAAAGTCCAACTCTCTTTTTACCAACATCAATAACTCCATGATCTGAAAAAGGTCTGAAAAAGAGTTGAGACTTCATGATGTTCATATGATACTTCTACGAGTGGGGGTGCAACATAGCTGGAGAAGTAAGCTATGTACTAACGCTAATACCAAAGTGTAAATGAAACACTCTTATACAAATGAAGAGTCTTTAATGACTCTTTGGCTGGTTCAAAATGCTGCAGCCTGAGAACTGACCAGAACCAGGAGAGGAGAGCACATCTCCCCTGTTTAAGCTTCTCTACACTAGCTTCTCATTAAATTTATTTAGATTTAAAATACTTCCTCTGACCTACAAAGCTCTTCATAATCAGGCACCATCAACTTTTAAAGAGCTCATATATTTCCTTATCACCCCATCAGAACATTGCAGTCCCATCATTCAGACCTGCTCATAGTACCTAAAGTCTCTTAAAGTGGTCTGGGTGGTTGAGCTTTCAGTTATCAGGCCCTTCTCCTCTGGAGTCATTCACCAGTCAAGGTGCAGGGGGCAGACAAACCTTATCTACCTTTAAGAGTAGGTTTAAAATGTTCCTTTTTAGTAAAGCTCATAGTTAGAGCTGGTTGTGGCCTGGGCCATAGGTTTGGACAGTTCGGAGACCAGCACGTTGAGTATCTTTCTCTTCTTTTCTATTTTCTTTCTGTCTATGTCATTAACTTTAAATCATCATGTCCCATTAAAATCACTAATAACAATCCCTATCCATCCTGCTGTCAGAATAACTCAACTGGGTGCTACACTTATTCCTGTCCATGACCTTTTAAAATGGCCCCACAACCCATTTGTAGGTCCCAATCCAGCAGTTTAGAACGATGGTTCCTAACTGACTACATTAATATAGTACAGTAAAAAAGATTCTTTTCTAAAATCAAATGCAAAATGATTTTCTCTGACTATTTTACATCGGCAGTGTCACTTGAAATGTCGGGTAACACTTGCATTATAACTATGTGTATACTGCTTTATAATCACGTTGTAGCACTGTATAACTATAGTTATAAACACTTATAAATGATCATAATGCTTTATAGCAATAATCATAACACATTATAAAGCTTTTTATCATGACTTACAAGGTCAGGTATTATAATGTGTTATGCTTATTGTTATAAAGCCTTATGATAATTAATGAGTGTTTATAATGATAATTATACAAGTTTATAAGCAAATTATAACACATCATAAATATATGTATAATGCATTATTTATGTTGGCGTTGTCAGTGAGTTGTTAACAGTTATAACACATTACAATACCTGACCTTTTAAGTCATAATAAAATGATTTATAATGTGTTATGATTATTGCTATAAAGCATTATGATCATTTATGAGTGTTTATAACTATAGTTATACAGTGCTATAATGTGATTATAACATATGATACACATATTTGTAATGCGCTGTAGAGATAGGCGTCAAATAAAGTGTTAGCAAATGTCCTTTTGATTCTAGAAAGCTAGATTAAATAGGCAAAAGAAATTGAATCCATTTCCATGTTGCTTAAAAACAAAGACTGCAACTTCAAATTTGGAGTTAGTGAAAGTACACATGCTTCAAAATAAATATACTTATATATACAGACATGTTACAATTTTACTGAGCCTGAGGATGTTTTGTCAGCACTTTGGTCCACCTCTAAGTAGGGCACATATGGTCCATTTCTGACCATCATGGTTCTTTTTGCACAGGAGGAAAGGAAAGGCCAGAGGACTGAGCTTTCATTTAGGTGGGAGGGCTGGAAGAGTGAGAGGCAAAGTGGGGTCATCAGGTTGGAAACCTGTGGCCATCTTTCTGATCTTATCCATGCGTATGCTTTCATGAACTTAATCCTGGGAGGCACACACAAATGCAGAGTCACTGATGTGCATGGACACACACATACACACTGCACAGAAAAAAAAAAAAACTTTCATCTGTGCACTTCAGAAGCCACATTGCAAAGTTGGCATTTGTACAATATTTGCGAACAAACTGGCAGATGTCAAAAGGCTTTGACGGTGGGTTTTAGTGGGAAAAAAAAAAAAATCACTAATACGGCTGTAGTTACTCTGTGTGTGTGTGTGTGTGTGTGTGTGTGTGTGTGTGTGTGTGTGTGTGTGTGTGTGTGTTGAGTGCTCTGAGCCCCTGGCTGCCAAAAAATGTAGAGCTATGCTATGGGCTGGGGATGTAGAAAAGTAAAAGCACTCTCAAGAAAAGCAAACTAGGGGGAGAAATCTTGAAAGGAGACAAAAAAGCTGCTTTTATAAGAACTACACTTGTAACCTCTGTTGCCTTGTGGAGATCTCTCCGTTTAGGACACTAAAACTTCATCTTCTGTCTCTGTCTACATGTCACTATTCAAACATTTAAATTCATACCAATGTTGATGTATGCTTTCTCAGCTCAAGTATGGAGTTGAAAGAGGCCATCTTGAAAGTGTGAAAAAAAAACTTGAGACATGCATTTACAGTGCTTTAACCCTGAGGCCCACGGGGTAATGGAAGGATTAATTACTGTAGAGTTTGACACAAGGAGAACTGGAGCAGATTATCCCAGATACTGCAGAGGAAGGCATTAGTGCCAATCGTCCCTCCATGGCGGCAGAGAGACAACTACCTTAATGGCGAGGATGCCACCATGACCTCGCTGATCCGGCCCACTGCACAAAAAAACACAGAAGAAGCGTACAGGAGGCTTACGTGGCAGCAGCGGCGGCCATGCAGCGTTTACACCAGGACCCTGTGTGCTTTCTTGTCGCCTGCTCGTCTCCTCTCAGCAGGCAGGCATGAGAGGATGAGAATAATGTTTAATTACAATAGACAATCTAAAACAAAGCCCTTCACTTTCAATGAGTTCCTCTCGTAGAAGGGAAGGTTACCTCAAGGGGGAATTCTAATGAAGCAGATGGCTGAGTGCTCACAGGGGCAGCCGCAGACTGTCCTCCTTTTTACAGGCTGCCAACATTTGCGGGATTCTGAGGAGCCTCACCTGCTTCCTTACCGCTCTTTGTGTGCATCTGCGAGTAAAAGACATTTGATTACTGACACCTCTCACAGGACGGAGAGAAAATCTGACCACACATATAACCCATCACAGACTAGGTAACCAAAAATGTGAATGCGTGTTGCATTAGGTGAAAATAAATTTGAATGGGAGCATACAAAATGTAAAAAGAGAGGGAGAAAAGACAACATCCCAGCATTTCTCATAACTTATTCTATACCGTTTTATTTCATCCAGTATGTGTGCTTGTTGACAATGCAGTTTTTGCCTCATTCCCTTCACCGCCACACAAAGAACAAGCCACGGCTACTGTAAGTGCGGCTGCTTTGTTGGTCGCTGCAATGTCCCCCGAGTGCACATCCAGTCACACCATACCTGTACAGTTCCCTTATTGCTTTTTTCCCCCATAGTTCCTGTGTTAAATGCAGAAAAAATAGATATCCATTGATCAATAGCAAAGCAGTCAAAATACTGTCCTCCACCAAGAGGTTGCTTGTCCTTGTAAGAGGTGTTGAACCAGCCACCGCCTTCATGGAACGAAAAGGTTGAGCCTTCAGGTAGAAAGTCTTGGTCTGTAGCATCATGTTACCAAAAAAAAAAAAAAATAAAAAAAAAGAGTCCCACTGCTACGTCCCATCAAAGAAGAGAGATTACACAATGTCAATGTTGCCTTAAAAATCATGGACATGTTATGAACTCTGTACACACACACACACAACATGGTGAGCATTGCTTATTGTTATCTGATATGGAGATCACTTATTAAGAGCCTAAAATTAATACAGAAATATAAATAGGTCCTATGGAAATATATAAATCTGTATAAGTATCTTGTCATCAGTATGATCCCAATGTCAGATGAAAATATAGTACACACTTCAGCAAATGCAGGCCAGCTTTGAGAAGCAGGTTTTTCTTGATGTAAACCTTCATCTCTTTAAATGTAGTATAAGCTCCTCTTCCATTTCCTTCCACATCGATTTAGCAAAGAGCCACTTCACCTATGGCTCCGTGCGACCCATTTGTATAGACGGCTACAAAAAGAAACTCCTGCCAGTTAGCTGCACAGAGCTTTACCTCTGAAAGATCACACATAGGGTGAATTTTTACACTCCAGCAAAGGTGGTATCACTGAACTGGGTCACATCCAGGTTACACTGCCCTACAGCCCACTTTGTGTCAAAATAACATTAGTGTTACGCTATTCCGGCAGCAAAAGAGGTCAGCTGTATTGGACGCTACAGTAAACACAACTTATCACCACACTGAGCAATTTTCAGATCACGTCTAATCACAATGAGGTAAACTGTCATACGCAGCACCTGATTCCAGTGCTTGCGAACAAAATAAATTAAATGTTTGTGAAAGGATTTTGTGGTCATGAATGAGTAACAAGGGTCTGGAAAAAAAAAAAAAAAGAAACATACACACACGCCTGTTTTCCCCAGAGAAATTGCAGGTTCGATTCCGCTGCTGCCACATCTAATCCTCAATCACAGCAAATGATTTCATCAGTGTGCATCGCTGATTAAACTACCCATATTTATGGGCGAGTAGGACAGCACAAAGAGAAAGAGAGAGAGAGGGGGGAGGCTAAGATTAGGCAGCAAAATTGGAAGTGCACCAAACAGAATCTGAAAATGCTGCGCAACAGAGACAACCAAGGATTGGAAATGGTACAGAGGTGCCATGTGGAGCTGTACCAAAGATCTGCAATAGGAGGGAAGGTTGAACTACAAACCCGCTGGCTGCTTCACAACACATCCACCTAGAGCCAACAACAAGGCCGGAGCCAGGTATGGCCTCAGGCAGAGGAGAGATTAATAACTCCTGCCAAATGTGATGAATTTCTATTTTACCACCAAGTCCTGCGTTTCATTCTTAAGTCGAGATAGCCTTGACCTAGATGAGACTCACTTAAAATAGAGCGATCAATTCATATCAGTGCGAGATGTTAAGATGAAACAAGAGTCCTTTAGAGCATCAAAACAAAAACAACAGACATGTCAGGAGCTTTCCTCTGAACTGATTTTGAACAGACTCCCTGGCAGCGCTTTGACACAACGCTGGCAGCTGTTGTGATCCTTCAACTGCCCTTCATCGCTATTTCTTCTTCTTTTTTCCCCCCCAGCAGCTGATTTCTTCCCATGTTTAGTAACACAGGGAGCTGAGAGAAAACTGTCCCCTGCATGAATGAGTGAGTCACAGTTGTATTTGTTTATTCTAGTCCCTCCCCTTACCAGTTGATTCCTCTATAAACACTGTGTATATTTTTTCGTATGCTACACAGTAGGCATGGCTGAAACAGACAGGACATCGTGTTTGTGGATTGGATTGTGTCTGCCTTCTAACTTACAATATTGGCTTCAGCGGATATCCTCCCCGAAACCACTTATCTGTGATGATGCACAAGACTAGTTCAGGTCGACTAATCAATCCACATCCACTGTTGATATCTCCCTCAGCTATGACCTGTGCCTCCCTGTCCCACCCTAATCCGTCAGGGTCCAGCCCCCACCAATTGACCCTGGCAGCTTACACACACCCACTGGCTGCTACAGCGGCTACTTAGCTACAGTCAGAGCTTTCCCTCCCGATCAATAGCACACTAAAAAACATCAACTAGCATACAGACACAACAAAAAGAAACAGTGCCTGACTCACGTGACCCCATCAGGTGCCTCTCTATCCTCCTTATTCTTGGCTGAAGACATTGTCGGTCCCTCAGTGCCTCAATGTATCCTCATGTCTATACCTTCTACTCACAGACAAGCTTCAAACTATTCTCCACACTCCAATCCTTCAAAAGGTCACATTGTGGGGAAAAAAGGTCTTTTTCCCCACGAGGGGGATATTGCAGTTTGTCTTCTTTTGAACAGTGCAATGCTTGCAGGAAGACCGAGGTTTAAACACCTACACTGTTTGCAGATGATCAGTATTCAAGAGGTGAAACAGCTCAATGTGTTTACTCTCTGCTGTCTCTGTCCCTACCTCCCCCCTGGACCCTGTGCACAGTGGAAAAAAAAAAAAAAAGAGTCCAAATCATCTCACCACAAAGCAAAAGCTAGTGTTAATGTTACAGAGCCTTTCATGTAACTTTTGACAGCAGATTTAGACTAGGTGTTCAAAAACAAACAAACAAACAAAAAAACACTGGTTTAGACATCATTAGAGCTTACTCTGTTAACAAGATCATCCAAGATAAAAGCTGTGATTTATTTTCATTCTACCTTTGTGTTTGAATTCAGCACTTGTTTTATGATGAAAAGCAAGTAACCACACAGTTCTTGCCAGCTACATATAAAAATGGTTACATAATGACAACACAAATCATACCTTGATATCTTGCATTTGGCTAATGTTTTGCTATGTTGCTTACGTACAATGGTAGGATTGTATTTATATGGACATAAATAATCTTGACGTCACATTATGATGTCTATATTCAACCTGCTACCCGAACAAAAATACAAGTAACATCATTGAGAAAAGTCACAGGAAATTGGATCAAATCATCAACAGCACAGCATTAAAAAAATGGACACTTTCTTTAGACAGTACTGCCTCAATATCTTCTGAAGCGATGTGGTTTGGTATGGAAAAAACAACTGGTTTGGCTGATGTGAATTCAACAAGAAAGTGAAAATTCAATAAGCCAAAGATTCACTTTCTTCTTGAATTTACTGTAAGATATTTCATGCACAATAAAATGTTAAAAAATAGAATTATTTCCAATAGATATATTTCCTGGTTTTGGAAGCGGTAACATTGTGTGCTCTCGTGGTTGTGTGCTTGTCTGGAAATGTGCATTCGTGCAGCTATGTGTCCTGTCCTGTGTATTGCTATACATTATTCTGGGGACCTGTGGGAGCTGTAATGAGGGGAGAGCATGGTCACTGTGCACCTCTGTGTGTAAGTCCATGATAGCCTGTGAGGGTCAAGAGATTACAGACATGTCTTGTTAAATTAGGCTGCTGTGGATGACTGCTGTGACTGAGTTAGGGACCCAGCTGTCTGGGTGGAACCAGGTCTCTCCTGGTGATGAGTTACAGACAAACATGCAGAGGCATATCACTGCTCTCCTCCTATGGGAGCTCAGTGATACCCTCTTTTCCCATGTATTTGGTTTGAGACTTTCTGACTGTACCTTTAGAACCAACAAATAAACAAACAGTGATGGATCCATTCTCGTCGTTGATTTCGACAGCTTAATTTAATTTTAATGCTCTAGTTATGTGCTGTATATTTCAAGATGTTAATAGGATTTATGGTTGTCAAAGGCTCTTGTGCACCTTGTCATACAAAAGCAATGTACAACCGCAGTTCATTAAGAGTTGGGATGCTGTTCAAAAATGTTTAAGAAACAGAATTTGGTAGTTTGCAAATCATTTAAAGCATATAGTGCAAAGACAATACATCAAATGTTAGCATTTATGAAAATGAATGCTCTTTTTAAGTTTGATTTCGGCAACACGTCAAAACAGTCGGGCACAGACAAAAAAACAACTCTAAAAAAATTTGTGTTATGCTATAAACAAAAATACCAGAGCTAACAATTCCCAGTTATTTACATTTATTTGCATCAATTAGAAACATGACTGGGTATTAAAAAGGGCACCCTGGAGAGGCAGTGTCCTTCAGATGGTAAAGATGGAAAGAGAATTGCCATTTTGTGAGGGACTGATCGAGCCAATCAATTCCAGCGTAATGCTCCAGCGAGTAAACTTGCAAAGAGTTTGAGTAATTCATCATCTACAGTGCATAATGATTGAGAGAGTAGAGATTCAGAGAGAAAGAAATCTCTGTACAAAAAAGGACAAGACTGATGACTGATATCAGAGAGCCATGCATGAAAAAATAAAGTGTGATACAAACCCCAGTTCTAATAAAGATGTAATGTTGTGTAAATCGTAAATAAAATCAGAATACAATGATTTGCAAATCCTTTTCTGCTTATTTCTAATTGAATACACGAAAAAGGCAAAATGTTTTTTTGTCTGCAAATATTCACTCATTTTAAATTCGAGGCCTGCAACACCTTCCAGAAAAGCTGGGACAGGGGCATGTTTACCTCTGTGTTACATCACCTTCAACAACACTCAGTTAGCGTTTGTGAAAGGAGGACACTTACACTTGTTGAAATTTTGTTCTTGCTTGTTGTTCAACGGTCCGGGGTCTCCATTGTCATATTTTGCACTTCATAATACGCCACACATTTTCAATGGGACACAGGTCTGGACTGCCGTAGGGCCAATCTAGCACTGGCACTCATTTACCGTGAAGCCATGCTGTTGAAACACCTGCAGTATGTGTCTTGACAATGTCTTGTCGAAAGAAGCAGGGACGTCCCTGATAAAGAGGTGGCAGCATATGTTGCTCCAAAACCTGTCTGCACCTTTCAGCATTAATGGAGCCTTCACAGATGTGACAGGTAGCCATGCCATTGGCACAAACACACCCCCATACTGTCACACATGTTGAATTTTGAACTTTGACCTGATAACAATCTGGGTGGCTCTGAGGACACTGCATTCATGATTTCCAAAACAATTTGAAATGTGGACTCGTCAGACTACAGGAGACTTTTACATTTTGAGTCAGTCCATCTCAGATGAGCTCTTGCCCAGAGAAGCCAGCAGGGTCTCTGGATGTTGTCGATATATGGCTTTGGGTGGTAGAGTTTGGACTTGGAGATGTGGCGATGAACTGTGCTACCTGACAGTGGTCCTCCCAAGTCCTTCTGAGCCCACATGGTAATTTCCATCATAGAATGATGTGGGTTTTTAATACAGTGCTGCCTGAGGGATTGAAGGCCACAGGCATTCAATCTTGGTTTTGGGCCTTGCTGCTTGCGTGCAGAGATTCCTCTTGATTCTCTGAATCTTTTGATGACAGTATGGACTGAAGATGATGACACAGTTCCTTGCAAATGTACGTTGAGAAAGTTTGTTCTCCAACTGTTGGACTATTTGCTCACACAGTTGTTCACAAAGTAGGGAACCTCACCCCCTCTTTGCATGTCAACAACTGAGCTTGTCGGATATATTCTTTTTATACCCAATCATGGCGCTCACCTGTTTCCAATTAGCCTGTTTACCTAAGGAATGATCCAAACAGGTATTTTTGGAGCATTCCTCAATTTTACCCGTTTGCCCTGTCCCACCTTTTTTAAAACATGTTGCAAGCATCAGATTCAAAATGAAGGAATATTTTTTTCAAATGCCCGAAATATTTGATCAGTTTGAACGTTAAATATTTTGTCTTTGTAGTGTATTCAATTGAATTTAGGTTGACAAGGGTTTACAAATCATGGTATTCACTGTTTTTTATTCCCATTTTACACAAGTCCAACCTTTATTGGGATTGAGGTTTGTATACAGGTTTTGGAATTACATATGCTGCTATCCAGACAAGACCTTTTTCAGGGGAGGCTTTGGGTAATTAAGAAAAAAGATCATAAACTACATTTAACACAAATGACAACAGGATAACTCTATCGTAGAAAAGTATAGGTTCTCAAAAGGCCTGCCTGCAGTCCTGACTTAGAGACACCTATTCAAAACATGTGGCACATCATGACAAAATAACATGAAAAATGAGACCCATGAATGTTGGGCAGCTCAAATCCTCTATCAGACAAAAACGGGACAAGTTATCTCTGTCAAAAGCCCAGTAGCAGGTCTCCTCAGTCCGCCAGTCTTAACAATGTTGATACAACACAATGACATGCCCCTTTCCCAACAGTTTTGAAACATGTTGGTGTTATCAAATTTAAAATGAGAATATATTTTCCACAACACAATCACATGTTTTTAGTCTTAACATTTGATATGTTGTCTTTGCTCTATTTTTAATTAAACACAGGCTTTACATTATTCCTGAACCATCAAAATCTTTGTCGACATTTCACTCTGTATTCCAACTCGTATGGGAGTAGGGTTGTAATTTTTGCTCAAAGTTTAAGCAGGGTGACAGCATGGTAATATTTTCTTGCAGGATATGCTACAAAGAGTGGGCTGCTTGAGGCTTAATGACTTGGAGTACTGAGTCACATATCCAGATTGCCTTGATACAATTTGTCGTTACTCATTTTTGTATCTTTCTAAAGGACACTTTTGCAGGAGAAATGGCTGCTGATGAAAGTATCTGGCAAAGTCTTGGATACGATGACCTTTTTTTAAGCTATGGAACAGTCTCCCTGCCTTCAGTACTTACTTTAAGTATCATAAAATTATACATACATTCAGCATCTCTTACTCAGCCCTCACCTTTTATAAAGAAACATGTGTACATTTATTCTAGAACAGCTACAGTTCAGTAATGCAAAAGTCAAATCCCAAGTATTTTATTTGTTGGATAACTCAGCTTGTGTGCTAAATGCATTGTATTCGATCAATGACTGAAAGGTCTGATTTAAGGGCTATTATGTATTAGACAATGTTGGGTGCTTGACGGTATGGGTGCTTCACAATGCAACACAAGCTGTGGTAAATGGAAGTCCTAGTTTTTCACTGAAACTGCTTCTTGATCAGCCCTGGGTAAAGTCTTGCCTTGCATCCGGCTGTTACGCTGAAGTAGACATTTATTCTCTCTAGCACTCAGACATCAACAGTTGCACACAATCAGGAAGAAAAACAACACATTTTCTACACACATTAGCGGCATGGGCTTGGAAGACAAAGTGAGCTTGTTAGGATATGGTTGAGGACTCTGCAGAAAGGCAGCTGCTCACAAACTGTTAGGTGTCAATACTGAGATGGAGGGTCGCTTGCTGAACCTCCTTTTTTCAAGCTTACATTAAAGTGGTATAAAATGAGGATTGAAGGGCCAAGAGGAGGTGAATTATTACCCCACAGGAAAATTCTTTTTGGTTATCTAAAATCTCTTCTCCATCTCCCATAAAGTTTTGAAAATTTTATACATTTGATAAATAATTACAATCTAATAGATACATTTAAGGATCAACAATATGTGATCCGGTATGACATGGTACAAGAGTCAGCTTGTCTTGAAGCATGTTGTTTTTGCTAAAAATGTAGATACTTTTTTGAAACACACAAAAAGCCTTTATACATGCAGGTATTAGTGCATAGGTTCCTGCTGAAAAAAGAGTATTATTGTGTAGTCCATCGAATGACCTCCCAATCATCACTGGATGATTTTGGCATAGTTATATAAAGATAATGACTGTCCCTTAAATGGAGATAATTTTTCACACCCTCCTAGTCCCTTGGTTAACTTATCTTTTAAATATATCTCTATCTATACACAGTATGTATGACTTAAAAAAGGACAACACATAAGATAAATACCAAGTATTCTGTACTTCTGAGTTACCCAGTAAATTGTCTTTAAATCACAGTAAATGTAAGATCTTGGTAAAATGACAGGTGGAACACAGTGAAGTCTGCAGACAAAAAGAAAAGAAAGCCACACTTGGAGAAAGTTTGTGTGTGCTTTACTCTGGAGGAGTGCAGGAGGGTGTGATCAATTCTCACAAATTAGAGGGAAGTTTAGAGCGGACAGTTTGAGGTTCTAGATCTGATGAATAGGCACCTGAGCCCCTCCGTAGATGTGAGGCTGGGGAAGTAGTCCCAGGGGACTGTGCCTGGTGAGGGTGCCCTGGGGACATCTGGGTTGGAGGAGTCATGCGCCCTGGCACTGAGCTGCAGGGTTTGGGCACAAGGGTTGGTGATGAAAACGGTGAGGGGTAATATCCAGTTTCCACAGACGAGGGAGGAGTATGGTGGCCTAATGCATGGGCCACCTCTTGATGCAAAGATGGGTGTGAACTGGACAAAAGCTTCAAGTCCTCAGAAAAGCGGCCCAGAGGAGAATCTCTTCCTGTCGTTTGTGGCTGGCCAGGAGGCTGTGAGGGGAGAGAAGACTGTGGCATGAGCAGAGAACTGTGGGATCCTGTGGCACTGGAGGGGTCACTGTAGTGGAAAGTTCTGCTAGCCACTGGGCTTTGAATGGTAGGGCTGGGTGCAACTGGGGTAAGGCAAGGGGAGGCATTTGCTGAACCGTACTGGGCCAAGGAGGCCAAGGCAGACCTTTCCATTGACACCTGGTGAGGAAGAAAGCCAGACTGAAGGCCTGCCAGGCTAAAGTGGCTCATGGCAGATGGAGAACCTTCAGCTGGCAGTTGGCTGTGCTGTCCTCTACTTGAAGATGGGGAGCCTTGTGGAGGGGTGTGGAAGAGGTTTAAGCTACTCGCAGTCCTGCCCCCTCCAGCAAACTGCTGCAAAGGAGCCACCTGAGGAGGCTTTGGAGGTGGCTGGCTATGGAGAAGCTGACTAGGCGTGCAACTAGATGAGTCCGTAGATATGGGACTTTGACAGTGGGAGGTGTTGATAAGTCCAGATGTAAATCCACCAGAGATCCCTCCTACAGGACAAGCTGTAGACCCTCCTATATGGCTCCCTACTGCCCCCCCTACTGTTCTGCTTACATGTCCACCAATAATACCTCCTCCTGTCCCACTTAAACCTCCTCCTATATGACTGGATGTTGATCCAGCAGAAGTTTTCCCTAATGAAGCTCCAAGGTTCCCTAGCATCAAATCACCAGAAGTTCCTAAAAGTGATCCTCCAGAGGCCCCACCTGTCAATATCCCAGAAACCACTCCTGAGGATCCACCAGAAGCCCTCCCCAAAGACCCACCTGTGGTTGTTGTTGCTACCAGTGATTCTCCAGAAGGTCCTCCCACTGATCCTCTAGAAGCTCTTTTTAGTGATCCTCTAGAAGTCCCTGTCAGTGATCTTCTGGTTGCATCTGTGATCGACCCAAAGGTACTCCCGCCAGAAGTTACTGATAGCCCACCCACTACTTTACCACAAGTGGCAACCACAGATCCTTCAGATACCCCTCCCACTGATTCCCCTGAGATCTCACCTATTGAGCCACAAATAGCTCCCAACCCAAAGCTCCCACCAGGAGTCACTTCTGTTGTTCCAGTTGTAAAGTCCTCTCCAGCCCAAGAAGTATCTCCTCCAGTGGCTCCTTCCACAGACCCTCCAACAGCTCCACATGATGACCATCCTGTTGCGCCACCGCAGGCTCCAGCTGCCCCGCTACTTATTCCTGAACCTGTGCTACCACTTGTAGAACCTTGGTGAAAGAGATTGGAAAGAGGTGGAGTGCTGGAGCGGAAGGGCTGTTGATTCTGTGGTTGTGGGTGTAGCTGGGCCATACTAGATGAGGGTGAACCGGAAGAAGAGAATGGTCCAAAGGGAAAGGCAGAGGCCCCTCCTCCACAGGACCCAGAGCCAGTCCCACTAGGTCCTTGGTTGGCTGCGCTACTTGAAGCTTGCTGGCAGGTGCCAGTTGCACCTGAACCTGACGTCATATGCTGGGCCCGAAAAGAGGCCAGCAGTGGCATATCCACCCCAGTGCGCAGTTTTGAGGGTGTGCTGGAGGGAGAGTCCCCAGCAGAGCCAGGTGCCGGGGATGGAGGAACAAATGTGGGGAACTTCTTGAGGCGACTTGGGGGGTCCTTTAAGGAACCAAAGACAGAAACAGGAGGCCTGAAAAGAGTTGGCGGAAGGTGGGGATGGTGTGTCAGGGCAATAGCGACTGAGGTTGTGGCTGCTGCTGCCTGTAGAGGGGCCTGGATGAGGGGCGCCCAGATGACTGGGGTGGGTGAGGGAGGCGTTTGAGGTGGGGCGTTCTGCAAGAGATGGGCGCAGTGGGCCATGTCCCTGTCATGTTGCACAATCTGCTGGATGATCTCATTCTCTTGGTAGTTAAGCACACCAGAGCTGAGGTCATGTTGCACTTTGTGTTGCAGGATGGAGTTTTTCTTTCCTGTTAAAAGACAAGCACAACATGAGGACAGATCTAATATGTGCTAATACGCAGATGGACTGAGGTTATTTGTTAGTATTGAAGTAACCTGCTTTATTCGTAAAACCAAAGAGAAGAAAGCAAACTGTGAACTTTAAAGGACATAGGAAGTGTGGAAAAAAACAAAATGAAATGGGAAGGCTTAAATGAGCATGGAAAAAGAGCAACAACAAAAGATGAGAAGGAGATAACCATCCAAACACAGAAGCTCAGGATCCTTGACAGCCTAAAGCACGAGGGTTGTTCTACTGGTTCAGACAATCTTTCCAAAACATTAAGAACAATGCCATCACTGTACTACGCAGTGCAGGATTAGCCCAGAAAAAGTGAACCTAGTATAGAGTAAGTAATAATTTTATGTGTCTGGGTTTTAAAATGGAAAAGAAGCAACTCAAAAACCATGAATGAATTGGAAATCTTAATGTTCCTAAATGCTCTAAATAGAAATCTTGCAAAAGAAAAACAGGCTTTGTCCTAGCACTGGAAGTTAAAGTTCATTTTGGTCAGCATAGACAGCTTCTTCCCCCAGAGGAAGCGGCATATAAATCACAAACAGAACTACGTTACATTGATTTAGAAAAAATGCTAGTATGAGCACATTTAAATGATGAAATATATATGATCAAAATAAGGTTAAGGGTGAAGATAACACTTATTCTGCCCACCCCGGTCTGCACTTCACGCCCTAGAAACACATGTTCAAAGAAGTCCCTGTGAGCTTTGCACAAGGTCAAAGAGACAAGTGTGAGTTGCGTCACTATGACAGGCGTACTGACACAACCTCTAAGAGAAATGTGTGCTGCTCTGACCAGGAGTCCATTAGTCATTGTTGAATGGCTGCACTAGTAGTGACAGGGTTAATTCACATGACTGCCATTTTCACTTTGGTGCAGACAAAAGGCTGTGAAATCCAAAGATATTGTAAATGTAATTAGGTCCAGATCAATCTCTCCATTTTCTGCCCTGACTGTGGGTAGATTAGTAGAGGTGTTGCAGTGAGGTATTGTATCTACATTCAACTTGACCTGGGCGCCACCTGACCCTTTATCACCTGCACTCCTCCGATCAGATTGAGCTAAGTCAGTCAAGACAGTAATTCATTGGTGGATCATTGGTGTGTGAGTGACTTTATTAGGAAGGGAGGGTGTACACACACTTCAGGCTCAGGAGAAAGGACATCCGCAGGAGACTGTCTCACAGAGACATCACTATCAGCCCACCACATCTTTTCAAAGCACCCATTTTCTACAAAGAGACCCCTACAGCAATTCCTCTATCTTCCATTCTAAACATAGCTGAGGATAAAACAGAGCATGCAGCGATGGCTGAGTGATGATACAGGCGTGCCTTTCATTGTGAATTTTTCATCTGCTCAGGCTGAGCCTGGGAACAGTGATGGATATAGAGAGAATATCAATTGTATGGGTAAGAGAAGTCACGCAGGGATTTCAAACCCAGGCTTTATCTACATGTTTATATGCAGATAACTGGAAGTCATTTCATTCATTGAGAATCTGTGGGAACATTTTTACAGCCCTACAGCTTTGTTTGAAACTTTTGAGGCTGGTTTGTAATATATATTTATATAAATATATATGTTCATCAGGGTCTAAGTGCCATAAAGGTAGAAAGGAGATAACAAAATCATTGGTCCTCTTCTTAACCGGCAATGCTGTCTACTCTGGATCAGGATCAAAAACATTAATCACAGGCTTTGTTGAATATTATTTATTTCACATACTGTGAGGTCTTTAGGTCTAAAACATTAATTTTCTTACCAATACGATCCAATCTGTCCAACGCAACAGTCTCAAAGGCTCGTCTCATCATAGGATACTCTTCCAGCACCTCATTGAAGTTGTCCACTGATAGTGAGTACAGACGGCAGTATGTGTCTGCTCGAACACTGGCTGTCCTTCTGCCTCGTGTCAGCAAACAAATCTCTGCAAAACAAAGAAAAAGGAGACCATATGATCAAGTTTAACCTATACACTCCTCAGCTTTTGAACTTGATTCAACATACATTTTCACAAAGGTATACTAGTTTTTCAGTGTCACTTTCATGATAATTTATTGTAAAAGGTATAATTTTGAACTCTGACTCTTCAATGTGGAGGTGTGCTGCTGTATGCTGCTTGTGCACTTACCTCACCTGGTTTTGTCACTTCTTTTCCTTATTTCCTCTTTTTATTTAACACATCATTGCTGTCTTCTTGCTTGTGTTGGTTTCCTTGTTTACCTTCAGATTTTTTATTTGGACTCGCCAACACTATGTGTCAGTTTACAACAGCAGAATACACCTTGTGAAATGTAAACTGTAGTTCATTTCAGCTCTAAGACTGTTACTTTTGTGTAACCCATCGAGGCCCAATACTCCATTATCAGAGTGGGCCTGCCAGCCCACGTCTGCCATGCTGGCTAAGGAAAGTAACGCTCCATCAGCCTCACTGCTGTAGAGCTCTAACACAGTGACAGTGTGTGTGGGTGCACATAAGTCTCAATTGCTGCGTGTATATTCATGCACAATACTAGAGAGGGGTGTTTAGGTGAGCACCTCGATGTTTGCACAATGTAAACAACCGTAAGTAAATGCACCGCTCGTGTGCACATGTTTTATTCATGATGTGTAGCAGCAGGAGAGAGTAAAGCAGAGTATAGGCAAAATATTCAGTTTATACACATAAAACAATCTTTTTTGAATGTACTATTTTACTTTTATACATTTCAGTAACAGTACTGGTTATATGTGCATATATAGATACACTTTGGGTGACTTCTTGTATGTTTGTGCCATGTGTTTGTCTACGTTCCCTGATGTCTTTCCTCTCTCATCTCGTCTTCTGCCCTCCTAGCCAGCATCCACTATCACTCTGCCTCTGTCTGAAAAACCTATTTCTAGCTCATTCAGATACTCTCAATTCTCCCATCTAATTCACTTTCCTAACCCCCCCATCCTATATTAAATGAAACCTTTAAATAATCCACTGCATCCCCCTGAAATCTAAGACATTGCCCGACTTTCTGCCGTAATCGTCTTTCTCTGCATTGTCCTTTACTTTTTGTTTATCCTTATTCATAAAGTGTTAGTACTTTCGACTTTAAGTTTTCAACCCACAGTCTTAGACACAACAAGACCCTCACTGTGCAGCATGGGAGGTTGTCTGCTTTAATCAAACACACGCAAAGCAGTGTTTGTTTCGCGTGTTTTGTGTGTAGGTATGTAGTGCAGAAAATGAAATGCCTGTTGGTGCATGATAAAATAAAGATGCTGTCAATTACCCTGTGCGGGTTATAACAAGAAAGAAGTATAGACAATCTCACTACTACTTTATGTAAAAACAGAGATTAAATACAAAACCCACACATTATGCAGAACTGTGGTGCACCTTCATACTATCCAAAAGATGTCAAAGATCTTTTTATTCTAACAAATACATTACCTGCTTGAAACACCAAGATGTACACTGACTGGAAAAGTGTGATCCAGTGTGTAGCTTCAAGTTGTGTTAATTACTTTGCAGCATTCTGGTGTTGTTTGCCCATAATTTAATTAAAGTGGCCAATTGCATTTGGACAATGCAGGACACTTTCATTAGTAGCTGTGGATGGAAAACTTTCCGTAAAGGAAAGCAATATCAGGCAGCTTCATAAGGAGTTAATTACCTGAGAGGGAAAGCCTTTCAGTTAATTAGCCACAGCATGCTAGCTGTTGTGGGAGACAGATGCTGGTGGGCGTACGATAATCTTCGCTCTGCCTCCTTGGCATCACTGAAATATTTCAAATACATCATTTTTTGTACAAAAAAAAAACAACCAAAAAAATCAGACAGAAGTACGTATATATGCTGAAGATTTTGGATGATAAAAAACAGAGAGAAAGGAATGATGAAGGAAATCCCAGAGAGATCTTTGAGGGGTTATCGTGTGGATTGCAGTGCATGGGTCACAGACTCTGAGCATGTGGATTGCCAAATATGCTCTCAGTGCTCAGAGCGGTGCCTGATTGCAAATGACACTCCCCCTACTGGTCTTCTCCTCCCACTGGCCAGGTACCAAAAACATGCTCCACAGCAAGGGGGGAAAATTCCTCCCTTACTCCTACACATGAGCCATAAACCGTGTGAAAAGGTTGTGGTTTTCCGCTAAAATGGGGCATGATTGGTTTAGGGGGCTGTAAATGTCACTTTTCTTCACTTACTTATCTGGAAAATGATGGAAACATGAATCTCAATATGATGACTATAAAAACACTGATAAAAAAGCTGACGAAAATGCTGCATTATATATTCCATGTATGAAACCTTCACCACTGCACTTAAATGTTGTTGGATCCCATTAGACTGTACAATATGTAATATTTCCTGATCAATGAGTGTAAAATTGTTTTGATTCTATTAGATGGCCTGAAAACCATCTAGGTGAAAAGAGACAGAGAGGATGCCTGATTCAACAGGACAGGGGATGAGGAAAATGTACTTTATCTGAAGCATAAGAACAACCTCGGTGTGTGACTGTTTATGTGCGTTATGGAAAGCATGGCTGAATGGGCAATGGCCCAGTTAGCAAGAGAGGCTTGTGAATGTGGGTATAAAAAACATGCCTGTGTGTGTGTTCACTGTATGTTTGCACATGTGATACAGTGTGTGTGTACAGTAAGTGTGTGCTAGCAGGGCAGCCCTGGCTGTAGCTGTGCTGGGGGTCCATTTCCCGCAGCACTGCTCCAGTAATCCCCTCTGGAGAGGAGCATACCGGCTCTGCATTAAATCCTCTTGTCCCATGGCTTTCTGGATGAAGCCAATACTGCCAAGATGAGGCTGTGAGCTGCAGTGAGCCCTCTGGCCTCATCTAACTGTTGGTAGAAAGTGAGCAAAGCTGAGACACTTAACGGTGCCATCTGAACTACAAGGACGGGGGAGAAAAATCCATGGCAGGGTTTGGGTCCAGTGTAACCCTCTCCAAGCTACACAATGAGAGATTAGTAGACATCTGAATAGCTTGAGGATCCTCTAAGGACCTTTTAACTTCTCTCAGTTTTTGTACCTTCATAGACAACACGGTAACTCTTTTCTCTTAGCTGTACTTGGATACTATTTTTCCTAAAAAAAACAAACAAAAAAAAAACAACCTCAGTCTAAAAGTCTAATTTATCGCTCAATGACAATCTTGGCTGAGGAAAATGTAAACAAAGACTGATTAAGCAGTTTCAATTTTTCTTAAACCTATTCATCAGCAGCAGGTAAAAGTATAAAAAACACCAAAGAAAGTTAAAAGTTTTAAACTCCTAAAAGGAGCTTTCTGATAGAAACAGATTTAAAATACATGAAATGAATTAGGTTTTACTCACGATTAACTTCTTTTTAAAAATATGAAAAAAAGCTAAACTAAAAACCTCAGAGGTTGTTCAGAGGGGGGCTCACAACTGTCTTCATCATCTTCTTTACTCAATTATCACCAAGTTATCTTAATTTTGCTCAGGGTGTTGTTTTCCTGAATTTACATTAATCATCATAAACCTCAGACCAGTTTTTGCTCATTGCTTTTTTGCTTACTCTCTTTTCATCTTTTGGTCTTGTGTGCTTTATTCAAGATTCAGTAAGTGCAACTCAGTTTCCATTAAAGATTTTTTTTGTAGTCAGTGGCTATTAAGTCTTATTACAGTTAATGTTTTAAATCATTTTTTTTGTCTCACAGTTTTTATGATAGTTATATAACCTTGAACTTTTTGACTCTACAACAGCGAATCAAAACCAGAACTGAGTAGGAGGATATGGTATGTTGAAGAAGTGGGAGTGGTTCTGCATGCACCATATGTAAATCACTCCTGTTGTTGCATCACCAGAGGAGCGAAATCATATCCTCTTGTGCTTTCCTCATCGTCTGGCTACAGAAAACAATGCTTTTCACTTCCAGATATTCAAGGATGCTAGACAAGAGGGTGAATAAAGGGTATGTTTACAGGCAAGGATAAACACTTTTATTATATGTGGCCTTTAATGGCAGCACGAGTTCAGGGACTAATTCTTTAGCAGTAAATGTGACGCCTTTCCTCTTAGAAAAAGGCAATTGTGTGAAAAGTACAGAATTCTTCTTTCCCATTTGCAGCCAGGCACAAACCTATACTTAACAAAAAGTGTTGGAAATCCAGGGCCTGTGATTTTCTGAAAGTTCAGAAGCCAATGCCTGGTGACGAATAGCTTACATTCAAAGTGACAAATGTGACATTTGAAATAAAAGCGTCCCAGTGTTTGCTCATAGATGGGTGCTCTAAGTAAAGTTCTGCACAGTTCCACTTTTGACAGCTTTTGCGGATGGTTCGTGAGTTGCACTCCGTGTATTTATGAATGCTCTGCTCCTACTGCTTACTCACATCCCCTGTGACTCATTGCAATGCTCCCCAAATCCTGCATCAAATCCTAGAACAGGCTTAGTTGGTGTCGATAGCGTTGCCTGTTTTGTGTAAGGGGTGTGTGATTTCTCCTTAAACTGACTCCTGCTCAACAATAACCCACCTCTGTGTGGTCGTAAGCAAGAATAAGATGATTAAAAATAACCCCAAATAGTGGGCTCTGTTAGCTAAAATTAGAAAAGCTTGTAATTAATCCGTCATAACACAGGATGACTGGTGATGGGCCTGGATAGCTGGCTGTGAATTAAATGTGTCACAGCAGTATTTTATCCTAAAAAATGCACCGCAGAGGGAAAATGAGTAGAAAAGGAAAAAGGAAAACAAAAAAGATGATGATAAACTGTGAAGGACCACGTGAAAAATCCACCTGAGCTCAAAGTTCATGTGGCCCAGCAGTAATAGGTCTAAAAACTCTGCTACAGATACAAAAATGCCTCAGTTTCTGAAAAGCTCTGTGCACTAGAAGATGTTACTTCACCAGTGCAATGATGTGTTTCATTTTCGCACTTAAGTGACAAAGCATTCATCAAAATTGAATGACACCAATTAAAATTGGATGGAGCTCAGGGAATGGAGGAGCAAGACGTCATGTGCTGTGACCTTGGTAAGAACACACATGGTTGGTCTTTTGTTGGATGGTGCAGCCCACGTGTCCTAAGCTCTTACTGAGGAGATGCTTCCCAAGAGTCCCAGCTCGCTGAGCGCTGCACAGCTTGCATGCCGGCCGAGATGATGCTAGTGCTGCTGAGTACGTGTGGACACAAGAAAGGGCAGAAAACCGGCTGAGAGACATCTTGTGTGCATTACTGTTTTCACGTGTCATTTGAACACTCACGGGGTCATGACACCAGAGCCACACAGTTATATACAGGCCTCAAAGTTTCCAATTACTTCCTTTAAGCTACGTCTTTGCTAAGAGCACAATTCTCCTGAAAATAAATTAAATAAAAAAGTATCTTAATAAGCTGATCACGGCGCAAGACTGGTGCAAGAGAGGCCGCAGCTCTGGAATACAAATCTATTAAATTTTTATTTCATAGGAATTCACCTCTAAAAAATGTGCATTGAAATATAAGTGATTCAACTGAGTTATAAAGATTGCATAAAGTGTTGCTTTATCATATGAATAAGTTAGACAGTGTATTACCTTTAATGCATAAAAAATACAATACAGTACAAAATCCATGTACTGTATGCAGGCATCTGCAAAATGCTGTACCTTCAGGCAACTGTTCATGAATCTAAGTGAATGCAAATTTTGGCCTTTGAATGTGCTTTCAGATAAGTTTAAGTCTCAGAGTGAATGTATCTGCATATCTGTGATTCACTGTGTGCATAGGTGGCGTACCTGCCCTCCTCTCTGCTTCAAATGGTGCATGGATGTGAATTAATAAGTATGAGCAGGGCTGCTTGTTCTGTGCTTAACAATCCAAGTCCTGTAGCCTGGTCTGGAAAAGCTCACCTGGACTCTGAGTCCTGCTGTCACCTCCCATCTCCCTCCCACCATGCTGCCCCCCAGCCTACAGAGCGGACACTCTCTAACCTTTGAAACATCCACAGTGGGCTGCCTGATTTCCAGTGACATGCCATGCTCGATCCCTCACAGCATTAGCATAGCTGTGCAAACACCTTCCATTTGGCTAGGATGCACGGACAGGTAGGGGAGACCTGGTGTTTTTTCAGCAACGCTGCTGATGCCGAGGCCCCGTCACTTCTCATTGTTTCTTCTTTACCCCCTGAACAGAGGCTGGCTATGTTTGGTGAACAACACAAGACACATTAAACTAAATTCAAATAACAGAATATATTTGTGTACGTGTACGGATGCATTAGTATCACATATCCTCTGTCTTTGTACAAAACAAAGTTAAAGATAATAAAGATTATTTCAGGCTGGAAGCTGCTCGAGTAGATACTACTGTAAAAATGCTGCTATCCCCATGATATGACCAATGATTATAAATATTCGTTAAGATCACTGGTCTATCCAGTATCTACAAAAGAGGATTAGGGCCACATAAAGAGAAAATTAAAAAAATTAAGGGATCGAGATAAAAGTTGAAATTTTGAGATTAAAGTGGAAATTTTGAGACTAAAAATTGATATTTCGAGATTAAAGATGACTTAAATCAAGTTGAACTTTTGTAAATTAAATTGAAATTTTGAGATTAAAGACGAAATTATGAGATTAAAGCTGACGCAAATAAAGACAAAATTTTATGAATAAAGTCGTAATGTTGAGATTAATGATAATGAATCAACAGCATTGTCACTTGTCACTCAACAACATGTCTTCTGTAGAATAGTTTGTAAAGCTGTACTTAAGAATTGGATTTAGTAACAAGGAAATCCTTGCTCTTTTAGCACACAAACACGGTGTGGTCATAAGTATTCGGACTCTGAAATACTGTGCCGAAGATGATGATTTTGATGCAGATGCAGGGTTATCCATGGTTACACCTGCGTGCTATACAGCGAAGCTATGTTGTATCGCAAGATACAATAAGACAACTGATCAAGTTGATTGATCCTGAAAGCGTGGAGCACAGACGAGCCCGGCATCTGAGGCGCAGGCATTACTGAAGCCGAGGACCCGATGTGCTCTGGCACATGGATGGCTACGACAAATTTAAACCATATGGCATTTCATTGAGACTTATTAAAATTTCGACTTTAATCTCGAAACGGAAATAAAAAAAAATCTTCCTCCTGTAATTATTTTTTTCTCTTCTTGTGGCCCTAATCCTCTTTTGTGAGTATTACTATACACATGAATGTAGGTATTATGTTAAACTTTCCTCAGTATCACAACATATTCACTATCCAGTCCATCTTCAGCATTACATCTTCAGTGTTTGGATGACAATGTCTCACAACATGTTGTGTTGTATAACATTGACACAGTATCAAAGCACAGCCTTGCATTGTATATCACCCTACTATATCTATCCTGTCATATTATATAAGACTACTCTATAAATCATCATATCACACCACATTCTGTCACTCGGCAGACTGCGGCAGTGCCTCTATCTTCAGTTGATGCTGCTCCGGAGTAAGAGGTGCAGGGTGTTAACTGGGTTAAGGACCGGGAGGATTACCTGGGCCTTTGCAGCTGCCAGCCCCTCTCACTGACTCACTCAGTCAGGGTGGCCATTTGGCAGCTCCATAGCACAGTCGGTCTGAGCTCAGAGAGGAATGGAAAGAGGCAAAAAGAGTGATAAGAAGGGGTTTTAGTTCCATGACCCAAGACTTCACAGGACTACGGCTTAAGAAAGCACCATTCACAGAAAATCAGTCAGAGTCTAGGTAACAGCGAAAAGATGACACAGGAGATTGCAAACTGTACATTCAACTTACTCTCCTCCTTCTTCTCCTACTCTCTCGCCCTGTCTCACTTTTTTTTCTTCACTCCCACTTACAAAGCTGCAACAAGCCACTCACTCAGAGGCAAAGTAAGCCATCTTAGAGGTGCAATCAAAGGCAGCTCTTGATAAGCACCTCTGACTGGCATGCAGGGCCACCACAAGGTCACCGAGCTCCACTTCAACCGGGAGAGAGCCGCAGTCTGCGCTGGCAACACATCATTTACTGCAGGCTACAAAGGATGGACTCTAACAACACAATAACCTGCTCTGTCTGGGCTCTGAGAGGGCAGCAGAGATGCTGTTCAGATAAGTGTCTCAATACTGAACTATAAGGAGAGAAAGAGGCAAGTGGAGGGAGAGGGGTGGGGGGTTTAGAGGGTGCATGTTTTCTTGCTGAGCCCAGAGCAGCATCCAGAGAGCAGGCTTGGCAGTGATCCATGTGTCCCTTGGCGTTAGTACTGCAGTCACATTACATTTCCCCTCTCCGCTGGATTGCTGTATGCCCGGCCGACATTCCCGTCCAGGACACGTCGTGTCCACTTTAGACGTTAGGCTCTCCAGCTGAAGCTAATCCAGCAGCTAACAAACTGGAGCAGACTGCTGAGTATATAATTGTATAAATAATTGAAATTGTCTGTGAATGAGTGGTTATGTTACATGAGTTTGCAGAGATGTTGATTGGCGTATACATGTGCTATTAGGAAGTGAAGTCGGTCTGACGTTGAGTGTGCTCTACAAAATACAGCTCTGCAAGTAAAATGCACCGAAGCTGATCGCCATGTTATTAATTTCCATGTGGGAACCTTCTCAAAAGGATCAATAAAGTCTATCCAATCTAATCTACATTATATTGAAAAAAAAAAAAAAAAACGTCCTGACTTCCTGCTTACTGACAGCAGCAGCAGCAACACTGAGGCATGTGCCACATACTTGCTGCCCTGATCCTGCACCAATTAATTTCATGAATGACTAACTCATGTTTGGTAACAAACTCCCGGTGGCTCCAGGCTTACCTCACTCACCCCCACCCTTATTCCCTCCCATAGGAGGAGCACTGCCAGGAATAGTCACATGATAATGGAGTCTATAATGCTCAAAAGGAGAAAATAATTACAGATCGACGGCTTAAGATTAAAGCAGGCAGACCCGGTTTATGTTTCACAACCACTGTATTTTCTACTACTTATATTTACGTAAGAAACAAAAATAAGATGCCCACCTTCTAACGCGTTAATATGACATTGTTATCAAGAGTACACACTCCATAAAGGGTCTTCAGGCAGAGTGTCTAAGTGGTTAGAAAAACTGTGCCAACCCCTGCAAACTCACTGAATCTGTTTTCTACTTGAATCCAAACTCTTTCTTGCTGGGGACGAAGGGATGGAAGGAGGGAACATTTTGGATAACATTTTAGACAACATGGCCCTGGAGAGAGCCAGGGCCATGTTGTCTAAAATGTTGATTAGTCTTGGCATGTGTAGAGATAGATTGCCTGCCATCTTTTCATTATTTCTCTGGAACCCCCGGAGAGAGGGCATGGAGACGGACTTGAGCAGGCATGGCGTAATTAAACTTCCACAGGCAGGTCATGTGCTGTTAAATGCTTTGCCACCATCTCTCATTACTTAACAGTGTAGTCTAAATGATACGCTGTCACTGGGCAAATTAATTGGTATTTGGTGAGGGCAGTATGGCAGCATTGTCTCCTACATGTGTCATAGGCTCTGTGGGACTATGAGAGGGGTGCGCATTATCTGACCCTGATTAAGAACATAACACGAGCTAAGTACATAACAACTCCGGGTTATCGCACAAGTCACGAGTGTTTCTATAGCGTGTAATTTCACAGCTTTTTGACCATGCTGACCCATGAATGCATATCTCTTAATTTCTACAGCGAGTACTTTTTCCTTAATTTGGAGTTTTGCCCTACATTTGAGAGACAGCTCATGATGTGAATTAAGGGAAAAGTCCTGCATAAACCATGAAGCCGAATTTTAAGTGAGGTGACAAGAAGTGCACAACATGAGCATGAATATGAGCTAATATCAGAGCCAGAATAGCATTATCCAAGGGCTGTTGCCTCACACATCAAAATTCAAACCCTGGCCAGCTCCTTAAAGTGCTGAAGGAACACATTATAAATATTAAAACAGAGCAGATTTTAGCTCCACGGAAGGATGTGAGCACATGTGTGCGTATGTATGCGTGCATGTGTGCGAGTGTGTGTGTGTGTGTGTGTGACCTTGCAGCACTAGCTCGTCTTACCTCCAAAGTAGGAGCCATCTGAAAGCTTGGTCTCTTTACTGCCTTTGGTTAGGACGCTGACAACTCCGTGCTGTATGAAGTACATCTTTTTGCCGATGGTACCCTCCCTGATGATATAATCCCCGGGCTGAAACACCTCGAATTTTAGCTTGGTGAGCATGGAGGTGACAAAGTTGGGGTCTGCGTTGGCAAATAGAGGCATGGATGCCACCAGCTTTCGACAGTTAAAGTTGATGATTTCCTGTTTGAGAGCAAATTAAAAAAAAAATCAGTTAGCAAAAGCTGCTAGAGAGAGCAGGTACCTTTTTAAATATTATCATACCAACAGGGAAAAAGGCCAACTGTGCAGACATTTCCCTGTTTTTTTTCAGTTTTACTCCTGTTTGGATTTGGCCTTAAGAAACTGAACTGAGGGAAATGTCAAACAGCAGACAGGTGATTGCGAATGTGCAAGAAGGTTCAAACACAGAGAGCTGAACGCTCCTATCACCTCTCGCAGCGGCTCGTTCAGCTCTCCCAGGATGCTTTCCTCGTCAAACATCTTGCCCTGGTAACGGTGCTCGTAGTAGTCGTGGATTCTTTGCCTCATATCTGCTGGCAGCTTGTGGAAGGACATGTACTGCTCCACCTGTTTGTACTGCAGGGACACAGAGACACACACAACAGTCATGTCATTCAAAGGCTATAGTGTTGCAGGACAAATACACATCCTCAGGGAATGGCTAGCACTTAAGTCAGACACACACAGACATGGAGAAAGATACAATCTCAGCTAAACAAGACAACCTTTCCAGTCCTTAGTCAGAAAATTTATCAAGGAAAAAATCTCAGCAATTTATGGAGGATGAATTTTCGAGTACAGTACTGTTCCCCTAATCATACTGAAGAAATGAGGCAAGGTATGATCACGGTTTCCCAGCCTTACTGCAGTTAGAGGGAGTTTCTTTATTTTGGCTAATCTACTGGATCCAGGTGATCACTGAAAAACTGTTCAAATAAAACAAACAATGAAGGTATAATGTTGCGTCTTTATGTGTCAAACTACAATATCTGCTATGGCAGGCGTCGTCAGAAGAGCTAAAACTATATTCATATTTTTGTATGGCACAGAGAGAGAACGGCTGAGTAAAGAAGACAGACTGATGTGATTTGAACCTGAAGGGCTCAGTTTGATGCAAGCTGATAAATGATAGATAAAGTTATGTTTTTCAAGACACAACTTAAAGTAAGGTAGTGTCATCTTTTCTGGATGTTGCTGGCAGACGAGCCCGCCAGCATGTTATGTCAAAGACAGGTCCGTTTCACTCTTCTGTATCCTAGTTCTGCACGTTGTTGATTCAATATGTCTCAGAAAGCTGCTCTTAAGCATTATTTTGGCTGAGACAGATCCACACACTGTTAGTCAACAAGCAGCTAATTTAACAATAGCTATCGTTAAAAGGTTAAAAGAAGAGCTGAGTGGGTACTGACAGCTGCAGATTTGTTTTCGGTAAAGACATAACAGATGACTACAAAACTGTGAAAAGAATACACACACAAACCATGCCTAATTTGATGATGTGATGACCACAGATTTTGCTGAGTTAAAGCTTGAAAACGTGTTTAATACTGGTGGCTGCTTGTACCAAGGCCTACAAATGCTTGCACCAAACAGCACAGGTTTCATCACAGGGTCATTAAAGATTAAATATGTCTTGCAGCTGAAGTACATAATCACTTTTTAGCAGGTGTATCACAACTTTACATTTTTACCCAGATGATTACACGTCAGGATTTAATGTTAAGAAGGGTAATGAATATAAGTTGGTGAGTCTTCACCCCTGATAGTCTATCAAACACTTAAAATCCTTGAGACATTCGGGCTTTGCTAGTACCTTGAGTAGCTTGTAACAGTACAAGAAGGAAAGTGTGAGAAAGTATGATGGTGTAAGAGTGTTCAACGAGGAGTGTTATGTGATTAAAATTGCAAAGCATGCTCTTAAACCAGTGAAAGAGGAGATAAAAATACAGTAAAAAAAAGCAACCACACATAAAAAAAGAAGTTACAGTGGGATAAGGCTCCAGAGACAGCGATGGTGAGCATCTGCGTGTGAATGCATGTAGTTATAGTGGTGTAAAAATGTGTTTTTCTGTGTGTTTGTGTGAGTGTGCATGCAAGTGATAACAACATACTCTGTAGCTAAGGAGTACAACCATAGCTGCAGGAACAGAAGTAGAGAGAACGTGAACGTGAAAATGTTAATTACGCTTGACATACTGAATAAATAGGAACAACTAAAAATGCAATTATGAAATAATAACAAAAAAAGCTAAATCAATATAAACAATATCAAGATTGGATGTAATGAAAATGAATGTTTGTGTAGTCATCAACCTGTGATTTTAATAGAGTCCTGTTGAGTGTGGTCTATGTATGTCATATATGCCTAAGTCCTAAATAGAGTTGCGAAGGGGCAGAAAATTTTTGGTAAATTTCCAGAAACTTTCCATGGGAAGTTAAGCTGGGGAAATTTGGAAATTTTCCAAATTCCATGGGCATTATGGGAATTATTAGGAATTTATGGGAATTACCTGGAAATTGAGGGTAATTTAAACAAACTGTATCATATCCAAACATAAATGTAAAATTTTGTTTTGTCATAAGCAGACATCCATGCAAAATAATACAATTAAAAAACATGACATCTCAACACAATTATTTGAGTAACGATTGTGAACGTAGCATTTTTCTGTAGAATAAAAGCTTGTAAAAACACTAATACAATAGCATGAACAGAAATGTAGTTGACTAAACATCTGGAATCGTCTTCGAAATATTTGACAATTGATGTATAAATTATTCTATGGTTACAGAAAACCTTCTTGCGGGAGTCAGAAGAAACAGCATCACATTTGAGGTAGCTACCACCACCATCATAAGCTAGCCCCTTAACTAGTCAATGAAATGAAAAATAGCTTACATTTAGTACCTATTTTTATTTAACTTTTGCGAGTTAAATATTGATACTATTATAGATCAAATACATCACCATCACATACACTATAACACAGAGTAACAGTGTATGCTCTGTTGTTGAAACTGCGTGTCTGAATCCACTTGTCTTTACGTTGTCTGTACAAGTATGTCAGAAGGTGTTTTTTTAATTATTGATTTAACAGTCGAAGAAGCAGAGATGCAGATTAAAGCTCGGTAAGAATCACCTTGGGAATAATATAGGTAGAATCTTTGACCCTCAGAGAAAGATGAAAAAAACAATTAAGCATTCATAGGGCCGCACTTGAGCTGCCCTTTGATCACCATTTAACACAGCGAACAGCCATACGACTCAATACAGCTGACCTCAGATGTCCCTCTCTTTGTTATCTGGCTCTGATACTCTAGTTAACACTAATCTTGGACGAGATCTTCAAAAGGCCAGTCTTTCTGAGATGTAGCACAGTAAATAAGGACAGCTGTCTCATGCAAGTCAGATTGTTTTTTGCTTTTTTTCTGTGGGAGCAGAATAACTGTCAGGCTTTGGGAAAATCAGCGAATGTGTGCGAGATCGACAGAAACATGTACTACAAGAGTCTGGTACTATAAAACATGATGGCAGACTAAAGTACATTGTGTCTGTAGGAGAATGAATCTTTTCAGGAGCCAGCGAGGCTCTGCAGGTAACAACTTCTAGCCTTGCGCTGACCCGCTGACACCCTGTTGGGCTTTAATCCTGCTTAATGCAGCCCCCTCTATCACACTCTACAATGGTCAAGCTTTCGCCTCCTTCTTTGCCAAAATTAAAAGGATTTTCCATGTTTGACCAGAGCCTTTCAAGTCCTTCACAAACAAAGAAAGCAGTCTATGCATATTGATGAATCAGCTCCAGGGACTGTGACAAGTATGCTATAAACAGCTTGTAATCACGATTTTCATGCGTTTTTTGCTACACAGATAGTCATTAAAAACTACATGGGATACATAGAACACATCCTCTAGTACAAAGGTGTGTACTACATAGATACTGGAGAAAACACAAATGCCTGTAACCTTTATGCTAACATTTAGATACAGCTGGGCTGATGTACTGAAAATATCAGTTCGTCTCTCAGGAATGTTAAGTGAAATATTTGATGATTTATGTGCCTAGGCGGCATAAAAATGACCTGGAAAATTAAACGCTTGCACAAACAGGAATAAGATGCAGAAAGAAGCTTTCAGATATACCGTCTCTGTGCGTCTGTCGGGAGATGGATGAGCTCTGTCATGGGGTAAGGGTTTGAGTCTTTATCCCTACAATCCCTTTGGCATAAAATTGAGCATTTACTGATCTGATGATGAAATAGAATCCTTTCACAGAGAGGAACTTTTGCTCCTCTATTCAAAAGAAAAGAAGAGAAGAGAAACAAAGCTCGAAAAAACAATCACAGACGTCTCGAGCCATAGTCCCATTGGCTGCAGACGGCAGAGTATTGCAACAAAGATGGATCGTCTGCGTGTGATGTCCCGGTGAAGATGACAGGTGTAACCCACATTCTGCATCTTGTCTAATGTCTTTATGTCTTGCGCATTAGACATGCCATGACACACGCTCTGTTTCAAAGACGTGGATTATCACCTCTTTCAGTATGTCTCTCATGTTTTTTTTTCATTCATTTAAAAAAAAAAAAAAAAGTGCCAACATGTAATAGAGCCATTTATCCTCAGCTTTGCTGCATGTTGCAACGTGATTCATCCAGCATGAAAGGGTATTAGTCAAGTGAACAAAGAGAGATAATGTCACATTGCTTTTATGTTGTGATAAGTACAACTGTACCTCATAGTAGCTCAGTAGCTCTGTCTCATTCAAAGGCACTTGATATTAACTCATCACTGCTGGGCCTCAGCAACCATAGGGGGATGGTGCTCTCCTGACGCTGTGATGGGCTGATAACACCCCCTGTGATAGGAAATTATCTTATTGCTGCACAGCTGCAGCACTCTGGCACCAGGAGGAACCCTGCTCTCCCGTAACACTTGGCAAAATCAAATCATAGTCAGCATTAAAGAGGTGCTTATGCCACTATCAGCCCCTCACACCGCCACACTCTAAAATCCAGGTGGCAAAGAGCTGCTGCTGAAAATTTGAGGGTAGTCTGTTAACACCATAGAGGAGAGCCTTTCGTACTGTGGTTTGACATTATGCAAATAAACAAATTGACTGCTAATTTGTATGGTAATGGTAAGCAGCTGGTTAGTTAACACAGTTTAGCAAAGAGGGTAAAAAAAGCAACTGAGCAGGTCCCAAGGTAGCGTAATTTGTTAGGACCCTGAAAGGGATATTCCGGCTTGAATTAATTTAGGGTCAAACACACCATTACACTAAGTTAGACACCCTGCCGAGAGATAATTGTTGCCAACTGCTTGCTTCTCTAGCAATACCAACTTTAGTTACGACTGCACGATAGCAATTCACAGAGCCACGCGCTCAACCATTTCCTCATGGAAATGCAATCAGACTGAGATGCTAAGGCAGAAGAACTACTGTGTTTACAGTGCAAAATGATTAATATGATGATTATTACTTGAAGGAAATGATAAAGTAATGATAGTAAATGTTCTTCCTTGAGCTGCGTCACCCCACTGCAGTCGATGGACTTGTTCAAGGTCTCGCTACAAACAATCAGCTGCTGGAAGAAGTGGGTGATTTGTGTTTAGTCTCTTTGCTTAAGAAATCAGGCAAAACTAAAAAGATGTTTGATGGCTACTGCTGTGGCTGGAACCCTGTAAGTACTGTTGATGAAGTTAGGTGCGGTTCTGAGCATTATTTGTGGCTATAGAGTGGCTTTTTGGTTGAGCGCGTGATTCTTTTATACCAACAAAAGTTGGTGTAACTAGAGAAGCAAGCGGTCAGCAACATTCATCTCCCGACAGGGTGTCTAATTCAGTGTTACCGTGTGTTTGACTCTAACTTAATTTTACGCCAGAATATCCCTTTAAAGCTCAGATAGAGAGCCGACTTGCAAGACAATCAGTAGAAATCTGGTGACTATAATTGACAAAAAAATTATTGTATTTCCAAGTTATTATCAGATAATTTTTTTGCCACAGAACATATAAATGATGTACTTTATGTAATGTGTAATTAGTAAGCATTAAAGGTGCAAAAAGAGATTGACAGGCTTGCTGTTTTTCATGACATGTTTCTGGGTCAAACTAAGCTAACAGGCTGACTGAGATATGAAGGTAAAACATATCACAGATGACATATGAAAGACATATCCTGGCCCCACGATACGATATTATCACGATACTTGGGCCCCGATACGATATTATTGCGATTTTTAACATTTTGCAATACAGTGAGTATTGTGATACAATATATTGCGATTTATACAATTTAACAGTTTAGCTAATTTAGCATATGGCTTTCCTTTGTGTTTGTCTTATTTACACATTATTTTTATTTTCCTGTAGCACATCTTGCAAACCTTAAATAAATTTGTTGTACTGACTTTCTCCTGCTCTATGATGTCACCTCTGCAAACCTCACTGGACAAACAGTTGATTTTATTTTTCCATTATCATAGATTTGACTTCATATAAGCAGTCAATTTGAAAAATCAATACTTGATAAATGAGATGATACAATATATCACCAGACAAAATATTGTGATACTATGCTGTATCGATATTTTCTCCCACCCCTAGTATAAACTGTCAGATCCTCAGTGTTGCCTACAGTTTGGATGTTTTTCACAGTGTGAGGCTGCTAACTTTCTCAGCCTTAGCAATGTCACATGGTGGCATCGTATGCCCACTGAGTCACACAGACCTGCATCTGCATGATACTTCATTTCACAAATCCTTTCCTTCTCTTTCTCAGTTTTGATCTCTCTCCACACGGCCATTCTTTGGTCTATTTCCCACTCGTACTTTTCCTTTTCTTTCTTTCTCTCTCTTTTATCCTGTTTTTCATTTTTTCCCCAAATCCCTTCTCTCTCATGCTGCTCTCCAAGCAGATGCAAATTTTTACCAAACAAAATGAATGAATAATTCATCTCCTAAAAGAGATGTCAGCCACTTAATTATACTTTCTAAACATTTATTTTCTCCACTGTTTTCTGTCTACTTCCCCATAAGCTCGGTCTGTGGGTATGGATCATACAATGAGGCCAACTGAGGACATATACGTCTGCTTTCACCTGTTTGTTAACAGTGCCTGTGTCTGCTGTGAAGGACAGCAGGATCCGATGTCAAATGGTCACAACACAGACTGCAGTAGCACAGACAGGCTGCTCTTCATATACTTCATAATTATGCTACAGTGAGACAGGTGGTCTCAGAAAATGACTGCTACCTCATATCATTCAACTAATTATTCCAGTAGCCACGGATAAGTCCTACTAATTGTGGAAGCACCAATTACATGCTCTAGTTGTGTGAAACTGCATCAAGGTTTTAAGCCATGCTGGCAGCATTACTCTGGGGAGAATAATGTCGGCCCATCACTTTGATCCAGACTTTAATGTCTCAAAAACTACGCAATGGATTTCCAAGGTATTTTCCAGAGTAATTCATTATATTTACATGTTAAAGTATTGAAACTGCGCTGGCACTGACTTTTCATCTAGTGTTTAATCAAGAGAAATTTTCAGTATTGGTACAAAATATCAGTTGAAATAAAGACATTATTATCAAACTAAGCAAGCAACTGCTAAACAAAACCAAGTACACACAAATATGGTAAAATTAAACCTGTTTCAAATCAGCATGTAAGGAATGTAATCATGCACATCACATTCATCTTAAAGCACCTCTGTCTCTACATCAGTCACTCAATTTTCATTGATCACAAAACACAAATGATCTTTTGAGCAGGTTTAATCCCCATCATACTGCAGAGACCAAACAAAAATCAGCCAATGAGTGAGGACTTGGCAACAGAAACAAGAAAAGGACGCCCAAGTTCTGATAGGTAGAAACCTTCAGCATCACCAGATTCAGCGGGCAGCGATCTGTTGCTGAGAAAGGAGAGAAAAGTATAGAAATAGAGCTGGATAAAGACAGACAGACAGACTAACGGGGACAGTAAGGAGCATCTAACACTGAACTTCTGTTCCTCAAATCAAGAGCAGTACATCTGCAGGAATGAAAACATCAAATGCTGCAGAGTGCAATCTATTTCCAAGTTATTATCAGATAATTTTTTTGCCACAGAACATATAAATGATGTACTTTATGTAATGTGTAATTAGTAAGCATTAAAGGTGCAAAAAGAGCGGCTACTTCATGAGGCACCTCTGGCACATGTCAACAGTACTTGACTCAACAGAGAAAGTTGTGTGGCAGACAGAGAGGAAAAGGGAATGTAACAGGGTTCAGATTAATGCCATCCGTCAGGTCCCTGCTAATGAGAACGACTCTAACTGTAAGGCACAATCAAACTTACGCGACTCAACTTGTTGACAGCTGTGTCCTTGGGTTGATTGTATGACTTAACATCGACTAGGCACAACAAAATTATAACTATTGTCAGATGAAACCTACATTTTTTAAATACTAGGCCCTCAGAATCAATCAATACAGGTGATATTTTGACACAAAAACTACATGCATGTGTGTTTTCTTTCCTCCTCAGAAGACAGTCACAACCTGTGAGTATAAAAACTACTCCGCCTCTGATATATATTTATTGTATTTTGGATGTTCCTGCTTGAGGGACTAAAGAGAACAAAAGCTCTCTAGAGCCTCTTCACCCTCAAATAATCAGCTTTGGGCCTCTTATTAACTATTCCCTAAAGAGCAGTGTTTAATTGCCAAGTGTTGATTAGAGATTTAAAGAGGAGGGGCTGCAGCACCCTCGTGCCATTTCCGTCTTTAGTCATCTGGGACCGGCATGCCACAACAAGCTGCTCATATACAAGCCCCTCCAGAGCATCTCTGATCTCATCACTAGCTACCAACAACAAACAGAACATCATTTATTATCCCACGCTCAATATTATCATTTCAATGCTGCTAAATAAATAAGAGAAGAAATACTCAAAGGGATCATCAGAGGGCTCTTATGAAGTAAGAAAGACAATGAGGATCACAAGTTACCCACAAAGAGATCAGATTGTCTATTTTCTTAGTTGTCCCCTTGTCCATATGCATTCATTTCCACAGTAGAGGACCGGTCTGTGGGTATGGATCATACAATGAGGCCAACTGAGGACATATACGTCTGCTTTCACCTGTTTGTTAACAGTGCCTGTGTCTGCTGTGAAGGACAGCAGGATCCGATGTCATAATGGTCACAACATGCCTTAAACCAGAGTTAGGATTCCCGTGGAGAATCCTTCAGCAGATTCTTCACCCACTGCAGCCCACACTGAAAACAACTGTATATTATTCTACAAGCTTTTCTGCGATATGTAAACAGTAAAAATACTGTTTGTAAACTGCATCAAGGTTTTAAGCCAATGGTAACTGGCAGCATTACTCTGGGGACAGAATATATGTCGGCCCATCACTTTGATCCAGACTTTAATGTCTCACAATAGCATCCAAAAGGAAAAGAAAAAGTAAAAGAAGCTAAAATGAGAAATTTGACTTTTACCTCAAAGATCAGGATACTTATGAAGAACATTACCCTACTTGTGTTTTAATAACCATTATCATTCATTGTCCGCTTTTTTAAAATGAGAAATTAATTCTCTAAGTTAAAACAGCAAAGACATATCAATCAAACGAAAACACTTTTTTTTGTATTAAAAGTCACATTTTCTTCGGGTACAATAATTAACTTCCATTAGATACAAGTAAAAGCATTAAAGGATGCACTGCTGCTTTTAAATTATTGAATCAAAACTCCACAACAACTAAAGCACTCAGGAACTAGACCTCAAAGGTACTGGCACAAGAAGTTAGAGTGTAGAAAGGTAATGTTTAGGACTCTGGATCCTTCCCGTCTCTTTTTCATTCAGATCTGAAATGGACCCAATCTAATCCATGCAGTCAGTACCATCTACAACAAATTGAGTTGCAAACAGATCCATAATGCAATAATTCCCCCTATTCTGCATCCAAAGACTTGCTGTGTTTACACACAGTGAAAGACTGGCATCAGGCATGTATTTTTAGCAGAGGGAAAATGAATCTAATAAAGCTCTATTACATCTCAGTGGGGGCCACACTCAAACCCCGAGCATTTAGTGTGATTGTTGGGCTCTCCACTTTGTGTAACAGCTAACAGGCTGCCTGATTACTATTTAAGAGCTCATTTGAGTCTACTTGCTAGTTTCTGACAGCTCCGGCATTTATCACATGGTGCCACATTATAATAGAATTCTATTCAGAAAAGATTATACTGGGGCTTTCTGATGATAATTTTCATCATCTTTGAAGCCAAAGCTTATCCCCTTCTCGTTTCCTATTTACTGTCTTCTTCTCCGCAGATTCCTTCATAGACTGGTTTTCTTCATCATATCCCCACAGAGGTGTTTAGCTGGTTTGTTTGTCATCTGTATTCTACTGTTACCTGGACATTACCTTTGTATGCCAGCTGCACAGATGGCCTCTCATCTTCGCCATACAGCCGCGTGTCTGAAGCTCTGTTTTCTATAGCTCATTTACAGACAATTAATACAGTCTGTGTTCAAGCAAACCAATATGTGCCTCCATGCTGAAGCTAATGTTCATTTTGCTTTCATTTCTAAACGCAGCTGACTCTGTCAAAATAAAGATATTTAAAAGCTTGACACTAATTTTTTCCAGCAGCATTGTGTCCACATTGCAGTTGAGAGGGTCACAACTCTGTCTGCAACGCAGATTGGAGTTGTAGGCAAACCGTGACATCTCATAGCTTTGCTGGACAGGTCTTTGGATTATAACCACGGGTATCTGGTGTCCAAAAAAAACCAAAAAACTCCTAACTACAGCAATCCATTCAGCTTGCCAACAGAAAAAGTGACTGGTAGCATTACCAGAATTTCCTGATGAGTGAAACTGTCTAATTCTCCATATTTCACAGCCTGTAATGTGCAACATCAGCTATGCATGTGTTGAGTCAGCCCGCCAGATGAAGTATTAAAAGAGTCTCGACGCTGTGATGTTGTTTTGACACAAACAAAGACAGTGAGACCGAGATGAAAAGCTGCTGGTAGTCATGTTGAGTTAAAAGACAAAGTTATATGTTTCCTTTTAATTTGCATGACACAATAAAAACAAGAACAACCCATTTATGTCATCCTGTCTGATATAATTTATTCCAAATACACACTACTTAGATGAGAATTATAGCTTCTCTGCGTCCTTGTACTTTGAGTACCCACTCTGAGGCTGCGTTCGTGAGTTCAATAGCACTCCTAAAAGTGCCCCGACATGACAGCCCTGATTAACACTATCACATATTATTTCAAGTATCAACCGTATCATATATCCATTTGAGATTCTACAGCAGTAGAGGAAATGTGTTATTTTACGCACTGCCTTGATGTATCACTTATTCTTCTAACTCAGTGCATTGCAAACCTGTCCTTAAGTTAGAAGATAACATAACTGTATCACAATCAAGTACAAATTCTGTACCTGAACAGGAGTATTGGTTTTTTAGGACTGAGACCAATACCAATAGTAAGCAGTTTAAGATAATCGATATTTGGGTAACACTTTATTTGAAGCCTACCTCTATAACACATTATAAATAAATGTATAATGTGTGATAATAACGGCATAGCCCTGTATAACTATAGTTATAAACACTCATAAATTATCAAAATGCTTTATAGCAACAATCATAACACATTATAAAGCATTTTATCATGACTTACAGGGTCAGGTATTATAATGTGTTATGCTTATTGTTATAAAGCCTTATGATAATTAATAAGCATTTATAATAATAGTTATACAAGTTTATAAGCAAATCACAACACATCATAAATATATGTATAATGCATTATCTATGTGGGCATTGTCAGTGAGTTGTTAACAGTTATAACACATTATAATACCTGACCTTTTAAGTCATGATAAAATGCCTCATAATGTGTTTTGATTATTGCTATAAAGAATTATGATAATTTATGAGTGTTTATAACTATAGTTATACAGTGCTATAACTTGAGTATAATGCATCATACATATGTTTATAATAAATTATAGAGATAGGCGTCAAACGAAGTGTTACCGATATGTGCATTAAAAACAAAAACTTGATGTTCAAATCCAGAATTTGGAATATTAAAAACTCCAACACGAAACTTAGCTTCAATGTCTTAAGCAAAGTTGCGTGGCATCAAGTCAGTCATATTGAGTTGTGGGCGGGATAGTAAGTAAGACACAAATGAAAAAATAAACTGACAGCAGAGCTCACTCATGAATCAGTACACTTAATTTACTAATTTTATGAATCATCTATAAAATACAGTGTTAATTCAGTTGTTCAGTAATAGGTCAAATGCTGAATATCAGCCCCTTACACCTGTTTCCTGTTATGTAACCATCCTTCATCCACCCCGCCCCCCTAATTGCGCAGTGTTTATAAAAGGATCATCACCAATCAGCCGCAAAATACAAACGCCTTCTGACAACCTCTTAGCCATGCTTTTAAAGATCTGACCCTGTAAGACACATTAAGCCCCCTTACTTCCAACATAGATGCAGCATAAAATCAGTCAGTCAAGTGTGTATAATGACTCAATGCATTAGTACACTGGCTGCTGTACTTATTGTGAGTTGGCAGCTGTCCTTGTCATGGCGGGCAGGTGGTCTTCTGAAAAATGCTCACCTGTTTGCTTAAAGGGATATTCCAGCATAAAATTAATTTAGGGTCAAACACACCATAACATAGAGTTAGACACCCTGTTGAAAGATTCATGTTGCCAACCGCTTGCCTCTCTAGTTATACCAACTTTAGTAACAACAGCACGGTAGCAATACACAGCGGTCTCAGGGGCCACACACAAACCTCAACCAAAAAGCCACTCTATAGCCACAAATAATGCTCAGAACAGCACCTAACTTCATCAACAGCACATATAGGGTCCCAGCCATAGTACTAGTCATCAAACATCTACTTTGCCTGATTTCTTTAGCAAAGAGACTACACACAACTCACCTACTCTCTTCCAGCACTGAGATCTCAGACCAGTCCATCATCGACTTATGATCATTTCTTCGTGGAAATGCAATCAGACTGAGACGCTAAGGCAGAAGAACTAATGCTAAAGCAAAATGATTAATATGGTGATTGCTGCTTCAAGGAAATTATAAAGTAATACTCATAAATGTTCTTCCTTGTGCTGTGTCACCCCGCTGTAGTCAATGATGGACTGGTCTGAGATCTCGCTACAAACAAGCGGCTGCTGGTAGAGAGTAGGTGAGTTGTGTTTAGTCTCTTTGCTGAAGAAACAAAGCAAAGTTAAAAAGATGTTTGATGGCTAGTGCTATGGCTGGGGTCCTACATGTACTGTTGATGAAGTTAGGTGCTCTTCTGAGCATTATTTGCGGCTAAAGAGTGGCGTTTTGGTTGAGGTTTGTGTATTGCTCCTCAGACCGCTGTGTATTGCTATCATGTGGTCGTTACTAAAGTTGGTATAACTAGAGAAGCAAGCGGTCAGCAACATTCATCTCCCGAGGGGGTGTCCAATGCGGTGTTACGGTGTGTTTGACCCTAAATTAATTTTACCCCGGAATATCCCTTTAAGTTGACTGATAGATTGTCTGCTTTTATAGTGTGTGGATTGTGGTTTTGTTTCACAACAGAAAAAAGAAGAATGACTCTCGTGTAAACAAACTCCATTGTCAAACAACTGAAACACAGACCAATAACAAAAAAGGTTAATGCTTTTCAAGGAAATAACTGTGATAAGCAGAAAGAAGGAATAGGTGTTGTACAGTGTTGTAGAAATGAGGTCTATCTGGCTCCCACAGTCAAATGAACATAAAGAAACAGTGCACCCACAGAGTGTCTTATCACCCAGGAATGTGGAAAGATAAATTAGAGAATCTGCACTCTTTAAAATTAATTGCGGTCTGCAGTAATAACCTTTCTGCAGGCAGGCACCGTGGGAAGCTGCAGGAGTGCAGGGAGTCTTTTTAGCTGGCAAGGGGATTCTTAAGAAGCCTTAGGGGGTGATCCCAGGAACAGCAGCAAATGGCTCTGGTAGCACATGCTGACTAGTGCTGAGACAGACCAGCTGTTCAGTCTACTTGGCAGCCAGGCGTTTCCAAAGCAGAGCAGCAGATAGGTGGAACTTGCTGGGTTGGGAGATGGTTTTCTACCCTCTCCTTCAGAACAACAGTAGTAATCATGTTGCATAGTTAACTTTCAGTTTTTTTCTTTTAACTGGTAAAAATCTGTTGGAAAACTGGTCTCTTTGTTACTCACTCAAGACTTGTGAGGTGTTCATTTATCCATTGCGCTTCTTCATCCTTTCAAGATGTAACAACATACCCGTTACGTCAACTAATCTTTTCTCCACACATTGGCTCATTTTCACTCCCACTCCTCCTGCCTCATTCTGGTGGGGTCTCACGAGTCTCTGCATCTATTCTCAGGAGGTCATCCTCTCCAATCTCCTTTTCACCAGAAATGGTTGGCAAAGTTGCAGCATGGCAGCTCAGCTCATTATCGCCCACGCTGGGCCCAAAGAGGGCAAGGCACTGAGGAGCGCGGCTCGGCCTTCATAGCCAGCTGTCTGGGCTTTCCTTTCACTGAACAGGGAGAAGCTGGGATTCCTCCCTTCTGGGGATAGTTTGATGGCAAAATCTCATCCAGCCAAAAAAAAAAAAAGTCGGCCTTCAGGAGCCGAGAAGATGTAGACTCAAGTTGAGGGTGGATTAACTTATAATGATAATACTTCATGTGTGTGATTCTATTCATTTGAATGCTATCTTGAAATAATTCTCCACTAAAAGCATTCAGACATCCATCTGCTGGGCTGGAGAATAAGTGTTGGAGCCATAATGTTGCTTACAGTTATCGGTTATCCTGTGTTCAGTTACTTTGGTCTGGTTTCCATTGGTTTCGTTGGGTTTGGGTCACGTGGGCACTGTGTTTAAAAGCCGGTAAGTTATATAATGGGCGGTCTCACCTGCACTGGGGTGGAGAGGTGAGCCTAGATAGGCATAATTTTCGTTGACCGTCTTTTATGTTCTTTGTTTTGCAATGATAAACGTCACAAAGTGTACACATATTATATCTGATGTGCGTGTGTAATCATTGGCCACCATCTTTTATATTAAAGCTCTGAAAACTTTGATAAACTGTAGGTGCTTCTCTCAAACAGCAGCAGCATGTCACACAAATATACCAGACCAATTCTCTGCCTCAAGGAAAGGAAAGCCGCAATATTAAGGGCTAATATAAAACTGGTGCATTTATTAGCACACTGAAGTTATACATTTTGGAGGTTTCAAGTTTTCATGGGCAGATAAACAGCAAAAAAAAATGCCTGTATGAGCTGGATATTGTTTTTTACTGAGTTGAAGCATTTGTTCTCTTATCTTCACCTTGAATGACATAAAAATTTTGACAAGCAGTGCACTGGTTTATACAGCGGTTTCTGTAGAGCTAAGCTCCTTGCGAGATCCTTATTCTTTCTAATAGGTCAATGTTATGAAAAAAATGACAAATCTTTTGACATGAACTTTTTCATGCAGCCTGATCTCCTTCTTAAAATAAAATCTGAGTAGACAAGGGGTCTCGGAAGGTGGGTGGGGAGTGCAGTTGTTTAACTTTTGCTTAAGGAGGGACCCAGAATGTCAGGGTTTGCAAACTGGGGAATGATGAAGCTTGTTGTCATCTCTTTGAAGGACTTTTCAAGGGGCTGCAATACATGGATGTCGCTTTATTTTACGTGGCTCCAGAAACATCACAGAAATTCATTCTCAGGTTTGACTGTGGCCACTTTCAGTTGAGGACGAGCCAGCATCCTACCTCACTACCTATTTTCTCTCTCCAAAACGAACCAAGTGAGCACAGCTGTCAGCAGCACGTCATCTCCACTCACCTTCTCCTGGTACTGCCGACGAGAAGAGTCCAGGGACTGGATTAACGCGGTGGCGTGGCCAACAAACATGGCGTAGCAGGTAGCACCCACGATCATGCTGAGGATGGTCAGCCACACGTCTGTCATGCCCACCGGGGGGTACATGCCATACCCAATACACAGCATGTGGCTCATAGCTTTGAAAAGTGCGTAGGAGTACTGCTGTCCCCACGTGTCGTTCTGGATGAAACAGAGGAGACGGGGTGGGTTAGGGTGAGTACATTGGAACACTTTATCTTCCCTTCTCGCTCGCTCGCTCTCCTTCTCTCTTTCATAAGAGTGTTGATGGCACATTAAAGGTCAATGAGCAGCCTGACAGCTCACGCACACATCCAATCATTAAAGAAAAAACGAATGGCAGATGTCCACTTCAAACTGTCTTAGATAAATACAGAGCAGCTGGCAGGGTAAAACATACTTTTAGATATGCAAACATTTGGAGCAAGCAGACATTTGGGCAGGAGCCTAAAACAGAGCCCTGAGAACGAGAAGGGGGTTGGAGGGAGAGACACAAGAGGCTTGCATGACAGTAAGTAGGTCAGCTATTTAGAAAAATGTGATTTTTCTGAGAGTTTTCTCATTTGTAGATAAATTGCCCCTTTTCCTTTAGATCCCGGTGGTAGTTCATGGCAAATCAATATCAACTCTCTCCTGGGGGTGACAATGTCCAAATTGCTTTCAAACTCATTTCCACAGCAGAAAAAAGCAAAAGGGAGATAGCGATTTTATTAGTGCCCCCCCCTGTAAAGGTAAAGAGTGATGACCCAGCAAGATAATGAGACAGCTACTGTAAAAGGAGACAAAATATGTCTTCTGATGATTCTAATCAGAATCAAACCAGCCGTGACTGTGAGTCGATGCTAACAAACTCTGGGTCTGCCAGGTAATCTGAGCCAAACATGAAAAGCTTTCCAATAGAGAGGTGCCTGCCCCTGAGGCTTGAATTAATTCAGGAAGATATAGTTGTTATTCTGTCACACTGAGAACCATTATTCTCTGTAATGCAATTAATTAGCTGGTGTTTACTGTGTGAACAAAACAAAGTCCATTTTGATGTTAATGAAAGGCTGCACTCCCCACACAAGATTTAAACCAAGTCCATTATGAGAGCTCTTCCTCACATTTTATTTTAGGGATCCAAAACAAAGGGCTGTGTTCAGGTTCATGCAAAAAAAGGGAGAAAAAACCTCTGTGGGAGTTTTGGAAACAGACTCGAGAAGCAGAAAATACCTAAATATAATCTAGTCAGGACTGCATAAAATCATCTTGTGACAAGGCATCTGGCATGTGAGCCTGTATCTCGGAGTCGCTGACATGGAGGTATTGAAACATTAACGATTTGGATGGGAGCATTTTGAGGGTTTTGTGGCAGCATGTGAGAGTAAAAGAAGAGCTTGCTATTAACAATAAATGAAAATGTAAACATTGAAAAGAAAAAAAATCAGAGATTATATTTTTAAAAAAGGCAAATGTTCCTATGCACTGCTGCAGGATTTGAAAGCCTGCTTTTCTGCAGCGTACATGAGGTTTCACTGTTTTCTCAGAATAAAACAAGGAGATTAGTAAAGCAATAATATCTTTGTTTTTACTGCTGCAGAGTAAGACTTAAAATTGGATCTTAATCCATGCATACTCAACTGTACCTTAATGATGAGCCACAGTTTATGTTATGTTGCCTGACAGCTCAGGCTTATGTAACTTAAGATAATCCCCCTGCAACTTGGCTCTGCATATGGAGCTAGTGGTAAAATGCATCTTTCATGATAGCGAAGAGAGTGAAAACACTAAAATAGAACAGGCTAGTAGCTTCGATATAGCCTTGATTTCCAAGTCTGACAACACATCTCTATCTTTGTCTCACTCTATATCAGGGATTTAATTTAGAGACAAAAAGGTTCAATAAAATGGAAATCTGCTTAAAGGGGCTGCCTGCTGGGTGCTCGATTGACCCCGAGTAGCTGTTACTGTTCCTGAACAGGGGGACTACCTCACCTGTCTGTGTGCATCCTGACAGAGACAGGTACGGAAAATGAGCTAAAATTAGCCTAAGTGTGAACATCTCAAGGGAAAGAGGTTTGCAACATCTGTCGTTTCCTATGATTAAACGTAACAAGTGAGCATGTCAGAGGGGCAGCGAGGCATGATGAACCAAATACATCATACCTTGAGCGATGTAAGCACTCATGTGACATCTGCTCTGGCACGCAGCGATGATCATACAGATAACTAGAAGCTGCTTTGGGTGAAAATCAAAGCGGTCTCTCCAAAATATGTTGTTCTATTGTCACTGTGCAAAGACATGAGCGGTAATGTGTTTTCAAGTCAATTTGGATGAATGACGAGTTATTAAAACACCTAAAAAAATAGTCATTTTATCCTGTAACACAGATATTAAACTGTGTTGCTAATAATTTTGATTCATTGTTTATTAATTATTAATTCTAACAGAAAATTATATTGATAACAAACAGCTATCACTCAGTGAATGCACTATGTTGAAAGAAGAAGAACTAGTTTGCTCAAATGTTGCAAAGACACCTTTGAATCTCACAAGCTTTTGTCCCACGAGTTTCACTGAAATGACTTGTTGACCTTACAAATCCCAAATCTTGCCCCATTGACACCCATATCAATATGTACATGATTCAAGACATCACTCTCCACAGCTGCTTCCCTTTAAGGGTTAAATACATGTTGATTTATTGGTACGTTATACCGGAGAGAGAGGAATTAACGGATGTTAAATCAATCCTATTGAAGGCCAAACAACAAAACCTGACAATAACTCAATGCCTTTCAAGCCACTATCCTTCAAAACATGCCAGGTTAACACGAGGCTATCAGATGCAATGACTCAGAGTCGCACATCAGGTGTGACAGTGTCCGTTTGAAAGAGGATTGTATTGGGAGTCAGGCTTTATTGGAGACTCCACTCAAGCAGCTGTTTTTTCACAATGCAGCAAAATTAAAATACAGCATGAGTGCTCACCGGAAACTGTCAATATTCAGCCAATATTGAATAAGGGGACGTCTGCCCTCCTCCAAAAATCAATGCCCCCTACACAGCCCCTGTTTCTCTCTTCTTTCACGACAAGAGCAAATATTCAGGGCTCCAAATAAATAAAAATAATCAGAAAATTGAATAAATGTGGGCAAATTTAGCAGACAGATATGTTTGATTTGGGGCTTGAAAAATGACCGTTATGTAGGGCAATCTTTCCCAGGATGCTTAAGGGTTTAGTTCAGTAATTACTGAAGCTGATGGATGAGATAAGACGGGGCATAATCTGATTCAAACAAGGAGGAGGACTCTGTGCAGGAGGAGCACTTACCACCATCTTATTTTTGGACACCCAGCAGTCAGCGGGAAAGTCTTGCAGCATGGGCACCAGGAACTGCAGGCAGCCGTCCCAGTGGCACAGCAACAGCATCATACCAATCAGGTTGACTATCCTCACCATGGCGCTGGCCAGGTCATAGGTCATGTGGAAGATCTGAGAGGGGAGGAGAGGGTGAAAGAAAGACAGTTGAGAATATGCTGTTTCAGTGTCATTGTGTAGAGGTATGTTTATTTTGGGCTGTCATCTTTTTTTTAAGTAACAAACTGATGGTCGAATCCCCGCATCTCTCTAGACTGAAAAGCACACAAACAGCCTCAAGGGAGACTGCGTAACTTCTGGGTCTGTTTTTTTAGATAATGCCATGCAAAGGGTTCATGGTTTAAAAATGAGATAACAGAGACCTGAGCCTGTGGAAACAACTGCTTTCTACAGTACACACAGATGAGCTTGTAGATGCAGATGTTGCTGTTTTGAGAGTGATCCACAGGGAACGGTGGGCAGACTGGGACCAAAGCTTTACCTGCTGATTCGCTCTTATCGTCAGCCACTCAGCCAAACATAATAATTGTACGCTGGTAGAGGTGCCTGAGCTCCCGGGGTGAGAGCGTTCAGAGGCTGGGTTCGTTAATCCTAATGATAAATACACTCATAAGGCGCTCCAGGACTCGTTGGCTGGTGTAGATTTTAATGGCCTCACCATTCAAAGCCTCTTAATCCCATTGAAGACCAGGGTGTGCACCGCTAACCACTCCACTCCTTATTAAAATCCACTCAATGCCTTTTTAGGGCTTGTGACTATGAGGGGATATTCCATCTTTGCTTTGTTGTTCATTAGTGGGTGATGATGAGGGGGAAATAAACGCATAAACATATTTGCCATCTAAATGTTAATCATAATATTTGCTCCTAAGCATTAGGTTTGTTTATTTTTCTGCTTCAATCCGAATACATTCACGTAACAACGTTTATCTTCTTTTTTTTTTCGAGTGCATGTCAAGAACAAGGCTGGCAGGGACCGGGGTGGCGTCTGTGCAGGACAGTGTGGGTGCACCATCAAATCACATCAATTTAGCTCCATCAGCAGGCTAGCATGAAGCCAGAGGTAAGCCCAGAAAAGTGTGCCTGGGCGAGGAGCGCAGCCAGGCTCTCTGAGAGTGAATGGAGACATCCCCACTCACGCAAACACACTCACTGAAACTCCATGCGCCTCTCTCCCACTCAGTCGCTTTCCTTCTTTCTTTGGGCTCTTGTTCAAACTGTTTAGCCTCGGGCACTTTCACATCACCTAAGTTGAATCATTCGCCCAGCTGCACCTTTTCTTGGTCAACCCACAAGATCCCCTAATTTTCTACACGTCTGTTCACAGTTGCACACCAAATGTGAGCCACTCTGCTTTTATGAGGCGCCAGTTTTTTTTTTTTTTTTCTTTTCTTAAACACAGTGAAAATAAATAAGTCATTTTATCTAATATGCAATGTTGAGTGATGTCAAATTTCCTGCTGGAGCAGTAATGGCATTCCATAACATTAGAGTGTTAAATTCACTCTGTGGTGAATGAATAAATCATGAGGTACCCCTTTCCATCTCCCACACTGAGCCTGATATATTTTTCATTTGTGAAATCTTATTTCATGACAGGAAAAGGAAGCTTTATAAAACAGATGCTGCTTCAGAGCTATAAAAAAACCTGCTTAATAATATGTGAACCCAAATACAGCAACTGAGATATCGACAGTGACATCGAGCAAGATTGAAGAGCATTTTTCATATTTGATATTATTAATTTTGAAGGAGGATAGAGTTACTCAAGCATAATCACTATGTCATTAATGCATTCATCCTCATACATCAGTGAGGTGACGCTGCATATTTTGTTCAAGAAAAAGTGCTATGCGTCCTCTGTAAACTTCATTCTTCATAAAATGTCAAGTGTTATCTCACTGCATTTCAATGATCTTTTTAAACAGTGTTAAAAAAAAAGAGTAATTTGAACAATGATAGATGAGAGTAATGTGCATTCAGCAAGCAGAGGGGATGAGACAAAAACTAGAATTCAACATTCAGGAATAAAAAAAACATGATTTGTCCACTTTTTTCTTCAAACTAAAACTAAAAATTTATCACCTTTTAGTATCACTTTGACTACTAAAGTACACAGCTCCTGCAGAGTTTGCAACTCCTACACTTTCTGGGACATAACTTTTCTTATAGAGCAATAAATAATCCACAACTGTTGGTGTTTTATGCTCAGTCACGCTGCGTTCAGAGGGATGTCCTTGAACTTGTAAATAAAGTGGATATTATTAAGGTCTATAGTGCTGGTGCATTTCTGAAGGAGGATAAATTCCTTTCAGTATCTACTGCTGCAGCCTGAATGTGTCATTACTAGTCAACAATAACTCCTGCAACATCCCCTCTGTAGATGTGCCCTCAGAAGACCTCTGGCACTCTACCTCTGTTTGAGAATAAAGCCCACAAGAACTGCTATGAATAATGCCATGCAAATCTCCAGCTTGTAACCTAAACTGTACTGTCAGAAGGAAGGTGATTCCTCTCTCTCTCTTTTCACAGCTGTAATTACATCAAATACACCTGCCATGCAAAGCAGGAACAGACTTTCCAGTTACAAAAATTGTGCCAAATACTGCTGCTGGCAAAAACTCGTTAGAAAGTAGGCACATACAGACCTCTGCTTTGTGTGACAAAAACCAGCATATAATACTGTATATACAACACACAGGCAGGATTTACACACAAACATGTATACTAGCACAGAATTCCTCATCATAGTGTGTTACATGAAAACTGATTGATTGCTGCCTACTTTCTCTTAATTGATGGGGACAAAGAGGGAGCTCGGCTGTATTTGCATCTCCATAAACAAGAGAGCTTTGATTGATGGGGGCAAAGAGACTTGACAATAAAGAATTGCCTCAGCCCTGTTGTTACTCTCACTACCTCATTTTCAATAAGGGGCAGTATTAAAATGTGCCTCCATTTTTTTCTTTTAATCTCAATAAAAAAAACAACCACAGGTTCGATTCTGTGACCGAAAGGCTTTCATCAGTGCTGCTGATAAAATCACAATGACATGGTTGAAGGCATTTTTTGATGGAATCATTTATATAGGAACGGCTACTTTACAAGGCAAATAATAAAACATAAATCAAATTACCATAGAAGCGTTGCCATTGTGATTTAATGTTACCATAGAAATACTATACTTCAATCCCTACAATCTTTTACTCCCCGGACCGGCACTAACGTCAACTGAAGCTGTGTTTACACTGCAGAAGCTTTCCACAGAGACGAGGGACTTAAGGATGTTCTCAGTGCAGTCCCACCTCAGGGACAGGGACTACATAAAGTCCCAAGACTTCGTTTTAGTGCCCAAAAGGTCTCTGCTCAGAAGTGGTAAGCATTAGCTATTTTGGACTGGTTTGAAACCTGAAACACGCTTTCCTGCACAACAACAGAATATTTTACAAATGCCTTGATTGTATAGACAAGCTGAAATGAAAAGAAAGTGAAAGGGGTGGGGGAGTCTTCAAATCTCTTAAAAGTACATCCTTGGACTAAATGCTGCGTTCGAGTTACCTTGGAAATCAGATGTTGGAGCCGAAAATGACGTTCAGTTACTAAAGCTGAAAACATATTAAACGTGTTCCATGTTTGCTCCATAGAGCAGCATTGGGTATCGCATACAGGATACGTATTTGGAGCGTGGCAGCAGCATAGTGCAGCCCAAGTCAGCTGGGCTCAGTATAGAGGAAACAACATGCTCACAACAGGTTGTTTTGACTCTCTATTGTCTATTTGCTGCTAATTTGTGACTGTTGAGCTTCTACTTTATGTGAAAAAGGATTTGGAAGCATAGAGCAGCAAAAATAGACTTGCCGCGTATCTTTAGCAGTGCTACTCTTGATGCTGCAACGGAGCTGATGTGCATCCTGTATGCTCTGTTGCATTGATCAGAATGGCGACCAATTTGCTGCCACACTCCAGATACGCATCCTGTATGTTTTAGCCTTAAGTCGGAAAAAAGCAAAATCGGAGGTGAAAACAAGATGGCTACATCTACGAAAGTTATTTCAGTTCCTGCCTTGTCCGAACATAACAAGGACAAGGCAAGCGCTAAAATAACCTTCATAGATGTAGCCATCTTGTCACCACCTCCGATTTTGCTTTTTTCCGACTTGGTAACTGAAACGCTGGTAACTGAAACGCTAGTAACTGAAATGCTGGTAACTCAGGTGTGATGTCATTTTCAGCTCTGACACCTGACTTCCGAGGCTACTCGAGCGCAGCATTAAAGTTCCTAGTACTTTTGGTGGAAATGATGTGACCAGTTCTGTTTACTTCCGCTGCTACAAGTCCAACTTAAACACAAATTGATCTTTGACTATAGTGCTACACTCAATCACAGACACTGACGGCAAAAATTGGAAAACAAATAAAACTCACAGGTCAGGACAGGGGTCAAATACAGGGTTACTTGCTAAAGTTATAAACTAATTTGCATCCTCATGAGCCAGCAATCAGGCATGTGGATGAAGGCAGCTGCCTCGCCATCTCAAACAGATGGAGTGAGGTGAGCGTGATCCAGGTGAGAGAATAGACGCATATGTCCCACAGTGCTGACGGTGGCTGCAGAGACACAGCCGATGTAGCAATATACAGAGGCATCTGGTGTTTGCTGCTCGCGCCACTAATGATGATGAATGTTTGGCGTGACGGCGTCTCAACACATAAGAGAAAACAAAAAAGTCCTCAGTCATACTGCGTCTCTGACGGTACTTTGCTTCCTGAAACCTAAAACACATAAACCAGCCTGCCTCAGATCTCCTCCTCTTTGTTTTTGACTGATTCTCACCAAGGGGACATGCTTTATATGAAATATGTGTTTGATTTGCTTTAATTGGCTTTGCATAATTCATGTAATGATGAAGGGTAATTGTACATGCCATGCTTTGGCAGCAGTTTTATAGTAGTCATGAACCGAGTGGACATTTCATTTTATCACACAGTATTCATTGTACTGCAATCCAAAAAGCATCAGGAGGACAGTTTTGGGATTAAATAATTTATCACTGTACCAGAGAAATCATTCAGTCATTTAGTTGAAATCATTTTAAGATTTCTGATTAGAGAAATTTGGGACACACATGAAGATGAGCTCAATAAAAGATTGAGATAAATGCTACGGTTATCCTAATATTACTAGTTTTTTTTTTCTGGAAATTGCTTATTTTGAACAAGTGAATTTTTTGTTACGTTAAATTGCCACATGCTTGGTTCTCCAGTGTCTGAGAGAGACATGATTACCCTGTGATGATGAGTAATGGAGTTTATCAGCTAAATCAATCCATGCATGTCTCAGTGTTATTTTTAATCATCCAGGATGATGGCAGACTCAGGGAGCAGGCTGCGGGCAGGGGTTAGATTTCTCACTCTAAATGCCTTGACCAAAATGTCATGCTCATGCATGCTGTCATGGTGGACGAAGCACACATGGAGAATGAGAAGTAGGCCTGGGAGTGGACCACTGGGAAAACCCTTCCATCATCTGTCTGAACAGGCCTGGAGGGCTTGGATCACAAAAACTACTCTTGCTTTGCTCCCTGCCAGGATGCGCCATTGGGTTTCTGCAGGATTACACATCTCTGCGTAATACTTTTTTTAAGCAAATCCACCATGGGTATTGATATCATACAAAGCTTATTCAGAATGTTGAGGACCTGTCACTTTTGCTGGCAAGCTTCATTGTGCACTCAATAATAGCCCATTAAATCTATTCTTCCTGCGTCGCTTATCTCTAAAAGACCAGTCCTTGGCTAAGGTAATGGGTCAGTGAGTGTGAAGCTGATTACCTGATTTATCTTATTTAAATATTTTTGTAAGGATTTACTGGGTGAATACGAAAGGCATCTTCTTCTCTGGACCCTTGGGGCAGCCACATGGCTAACTTCTCTCACAGGTCCTGAGCATTTACTGACAGATCGTTTTGTTTGCTCAAAGCCGTAGCATGAAGGCACTCGGGCAGGCTTAGCCAAAATTCTTGACAAAAGCAAGGGACAAAATTATCGTCCTCTTGTGATGCATATATGTATGCTTAGCTTCTCACACTTTAACCCATTGATTTCAAGCCTTTCCATGAAAATACTCTACTACTGCTGTTAGTGCTTTTCTAGAAATTTCTCACACTCTTGGTAAAGAGCAGTTTCACATGTATAAAGACATAAAATAAAGTTACAATAATTAACATCATTATCTAAATTCTATAATAACCTCATTAAATGCCTCAGCTATTGTCCTATAAATTTATCTCCATGCACGCTAAAAGCAACATTTACTGGGTCGGCCAGTCGAGACAGTTATGTTGTAGGCATCAGGCACGATGAGAGGAAGCCCTCAGAGCTTAGTCATTAGTGCACTGCCTTGTATCTGATTTAACAGGATGACTAATCTCATCCAAGTCACTGGTTCGTCAACAGGAGACAACTCCAATGAGGAGAATATCCGGTCACAGTCTTATTTTTATCCCAATGAAAAGTGACAAGAGGAAGCTGACAAGAGGAGGACAGGGGAGCTGCCATAACCGCAGTCTGCTCCGTGTGTCTGTGTGTGTGATGGATATCTGCACACCATGCTCAACGTCATTATGCATGACAGTGTTACCACTGGCAAAAAGCCACCACCAATAAAACCTCCATGTTTGTAAACAACATTGTGTCAACATGGGGGCTGTAAAAACACCCTGAAATCTGGAGGGTTTGGAGAGGAACTGGAAGCAATCAGAGCTAATTCACGACCGCTGGGATAAAAAGGGACATGGAAGACGGGGATCCACAAGCGGCTGAGGGGGTCAGGGCACTGGTTTAGGAATAGGACACTGACGGGGCCAGTGTGGGGGTGGAGACAGCATGAGACAGCTTTTTAATTTTTACCTTTTTTAACTATTTTGAAAAAATTGTGTTCAGTTTTTCTTTCACTTTTCTTTCAAATTTTCAGGCTGCAAAGATGATTCTGACTTGTCATTATTAAATGGGAAACTGAGAAAGAAAGCCATAATTATTTTGTACACTCATTTTTTATAGTAGTATGTTTAAGGGTGGGGGGTATAGCAGATACAAAAAAATATACTGTCTATATCTATCTATCTATCTATCTATCTATCTATCTATCTATCTATCTATCTATCTATCTATCTATCTATCTATCTATCTATCTATATTTCTATATACACATACATACATATATATATTTACACACTCAACTTACCTGTGGAATAGGTGCCCAGATCCTACATGAATAAAGGTAACAATTCCACTATGTAATAAAAAATCTCTGTTCTCTGAAGTACAGCATTTAAAGTTATACTACCATTAAAGTAAACAAGCATTTTCATGAAATAAGTTTCAAAGAAAAAAAAAGTCCTCATCAGGTGCATTAGTGTATGATAAAATAATTTTCATTATTATTTATGGCTCTGCAAGAAGTGTTGACTGTAGTGACAATTGTATGGCTTATCAGTTTGATGAAAAATGATGTATCTCTTCTCTGGCCCCAAATCCTTCCTACTGTCTCCTGGGAAACCCCACAGGAAAAAATGTGGAGGTCAAGCATCGCACTCAAGGACACTTCAACAGTTTGTGTTTGCGTGATATCATGTTATGAGCTTCAGGCTGCTGGCACATTATACCGTCCTAATGACGTGCAATTATAGTCCATGACAACAAGGCGAGCATGCATACACTCACATGCAGTAAATCTAAACTGACATAGACAGGATACTGAAATAAATATTCTACAATTATCTGACAAAAATCCAACACAACTTTCAACTATATTTTTGAGAAAGGTTTTAAAGACACTTAAGTAGATACAGCTCCTATATTTGTCTCACACATGTTGTTATATCACTAAGTGACTCGGGTACTACATGCAGGAGCTAGCCAACTGTCCCTGAAGGATTATGAAACAGATTTATGACGAGTTGGACCAGCCTATTACGGTGAAAGTGCAAGTCACACTGGGGCAGCTTTTTAAAGTGAGGTATTATAATTGGATTAGTCCCATTTTGGCAGAAATTTCCACATGGTATGAATGTAAATATGTCACTATAATTGTATGAATCAATTTTTTTTCCATCTTATGAAAGTCTTTTGCCCATCCTCAAAGTAAAAAACAACAATAGATATGAGCCCAGTTTTGTCCTTGTACTGAATTGCACCCACATCGTTTCAGTACACATGTAAGATGCTTTTGTCTTGTCCTGAATTCCTAAAAAGATTATTCACCGCAGCGGGTACATGAGAAAAGATTCTAATTTTAAAATTTGTTCCCAACAGTATCACTCTACGAGGATTTAAACCATGCAGTGCAGTTCACTGAGCTGTATTCAACACATCCCGGAAGAAGTGTCCTCTGTGTGACTTCTTACTGAGCTGAGGAGGAAATGAAACTCAAACAATAACAAAAGCAAATGAATATGTGCAGCAGTCTATTTATAGCATGCAGATACTTGTGAAATATGAGTAAAATAAATCGGCTATTCCTGTCAGGGTATACAGGGACATCTAAGGTCTGCAGCTTCAGCCATGACAGAGATGCATCTGCTATTATAGTGCAATATTCAACATGCAGTGATGCCTTAGGGGGTTTAAACTGCACACTATCCGGAATGACATCCGTATCATGATATTAATGTCAAGAAAAACACTTCATCACTTTGACTGTATCTATAGGAAAATCTGTTGGACAGGATAGTATCAGAGTACGTGAGTGAAAGCAAAGTGTGACAGTAGTTTGAATTTTCCTCCTATGATCTATGTGCAGGTGAATCGGCCGAAGCTAGGTCAGTGCGACGTGTTATTTAAATACTGAAATGGCGATGAGATGCGCACACGTTGTCGGAAGTGTCGCTTCAATGGGAAAGTCAAAAAGTCAGTCAGGTGGTGAGATCTCAGTGACAAGTTATTCTGCAGTGACAGATGACATTTCTGTGAGGTTGCATCTGGAGTACTCTGGCACTGAGGCAAAGCTGGCCTTTCACTCCGTCTGCCCAGCTAGCATTCATCAGCAAACCACACACACAGTTTTGCACACATCGCCGTGCGGGCATAAAACATGTAAATGGCGAGCTGGCTCCGTGAGTGCATTGTCCCCTGGCTTTGTCCTATTGTTTTGGCGTTTTTAGATGCCTTGCACTAGTTCAGCGGATGCTTCTGTGAGTCTTCTTTCTTTTTCCTTCAATCCTTTTTCTCCTCTCTGGCATCTTTCCTTTGCTAACTTATTGCACAGGCTGAACATGAGACAGAACATTGTCAGTGTGTCCACTCTATTCAAACGAAAGCTGGCCTCTACTGCTTGTACCCCTGCCTTCATTTTGGTCTCCAACTTACAGCGGCAAGCGTGCACGGAGGCACAGGGTGGCAGAGGGAGTCTCCCCAAGTGATTTCATTTGAACTTTTCCTCTCTTTGAAATGGCATCACAGAGGCCCTGCATGATTAATGTCACCACACTTATATACACTGTTCTACGCAGAGCGCCAGCTGAATATTTGAAAAACTGAAACTTTTCAGAAAGCCTGTGGGCAGGTCTGGGGATGCTGTGGTTTGATTGGCAATCAGCTTGCTATTCAGCCATTCCCTTTGGACATGTAATGCCATCCACTTAGGTAACACAGCATCAACTAACTTCCTCTTCCTAAAAATATTAGATTGAATTCAGGGTTCAGTTATTATTGTCAAAATAAGCCCTCCAAATATCTGTGTTCTTTTGTGCCTCTCTCATTTCAAAGGACTTTAATCAGTGGTACACACATAACTGGTCTAGACAATAATGATAAGACTGTTTGTTTTTTAGTGATTGTTTTGCTAACATCACTTCAAAAATTTTATTTTCTAATACAATGACAATATTGCTGTTAAAATCATATTTAATTTAAATCAGATAAAAAACCTGCGCTTGAATAATACCTATAGATAAATTAGAATTAATGGGTAAGAGGTTCTTCATCAATCTGTTGAACTGTATCCACATCATGCCTTGGTATTCACGTTAAACACAAAATTCAATACTACAAAAATAATAATCTCCTACATGATGTCTGGGCTTCGAGGTCCACGAGCAGACTATTAACTGTAAAGCATTGCTTTAATCCATGACATCAACAGTCATGTTCAATGCATTACAGCGTCTGTAATATATCCCTCTTCACTGATTGAAAGTACTCTTCAGCGAGACACTAAACCGTGAACTAGCTCTGGTTATTTTTAGGGGGGGATACTCGGAATAATTCAGCAGTTTATTAGAAAGCACTCCAAAAAAGTAGTCCCGCTAGTGGGTTGCTTTTATTAAATTATGCAGTGTTTTTCTCTCATTTTAAATATGACCAACAAAAGCAGCCCTGACTGTCCTATGTTATCTCGAGTGTCTTCTTGTTGACTCCACGCTGAGACTCGGCTGCTTTGCACCTTTTACCTCCGAGACTGAATCAACAAGATCCTTCCAGCCAGAGCGATGGGACATTTTTCTAATTATTGCTGCAATTATAATCATGCATGTGCTGCAGTGACGCCTCTCTGGGCTCTGTCGTCCCACTGCTCGTTGGATGGGCACACAAAGTGGAAATGCTAATCAGCGGCCTGGCTTTATCAACTCGTTGGTGTCTGGGTTACAGCAAAAGAGCCTCTTCATGCCTTTCAAGGGTGGATGTAATCAGAAGCAGCAGCCATCCATATTTTTCTAACCAGGGGGAAAAAAGAAGGTACAGAGCTCTGCAAACATACTTGGAGTATTTCCCCCGCTTGGGAAAACCATTTGGAAATAATTGGTTTAGCCCTATGTGTTTGACTCGATTCATCAGTTGATGACATGATTGTATGATTGTCACTCCACGGGATTTTCCAGGTATTTTCTCTGCCTCTGCATGTCTGATTTTCCCTCTCTGAGTGAATCCATTAGCTGACATCAATGGAAGATAGTTTGCCAGAACAAGTCAAATTGGCACTCATTATACACATCATACAAGAGAGTGTGAAACATTCAGCCAAACTACACACATACAATAAATCCTACCTCTTCCCATTGGTGGATGTAGCGAATGAGCCTAGATAGACGTAATAACCGCAGTAAGCTGAGGATCTTCGTGAAGCGCACAATCCGCAACGCTCGCGCAGTTTTGTAGAAATCTGAGTCGATGCGCGTCTCTACGATGAGGAAGATGTAGTCCACAGGGATGGAGGAGATGAAGTCCACCACAAACCAACTCCGCAAGTACTTGATTTTGATCTGTTGCGGATCCAGGATGATCTCTGTGTTGTCCTCCTTGACGATGCCCGTTCTGAAGTTGAGAACCAGGTCCATGAGGAAAAAGGTGTCAGAGACAACGTTGAACACGATCCAAGGAGGTGTGTGCTCGTCTTTGAAGAATGTGATGCCGACGGGGATGATGATGAGATTGCCGACCATTAGCAGCAGCATGGTCAAGTCCCAGTAAAACCTTAATGAAGGACATAGAGAGAGAGAAAACTATAGTCAAAGCATACAGGCACATGACCTCAAATAGTTCAGATTTAACAGTGTAGTGTTGACAGTTTGTGATGTGCAATTATACAGACGACTCAGCAATCACAACAAGTCCTTCCTACAATACTGGATATTTGTTTATAATATCTTACATTTGTAATATTTACAATTATAACATGGAGCGGCTCTGATTGGAGAAGTGAAATCACTCTTCACACCACAGGAAAGTCTGACATAATAATCCGAAGAGCCATCTGCTAATCAGGCTTTTGCTGACTTCTGTCGGAAGGGAGGAAATGGGCTGGAAATCTGCCCCGTTTTAGCCTGCGGTGTTTATCTCACTTCATGTTGTATACTTTTTTTGCAAAACACATTCAAGTGTATAAAGAGAGCTGCTATTTGTACAGCCCTAAAAATAAACATGTGACAAAAAAACACATCTTAAAAAAAGAAACATTTCCTACAGCTTACACTTTATATGTGAATGAATGTTTGGACAATAAAGATCATTTTCAACAGCTCAAACTCCTGCAATCACAATCCTGGAGAAAGAGTTAAGAAACAACTGAATACACGGTTTATTTACACTTGCACCGTTGGTTTAAGTGTTTTGTTTTCATTTACGTGTGTAATATGCTGCTTATATGATACCTTTCATCATGCCAGAAGGCAACTTGTCACAGAAGCTATTTGTGTTGCGACTGTATATCACAGCTGAAAGGTCAACAAGGGTTAATGGTTAATTACAAATTTTACAGCAACCTCGTCCATCTTATGGGTCTGAGAGTTCAGATGAATTGCAATCTCTTCTGGCTCTGTAATTGAATTCAGATTGGTCCTTTTGTGAAAAAAGGTGATATATCCCGGCTGCTCCATAGTATGGACCATAAGCGGGGTCTGCATTGTGCACTGCTCCAGTGAGCTTGGATGATTTAGCCACCCACCTTTTAACTAGGCCTCAAAGATCTCTGAGTAAAACCAATTTTAGGAGCAGGGCGATGCAATAAGAAAGAAAGAAAACTGCATAAACAACCAGGAAATGGATTCCTTTTTTAAATGCAGCTGGTGTCTATAGATTCACGGTGTGTTGAAGTAAATAACTCTTTGGCTTTGCAGGGGACTGCTGGATCACACTTCCTGATCCAAAAAGACCTCTGGCCACAGCCAAGTCGGGTGAAAATTTAGTTTTATTTTTGGTACACAGTGTGTGCCTCACAGGCCAAAAACATACAGATAATAATAACCTGACACTCTCCAGGTGGCTTCCATTTTTATCCTCATAAAATTTTCAGGGTAGTCTTGTTTTTTTTCTTTGGCTCCCAGTCATTAGCTTTGATGGACGATGTACTGTTTTTCATTTCAATGATGAGTAGCTGGATCTAAAACGCCCTCGTCTCTCGTGTGACTTCGCATGTTTGTGACAAAGCAGAGCTAAATACTCTTACCTTCCTCCCTTGATACCCCTCATTGATGCTGCTACTGAACTGACGCCCCACATCGCCAAAAGAAAAACTGTATTTTTAAACAGCAAAGACTTGGTCACAGCTAATAAATACTTTCATTTTTTAGTGCAAGCAGTGTAGTATCTTCTTTTTCCTTCTGTGAGCATGACTAAACTCAATTACTTAGGCATGATGGAGGCAAAACAGGGGACATCAATAATGTCCAGCACTGCATTTTACCGTTTGGAGAGGAGGGGTATCATTTCATCATTCAACACATAAAACTGTAGACAAACACTGCCTCTCTTTAAATACATAATTACTGTTAAATACTGCAAAAACGACAAAGTTTGCTTTGTAGCAGATGCTTGAGTTGTACTCGGCTCACATAACGATTACCAAATGCAACTCACGCTTACACATGCATACATAATATACAGTACACACAGACACGCCTCTGTGTCATGCCTATTACATGCACACGCAGAACATGCACGCTCAAACACGCACAAGGGAAACAGTGACAGTAATTGGATTTCTTCAAAGTAAAAGGGTATCTACTGTTCCAGCTTGTTGTCAAGTGCAGTTATATTTAGACAGACCTTGCCACCACTGTGTTTGCTCATGTTAAGAGTGAAAGCCCAGGAGGACAAGAAAAACTTCAAAGGAAGAAAAGCAAACATAGGTAATGACATTTGCTCGTCATATTCCCATGTTCTCTGATATAACCAATGCCAGATAGCCAGTGCATTTAGAGGAGCTACACGGCTTACTAATAGGATGTAAGTGCGCTCTCAGCATTTGATAGCGTCTACAAGAAACCAATTTCTGCTTGCGACTGTATGAGCTGCTACCCCCTACTTCCTTCTTGCTATTTTTGAGCGACATGAACTCAACCACACTTAGTGCTTTTTTCACATTATTGAGTGATAGGTGGGTTCTTATTTTACAGCTTCTAAATACAAAATAAGAAATACCACCACAAACTCAAACCAGCTCACTAAAGCATTCAAGGTCAAATGTATCTTAAAAACTCCTAAAAGAGATATGAAACTCCTTTGAGTTGTTTTATCCACGTTATATTATCAAACCAACTGTTCATTGACTCACTCTGAATATGAACTTGCTTTGACTGCATACATGTAATATATCTGATTCATGACCCACAGAAAATAGCTCTTTTTTGGTAAATACTGTCTAAGATTCTCTTTAACAAACAGAAGTTTTCTGTGGTTGGGAAATAAAATCGAACCATGAATAAAATCCACCATATCCACAACTATGAACACCCAACGGGTTGCCATCATGGGATCTCAATATCATGCAGTCGTCTGATGGTACTCTGGATTTAAATAGGAATGGTTGTGTTGTTGCAGTGCCGACAGTGACAATGTTAACATGCTCATGCAATCGCTATCATATCATAATCAAGCAGGTATGTCTACCATGCTTCATAGAGAGTTTAATATTTAAGCTCTCAAACTAAGTACAGCAAAGCTGAAATGTAAGGTTATTAATTATGAAAGTATCTTATCATAAACCAATACACCAGTATTGATAAACATTTCAACCTGATGTTGCAGACAAACTAGCCTCCAATTTCTCAAGGCAAGACGCCAACTAACTAACTAATGCCAGCACAGAGCTCCTGAACATCTTTTATAGATAGTTCATCGGGGCAGACAGCCATAGACATCACTACTACACAACTATTGCCATTTATCACCCCACTAATCCCATTGTTAAATGTTTGATTTTGATTAGTCAAATCCCCTTGACAAAGACTAATCATGTTGACTAGCAAAAACACTATAATACTGTTCAAGATTTAATCTCTTTCTGCATCATTAAAACATTTCTCTCCTATAGCATCACTAAGGTCATCAAGGGTAATTTTTGATATTACTGGAACACAGAACTCTGGACTGGTGGATAATGGCGGACCACTCATCAGCAAAGGAAGAGAAGAGAAGAAATGGTAAAACAGCCCAAAAATTAGCAAAAAACACAAGGAGCTGAGCTGAAGACATGTGTAGCTGAGGCTAACAGACATGAAGCTAACAGACATGACAAGCTGCAACACTACTGGACTGGCTTTAACAAAGTTACAGGGGTTTAGTCATGTTGTGGTGAAACAGAGTGGTGAGTGAAAACAGAGGGAAAAGACTTAACAGCAATGAAACCAGAGTGGAAAATTAATTTCATCAATGATCATTAAAATAAAACACCAAAAGAGATTATAAACTACGGTAGAAATATCTGCCCTAATAATTGGTCTAACCCTACTTTACATTAACCTGAACTTAGCCAATGGTAACACCTGCTTCTGGACACTAATGGTGGAAATGTATCACTGTAAAACAAGGAATTTCCTGTTCAAACTGAAAAAAGGGAAAACTTAGATTGTGTAACCTTTTCAGGTTTTTTTATGTAAATTAATCATCAAATGAAAGACATTCTATAACTAATAAAGATTTTGAGGATGGATGGATTGTTATTGTGATTGACTTATCACGGAATTTAAGATGACAAAGTAGATTGATGTGCCAAATTTAAAGATTGTTTGAAGAACTATTGTGTAATTTAATAAATTACACAACATAAATTATGTTTCTTGCCCTAAATATAGACAGTAAATTTGGGCATTTTTAATGTTTTGTTTGGTGCATGGGTGTGTGTGAGTGTGTGCATGTAGGGAAATGCCCATGATTTCTCCTTTTCACTTGCAGCTGCTTTGCAGTAGTGTCCTAATGGAGGTCAGGCCACCTAAACATAGCAGGGATCCATTTACTGTGTTTTATTATGCACTGGAACCCTGACATAGAGGAACATAGTTCTATAAATACAGTACAGCAAGCCGGGGATGTTTGACAGACAATTCAAAGACATCTAACAACCCCGTATGTCTATGTTCACCCCAACTCGCAGAATCACAGCGTGTGGTGGTATAAATATTCCCTGCCATAAAACTAAAGACATAAAGCAAACTACATATGAGGTGTTGAGGAGGAAACATCCCATATGAGACAAACCCAAGATTTCATACTTAAAAGCAATTAATTATTCTAATTTTGATAAATAATTGCAATAATCATACTGAAAACTAAACAAAATGATGCTTTGACCATCTTTGATTTTGTTGTACCACAAAGACTATAGTAGAAATGCAAAGGACAGTTTGGAAGGTAACTAAATGGACCAAAACATGAGATCATAAACAGTTAAATCTACTTAAAGTGACAGGAGTTGGTCTATTTGGCTATAACTATGTGATTGGTTTTGTACGTAAGCACTACAAGGAAGTAAACTGCCAAGGATGGGAGACGATTAAAAAATGGCAGTACCTAAAGTAAAACTAAAAGTAAAAACCACAAACTGTAGGTTCCCACGATGTGTGCAAAAGAAAAAATTAAAGGAGCATCAGAATAGCCCACAGCAAACATGTTATGGTTCTGCAAGGCCAATGTAGTGATGAGGGGAGCCATGACATTTTGTTGTCTGTAGGTCCAGAGCCATAGCCCACTGTGCTCCCCAGTGAGGCGACCAGGGACAGCAGGTACACGTCGTCACCCTCAAAGTGCATCTGACTACACGATAAGCCTCTCTCTTTCTCCCCACCTTGCCTGCAAGACTACCTAAAAAGGGGATGTGAGAGCCACTACAATCAACCTGAGATGGACACATGCTCACCTCACAGAGTCACCTATATATAAACTGAAGAGGTACAGGTGAAATAAAAATGAGGCGTATACAGGCCTGCATACAACGAGTGCACTGTGTGCTTGTATTTGTGCATGCATACATGTGCAACCTTGCTTACATATCACAGTCATAGATGTATGTCTGCAGGCTACCGTGCTGGGGGAGTGATGGCATAGCAGGCAAGCAGATCATCTGTCATGTCAGGTACACAGACAACATTTAACTGTGCCTGTCTTTAGTCACTTTCTCAATGACTGAATGGGAACAGCAGACAGTGGGTGATCCCTGACTACGCTAGCATGAGGGCATCAGCCAACATGGTGTACATTGTTAATGTGATTTGAGCTAATTATATGATTGAAATTGATCTGTTTTTGCATGAAAAAGAAGCCCCCTCTCTGAATAATTAATATGTGTGTGCTTGTTTGTGGTTGTGTGTCTATCTCAGTGTGAATCTGCTCCTGTTTCTTCTCTGTGGATTCAGTTGCATTATCAAGGGGACCCTCTTAGAAATACTGGCTCACCACTTTTTGACCATAAACATTTTACCATTGGTTCTGTGTTTAGACAAACATAAATTATCCAGTAAATGCAGTCAAAATGATCTGTTTTCGTTGTAAGATTTGTAAAGTTGGCCGTATGGAACGAAGAGTCTTGAAGTAAATATGCCGCTAAACCAAGGATCAACACAAAGCGAGTTCAACATACCCAGGGTATCTTTTGCTTACATGGCTCTACTTACACTGACAAATAGATCCAAGCTTAGGGGTTACACAAAGCTTATCAACCTGTCTTTTGAGGTTTTGTTTACTCCCTGCCTCCCCAGCGACTCGAACCTGACACTGGAGCAATGGCAGAATGCTTAGACCAGTTTTGGTCCAATTGAGCCGTTTACATGATCGATACCTAACTGCATTATTTAAGTATTTTAGTCCGAGCGTGAGAAGTTTGATTTAATGTGATTTCAGTCAGACTTTTGTGTTCATGATAATACTTGAGGTTAATTTTGTGTATTTCCACCCTGAAGAGAACAATCTAATACCAGCTTCTGCCTTATTTTTGTATTCATATATTGGAGGGATTAATGATTAAGAATTTTATCATCAAGAACATGAGCAAATATCGCATTGCAGGACATGCAATGCAAGTCACATGACCTTAAACATATCATGCAGTCATAACGTTTTCATTTTTCATGACTGATCCACGATAGAAAACCTGATTTATATTCCTTGAATCCAGCCTTCTACTTGAACAAACAGAGAGAACTGACTGCTGTGCACACAGTCTGTATCTGTTTATCACATGACTGTAAAATGTGAACATGCACATGACACTGCCGCCATCGCGGATACTTCAGCAAGTGCTCGATTAAGTGAGACAGATTTTAAGAAAGTGTGCTACTGCTCCTCCCTGTGCTTGTTAATATGGTGGACACACATACAGCTAGTGCTAACGGTCAGTTTCTGCAATTGTACAGCATGTGAAAATAAGTAAATAAGTCAAACCCTACTCATGGAAATTCATTTAGGGTCAGGTTTAGCTAAACCTGGTCAACAAATGCTTGGTTTGCTTCAGACAGAGGTAGTTGAAAATCCCAAAAATGCCCTTTCGAGGGTGTTGCCAGTCAGATTTCAACAGTTTTAGCTGTATTGTTTGAATGCGTTTTGTCTTGAGCAAGACCAGTTGTGTATGTTGAAGCCACTTAACTGTGTTCAACTGTCTCAAATATGTACATTAAATATCTGAGTTGGAATAAATTTGCACATTATTTGATTGCAATTAAAAGACACCAAGTCTGATGTCTGGTTGATTTACCCCTGAAATAATAGAAATATAGATACAAGTTTTCATGTATAATGTTTAATAGGGTACTTAAAGCTTTCATTGTTCAAACAGTGTATTACTTAATTTTTTATATCACTCTGCATGCTACTAAGAAATTCTATATGTGTGTGTTTAAGCTGCAAGTAGCTGCTATGGCACTAACTTAACTGAACCAGATGTAAAGTGCAGACAGGCTTAAACAATAATTAACACAGAAACAGCGTCATTGATGTTTTTAATGAAGAGGCTTGAATCAAAATTAAGCATATCACACTCTGGTAAAGAAAAAGTAGCGGTTCATTTTATGCTACACTTCACCAGACAGAGAGCAATCCACGATAAGGCCTGTCACACTCAACTGAAGAACAAGCTCTCTTCAGCATTAACATTTAAAAACATTGCCCATGAAAAGGCAGCCCATTATGTTTCAAGGAGCGATTTGGAAAATACAGCAAGATGTAAGTGTCTAGAATATATATATATATATATAAAAAAAAACAGGTTAAAAGGGTTAATCCTATTTTTGTTGTCACCCGCTCCAATGAACTGTCATAACGGTGCTGTCTTTGCTGAGCACAGCCAGCAGGCACACTGCGAGCACATCACTGACACTGGGGCTGTGCAGTTGCAGGTGGCTATATTTAGGTGAGGCACACTGTTTTATCAAACCCAGGCAAAGAAGATTTCATCAGAGGTGGAGGCAAATCTCCCCAACCTTAGGCGTCGAGAAAACAGAGGGATTTGCTAAATACCTACAGAGCGCGAGAGCAGGAGCAAAATCAAGAGAAAAGAGGCAACCTTACCTAATACTGCTTAAAAGAGATTCATAAATAAGATTACAAGCAGTTCTGTGGTAGGACATCAAGGTGAGGGTACAGAGAAGGATTTTTCAGTCACCTCTAAAGCTCTGACTGTGACTGTTACTCAACTCAGCCAAGAGAAAGACAATGCTTCAGACACAGAGTCAAAGCTGCTGCAGAGGAACATTTTCTGACAGATAGAGGTCTCATCCTTTAAGAGAGGCACGGACAAATGTAGAAGTAAGCCATCAAAATTGAGAGCAAAGGAGTGAAGCCTTGGAAGTGATTAAATTAATCTCATAAGTTTCAGATTAACACTTCATGAGGACTCAATTGCAGTCATGTTTTTGTGAGTACAGATTAAACTGTCGATAAAGTAGCATTAACTCTAAATTTTGTTTTCAAGAGAGGAGAAGTGAGAGTAAGATGCATGTGTCACTTTGGCATGTCTTTTTTAAATACTCTGCGTATTCTCTTAATGATGATTGTCCGTTGTCGGATAAAATATATTTTAAATCTTTTAGCAGTGTTACAATGACTACATTTCTTTTACTTTTTAAACCGGCTTTCTTAAAAATCCGAGTTGTGTCCAAGCTTCACAGGCCAAGAACCAGGCTAACCATCTCAGAAAAATAAACCTCTAAATGCTGCAGTGTTGGTCTCAGAAAATGCCCCAGATCTGTTCATTGAAATAAGTCCAGCCTAAACATGCTCTGATGTTTGAATAGCTCAGAAGGGGGCACTTAAAAGCTTTGACTTAATCATGAAATCACCAAAGCCACTTTTGCAATCTGACCAGATGTAATCAGGGAGCCCACAGGAACGACAGCTCTAAGGTAGCAGAGTACTTCCTGTCCTAAATTCTTATAAGTAAAATTTTAGGCTATTTTGTAAAGTGTAATGGGCTGTTTCGAGAATGACCTTATTAAATATCTTTGTTGTTATCCCGTCAGCTTCTTTGAGGTTTGCAGAGCTTTCCAGAAAGTGATCTGCATGCTTACAGTAACAAAAACTGTAGATAAGTCATCTGTTTTCAGTATATAAAAATAAGGCAGCGAACCCGGTAATGACAAATCTGTTTTAGAGAAGACTCAGGGAGACGGGAAAGCTTTCTGGCCAGGGCTACCATTGTGCACTTACCCCACTCTCGCATATGCCAGTATCTGCAGTCCAGTGCAGTGGACTGTCATCCTGCCACTAATTGCATCTGTGTTTTATCATGATGCCTTGTTATCTCCCACAAGGTCCTTAGGGTCATGTCAAAGGGGTCCCCTGTCAGCCAGCTGCAGAGTGTGGCAGAGGAAACACTGGCCTGCCAAGTGAACGCAACAACTCCCCCCACCCCTCCACCCTCCAAATCCGCCAGCCGAGGACGAGAGAGAGAAAGAGAGGGAAAGAGAGAGATGGAGCAATGGGCTTTCTGAACCCAGATGAAGTGCTAAGATAATGTACTGTCTATAATACCAGGAGCTGATCACACTGTACACCATCACCTCACGCCCTTGCTCTGGGCTGCACCAGCACAGGGGCCATTATCTTCACCACTTCAGGTACGCTGCAATCAGCAAATGGCGCAGCCACAATGAAAGCCTTTTCTATCCATCTCCAAAACGTCAATCTCAGGTCAAAGGGTGACAAAGAGAGAAGGGGCATGAAAAGAGAAAATTAGGGGAGGGGTGGAAACAGTGCCAGAATATGGGACTGTACAACATAGGCTTAAGGGCAGGGATAACCAAAATAAGAGGCATGTTAGAGAGAGCAAGGTTGTGGTCTTAAGAGTATGAGGGTCATCGCTGTTGGTTCACATTTGACAAAAGTCGAGGTGAATAAAAGCTCAATTAATGGAGCATAAAAGCTGATAGAAACCCCTCAGTAAGAACACACTTGGAGCATGAAATCAAATCAAATTGGAGAGGAGATGCAGTTTATCAGATTTTTTCTGGTCTGCGTGAGTAAGCAAAAGCAGAGGCTTATCTGACTGTTAAACCAAACAAGGTAGGATTTCTCTTGTTTATTTGTTAGCTCTATAATTTCTCGACTGTACATGGTAAACAGGGTCAGAGATTGGATTTGTAAACACCAACTTTACTGCTGCCCTGCTTTTCAATCAAACAAGAGGTAAAATGGTGCAGCTAAACCAGGTTGGATGATATGTTATGGAGTGTGGTGATGGTAAAGATAAATCAAGCCCCCCCCCCCCCATTCCACCTCCCACCCACTTGTAGCAGAAAAGAGGGAACAATCTGTCTCTCACCAGTGCTTGTTTTATAATCCAGCCATTTGTCTGGAGTCTTCTAGCCACTCAGCGTGAGGCCGAGGCAGGCCAAACACATTGATCCAGGGAAGTATTTCCTGTGAATCACACCAGCCACACACAGAGTCCTTTATTTGACGCACTGGACTCTGGTCCTCTCTGACTGGAAACCCTGCTGTTTCCAAAGCCCTGCAGCCTTCAATACATTCTTACAGAGTAAACGCAAGGCCCTGTGAGGAAATGCCATCCTCTCATGATACCCCAGGGGGGGTGTATTAGCATAGGAGGAAGGGCAATCACAGGTAGATTGTGAGCATGTTCAAAGAATCACTTTTAACCTCCAATTAAGACCTGCACTTTTTCTTTCATGGAGAGTTAATACAAAATATTTTTACCACAGCTTATAATTCACAAATTAAAGTGGCTTGAGTGACAGGATTACTATTAAGATGTTCAAGTACATAACCATTACATTGATTAAAAGTAGCCTACATTGTGTGTGAACTATATTCTCATATCAAAATAAAGATGTTGCCAAAAAAGGTTAATTTGTTTTTATTTGTTCCAAATATTTCAACTATTTCTTCAACTGCTAGAAAATCATTCAACTGGATGGTGAAGAAAAAAAAAAAAATCAGATAGTAAGTCACCATCATTGTCACACCTTTGTTGACAGATATTGTACACCTGCACTCGCGTCACCTGCAGTGGGAGCTGATAATTATTTTTCTAGCACATTCTTCTAATTATCTTTTAACTTTAAATAACCTGAAACTGATTTTTTTGTTAGTATTCTACATTAATTCCTAAGTGATTTATACATATATATGGTGTTTCTAATAATGCTTCAAACCCCTGGAGCTGCATATCGGTGCCAGTTTGACACCTTGGACATTTCCTTTCTTGGCTGATAGGAAAAAGCAATCCAATCTCTAAGAGACAAGGGGTGTGAGAATCCACCTGAGACGCAGGCAGGGCTGAAAAGGTCAATCTGTGCTCGATATAGTAGAATCTGTGTGAGGACAAATTTACAGGTTCGGGAATGCAGTGTGCAGGCAGAGGTTAACACAAGAGAAGGTGTGATTGGTTATATGACTATGCAAACTTTCAATTCAGCCTTTTCCGTTTTTAAAAAAATAATAATAAAATTGCTCTCCTCTCTGGAGTTTAAGGACAAAACAGGACATGCATTTTTACAATAAATATCAGAGTTATTTTCAACCTGCATTGGGTAGATAGAAAGTGGCACACTTGTATCTCACTGTTTTGTTTCATAGGTCAAAAACAGGGGTGTACTGAGCTTCCTCATGACAAGAGCGTTTTTGTTTGGACCCTGACTGTCTTGTTAAAATTAGTAAATCCAGCCATCTGGCTTCTAACGGTGCAAGAACAAACCCAAGATGGCATTTGCAAACATTAATTCACCAAGGTCTGTGGAAATTTCTCATAAAATACGGCCCATTGTACTTGCTGGACCACTGGCAACCAAGTATGTTCTTTTTGAAAGTTATAATTTTTCAAGGGCAATAAATTCTTCATCGTTTGTCTGCACAATACACATGGGAAAATAAAAGCAATGAAGCCAAAGAGAATATTTTTCATGAATAGGGTGGTGATGCAGGAGGCTGAATCACTGCAGTGTTGGTAATCAGACTAAAGAATGCCCTCTTGGGTATCATTGGAAGATTACACCTAAATCATCTGTGTGAAGGTTGTTGACTGCATGTTTTTGTCCAGCATCAGGGGCTTGAAAAGATCTGGTGCCACAACATTTCACAGTATGCATGATGATATTTAAACTAACAAAGAAGAAAAGTCTGTCTTTTGCAGAAAGTGTCTTTCTAAAGATAGTTGTATCCAAAATACTTATTTCCAGATGCATGTTAAAACTGCAGAGGGATTGTTGGTGCAAGACAGCTGTCCTTATCAATTTCTGTTAACAGAAACTGAAGACTGCAGTTTATTTCATACACCAATAGAGTTCATAGTTACACAGGGCCACACTGGACCCCTTGATCAAATGCCCCATTTTCCTTTCCATATAAACAGTCACTTTGCCCATCTGTCTGTTACAGTGTCCTCTTCTTTTAGCACTGTTAGAGTGCATTAAGGTGTGCATCATGATAAATAGTTAGTGCCCTCACAACTTGGTGACAGTGTGTTATAGGGGTGGGAGAAAAAAACTGATTCACATAAGTATCGCAATTATTTGTTTTACAATTTTTAAATTTATTTTTTTGTCCAAAATTTAATTTATTTTCTTTTAAGAATAAATCTTAAAATCTGACTTATATGTGATGGGTATTTTTTGGGGGAAATATGGTTCCTGGGATAGTCAGTAGACAATCATTATCATTCAACTGTGTCACTGGTGTTAAAAATGCAGACTAAAAATAAAAAAAAAATCGACAATATCATAGAATCACAATTTAAACTGAAACGGCATCCAAAAAACCGTAGAGGAATCGAATCAGGAGAAAAGCATATTGTCCCAGCTCTAGTGCGTTAACATAAATGTAAAGAAAAGAAGCTTGGCTTAAAATAACTCAATTCCAAAACAAGGAATGGTACTGAAAAAAAAGCATCCAGTACATCTACAGTCGAAAAACATGCATGTTTTCAACTGATATAGATGGTGAATGCTCTTATTGTGTGTACAACTTAAATCATTTATAAAACTATATGAGAGTACTGCATGGGTAAACAACACAAGCATCGTTAGACTGATGTGAATGAAGACACTTTAACAGAGCTTATATTTAGGCTGAACAATGCGTCATTTGAACGCCATAACTGTGATATGTGCATGTGAAATAATCACATAGCAGGAGATTTCAGTCATATGACCTGAAACACTTGTGCTGTCAACAATCAAATCCTTCTGAGATCACTTTAATGCAGCCCCTCACTTGAACACACAGAATTGACCACAATGTATGCAAAGCCTCTGTGTGACCACAGAATGTAAACATGCATGTGAATCACACCGCCATCTTTACAGATACTCTGCAAATGCTCCACTCAACAGCCTAGATTTTAAATCAGTGATGTCTCGCTCTTTTCCATGTCAGATAACACAGGAAGCACAACTACAAACAGCAGATTTAATGGAACCACAGTGTGCACTTTTACACCTGCAGAGCACATATTGTGATGTAAAAATCATCGGTAGAAGAAGATAGCGGGTTTAATTATAATATAAGAACTATCATAGAGCCTGTGACGCATATTGAACAATTTTTAACGTTGTCAGAAAGAATATCTGCTGTGATACAATAAGTAAGGAATTTGATTTGAAAACAAAAAAAAAGAGTTAAAATCACTCATCAGTAGTGTAAAGTTGTTATTGATCTGATTATATTAATTGTTTCTAAACACTTAAAATACTCTAAATTTATCTGGTTTAAATTCCAAATTTTTTTCATTTTGCAATATCTGTTGCAGAAAAGACGACAACTGAATCACAGAGTTAGTTTCATTCAACATCCTGCAGCCTTAGTTTACGTATTGTTCATGTCTTGTCACATTTGGTTAATGCATGCGCAATCTGAACGTACAAGTCCATTGACGTTCATTATAAGATAATGAATGTAAAAAAAAAAAGAAAGAAAATTAAAATGAACCAGAATTCATTTGCATTTTGTGACTTTTGTTTGAATAAAAGTACCTTTCTAAAAAAAAAAAAAAAACAGCAAGGATTTATAGCGTATTTTATTACTTTTTTTAAACACTTACACTGCGCCCTGTTTATGCTGTTTCCTCCCTTTTCCTTATTTCTCATTTCAGCCAAGTGGACAGCTGAGGTCTAAGAGGAGACATGTCAATCTATTCAGTCAGTGCAGCAGCCACTCCTCATCTTTTTTTTTTTTGCACTCATCAAAAACAGGAAGTGGTGCTAAAATAATGCCATGACCAGAGGTCTTGGTTATCCTGTTGTCACACACAAGACACTGCAAATACCTGACTTGACTGTGATGGTTGACAGAGAAAAAATTAGCACATTATCATTTAGTGATATAAACAGTAACTCCGGCATATTTGCTCTAGTTAATCAGGATGATGTTCGTGTTCTTTAGTGGCAAGACAAATAACTTTGACAATGAAATATGTTTAAAGAGTAAACTCTCCAGAGCAGGTCTGGGCTGACTCGTGTTGTTTATCCACCTGGAGAGATTATAAATTGATGTTGCAGCGCGGAGGATGCTGAATCGGGAAGGACACACGACATCACATTTGTCAGGTGACCACAACACATCAAACATCAAGCTGGCTGACATGCCGCACTTAACAGAAAATGCTTCCAGCAGGCTTTTCCATTTTCAAAATGTATATGATGTCCAATCAATCAATATAATCTCACCTCGAGATTACCATCACTTTGCCAAGGTTAAACTCAGCCCTCTGCTTAATACATAAAACTGAATGAGGTGGCATATCAGAAGAGGGGGAAAAACACTGACATGCAAAAACAAATGAAAAAAAAAAAAAGGCCATTCTTATACAGTTGTGATCACGTGTCCTGATTTCACACTCCCACACAAGTGTGCCTGTTGAGGTCACATGGTGGTGTTCAATCATTTTGCCACTATTACAGGCAACCTTCCACCTACCAGCCACGCATATCCTCCCTGGGCTCCTCCATTAAATAAATTGTGCTGTAATAATCTTTTGGCTTCTAGTATTGGTAGATGAGCACAGCAGCCTATTTTGATTACCCCACTTTCAGTCCCCGCCAGAACCATCTGTAATCCCCATGTTTTACCCTCACTAAATGAAAGAAGGAATTATTTAATGAGGACCAAAAGGAAAAGGGTGTCATTTATCCTATATGGTGTCAAAACATCTTTCCCTCAACATTCTCTGCAAATTAGCACTATCATACAGAAACTTATAGGGACACTGATACTCAGCCTGGACTCAATTCATCCATTATTGATCAGAAAACATTTGATCACTTACAATTCTAGCAACCATTTAGATTTTCTCTGAATAAAATCTGTCAAAAAAGATTAAATGGAGCTCCTCAAATCTTGTCTTTATATTCCTCTTCTGCACCACCACAAAGCTTGACCTTTGTGTAACTCTCACCCAGACTCTGACCCTTGCCACTGCCATGAGTAGAGGAATCACCCCAAGCCACAGTCATGTATGTTCCTTCATCTCATGTATCAATAAATCAACGGATGGCAAGCTCTAGGCCCCAGGAGACCCAAACAAATCAATGGTGAAACCTACTCTCAAATCAACCATAATCAACCTGACTGAAATAGAGAAAGCTGTTATTTCATCTGATCCCGTACGCTTACAACACGCATAATATAAACAGAAATACATGCGGCGCTATACAACAGGAAGAGTAATGTATCTGCAATGAACTGCCTGTAGCTGTTAAAGGCTGCCTGTCTTTGATAAGGACTGTAAAGGCAAGTTGCACCGTTTCTGCAGCATTTAAAATATCTCACAATTCATCAGAGAAGTAATAACTATAAAATTTACCTCCCCTGTTTCCCAAAATGCAATAGTCGTCTAAGTACAGGTAGCATGTTAGCTACCATTTACTCTTTCCTCTTAGCCTGTTAGAGACTGAGAAATGCAAATGTACCAAAGTCAACACAGCCATGCTGATATTGTGAGAAGCTCCCAAGTTACAGCTTTCTATTTAGGCACAAGGAGGACATTAAACAAATCAAGACTTGAAAAATAACATAAAATCATAAAAAAAAGTTAAGTTTATGTAATGCCTGCAAGAGCACAGTGCACATTTTTATTCATTTAACACTTTGCCAAAAAGTAACTTTCCTTTCACTCCATAGCAGCTTTCATGTGCAATTCAGTGACTGAATCTGCTCTACTTTCCTTTAATGTATTCTCTCCAAAAGTAACAGAAGCAAAATTGTAATATGTCTTTTCAGAGGATTTATTTTTGCCACTGTCTAGGTAAGTGTCTTCTGGGAAACACGACTGGATGTGCAGGAGGAATAAAAGGCTGCTGAAAAAAAAGTGGACTTTGCAGAGTGGATGGAGGGATTCGCCTGACTGTTGCAAAGGGATTTAACTGATTGACAGAAACTGCAGGACAGCCGACCCCCTTCTCTGATAGTGTAGGCAACACGGTTCTAAAAAGAAAAAAGGGGGATTAATAGAGCCTTCAGTGCAAAAAAAGAAGAAAAAATGTTTTAATGTGTGACTTCTTCTTTTCTATCTCGTCAGGGAAATGTGGAAGACTTTTCGGCAGATGTGTCCTCTCGGTTGTGAATCGCAGGATAATTAAATGGCACTTGGCTATCAGAGGGCTGAATTGTAATACTGTGCCATGTCATTTGTTTAGAACTATGAACAACACTGTTGCATTGATAGAATCCACTCAAAAGGCTCTATATAAAAAAAAAAAAAGGTAAGAAAAAAAAATCATCACCTGGTTTTCAACAAGCCAAGATAGAGGGGCCATTCTGTGAGAGGGCAATCATTTTGTCAATCAAGAACCTCATGGTTTATTATCTTTCCCAGGAGCAAATAGCTTTATAGGACTTGTAACAATCTCTGTTCACAACAAAGAACATGTATTATTGATATGCCTCCACAGTTTAAAATAGCAAACATCAAGTCGCATTTCCAGGATGGCATCTAGTTAGGAGCAGGGCAGCAAGGGCATTAATCCAGCATCAATTATGTGCTTTGTTCAACAACCCTATCACACCTACACAGATGTTTTATGGTCACCTGCTGTAATAATCTTCCTTATTAAAAAAGGCTCCATACCAGTCAGTCATATGGCAGGAAACCTTGTCTTCTTTTAGGGTTCGTTCATACGTATGTCCATCCAAACTAAACTTTCTCACTGGGAGATGTTTGTTGGAAACTGAAGGAGGCTGTTCAGCTTTGGATCTGGAAATGAGGCTGTAGATTGGATTATGATGCCATTTTTAATCCGTCTTTTTCCCTTGCAAGATATTGCTCCTCCCTTGCTTCTTAGCATTATACAATACTTGACAAGGGGAGATTTTGCTGAATTCCAGCGCAGTGATGACTATGTGATTTCCTGTGACACTCTAATTTGAGCTTATAGTGGCGAAGCTTTGATGCAGGCATGGGAATAAAACTTTTTAGTCACAGAGACCCTTCTCTTCTCCAGGCCCATTAAAAGGTCCTGCTCATCTCCTTGTGTACTTTAATTACAGTCATCTTGTCCTGTCTCTGATCCTGATTTTGGAGGAAGTAGGCGTATGAGGATCATGTTCCTCTTTCAGTTCATTAAAAATAAAATACTCGCTGTAACTCATCTCAACATGCTACTTTAACTCACTGACATGATGTTCTTTTTGAAATTCTTGCATGCTGATTGGGTTCAAATATTATTTTTGTAGCATTTTAAAACTGATAAAAAAGTGTCACACCCTTCCTTCAAGCCAAACATTATCCTTTAATGTACTTATAGTTAATTTATATATACACATTGTCTTTTTCGTGTTAGTCACAGAAAGGCACAATCATACAGTTCCGCTCCTCTGACTGAAAGTCACATCTGTGGATTTAACTGTAGAGTTGAGTGATTACATAATCATAGTGTTGAGTGGTTGAACCACAGGCAAACTGCTATCAGATCACCAAAATGTTTAATTATGGTAATATAAAGTAACCCCCTTTACACACTAATCTCAGTGGCTGAATAATCAATTTTCATAGAGCTCCTCCAACTCGATGTTTTTCCATTTATCTGTTTTTTGTAACACAAAATGAGCTACATGCAGCTTTTTCTCGGAGTGCCATGTAGATCCTCTGTTTTAGTGTCTTGCTCAAAGACGCTTCAAAACTGATAGCTAATGCCAAGATTCTGACCTTTCAGTATCAGGACAGTCTCCCCAAGCCCCAAATCACCCTTCCTCCTGACATTCAACACAGTGAGTAAGAGAGCAGAGGGGGTCAGAGGAAACGCAACCAGCTGGGAGGAGCATCACAAAAATGGCAAACTGTCTACAACATGTCTCACTTCTTGATGATGACCTGTCTCAAGTGTGCGTGGATTCTGGACATGGGAAAAGCTAGTCGGTAAAATGTGTTGGAAATGCTGTTTGGTTAAGAAGTCGAGGACAAGATTTGTCTGTGCCACAAAATATTACATGTAAGCATAAAGGTTCTTACTTGGGCTTGGTTGTGACTTTCTCAAAGGAAATGTTACCAAAATTTGATGTTGTTGAATTATTTTTAATAAGCCTATTATCAAATATTTGCTGATATCATTATTTTCCTACCCTAACTCACACACAAACTGTGCAATAAAATAATACTGTTTAGTTTAAAAACAGCTGATGCAGAAATCAGATCGGATACACAGAAATTAAATTAAAAACATCGTGTGATATAAGCCAACACAGTGAATCCATCTCTTCTCCCAGTAAAAACAGGCAGACAAATGTGTCCCTCTTACATTCTAGGAGGAGTCTTATTTCGCCTTTTCCACTGACACCCCGGGCCTGTGAGCAACTCGCAACACAACTTGCATGTCTCTCAAAGTCAGACATCTTGTTCTTGAGAAAGAAAAAACACACTTCTGAGGTAAGTGACTTCCTATATCACATGTCATTCCACCATCAGAGCCAATCAAGCAGCGGGCGGGCTCAACAACATTCAATGTCACTGACAAGGAGAAATACAGTCATAATGGCAATCTGGCTACAATGCGTGTGTCTAATTTACAGCAACTGTCAATGCAGTTGTTTCAATTATAGGTATTAGCAAAGGTAGTGTACGAGAACTGAATGCCCAGGCTGACATTACTATAATGAAGGTGATTTGCCTTTATTATTGTGAGAAATTTCAAACTACAAGGAGGTGTGCTAAGATCACACAAAGCATTAACTGTTTCAAGTATCAGCTCTGAAAAAATAAAAAAATAAACATAAAAATATAAATTATTTTTCTATTTTACACATAATTTTGTAGTAAACAGTACTAGTCATTCAAGCACTTTTAACATGAAGCAATATCATTGTTCAAGTTCCATGTAATAATAAAGTGCATACATAAAGTGCAGTTTTTTTCTAATGAGTCAACTGATGTGCTAAAAAACTCATATATGAACACATGAGAATAAAGCAGTTTGATATTACTGGCTGTTTATTATTGTAGAAATCTGAATATTATCCAAAAATTCCTTTAAGACGAGATGAAGGAATTCAAAGCTGCTTCTGCTTTGCTGGTACAAGCCAAAGTGTGTCAATAAATCACATGTATTAGGCCAATATCAAACTCAAGGGCACAAACAACAGAGAGATATCTTAAGGCAGCAAAAGATTGCTAATGGACTTTCTCTATTCAGTTTGGCAGCTGCAGTATGTCACTTGAGGAGACTACACTATCACATGAAGAGAAAATATGTGTTGATGATTAAACGGTTGCTCAAAAACTTTCACAAACGATCAAAAGGAATTCAGATACAATGACTCAAAGTTGTTTCAGTCTTGTTGAAGCACCACTTATAAAAGAACAGTGAGAAAATCAATATGGGAGCCTTTAGAGACAATGTGTATAAGGCCTCCTCACTAACCCTAATCAATGATAAATCATATCCCCTGAGAATCAGTTTTTTTTCTTTTCTTTTCACATTATAATAATAAGGGTAGGAACTACTTAAAAGCTTTAATAATGCATCTATTTGGACAGCATCAGCACAGGTCAGGTAAATTGAACTAATTAAGGTTATGTTATCTGTAGATTACTCCTTCACACTATTACACAGCCTCCAAATAAATTGTGCACACTCAGAAACTAATGAATACATTTCCTCATGAGTAATGTGTCTCTGAAAAATTCCCATTTTAATCTGTGCTGTAATTATTTCCAAAAGGTATTTACAAAGCAATAAAGCCAATTTACTAAAATTGTGGCACTTCTAAAATGTCATTTTTGAGAGGGAATGGGTAATACAAGTGATGGATGTGCTATAAAGCTGTGTAAAACTGTGAATGTGTTGCATTTGTGCTGATTAATGCGCTAGAAAATTATAAACACGGGGAAAACATCTGGGCCTGCGCGAGGCATCGACGTAAACGTGACGGTTCAGCCTAAACCTTTTGTTGTTTGGAGAGTATGTGTAGAAAGTATCTAAATTTACCTGAAATCACTGTATGGGTGGATTATCCAAAATCCGGCGGATTTAACCCGCTCTTGTTCCCTTTCCACTGCTTTCTCACTCCCAAACATCCTCAGGGAGAACTTGTTGACCCCCGGTTGAAGCATTGCTCCAAACTGTCTGTGCATGAACCCTGCCTGATATAATCTCTCATCGTCCGGCAGAATTTGATCAATGCCGTCCAACTTTATGAACCCTGGCTGCTGGTCCGGGGAGTCTTTTTGGGTACTACCACCGCCGCCGCCCCCTCCACCACCACCACAGCTGGCCCCTTGCGCGTCTTGATCCGGCAGCCCGTCACCGATGGCTCCGGGGGGGCTCTCCTCGCTCGGGGTGACATCCCCCTCGGTGATGAGGCGCCTCTCCTCCGCCGAGTCAGAGTCGTGCACATGCCGACTTGTGATGGACGAGAGGCTGCCTCGAAACCTCCGACAGTCTCCATTTGAGCTGGTCTTCATCGGTCTCCCTATGTCAGTCTCCATGATCCCAGACTCCCCACTTTTGGTCTCTCCGATGCCTTTGCAGCTTCCCCCAGAGGTCGGCGACGGTGACGGGAGAGGCTTCATCCTGATACTCTTCCTCCGGGTGTCCTTGTCTGCGTCTTCTCCTTCGCCCATTATAGATGCTTTCTGCCCAATGTGCTGTGGCAAACTGTAGAGCCTTTTACGCATGGAGGAGTGCAACCTGTCCATTATGACATTGAGACACAGTGGTGGAAATGAAATAAATCCAGTTTGTTGGGCTGAATTGGAACGGTTATTGCCAGCAGCCCCGCGCTCCCCTATCTGTTTGTGAGAGCGATCAGTCTGGAGCTAATCTGTATCCCTGGAATCCTGCTACACATGACATGGACCGCCGTTGCTCTACTGAAGCAGATGAGATACACTCTTTTTCATAATTAGACTACCTGGCGGTTTGCATATGTCCTCACGCGCAGCCTGGGCGGTCTGCTTGGCCACTGCGTCCCCGATGAACATCTTTGTGCCGCTCCGACATTGTGCGCAAAAGTGGAAAAAACTGCTTGAAAGTCACCTTAGCGTGACATGTGAGGGACGTGCCGTCGGACCGTGATATGGAGACGAGGGAAAGGTCATGCACGACGAAGGATGCTCTTTTCACCAGATGTCTTCTCAGTTGCCATCAAACAACGCGACACAATCAAGCAAAATACAGTAGAGCATTCCAGGGAGCGTTGACATCACTGATCCATAGTCATGGTGCGTTTTGGCGAATAGTGAATATTCATGATGCTGATCTATTGGGTTGCCATAGGAGCGAGAACTGCAAATAAGCTCAGCCCACCTTGTTTAAAGGGGAATGCGCTTCCCATTCTTAAAACGCTCCTCTGTTCTCTCAGGTTAAGGCTACAGGTAGGCAACGCGAGCCCATTGTTCAGCCCAGCTGTAGGCTTCACGTGGAAGAACCAAGCACCCGTTCATGATCCCTAATCAGTCAGATCCTCTGCGTAATATATTCTACACACGGAACACAGCCAAGAAGGATGTTATGTCAAAAAGGGTTTTCCCATAGAAGTGTTGGCATGTGACTGTCCTTTCAAATGGAAATCAATATGATTTTATTTGATAAATGTCCAAAATTTGAAAAGATCACCTGATGAGCTAGGTACACCAGACTAGAAATGAGTTTAGTCTGTTGCATTAACATTAATTACTGAATCTTCCATCATTTTTCCAAATAAATGCGATAATAACTGCCTTCATCATAACTGGATTCTGGTGTCAATAAATCCCGATGAAGCCAAAATTAGGACATGACAGTTGCATTTGTAGTAAAGAAAATTATACCACATAACATTACATTCAAAAAAAGTTTTCTAAATATTTGTTTATATTGTAATTAGTGCTGGCTTGTTTTATGTATGCTCTTCATTGCAAATATCCTGACAAAATATTATTAAAATTTCCCACAAGAAAATGTGAGTGTAGCAAAAGTGCTCACACAAAACAAAGCCAACACCATTTTAAACAAATCATAAACTTTTCCCTACCAGATTCTCACAGGACTAAATTTGATTAAATAATGCATATTCTATTACAAGGTACAATATTGCATTCAATTCAAACATAAGCGCCTTGTTCAAAGTGTTGCAGTCAGCATAATCCTGTGGGTCTTCGGCTTGTTATCCAATTTAGGAGTTATTTCTTACTTTGATGGATTTGCATTTTGCCACTCAGTCTCATTATTCAAATATAAATGAAAAGTATTGAATTCTAGCCACTAAACCGTGCAACAGACCCCACTGTCTTCACTGTTGTTTGATTCCAATCAAGCACAAAATTCAAGTATAGTCTATTTGTAAAGTTTTAGTTATAAGCTCATTGCAATGCAAAGGGAGAGGGTTCATGTAAGCAAATGAAGTACTGTGGATTTAAATGCACTGATCAGAGAAGCAAACCTCAGGGATCATCTTATTTCTTTGGGCATTTTGGCATCTATGACTTAACTAGAAGACAACTTATTGTACTTTACAAGAAAATTTAAATCTAAGTTTCACACCACCTAAGTTTCTCTAATGAAGAGCTCCTGAAGTTGTTATGAGCTGAGTGTTTTGTGTAGTGCACTTCTTGGTAGTATTTTTATCATTTCCTCCATTTCAAACATTGCGTTTGCTTCTTAAATAGCCTACTTGTGGAACAAAATTAAGAGCTTACATAGTTTGTCTGATATTGTACTTTTTTGACATCAAATTTTGAGCCTTGAAGAATACTGTGCAAGTTACACAAAACAAGATTGAACAACAAGAAAAAAAACTAATCAGAAAAATGTCTTATTCTGAACTGCTTTGTAGAAGTGTGAGAGATTAAAAATAAAACATACTAATTTGTGTCATCATATTCCCTACCAGTACTGTTGCATGCATGTCCAACGTTGGCAGATATACCTGAAGAAAGAAAATAGGAGATTAGACCAGATGTTGACAAGCAAACTGCTCTGAGACATACAAGAATTGACAGTGAAATTCACTAATATTTCAGTCAGGTCATAATTGCGACAAAGATGGGCTTTATCAGTTGAAATAACAAACTGTATATAATTTTTAATAGTATGAGGAAAAAAAATCTTTCACAAGATCATGTCTCGCCATGTGGTATAGGGGAGAGTGAGGTAAGTTGAGCAAAAGGGTAAGTTGAGCCACCCCCTGTTGCTTGGAAATGGTGAAAGAAATTGATTATATGACCAAATATTTAGGAGATGGGCATCAATTCATGGAGTCTGTGAAGGTTAGAAGCACATTGGTGAAGGGGTTTGACATTTATTTACAAAAAAACAAAATTTTTCACTCTTGAAAGTGAATTTAGTTTGTCACAAGTTTTATTAGAATTGCATTCAGAACAAAGAAAGATCATATTAAATTTGTTTTATACATCAATTGTGGTATCTATGAGCTACAACATGAGGTCAAAAACCTAGCATAAAAGTCCACCATTTTAGCTTAGAGGACCAATAAAGTCATCATAGGAGTTCTGGGGTAAGTTGAGCCTGTGGCTCAACTGAGAAAGTAAATGAGTTTGATGAGAGGATCAGAGTTTCAGTTCAGATTGTTAAAAATGTGTTACTTTTTCTTTTCAAAAATACAGCTGTGAATGTTCTGAATCACTTAAAGACATTCTCATGTTAAAATGAGTTTTTACAAAACAGCTTTTTAGCAGTTATATGCATTAATAATAAGAAGAATTATTTTACCAGTTGAATAGTGTATAATTAATAAAAATAAAATGAATGTGAAGAAGTTATGTTATTTAGGGAGAGAGAAGTTGAGGGAGGGCTGGGGTGGAGAGTGGAGGGGTAGTACCGCTCCTGTGGTCAACTTACCTCATACACGGGGTAAATTGACCATAGTAGACCCCTTTTTTTAGGCATGCTATATGATCAAGACAGTTATGTTTATACTCATTCAGTTGATTTGCAGGGATGCACAACATCTTGAAATATACGCAGATACACTAGTTAGAGACAAAACTATGATTGCCTTGATGAAGTGATCTGAAATATGAAAAATGGCCGATCTTACCCCACTCTCCCCTATGTATGGGTCAACAATACATCTGTACACACATGGACTTACCTTTAAACACGCAGAAATCCTCCCTGTACTATATAGTAAAATGGTGCAAGCATGTAGAATTAAAACACTCCTTATTTACTTACTTTATTTGTGATGGAAACTTGAGAGAGGCCTGTCTTCTTTATAATCCGTTTACAGTTCAACAGCAACGGGGTTCAGAAAGCGCGCGAACAACTTCCACAGCAGCTCCTCAAACCTCGGGTAACTAACTCCACCAAAAGCCTGAAAATATTGACAGAAACAACTTAACTACCGAAAATGGCAACCTGTCAGGGGTGGAGACTGAAACGCTATGGTCGTTTCATCCCTGGTTCAGGAGAAAAAGGAGGAAAACCGTGGAAGGTAACTACTGTATAAGCATTTGTTTGAGAAGTTTGCCAGGAGTCAGTCCCGACGTTAAGAAGCTAGCTCACTACTACTGGGGGTTGTCCAGCTTCAATTAATCCAATATAAATCGTAGTTTCGACGCTAGCGGTATAGTTATTGCAAGTATACTGAGTCATGATACAGTCATAGAGTTCTAATTCATTATTTTTCATAGTTTAATAAAGTTTTTTTCTGCTAGTTACAGTACCTCTGGGTCTGTGCGGCCTTATGACTGGGTGAGGCCTCCCAAGCTTCACCCTGTAGTTTTCAGAGGAGCCCGGGGTACAAGTCGTTAAATGTATCAAGATCCCAGCCCCTTCCTCTTAACAGGAAATTTACGGCAGAGCGGTTCATTTCTGGGTAGTTTACTAAAACCATCTACGGTTTCCTGCATCTGCTGGGGCTTGGGGAGTGTGTGGTAGGCCTAGCTAGTGCACGCATACAGGTGAGCCACCTGGCTAGCGAGCTAGCGTTGCTGTTTCTGGGCTTCAGTAGTGGGATCACAGGAGTCGCGTTTAGCCTCCATGTACAAGTGGTTCAGTGGGAAGGAAACAGCAAACAGGTATTGTTGGTTACGCATTTGCCCTTCTGTGTTGTGTATGACCAGGATTGAGTCTTTCAATACGTGTTCAGTGGAGATAGTCAGCATGTGTGTGTACAAAACCGTTTATTTGTTTTAACTACAATAACAAGCGCCGATATGGTATCACCAGACCACTTATAATGTAAAAGTACAGGCTCCATAATTAATTGTTGTAATATACCCTTCAACTCCAATGTTTGGAGTGATATTGACTCAGGGCCTATATAAGGTGAAGTTATTGAATATTTTGCAGTATCTTCTGTCAGTATTTTACTTTGTAGAAACTCTCTGCTCACTGAAGTCATGGCTGGCTGTGCAGAGAAGCTTGTTCTTAGGAGCCAAAAATTATGATAAATTTATTGTCATGCGTGAAAATAGGTGCAAATGAGGCAAGCAACATTTTCTTGATTAATGTCCTGCTACAAGGTCCAATATTTATTTCACTTATCAAGATAATTTGGACTTGAAATGTGATTGAAAGAAGAAGAACTGAGATGAATTCACACCATCCAGATAGGCTGCTGTCAGGCAGGTAATGGAATGCTTATCAAAAATTTTTTGATAAAAGTACTGACTTTAAAAAAATGGCTTGATTAGACACATCTCGTCATTCTGACACAATTTGGAAGAAAAGGTTTGCCAGGCTGTAAAAGCTGCAACCGAATGTTGGGATTCCTGGTTACAATAGTTCATTTTGAAAAAAGGGAAAGCAGCAAAGCCTTATTATACAAAGCTGTTACAGGGTTTGGAAACACTGTGGCATTATGTTAAAAATATATCAGTTCTCTCTTCTTATCTCTCTGAGGAGCTAGAATGAGGATAAAGTAAAAGTACAGTGATCCAGGAAGTCAGGATGAATACTTTTACTTATGTTGAAGAGGAATTTCCGAAAGTCAGGTGACATTCTGTTTATTTGTGTTTGCTTGTTGTGATTTTATTGTTGTAAATCCCCACATCTGGACTGGGTACTCCAGTACATCTTTGTTGTAAAATTATTATCTCTGGTTGACTTCAGCATGGAAAAGGAAGTTTTTTTTATGTTGTCATACAGGATGTATCGGTTAAAGATTAATTACTAGTAATTTGTCTATATCTGTAGGTTTTGAGTAATCAATTATTTATTTTTTTTAAATGATGAAATGTTGGAAATGCCTGTCTTTCACGAAAATATTTAGGAACACAAAGTTTTACAGTATTGTGTACAACATTAAAGCAGGAAAGAAAGTTATACCTCTTATATTACAGAAACTCTAAAAATGTAATGTTTTATCAGCTTTTGTCTTCAGTTATGGAGGCTGACCAATTAAAACTTTGTGTGAGCTGTTATAATTGAGTTGAACAGCTCTGAGATGATTTGTGAAAATGGACAGACATTTAAGTGAGGATTGAGTGAAGGACCATACCTTCACAAACCACAATAGTGAAATCTATTAAATAAATATGGCCATCAATAACTTCATAAAGGACGCATCTGCCTTGTGAGAAACATCTTTATTTTTTTACAGCACCAGCAATCAGGTTTCATTTAGGACTGAAGAGAACCTAGCATGACCTCTGACCACTCTACAGCTTTGCATTGCCAATTGTTACTACCAGGACACTCTTGTATAAGAGATTTTCAACTTAGTGAGTCTTCTCGAGTAAAGTTGAAATAAAAAAGTCTCTTCTCTTCACCAGGTGTTTGAGGCCACTGGCAATAAACCAGGAATTTTTCTGCAAATTTTGGAATCTGGATACCTTCTGGTATTGCAAGGGCAGGAATGCTTGGTAAGTTGACTGTGTGGTTGTATAACCATTTTTTTTTTCATTTTTTATTTTTTTTTAAAATGTATTTTCACTGTATCGGCAATAACACAGCACCTGAGGCGCTCTGTTTTAGATCGGTCTGATTCTGATTTTTGTGGTGTAATTATATATCCAAGAAAGAAAGACAGACAGACAGAAGGAAAGCGCTATTTTGGGCTTCCAGTCTGGATGTGCAAAAGAAGTGGTTCAAAGTGTCACAAGCAAAAGTTATTTGAATGAATTTCATTGAAAAAAACTACTCACCGTTGATGTGAGTATTTAATAAATTAGAAGGGGTTATTATACAGTATACAGAAACTAATGTAAAATAAACCTTTACCATCTTTACTTTGGACTCCAGCAGGTGTCATTGCTCCAGACTCTTGAGCTCAAGCCTTTGGATTGAAACTCTGTAATTTAAAAACAAACATGGCTGTGAGGAGTATTTCTGAAAATCACTGAAGGCTGCAGCTGCAGTTGTCAGGCTCTGTGAGTCACAGTTGTCAATATTAGTCGTCATCAACCTCATGAAGGAAACATTGAGTGAATGCTATACTTTTATTAGATACAGTGTGACTCAGTGAGATTCATGAAGAAGCCAGGGCTCTTTCGTCTCACTATTTTAATGTACAGATAGGAGAAATGGGAATATTTTCAATGAATAGGATTCAGATTCTAGACTTAAATGCCCCTGCTCTTCACCCTCCCGTCGGTGATGCTGGGGTACCTTTGAGGACAAGAGGATCCTGTGATGCATGATAACTACAACCAATCATCTGTGATTTTTTTCACTCGTGAAAATGTCAGTCAGTATAAAGTCTTTGTACTGATGGTTTATATTTGATCAGTTTTACAAACATGTCTTCAAACAGGTGCATTTTAACTAACCCTCACTCTATACAAAAACTGTACAGAAAGGGGAAAGGGGCCTGTTACTATTTAGACAGATAAAAACTCACTCTTAGTTTATGCCTGTAAACTGATAAAATGTAAATAATAATAATAATGTTAGTGAGTTTTATGTATTGTTCGATAACACTGGGGTTAAGACTGAGATGCTTGTTGTGAAGTCCTTTAAGGATAACTTGAGAGTTTATTTTAATGTGTAAAGCAGAAATCTGCTTTGTTGGTTAAAGGTCAGGGTGAGCTCTGTTAGTTATTCTGCCCAAGAGCTTGACATTTTCAGCTCAAATCTGAGGAGCTGTGACCAGATTATTTGGTCGGTTCAAGTCATATATTCCTCATAAAAATTTTGAGTACTGATTTAAAATATGTTTAAGAACATTAGCCTCAGTAAACACAGGGTAAACATTTGCTTAGGACAATAGAACATTTCATCTCTGTACAACTAGAACCAGAAATCCTGAAATTCTACACCAAAAATAATGAAAATCACTGTGTGATCAACCAACTTCTGTAGCAGCTGACCTGTAGGCATGTTTCACTGCAAGGCCTGGTTTCTAAAATGCTGGAAATCACTACCACAGGGCTTTGTACAAGTTATTGTGGCCATTAGACAGAAAGTTAACTACCTGAGCTGCAGACAAGAGAAATTTGGGGGCTATTCAGTGTCTTATTAATGGAGCTCTGGCAGGTGACACAGCTATCTTGCTGTGCCAGGGTGCAGAGCGAGACAGGTATTCAGGTCAGGCTGCAGAGAGCTTTCACCAGGGATGATAGACTGGTCTATTATAGATTGGTGCAGTGAATACTCAACTTTCAATGCAGAGAGCTTTGGCCTATAGGTTACATCATCAAGTCAGAAGGAAACTTTTGGAAATGTCTTTGAACGAAACATAAGTTTTCTGTGTCAGAAGAACCAAAGGGTTTTCTCCTGAGCCTTGGCGCTCTCCTTAAAAAATGTATATCATGACTTGACAGGCATCATCCACAAAAATGAGTTCAGCCCCCTTGTAAAATGCATATGGATCTGGCATTAATTCTTACCTAACACGCAACAGATGGTGACTACTTAAAAGGAAACCAACCAGTTAAGTGTTTGAGAAACATGTTGGCCCACTATGTACCACCAGAGAAGCTTTACTTGTTCTTGGCAAAGCTTCAAGACACTACTGAAAGAAAGAAACTGCATCCTGTAAAAAGTTTCCCCACATCTCACATGATGATGATGATGAGGAGGAGGAGCGCTGTGCCATCGCTTGCCAAAAATCCACAGGCCATGAAACATGATCCTCATCACTGTTAGACCGACACATTTAACAACCCCTGTATGGTCCTGTATGGAAACATCTATTAACTTTGTCCTTATAGAAGTTTACACTCTAAATAGTGTGCCTCAATTGAATTTATATATATTAATACGATATATAGATGGAAGTTGTATGTTGCACAAGTACAACAACTCCCTGGTAGGCTGGTACAGTGTCATTGTTTCAAGGACAGCTCTGTTTTCATTCTCTGATAACTGATTGAGGAGTCAGAAGAAATGTGTTCATAAAGCACATCCAATAAATAAACAGGTCCTCGTGAAGAGCTATTGTTCGTATGTGTGCCTTTTTGATTGTTTACATTTAATAGCTTACACCAAGCTTCAAAGATGGTGTTGCTGGGTAAACAGAGACCCCTGCAGACAGTTTTAGGTAACTGTTTTTTCCTGTGTCATCTTGATAAAACTATAATGTCTTTTTATCTGTCTATGAATTGAATCGTGTGTTTGCATGGGTTGATTAGATTAGATTAGATAAGAATAGATGATATTGAACTTCATTGATCCTAATGGGAAGGTTCCCTTCGAAATCAAAAGAGCATTTATGAAACATTTACTTAAATTTAGCTTGACTTGGTGCATTTTAAAGGAGAGACCTTAAATAATTTCAAATAAAAAAACTCTATTTTGTATGTAATAAGAGAGTTCATTTAGCATGAAGTTGGAAAGATCTGTCTTCTTTCTGTAAATGAATGTTTTTGCTTCTTTTTTTAGGATACAGTGCCTCTGCTCTGTGCCTCAGGTTCTCTCAAAGTGCACCAGAAGTCGGATAACCTCATGTTTCAATTTATTGTGGGGGTGAGTCATGATATATATTGAAATTCAAAAGTTTTATATTTGCCAAATATCTTTGCCTATGGCTGAATCTCTGAAATTAAATCATTATTTTACAAATAGAGAGGAAAATTAAACACCTCCAGTGTGTGTTTTTAATTAATGAATATGATCTTAACTTTGGTTGTCAACTATTAATAAAAACAAATTGCTGTTGAAGACAGTACTCTGATTAAAGTAATGTGTTAAGACTCCCTGCTCCCTGAATGTATTTGTGGCCTCCTGTAGGGAGAGAGCCGCATGATGAGGATGCAGTTTGATGGAAGTAGCAAACAAGAGGCCGTCAAGGAGTGCACCAGTGCTGTGGAGAAACTAACGGAGTACATACCTGTCACTACACAGAAAGACACCCTGCCGCCCTCTAATCAGACTCTTGCTGGGAAGTCTGCACCGGTGAAACAGGTTGCCTGCTTTATACTTCAAGGAATAAAAATGTAGTATTTTATCCAGAGTTGATGTACTGCCCAAGTGTTATGTATATTCAGTGTGTAGCTTGTAGGTATCCCAAATTTGTGGCTCTAAAAAAGGTGTAAGCTTGAACGTGAGAATCTGGTTTGTGTCTGTGAGGAATCTCTTTTACCTGCATCATCTGTATGATGTTCAATGTCTCTGTTCATCATGACGTGTTTTATTAAAGAAAAATATCTACATTTTTCAGATTAATACATTATAAAGTCATAATTGATTTTTTGAGCAACAGTATTGTCACAATGCTGTGGTGAACTCCACAAACCCACACAATATTATGCACACTAGATGGTGCTATTCACAATACTGTGTTGTTCTCTGTGGTGATACAGAGGCCACACCAGGTGGACTGAGATAATGTGTGTGCTGCATAGGAATCAATAATCAATCATAACACATTATCTGGTGTAGAAATATTCCACTTCTTAAACACACTCAAAGACAGGAACATAATTCAGTAGTTAAATTGATTTTTAAAAATAACCAAATTGGCACACAGTAGAAAAGCCATAGAAAAATAATTCTCTGTTTAGACTTTGACTGTCCAATTATTGAGCATGAAAACAAACAGTTTTGCCCCAATCATAAAATAATGGTGCAAATCAGTCATGCAATACAACTCAGTCAAAATGAATGACTTACTGAAAAATTGCAAGTGCTTTATTGTACGATTGTGATTTATTTTCTTTTGAGTCTTTATTTTTGGTACATTTAAACTGAGAGCACAGTTGATTCTGAGTAAAACGCGTATCCAGCCACCTTGCTAACAGCATTCAGCATGAGGGACTGAGAAAGGAACGGACCCTGCCGTGGGTCTGAATGTGACCTTTAGTGAACAGACCCTCTGAAGGAGTTCACAGTGCAGATGAAAGGGCTTTGAGGACTGGATATCTTTCAATTAGTAATGAAGCCATAGATTGGCCTCTTAACCCTGTGGTGTCATGCCATGTTCGTCACATCTCTGTTTCTTCTTCTTTCCTGTGTGATTGTGTGTCAGCAGACTTCGCAGGGGAAGGCTGCAGGAGCTGAGCCTGAAGTTGTCAAAGGAACTCTGTCCATCAAACGTCTTACCCAGGTATCACTGTGTAAAAGTGAGACATAACCTCAAACAACATTTACAACCTCATTAATATCAATGTTCTCATCAATTTTATAAGAGGTGCAGGTTGCTCAGTAGGGTCACATCCTTAAAAATTGTGAATGCTTACATGATTTGCTCTAACAGCTGTCTCTTCATTTATACTGATGCATTTATTGGACTTTCCTCAGCACTTCATAGGAGGGACTGCTTTGACTCTGCCCCGAGTCTATCACCCCAGCTCTGTGGCCCAGCTTGACCTGGAGCCCGTCCTGCGTATGTGTCTTCTTGATCCCAGCTTTCCTGCGTTTGTGGAGAATGTGGAGGGGGAGCTGAAAAAACTGCTTGCAGAGTAAAGAATCTCAACTGCAGCTGAAGGCGAAAGGTCAAGTTAGTGCAATATGTTCTTTCTTATACAGATTGTGTAGGCAGTGCCTGGTGGTGGTGGAGTGTTTATTGCTCTGCTGCTGTTCTTTTTGAAATGTTGTTACACGTTAGCTGTCATAGTGTAGGGCCTGAAGAGGGGAATTTGAAGGGTTTTTTAAAATTAGGCTGTTGCAGAAGGATCCCGCAAAATAAAAACAATCTCAGGCAAAAAAGAATTTCAATTTTTTTATTCAGAAAAAAAATATTGGTCTCACTCATATGTTTGATCGTGGCTATATACTCTGGTCCCTCTGTTCCCACCTTGATGCAGGTCCATTTCCACCTCAACACACATGGATACATTGTATTGAAACAGGAGTCATGCAGCTACAGCAGTGAATTTTGCTATGCCCGCTTCCAAGTGATTCCAACAATATTAAAGCTTCACTGAGTAAAACAAACTGCCCTCCATAGATCTATTTAAGAATACATATTGCATAGGATTATAGCCATGCTATACAGTTAAAGAGAAAAATAAAAAATAAAAATCAATAAATGAAATAGGGAAATATAAAAAAAATATTTTTTTATACAGATTTCCTATCATTTGAACACTCATACTTTAAACATATACAAGACACCTAAGTTACTCTGGAAAGAAAAGAAAAATAATACACATACCATTTTTGTTTAGATAGTTAAACACACAGTTGTCATTTTCTGTAATCACTCTCAATTGAATTTAAATACTGCCAGTCATTGAAGCCCTTGCTTCACGATAAAAGTTCTGTTAAAAGTGGGCTTCACAAAATCAAATCTAGTTAACTGACCATGATATGCTGTACAAATTTTCAAGAATAAAACTAACTAACTATATATATATATAGATATGTATATATTAATATACATATGTATATATTGAATAGGGATGACTCCATAAAAAAACATAGGTCATTTCAGATGCAAAAAAAGCCACACGAGGGATAACAACAGAAAATGTCTATTCTGAGTATCCTATTGCGTTATCATCTTGCATGCATTGTACATGATATGTAATACAAAAGGGATCACCTCATTTGAGGATATGATGAAATCAATAAAGGAGACACAAACAGCACATTAAAAATGTGTACACCTTTGTGGTGGTTTTAGTCATTATTTGTCATCCTGAAATCTCCACGTTAAGACTGAATAAGGCATGCTTAAGACAGCCATTATGTTCTTTTTGTTGCCAGTGTTATGCTGATATTGTTTCTCATAAAATGAGACAAGATATGCTTTTTTCAAAACTGCCTGGAGCTCCATCCACCTCTGACACCTTCATGTAGTCCAAAAAACGCAGTTTAGCCATCTCGTCTGTGAAGAGAAAATCAAGAGAAGGCGTGACTATGGATAATCCTCCCAGAGAGTTCTATATTTAGCCCCCATCCTCTACAACAGCGTCTTACTTGAGTAAATTGCTTATTTTGTATTCCTCTGGCGAATGTTTTTGTCCTTGTGGTTGTTTGTTGAATTTGTTTTCCTAGAAAAGAGGTACTGTAGTTAGGATTAAGTGGCCTAAAGGAAAGAATGATTTTGAATGTAAGAATATGAATAAGTGGCTATATACTTACATTGGTCCAACTGGTTCATCATCTTTGGCAGGAGAGGAGAAAGAGGACAAAACACACAATACAGATGTATTAGACGAATACAAACAAAATAGACATTTACCTTCATCATTTATCCATTACTGCAAAAATAGGTCTTTACTTTAATGACATGTTTCAGGAACAAAGTAAGCAGTGGGACTTTTGTAGCTTCTTGCAATAAAAAGGGTTTTTTGGATGATAAAGCCTTGCTGAAAGGTGGTTATAATCTATCTGTGAAGAATAACTATATTTTCCTGAAAGTGTGTCTGGTATATATTTGCAATAGAAATTGAAATGTTCAAAAAATGAGGCATGTGGTAGTCTCTAATGTAACCACATCTTTAACGCCTTGCATTGTAAACTTAACCCCCCATGCCAGCTGATTCTCATGGGGTTTCTTTTCATTTCAGACCGAGCATATGTGTAGGAGGGTTACAGATGGCTCACTTAAAGCCATCTTTTAATTACACTCAGTAATTTCATAATGGTTTCAGATGAGCCTTGTACTTGGGTGTGATACTGTGACCGACTTGGCATAACAACATGAATCTCTTCAAAGCTTTCTCCCAGCATCTAGATGTCATATCAGTTTCCTGAAACGTACAGTAATTTATGTCTGAATGTACTTAGTATATTCATATTACATCCACAGAATTGATGATGCACATATTTAAATGATGATTTGTCAGCTGGACCAGAGCACACAGTTGGTGTTTTCATCACGATACAACAGTGCAGTAACAACATACATTAAAATGTGACATTAAGAAACACTGCAGGAAGAGAAAGTGGTGAATAACAGTGAAAATTGTTGCAGTGAGAGACAGTTAGTTCAAAAATCAACAGCCTTGGGGTTGACATGGTGGTAGGTGTTTTGCATAAGGATGAAAATGTGTTGACCAGTAAGTCACCGGTCACAGTGAGGTATTTTCCATGCAGTTATAAGTCAGAGATTAGCAGCATTAGCAGCATTCCATGGCATTAATATGGAGCAGATTATGGCAGTAAATAATAATGTCAGACAAAAAAATGGGTCTGTGATTACTTGTAGGAGGAACATCTGTCACTGCACACCAGTGTTTCACACCTCACATCTGAACACCACAAAAACTGTTTGTGCTGTGATGGCCTTATAAATCACATAACAAATAACAGGTTTTTGCTGTGTGGGGGTTGACAGTTGATAAGAATCATAGTGTAGTATTACGTCTGACTTGACTGGTTTTAGTAAGCTGTTTACGTAACTCTAAAAAATATGTTTCCATCTTTGAGCTATTACATGAAAGCTGATGATCACACAGCAAAATCAGTCATTTTAGCATCTGGTTTTGAAACACTGGATAGAAATGTCAGCCTCTGCCTCCGAGCCCTTGGCTGTGAAGAATAGAAGTGTTCAAATAGCTAAGCCGTCAAGAGACCGAATTCATAATGCACGCAGACGGGGGCAAAGACCACCGGGAATATGGGATACTAAAAGGAGATTTTAGACAGGCTGTGCATCGTGAGCAGGGAGTCCTCATTCCTGATTTGAACGGCATAAACATGGCAGATATAATCCGCCTTAATCGCTTCATTTTTCCGGTAGATGAAACCAAACTAGCAGCCATCCATGCTCAGAGCTTACTTAAGTTGTTTTGTCTGTGTGTGCATGCGCGTTTTAGTGCGTTTGCGTGCATGTGTTAGTACTGAAGCATGTTTTTATAATTTTAAGCTTTTTCTTTTTTTTTTTCTTTTGATCAAATAATTGAACATTTTAACAGGTTACAAACATGATTTCATTACTTTTATTCATTGCTTTGGAAAAAAAAACCCTGCAACTGTAAGTCTTAGAATTTAGGTTTGAAGAGATAAGAAATTGAACTATGTAAATATATTTGACTTCTAAATAGTAGCATACTTTTTGCCGAAAAGATGTTTTTTGTTGGTCATTAAAATGACTTTTCTTTACCAGTTACAGTGTTGATATTATGGAATAATATTAACAGTGAACTCCTAATTCGATTTATTGCAGTTCATCAGCTCTCAGCATGATCTGCTGTGAATATGCTGAATTTAGAGACAGAGCAAATGGTAGACAGAAATTGCATTACATCCGTTGAACCCCTAAAGACATTGTAGCCTAAAACAGGTCTATCTTCTTTATTTTCTTTCATATTTGACTAATTGAATATTTACTTTGTGGACTTGGTAAATGAAAAGCAGGATGCGCCCTAAGGCTTCATTTCTTCTCTTTGTGTATAGTATGGTGCACAACAGTTCTCTACTAAGCATGATTCATTCATTATAAGCAGGGTGACTGTTGGGGTTTTGCGTCTTGCGTGTCTTCATCTTTTATCCGAAATGAGAAGGAGACAAAACCACATGAGTAGAGGTCAGACAAAACCTCTCATGATTGCTGGAAATGCCTTTGGGCTTTCTAGACATTTTGATCTTTTGACATTCTTATCTTGTTTTTTTTTTTTGCTAAATGAAGCTGATCTCAGAGGATGTTCAATAAACAAAATTGAGTATGTTGGAATGTACTTTCCACACACCAGTAAAATATCATGACAGAACATTGATCCATGATTCAATTCATGAAGAAGTTGTCTGTTTTCTCTTTATTTTCATCTAGATATATGTGTTCAGATTCAGATCAGAATTGCTAAGTAGTAACATGGAAGCATTGAAGATTTTCTCTTGGTGGTGCCCAAGTGTTAATTTTGGACACAAACTCCACTTTCTCCACATTTTTTATTATTACATTATGTCATGGCAGTTTGTGATGACGATATTTATGATGATTTGGAAAAAATTACAGAATATATTATTAGTGACTGGCTGCTGCTTCTAAACAATGGCATTTTTATTATTCCTGTTAAAAAGGGTTAAATTCTGAAAATTAATTTTGAAATATGTCCTCAAACGTGAAAGTTTGACAACATTAGCCCCTTTGTCTGTTGTTACACACACCTGTTTGTTCTCTTGTAGATTTCCTTACTCAGAAAACTCCCTTAATCCACTCGCAATATTTTCTCCTACGTGATCCTTGGGAAATTAGCTGGTTTCAAGACAGGAGTTGTGCAGCTTCCAGTCGTAGCCTATGTAATTGACCGTCGGGCTGATATAGGGTTCAGAGATTCGGCTCGACCACGTCTGTCGCACAGGCGATTTTATTAATTAAGTGTTTAAAGCCTTCCTTTCCGACAGCCTGAATTGGCTTTATGTCTTTGGCCAAACAATACATGACCGCTTCGGTAATGTCCTGCCACCGTCTGTGTTTTTTATTGACGGAGTGCTGGGAGTGCTCCTGCAATGCTACGTAGAGCCATTTGTTCACTTTTACTCTGAACACCAGTAGCTGCTTTCACATCCTCATTTCATGCCTTCAAAGCCTGCTGATATTTGGCCGTGTGTTTTAGCTTTAGGTGGTAAAAATTATTAGCTGTGTTAGCCAAACCACATCCACACCACAGGGGTAGCTCCCTTTTTGGGCACTAGATCCTCATTTGAGGACTAAGTTGACACTGCTGTGCTGCTCTCGCTCTCTGACGTTGTTATGTATGCAGTAGGGAACGTCATACGTCATCACGTCCCTACCGTGTAAATACCGCAATATGACAAATTTATATCGCCAACAAAATGTACACCTGTATACCATACTGGGTATGATATGGCACACCCCTATGTATCAAACTCATGAAGAACTTGAGAAAAATGGCCAGTTTTTGAAAAGATTGAGTTGAATTGCACTACATCCTAATTAGGGTTTGAATCGAATTGTATGGTATCAGTAGTTGAAGCTATATTTCTAATGCATCCAGTTGACAATGTTTTGAGATGTGTATTGTATCAGCCTCACACCAGAGAAGCTCAAATCCAGTACTTTCCCATATATGGAGTCTGCCCTCTTGACTAACTGGCTCTGAAACGGGAACAGTTGGGGTAGTTGGTTTGCAGCAGTAGTGCATAATTTCTTATGTTATAATATGTAATTGTAGAGTCATCTACAACACAGTTATCGTCCATACAGGTAAATTGCAATGGCCCTAATTTTGAATTATATTTCAGCTTACTGAGGAAACAGTATTTTTTAAGCAAGGGTTGTTTACCCCAATTAAGTGTAAAATTATGCTGGTGGTTTGGACTGAGATATATGAAAATATGAGACATATGTTTTGCTTACCATCCTGCCAACATATCTAAAGACTCTTTTTCTTTGGATCAGTTAAAAAAAAAAAACTTGAATCAAACATACCACCTGTGACAACATGTTGAACATTATGGATCAAGGTAATGGAAGAGAAAATTATCAAAAATAGGTTTTTCCTTTAATTAAATGAACTCAGTTTACACGGTTAATACTTTGGTAAGGGTCAAAATGTTTCTGGATGGCTTGTGGAAACATACAAACTGACAAAAAGTAAAACAATCTCCAAAATCATGCAGGATCTCTCACTTACCACCCGTTAAGATTATGTTGCCATAAGGAAAGAAGGAGGAGGGAAAAGAATAGTAACTAATCAAGTTATCGGCGACAGGCTGCAGGATGATAACCCTCACAAGTTTATGAACTTCTCACCCAACAAAGACACAAATGCCCCTGTTAACATCGTCATTAGAAGAGCACACAAACTGGTTAGCTGTTTAAAATACTGCAACACTTGGACAAAAACAGCAATGCCTGAAAAGGTTCAAAACTGAAGGGAAAATACTAAAAGCCAAATCTCATACTTGTTTAAAAGTTCATAGTGACAGACCAAATGTTTGCTTACCATCGATGAAGTCGTCTGGCTTCTTGCGCTTCTCGTACACAACGATGATGACTACTAGGATTAGAATTTCTGCAAGCACACCCAGGAAAGGCCAAAGTGGTGCAAGATTGCTGCGCACCCGCAGGATAGTGGTCTCTGCAGTGTTTCCGATCACGTTGCTGGCATTGCATTGGTATACTCCAGGGTCTGTTTTTAAATCCAGGTTTATTATGTTAAGCTCTGTGTAGTTGTCTCTGCTGGTGATGAAAAAGCGCCCAGTGGAGTTGTCGATGTCCTGAAACACATTGACGAATTTGAAAAGTTAATGACAGTGAAAACACACTGAAGCTACATAATTTGAAGGAGGCGTATAGCATGATCTCTCAATCTCGCTCCGTCTCTCAATTGGGTTCTTATTTATAAACCATACACATTTCATCCTACCGTATAAGATGTGCCGTCGACTTTACGCCATGTCCAGGTGGGATGCGGGTAACCAACAGACTTGCAGTACATCATTGCATCTTCTCCCTCGTTTTTATTTTCACTCCGTTTGTGACCAATGATGTCTGGCTTTGCTGGACAGGTGAAATAAACAGATAAAGTTGATCATTAGCTGCGTTGGCAGAAGTAGGACACACAAAGGGCCGTTGTAACTCCTAACAGATGGCATGAAGGAGGGAAGCATGATTGGCTGTTCTGACTATAGTAATAGTACGTGTTATTCAGATGTCTGTGAGAGCAGTGTAATTAAAGATCCTCCATAGAGGGGTTGATTTGCTAAAGCTGCTTAGTTCCCTTTTGAATTTCCCATCACTTGGAGAAAAAACTTACTTAACAAGCTCTTTTCAGATAGTTTCCACATTCAAATGCATCACAATGCGTCATATGGTTTCAGTGGCATCAGTATTCTATTTAGTGTCTTGCATAAAGCTCACTGGATTTGTTTTGTATCAAATATAATACATTTTCAGTCTAACTCCTCTCTTACTTCACAGTCTTCTCAAGTTTCCCTTTCCAATTCTTATTTCATAAAAGCTAAACACAACAGATGGCAGCTTTAGCTTGTATTAAAGGGTTTTTCTGTTATATTTATTATTTTGTGCAATTTTCTCTCAAACTACCGCTCCAGAAATTCTTCAACCTTGGTGCGCTGTCAAAACTTTATGGGGCTTTAACTTTGTAATGTTTTCAAATAAAGAGGCTTCTCTCTACGTGATGAGATTTATAGTAGATTCCTGTCTGGCTGAGATTAGAGACATTATAATCCAATGCAGCTCTTCACCATGTCTGAACAAAAGATGCCCAAATGAAGGGGTGGACTAGTGGAACATTGTTCTTTAAAAAAAGCTCTTTTTTGGCTTTGTAGTTTTTTTTTTTGCATGCCTCTCCCCTCCCCCATCAACCATCAGACCCAGCAGAAAAGGACTTATACTGTGGAAGAGATAAAGCATTTCAGTACAATACATAATGAGGTCATGAAAGAGGGGGGATCAGTATGTAATATGAGCTTCCAGATGTTCCCATTCAAAATGATTCCACAGCGAATTCCACAAAATAGGAGCAATGAGAATTGACCCTGACTAATAAAAAAAAGGTATTGAATTTAATAAATTTAGGCATATGCCAAGAAGCACTGCAACCAATGCCAAGTCAAACTGATGCATTAATTGAGCGAAGTCTCCCCCAAAGGTTAAGCAGACACGCCATGTTGCTGTGCACAGCATCAAGAAGATATCTGCTCCTTCTTTTCCACTAATCCCTAAAATTACAATAATTCTTTCCATGCAATTAAACAGGATAAGGTAGAAGCCTGGAGTGAGCATTTTTTTTTTCAGCTGCACATGGATAATGGAGCAGGAGGGGTCTGAGCTCTCTTGGTGACATCACCCTGCTCTAATTATGGTGCACACGTGCTCTCTGAGCGGGGGTGTGGCCAAGCTCATTTGTGCTTATCGTGACTGTATTATGTCAGTGAGTGACAGCGCAGAGACAGCCCTCAGAGTGGTGCTAAAACAGACTGAAACCTCCATTTCACACCCCCAACTATGCTTACAATGATCACTAATCTGACTGCGCTAGACAGAGGTGACGTGACACATGAATGTGAGAGAAATGTGTGAGAGGAAAAAGCAAGGTCGAAGCTGCCAGGAAGACTACCAGAGACCTGGTTAAGATGACATGAGATGTAAAAGGCACTCTAAATGCCGTCTGTCCTGTGTATAGCCACATGTGAGGATTTTGATCTTTTTTAATCTTACAAACTTGAGTGAAAACAGTTTTCTCAAGGAAAATAAGAAACTAGTAATACGCATATTCAGACACTTTCTTCAAGAAATGAAATATGAGGCACTAAATATGTATCTGTGGTAAGCTTAGTATCACAGACAATAAAGTCCACTGCCTGCCACAGAGATGGCGGGGACTGGATTCAGAGCCTTAATCCTACAACATCACAGAACCCTCCATCTGTTGCCTCTGAGCTGAGTCCTGCAAGGATGAGTGTGCCAAGGACACTGTAGGCGAGGGATCTCAGTGAACTGCTGCCAGAAGCGCATTGCAAAGCTGGCTAGCAAAACAGTGGGCTTGCTACCTGGGTCACAAAAGATCTCAAACACCTCTAGAAAATCACAAAAGCTTTTAGGAACTGAGGAAAATGTTAAGTTTAGGTCCAACAGTGGTTCCCACATTTAATGTCAAACATTCTGTTGTTACAATTTTTGTAGTTATATGATCTGTGGCTCTTTTAAAGGACAAAATCATGCATCATCAGAAAAAGACTGACTCCTCTCTCCAGGGGACAGATAGCGAGCCTCAACAGTCACAGGCCTGCAGACTAGTGATGGCTAAGACACTTCAGTTTGAATAGCGACGAGTCCCATCATCTCACAATCCAGTCAAAGCATTGCACACACGGTCATCACCCGTGTTATGCAATCAGGCAGTGCTTTAAGACAGCCAGGAAATAAGAGGCAGGGCATGCTCAGTATGCACCGCAGCCATGCCACAGCAAATTGGCTTAAGCACTACAAACGGGCAAGCTTCTCTTGAACAGGGTTTCACTTGCCCTTTGTCAGAGAAGATTCCTTATTCAAGTAGATGCCTTCCCTGTCAGCTTGAATGAAACCAGCACAGTGTTTATCCAGTCAGTTTTTTTACTCATGAACTCTCCCTGCTAACTTTCTCTACTTTGACCGTGATACATATTTTATGAAATTTAGAAGTAATGCAGAGCTTCAAATCATCAGTTTTATCAAAGTTTGACAGGGGTTCCCGAGGATGCCTCCTAGTGAGCTTTGTGTTTGTGCACGTTTTGTTGAACATGTGCAGTGACTGTCTATTTTATTAGACTGTTGTCTCAGTAAGAGCCAAGAGTGACAACAGCCTCCGGATTGCCCTGTCATCACCGCTGCACTGGATGATCTTTGTCAACAAGGACTCGCTTCACACAGCTTTGGGTAGCTAACTTTTCTAAGATACCTTTATGCCTCCAGCTCTTAAGAGGAAACCGCAGATGACATTTAATCTCAAATCAAGGCTGTGACTTTGTTCAATGAAGTAAATATGAAGAAGTATATACAAGGGCATTTGTGTCACTTCAGTAAGAAGTGTTAAGTTGTAACAACTTTATAAATGAAACTTACCTTTTACTTCGATTGTTGCATTTGCATTCGGTGCCATGCTAAACGTGTAAACGCACATGTATTCCCCAGAGTCATCTGCTCGTGGTTTAGTGATTCTAAAAGAAAACACAATAAACATTAACTTACTCCAAAACTTCAATTTACCAGACACTTACGTTGGAAGTAGGCATGTAAATAAAGTCAACTAATTTCAGTTTAGCTCTAGTAATTACTTTCGACTACAGCAGTGAAAGCTTGAGGGGCGTGCAAGGCCATGGGAGACAAAACGCTGGCATAATGCTGTTATATTACAGAACAGCAGCTCTGAATTCTGCAGGAAAGGGCACCACAGGCATTTTAGCTGTAATCTTCAGAGTATCACTGATGTAATGTGACAAGGAAGTGACCAATTGGTCTTATCTTGTGGCTAGGGAGAGTCTGTGGTATGTCTACGGGGGTGACAGTAACTTTGTGCTTCAATGGTTATGCTATGTGACAGCAGGAACTAACGACTAGTTGATACCTAAGGCTATGGCCATTCTTTTTCTAATTGGGTACATAGGTGTATTTCTATTCTTAGCTATGGGCAGTGAGGTGCAGTATCAAGTTTTGGAAACCTCAGCATAAACCTCAATCAGAGGTAGTCAGGAGATTTTTAAAATAAAAAGCAAATTCAGCATTATCATATGACAGTCCTGCATCACAAATATTTAATGATTAGGTGTGGAAATCACAGATTAACTCCTGCTATACTACACGATACAGCTGTACTGCAATACTTGATCAAAAGCAAGACAATTACATGATTAAACAACATATCTAATAAATAAAAAAAATTAACTGTCTCAAATAGCAGCAAGATTTGTGTCATTAAAGTCTCCATCAAGAGCATCGAGTCAAATTGCAAGGGAGATCTGTCTATTTTTTAGGTTACAATATACTGTGGATTAGGGCTGGGCGATAAAACGATAAGATTATATATTTCCCTCAATATCAATTATACATGGTCAGTATGCTTTTCAATAGTCGGCATTCTGCCATTTTTTGGTAAACTATATGAATACCCAATGAAAAGGGGAGTTGCTTGGGTTGAACCAATTATGTGCTGAATTCGAGTAGCAAACAACTGTGTAGTAGCAGACTGCAGCTACACACAACCATAGCACTTTAACACGCAACCATAGCACTTTAACACGTGAAGCTGACAGCACTGTCAATGAGAAAAAAAAGAAAATGAGTGCTACCCCCGTCAGACATGTAGATGAAGGCCCAACAGATGACGACATAGTCGACAACACTGGCACGAAAATGTCATTGGTGCGGAGGTTTTTTGTTTTTTAAGTCGGACATGAAGCAGAGTAAAGCGCACTGCAAATTATGTCGAGTACATGTTCTTGCAAATTTGGGGAATACCTCAAATCTTTTTCACCACCTGAAGCAGTGCCATGCAGCAGAGCATGCGCAATGCAAAAAGTTACAAACCCTGAGCCGAGCGAGAAGCCACTCGCGCCTGTGCACCCTGTGCAGCAAAATCAGCTGACCATTCAGTCCGCTTTCTGTAGCACAACGCCTTACAACAAAACGTCGAAGAGACACAAAGACCTCACAGATGCAGTAGCTTATTGTATTGCAAAAGACATGCTACCAATAAGCACTGTTAAATTTCATTTTTTTATATTTTGATATATATCGATATCAACTGATATGAAAAAAAAAAGTATATTGTGATAAACTTTTTCCCATATCGCCCAGCCCTACAGTGGATATTTGGTACCAGAGTAATTTAGTCAGAACGGCAGCATATTTTCTTGTTGATATTTTGTCCCACCCCTGCTATATACTGTCTAAACCTTGAAAAAGGGGAGAAAGTTTTAACAAATTCAACAGTGGCTTGATTCTACACCTTACATAGCATTATTTCTGTCTTTTGCATAAACATGGAAAACCTCCTGACAGGAGCTTTAAGCAAAATGCCTAACATTCAAACTCTGAAATTTTGTTGAAAATCGTGGATTAAGTTGAGCTAAATTTTCTTTCAGTCTCCACCTTTGTTCTGCATTGACCTCTGTCCCATAGTATGTCCAACCAAACATAAAGGGACGATGCTGTTTCTCACCTGTATATCGTAAGCCTATGGTCTGTCCGTGTGTTGGGGATCTCCTGACCATTCTTCATCCAGAAGCTTTCCTCGTGCGGGGTGTGAGCAGTGGTGAGGTTACACTGCAGGATAACTGGTTTGCTAGAGCTGTCCGCTGACAGGATGACCTGATCAGAGGCATTGATCTTTGGTTCTGGAAGACAGAGACAGTCAAACCTTATCACAGAACAGGGGCTCAGTCATGTTTAAATGCCTCCTCCTTAGTTGTAAAAGCTATGTGCTGTATGCTGTTTTATACGATCTGTGTGGGAGGGTGTTTGGGAAGACAGGAATGAACACAAGAAACAGATAAAAAGGCACATTAAGTACAGTAGACAGCTGGAATGCTGTAAATCAGCCGTTTGTCTTAAAAGTGAAACGGGGGAATTGAATGACCTCAATCACTTACTGAATGAAACTCAGCGGATAAATGTCTTTTTTTTTGTAATGAATATAAGTACACTTAGAGATTTTATTAGTATTAAGAGAGCAAGTAAAACCTCTATCAATCAATGATATACTGCACAGAGTAATGGTACTTTTGGATATTTTCATACTCCTAATGCACTGTCACACAGTGTTCACAAAGGTATTTGACAGAAGATAAACTCTAGATGATTACATTGGTTATTTTGATGTTTCGCTGTAACAGGAAAATGGATGGGCTCTCTAACGTCTAAGCTCGCTTGTAAATGTCATCAGAATATTGAAGTAAAAAAGCCATACACTTATGGACCTGTGCTGATGATTTATATGGCACCGAGCAGTCTTTTGACATTTTATTTTACTGCCGAGTGACTACCTGAATCACTTCGCCCGCTAAAATGCTAAATCCTCTTGTTACTACACAACACCAAGGTCCGTTTTTCAAGGACGTTTGGGCAAGCAGGAGGTGTCATCTGAGAGTGAGGAGCCCTTTGCTCTGCCTCGAGTTGTGAGCAGGAAGGCCTCTCTGCCCTGCCCCCCTCTCCTTCTCCTCCTCCTCCAGGGCGGGCCAACCATGGCAACGATAGAGCCCCTGAGGGGAGGAGCAGTGAGGAGACGCATCATAATCCTACTACTGGCTGCTACAAGGCCACTAGGAAAGCAAAAGGGAGGAGAGGGGAAAGCACGGCTACTGCAATGGATGGGACTTTTTAGCATTGGCGGCACCTTCTGCTCACAATTTTGTATTCTCAATAGCTAAAGGGATATCTCTCCCCTCCCCCCCTAACATCTTTGTCTCTCCCCCACCAAGCAGAACTACATGTACTATTAATAGTATCTTTGAGACATGCATACCCACACAACATGAGGTACATAAATTAACATTTAGCAAACATGGCACAGTGGTCCATGGGCAATTTAACCAGAAGGTTATTTGTAGGACATCTTGTCATAACTTAGAATATGGTCACAGCTGAATAATGTATCACTGTCTCAGAGTGAAACCAAATATAAAACTGTCATAAATGCCTCAAAATGAAATTAAACCTTATCCTCTCTTTCCTACTGCTGGTGCTCTTACATAATACTGTGGTTAAGATTGATATTGTATCCAATTATCTGTCAGATTATCTTGTCAAAGGATGTATTTTATTAAGCACAAATACGTTTTTTTTTCATCTTTATATAATCTGGTACTTATTAGAGTGCCAGTTTTGTTTTTGTTGAGCTGCATGCTGCTTCATTTTGCCAAGATGTATTAAATCAATTAAGCTAAGTCGCTGAGACATAGTAACCAACTTGGCATGGTTTTTATTCAGGGGAGAATTATATTAATGTTGACAGCAAGGCAGACCTCAGATCAAGATATTGAGGCAAATTATAATAAAAAAGGTGCAGCACCAGAGCTATGTCTCTAAAACTGTGCTGGAGAATGGAAAACAGTTTCTCCTGAGCATAGACTAAAAACTAAATAGTTTAAAATTTCACTCATCTCTAAATGGATTTACTATTTTGAACACGGAAAACACTTGACCAACAACTACAAATACATATATGTATTTCTGAAAAAACACTTGGCAATCATTGGTCGAATAAGGACTCAAATAAGTTGCGGGTTATGTTTGTTTAAAGAAAGCAGCTGTGTTTGTGTTACTCTTATTCATGTGAGCCTGAATGAATTCCAACGTTTGTTTCATGTGAGGTAAATTAGAATATAATCCACAAGGACACCTTGGAAACCACTCGTAAAGCATGATTTACTACTTTGATGTCGGCTTTTATGTTTGGTTACATTGAGAGACTCCTTTTACAGCTGAATAGAGTACACCTTTGTGAAAACTCGTGAGCTTTGAAAACTCATATCAAAAGGAGATGCATTAAGGGTGCTGTGGCCATATTTTTATGCATAAATGAACAAGGACACAAGTTCTTCTCCAGACTTTGGATTTTTCTAGCGTGTAGGCCTTTTAATAATTGAACTCTAATTTGAGTGAGATTAATTGTACATAGCTGCAGCTGCTGTTCCTCGTAAAACGAACCGTGCAACACTTTGATAATTATGCAAATTTGTTTTTCTTGCTCGAGTTTGGATTTGATCAATAACACTCTCATTTGTGAGCTATAAATTTGACTCCGCAGTCAGCAGCACAAAAGTTAAACTTAGCATAAAGACTTAGAATAAGTAATAACAGCCAACACGGCTTTGGGGACTCACTGCTCCAGGGAAAGAAACAGTCTCACACATACCCCTTCCAAAAGGGTCAAGTAGACAAGCTGTGACTTGTCAGTTAATGAGTTTGATAGGTGCCTAATAGACAGAGCTAGGATGTGATTCCAGTCTTTATGCTAAGCTAACCGGTCAGCTGTCATACTTACCGTTACAGTATATTAACCACATTCAACTAATTATTAACAAAAAGAGAAGAACAAGCCTTTCGAAATTAATGTGTCTCACTTAAATTTAAGACATGAATTGCATTTCACTTGAAGCACATGCAGAAAGTACACGTTTGAAAGGCAGCTCAATGTTCTCACACATGCATGCTTTGTTTTCACTTTGTTAGGAGGGAATTCCACTTTAGATTTGACTTTCTGTATCTATAAAAACACTGAAATAGGAAGGTCATTTTCTTTCATATTACTCACTGATATATTTATACTTGGATATTCACTTTGAGCAGTTCACATCCAAAAACTAAATGAAGCAAAAGGCCAAAACAAAATATTCAGACTCTCCTCGGCAACAAACTGAGCATTCATAAAACCTAGCTTTTTTGAATAGCCCCTCATATACATGTAGGAACTTGAGTATTACATGTATATGGAAGAACATTTGACTCTTCAGTAATGACAGAATATATTTTACAGGTTTGATTCTCTGCACTGTGGAAGCGGAGCAGGCACTTCTCATAATAGATAAACATGAAACCATGTAATGCTTGCACAGAAATGAAAATTTGTCAGTCCAATCACAGGAGCCAGAAAGGATCTAGCTCCTCTAAGCTTCTCAGAGAGCCTTACTATGACTAACAACATTCCACATCACCCTGTGCTTCAGTGGGCAGAGCACTGAAGCATGTATAGATTACAAGGGTCCAGCTGAAATTCAGTTTGTTTGAATGTTTGTGTGCATAGAGCAGAGGGTTGGGAGATATAATGTCATTACTGATTCACACTCACGCGCTGAATGGCTGAGAAGGCACAAGGTTACACAGTGCAAAGGCATGTCTATGGAGACTATTTCAAATAAGTGATTTCTGTGTCTCATCTGCACCTGAAATGAGGCACTCATGGCCCTCAAGTGGTCTTCTCCTTTACTGGATTACCACACGCAAATTTTGAAAGCGGAAAATATTTGCTTTTATCAGAATGGAGCTGGCAGCAGGAATCACTCTTTCACATCTTACAGATCCCTCCTTGTGTCTTCTAACAGTCCCATTTACCCTGTGCCCAGTTAGAAAGCCAAATCAAAAGCAATATTACTTCAAAGCACCACTGGGTTTCCACTGACTTTTAGAGCAAGCAAGGCTTTGAAGTAAATAAAACAACTCACGCAATGCAAGAGATAACATAGGGACTTAGTATCACACATAAATCAAAGAACAGGAAATGGGTGAAATTAAGATACAGAGAAAAAAGACAATGATCAGAATTGAGCCAGTTAGTGTGACGTGGGCAGAAAGAGGGAAACATAGATAGAGACTTGAACATTCCTGGGTTTGTGGTCATTAATGACAGGATGCTGGAGGGATTTTGGAAGAGACAGGAAGACTTAAACAAAACAAAAAAAGCAACCACTTGCATAAATAATTTGTTAAATAGAATATTTCTTCAAATATTCCTCTATGAGAATATTTGTTAGCATGGTGTTTGAAAGGTGTTTTATTTTTGCCAGGCCAGTGCTTGCTGTAGTGAGGGTGGGTTGCTGAGAGGTTTATACAGGCTGGAGTGGTTGGAACAAGGATTTAAAGTTCGTTCACCATCTAGGTACTACGGGACATAGACCACTCACTCTGTAGCACCGAAATGGTTGCCTGGGCGCGGATCCAGGTGATGGCGGGGTTTTGTCGGAGGTCATTGCGCCTTGGGTCGTTGCTCGCCCGACACTCATAGGTCCCAGAGTCCTCTAGTGTGAGACGCGTGATGCCGAGCACACTAACCCCATTGGTGCCGTAGGCGGTGTTGATAGATACCCGGCGCTTGCGGGCTCCGTCCCACAGCTGCTTGAAGGAGTCAGCTCGGTTGATCTCGGCATACCACCATTGGATCTCTGGGGTGGGGTTACCGACCACGTCGCAGTACAGCTCAAAGGTGTCCCCCGTGAGCTTAGTCTCGGACATGGGCGACTTCACAAACCCAGCTGGAGAGGAAAAGTGTGTCGGGATGGCAGGGGAGGAAAGGGTAAAGGAGGGTTAGAGCAGCAGAAAAGTGTGGAAAGGCCCAAGGATGGAGAAGGAAATAAATTAAGATCAGTGTACATAGAGACAAAAAGAGGGTGATTAAAGGCAAAAGAAAAGAAGCAAGCCCTTAAACCACTGATTGGTGGAAAAAGGTTAATGATTATTCATTGAATGTTAGAGATCCTTGGCCCAGCAGAGGCATGAAGCTGTCAGTCACAGTCATGGTCAACCAGTCCTGAGTTGTTTGTCTCTTTCTTTCCCACATTTAACCCTAGATGACAAGCTCGCAAGCTTTGACTGAAAGTGTATCATCCTAATGCTCTGGTAAAATAATGAACATCTTTGACAGCACAGGGAATTCAGCTCACATAAATCACATCTTTGTAAAGAATTCCATGAAACATGAACTATTTAGGGAGCGGGGAAGTCTTTGCCCATTCTCACTGAGTCCAATCAGTTTTCTTAAAGGTTTATTTATGAAAGAGCCCTGTCAAGTAGGTGAACAATCACACTTGCTATTTTACACCCACTCAACATCCACAATCAGTGGCAGCACACATACTTGACCCTGTTCATATGAAAACCACATTTGTCAGTCATGATTAAGAACACTGCACAGAAAATCATGGCATGTTTGTCAAAATCAGTGATTTGGAAATGCTCCTCTTGAGCTGAAGTCACCCTGACACATTGCGGTCAGAGAAATGAATGTCACTTATGCGTCATTAAACCCTATGGAATTAAAAAGGTACAAAAATGTGGATTCCTCGGCAAAGTGAGCACCATCAGTCAAAAAAAACTGCAAGGTTATTTACCAATGCCAGAGCTGGAAGACAGTCTTATCAATGAGAGTGAGAGTCGCCCATCAACAGATTCTGATTACCGTTAGTTTTTTTTTGGAAATTCTACAAATTTGGCACATCCTGTAAATATAATATCACATCTATAGGAAATAAACATACATTTCTCGATTTGCTCTATTACTTTTCTGTAATACATTGACCTATTATGTAAATGTTCTTGCCCTGATAGTGTTACAGGTATCTGGAGCCTGTCCCAGCACACACTAGGGCTAGAATGCAGGGTACACCCTGGACACCCGTCTGTCACAGGGCTAACAAACAGAAGGAAATCAACCCTCAAATTCACACCTACAGGCAATTCAGAGTGACTGTTTCACATAACCTGCATGGCACTGAACTGGGGATCCTGAAGCAAACCTGTGCAGTCAATCCACAGCTTTGCACCAGTCCCCCTGATTCATGAAAGAGTAGCAAATAAAATAATACTGATATCCAAAACATACAACAAGAGAAGGCACAAGCTGGTTTTTAAAGTCCATGTTCTGTGTTGTGATTAGACAAGTTTTGGCGGAACAAAAATGAATATGGTTGACAACGTATGATAGCGTATGATACCTGTATGCTTGTATGTTTAAACCTAATCTCTTCATCTATATCAGCTCTTGCTGGTGGAGCCTGAAATTAGGTCAGCCAGCTGTCATTTATGATAAGCCAGACCTGGAGAGCTGGTTTTCTCAATTCTCCTGTGGTTGTAGTGTGACAGTACAGTCAAAACAAGCTTTCAATAAACACTGAATAACTATCATTTTAGAAACACTCGTGATTAATTTTTGATTCCCTAAAAAAATCCAGAGCCTGAACATGCACACATATTTCCATTATATCGTACGACTTGTATTCAATCTTGTACCACTGGACTAATGGCCAACATTTTTCTGAATGTTTTATTGCCTTATTAAAAAGGAAACATTCCTGGATGTAGTTGAATTTATAATAAAATAAGATCCATGTGCATTACTACCACAACTTCAAATGTAGCGTGCTGTGTATTTGTCTTATTCATGTCCTTGCTTCACATCAGTAGTTAGCCCAACAATGCACTGTCAGCCCTAATGAACCTTGACTAATGACAAATCACCTGGACCACAGACACTGTTCTCTGCCGCCCCTGCAGCCCGTCAGCTGTAAACCACATGAGCTTAAATAAATTAGGGGGAAAAAAACTGCCCTTAACTCTGCCCTGAAATGTTGTGGAGGAAATGGGAACAAAGAGCCTGTGGTCTCCTGAGTGTTAGGCTGTGTGTTGTGTCTAAATACAACAGCTTACAGCCTCTTTCAGATCTGTCTGCCCTGTTGAAAGTGATGTATTGTAAGCACATGAACAGATAAGCCTTTGAAAGCCCGAGGAAGAAGAGTAAACATCCATGCTATTCAGATAATCTTCACAATAAGCTAGGTACTTGTCATTTTAAGAATTTTATTGAGTGTTAAACATACAGACACAAATGGATGGGGTTCACATGGTTTTCTATAACTCTACAGTGCCCAAGAACACTATCTGCTGTTCCCCTGACTCAAACTGGCAGTCAAAGTACAGCCAAAATATTCCAAACTTAACAATACATAAATTTCAGTCACTACCATGGTAACAAGTCTGTTTTCCGACTCGTTTGTGACTCATGGCCATATGAAAACAAATGAGACGATGGGAGCAAATGATTGTGAACAGAATCTAGCAAAAAATGAATTAATAAAAATAGCAGCGTTCCTGCAAGGAGATGTGACTGAGGACATTTGCCGCTCACAACTTGTGTTTCTATGTGCTACGCCTAGAGATATGCAGAGTAATTAGCATTTGTTTCTTTTCTCTGGAAACATCTGGGCCCATCAAGCTCACCATAATCCCAGAGGGTGAATCCAGGCCTATCCGCCTACACTGTTATAGCAGTTCTTCATTCTGACAGAGCATTTACAATGGCATTCCTTACTGTGGTTATGAGTATGAGGGCAGAAAAAAAGGCTCTTTACTTGGCACAAATGATTATGGTCAACCATGCATAAGTTCTCATAATCACAATATAGTATCTGCCTTAACACTATAATGAGTGTCCTCCAAGGTGAAGGCAAATTAAACAAAAAAGGAACCAATGACTTCATTTATATTCACACAGTGAGGCTCTGTGAAGAAACACGCACAGAACAGGCTACAGTCAATTCTCAGCCGATGAGCACACCAAATTGTGTATTGCTGAAACAGGGAGCTTACACTAGGAGTGGAAAAACACAAAGCGGACAGCCTGTTCTCATTCATTTCAAAGGCACACTAGGAGAGAAGTGACAAAGAGACAAGCGTGGATGGTGGACAGATCTCATCAGCCTGGTAGCAAAAAAGAGATCATTTAAGTTCAGCACAGCTCAGGCACGGCTGCAGCTTATTTTTGTGCATTTCTTGGCACACACTGTGACAACTTTCTATGGATATTCACATTGACATCATTCAGGGGATATCTCACCTTTGTCAACAGAATCATAACCCAGCATTACAGAGCACTGTCACCAAGCTTTGCTGTTATGCCACCTTTGTACTCAGACTCTGAATCAAACTGGGACGGATTTTACTCCGTTTTATAGAGTTCGTGCATCACTTTTCTATCCTGTGGACTCTGACATTTAGGTAGACATCCTTTTACCTCTGTCATATCTCTGTTGCACTTTGATGCAACTTCCCGCACACTACTTTTTACAAAGACTGGCAAGGCAAAACAGAACCACTGCAGTTCCTTCTTGAACAGGCTGTGAAAGGGGAAATGTCGTCATCTGGACAATAGTGTAAGAGAATCTGTTTCACGTAGCAAGGTGATCCTTTCTGATCCCTTTTTTGACCAAAACCCTCACTGGAAGGGAGATAGATCTACATGTGGTCTCCAAAGAGGAGACAATGCAAGTCTTAACACCAAATTGCAGTTGCTTAAGGCTCCCTGCCATAGGGAGGTAACCAAGAGAGGTTACCCAGGGGACTCGCACTTGATCTCAAGAGACCAGACAATGTAAACCCTTCATACCAAAGTTCAGGCCATTAAGACTTCCTGCCACATGGAGACGGGGATCCACATTCAGTCTCCAGAAGCCAGAATCTAGTCATCGCTCATCAGATGAGAGACCTGTCACTGTGTTCTTGTAGTGCAAACAGAAAGAGGAACTTCAGCGGATCTAATGTGGATGTTTGAAGTCGTTGTCCCACTCTTTGGGTAGCCCAGACCAGTGACTCCTCCTCTCTACTCTCTCACTCACACCCCAGAGACATTCCCAGTTTGGAATAACATAACACCAGTCAAGTCAGGGTGCTCACTCTCTGCTTCTTCTCTTCATTTCTCTTAATCTTACTCTCTTCGTTTCTCTCAGTCTTGCTTTTTCTTCACCCTCTTCTACTCCTCTCATTTTTCCCGCCTAGTCTCTTAATTTTTCTTTTGTTTCAGTTACCTGTTAGGTCACGTTTTTTTGATTTTCTTTAAAGTTTGAGCTTTGAAACTTAAACAATTTTTGCATGCATAACAATCCAAGGCTAGGTCTGTAACTTATTTTTCTTTAATGTCACAAAGTCATTTTGAAGTAGCTTTGATTGGCTATCGAGCTTATTTTTCTTATTTATCAGCATTATTTCAAAGTTGCCTCTGAACGTTACACAACTCTGAGCCAGAGTTTTGCTGTGACACAGAATGAGCATCAAAAAGTTCCTAAAGGTGCTGGTTTTGCATTCAGCCCTGTGCACTTTGACTCCTGGCCCATCTTTTGGCTGACTCTTGTACTCTGTTGAGCTGAACCTCTCAAACCGCCGGTAGACTGGACCTTCCATGAACCTGTTCCATCATCTACAAGGGCCAGCCTCACTTATATATGAAAACCTCCAGAGCTCTAAACAAGGTTGATGCTGTGTCATGCGTTCATGATTCAAATGGTCTCTAATTGGAGTAATCCTAAATTCATCCAAATTTATCTCCAGAGTTAATGTAGGTTAATGTTAGAGGATTTTCTCTCACTATTATTAAGTTTAATAATCATAGCCTGACTCAGGATATTTCATTCATCTATCATTATTTATCCCTATTGTCTTATTCTCATTTATGGCATTTATTATCAAATATTAATTAAGACATTTATTATAACTTCAAATTACTACACACATTTCTTTCTAAACTAAAATTAATAAGCTGACCTCACAATGACATAAAAAGTGTGATGATGATTGACAGCTATTATTAAAGATAGCTTAATAATAGAGAGACACTGCTGGTAGTAGCAGCTCCACAGCAGTAAATATATGTGCTGACACTAAAGACCCACAACAGTTTAGCACGGCAGCAAATAGATGTGGGCAGTTCTGATGTAACAAAGTACCTGCATTATGAGTACCAAACAATTGTTGCCGTGCCAATTGTCTCATTTGACAAGATGTATAAAGACATCACTCCTTATGAATTATATGCCACAAATTTAATACATATATATATATCAAATTTAGAAGTTTGCCTTATAACACGTGTCATTTTTGTTGTGTGTGCTTCCTATTTTGACTGCATTTTGACAGTCCACCAGTATTTTCTTAGGCCACTTTTACGACAAGGAGACACAATGGGGTGTTTTCTCTTGCTTGTCCTCTTTGGAGCTGAAGTTTCTTTGTTCCTTTGTTCTTTTATATTTTCCTTTTTGGGTAAGTTTTGTCACAGAGAGAATTTTTTTGTCCATTACCAGAAAGCCACTTCGTTAAATGATGTTCATTATGTCTTGAGTTTCTTTCCTTTTTCTCAGACATGTAATCTTTTTCACGTATCTTGACATGTTTCGGCGGAAACTTCTGCTTTCCTCAGGAGTGTCACTTAATTACATGTCTGAGAAAAAGATAAAAAGAAAACTATTAATAAGAAAGCCACTTGTTAGGCCTTAGTGGTTTAAGTGTTAACCACAGCATAAGAGGAAGGCATATATAGAAGTGTATTGAATACTAAGCAGTCTAACAGGAGTGTTGGTCTCTCCTTCGCCTCTGGCAGCCTTGCTGCTAATTGAAATGAATTATTTGGCGTTAATGGAACATTTTAGTTTAAAGTTTTAATGAGAAACTTGAGTTGTTAATAGAGTGTAGCTACTTGATGTCACTGGCTCAATGAACAGGGACTGGTTAAAAGTTAAAGTCAGTATTTTTTATTCAAGCTCAATTGGACACTAGTTTGTTATTGCTACTGCCTTAGATAACCAAAAGGATTTGTCTTGACTTGGATTTGTTGATCAGGGATGATACAGGGCTATAAGTTGCTTAATGCTGCCCCATTTAACTCTTGAACCAAGTCTGAGGTCCCCTTCTGCTGTCTGGAGCTTCTGTCAGACTATCTGGGGTGCCATCAGCTTCCCCTTAAAACTGCATCACATTTTCAGGTTTGATAGCCAGTCTCTGTGGTGGCACACTGGCAGCGCTGAAAGTAATTCCTACAAGCAACAGCAGCCAGACCAGCTGTCCCACTTTGAATACTTGGAGCAAGTGACAAAGTCTGTTCCTGATTGTGTATACACCATTTATATATTATAGAAAATTGTTAAGCTGGAAGTGACAGAAACCATGTGTGACTGAAAAAATGCTTTTTTTAAAATTATTTGACCAATGAAGTGTCAATGAAAGTATTCCTTAAAGCTTATACTGCAGAATTTTAATTTAGGTCAATGCTCTTATTTTACACCACCTAAAATCTTTTTTTTTTTTTTACTGTTTACAAATCTAGCTGCCACACTGAAAAGGTTACATGTAGCTTTGTGTTGTTATTCGTCTTAGAGCTAAAAATCCTCCTTTTTGGCAGTTTTGAACATGTTATTTTCTTAAATGTGTACAAACACAAATGTAAAAAAAATTATAATAATGATGTAAGCCTTACAGGCCTAGCCACGGTGGAGATTTCTTACTGCAAAGAAATGATCACTAAGTGTGGCATCTCTAGAGCAATATTACAGGATAGTTGACACAAATAGTATATTTACAGCAAGAAGAGACAAAGGGTTGCTCTCTCTTGGATTTAAATTGGACTCAAATGTACAATTTTATGCGAGCAGCGGTGTTTCCCTTTAAGGACATGCGCGCAATCGTGCCAATGAGGTCAAACATCTACACTTATTATTCAACACACAATAATGAAGTCCTTCACAGTGCCATTTCTCACTTACACGCTTAAGCTCACTTTCCTCCCGAATGACACGAGCACAATAGTATCCAAAATAACCTGTAGTTTTCTGTGACAAGCTCTGTCTCAAGCTGCATGGAAGTCACAGTCATTACAGCCTACATCCTCCACTGATGGAGTTAGAGAGGAGAGCTCCCCTGGGGACTGACAGCAAGCCACACACCACCAAGCAGCCTGAGAGTGAGTCAGCTGCCTTCCTACAACCTGGATCCCCATCCACATCCCACAACACAGACAGAGAAAGCAGCGAGTAGGAAACCCCCCTGGGGACACTGAACTGGTTATGTGTTATACAGTGTGCATGTGTGTATGTGTGTGTTTAAAAGTTCGTGGGTGTGAGTGTGAATCTTTGTTGTACCTGTATGGTTCTCTGACAGTCTTATCTGCTTTAAAAGGTCATTTGTGTGACGCAATGGATCTTAGTCATGATGATTATTTATATTTTTGTATCTTTGACTCACTGATGATAGATGGTAGCATTCGTGTTAAAATACGACAAATACAACATACAGCCTCGTTCATACCAAAATAAAAGCATTAACTCTTTTTTTTATCTATCAAAACTAAATTAAATAGTTGCACTTGAATCCACTAACAGACACAGGTGGAAAAATCAACGACTTTAAACAAGTCCATCCAACCATTTTTTTTTTTAAAGCCTTCATGATAAAGCGTCACTGTAACCCACCGCGGATTCCCTAAAACAATCATAAAGGTGTAACCTTTCCTGCCCAACTGGTGTCGCAAAAATAGCAAAGGTGTGTCAGGGAGATGTCACTCAAACACAGTCTGCACACACCCACGCACTCCGAGAAAAGGTCAAATCTGGCATAAGTGAGAACACCAATGTTCAGAGGGTGTCTATTTCAGCCACTGAACTTGTCTTTTTCAAAATATGTAAATTTTTGTGTATATGGTTTATGAAAATTTTAGTGTAGCATATATAGCATATATTCTACCATTGACATCCAAGTCTGTCAATTGTACAATTTTACATACCATGTGTTCAGGTGCACTCTTCTACCCAGTGATTTCTATTCATTTCAGCACTTGTTTTCAAGTACTACACAAACCACCTGGTACTAGTTACACGATTGAGTTGCAGCTCCTGAGCTGTGATATTTGTTTACAGGCGTTTTTTCTATTTCTCTTGTTTGATGTCGGACAGAACAGGTTTGAGGGTTTAAGAAAGAAAAAATACATTCACAAGTCTTGTTGCTTAAAAACAAAATCAAACTCTGAAGCTAAATTACACCCCTGTACTCAGAGTCTGCTAAAATGGTAGCTGTTAGTCACCTGAAATACACACACTGCTTTATACTGGGTCATTATTAATGAACTACATGAATGAAATCCGCTCCAAGAGGAAATTTCAAGTATATATTACAGTTGTGGTAAAGAAGTGGATTTAGTAACCCACCATCTAAAACACAATTCAAAAGGTATGTTTTGTAATATACTATTCACAATTCAATTTAGATTTAGAAGAGATACAGTAGCTGTGATATGCCGTGTTTGTGTCTGAAAGGCAGTGATGATATATAGCCCTGAATGCACTGACTTATCACATCGCTGAATATCTGATGCCACAGTGATAGTGCACAGTATAGCTATTATATGCTAAATGAATCTTCAGTTGAAGGAGACTTGAGGCCGACAGTCTTTCTTTTTCTCTTGTTTTTCTACAGTCTGCTATTCGGATCACAAAGGAGAGGCAACAGTTTAATGAGATTTAAATCTCAATAACCCCCTGTGCTGGGGTAGAAATGCTTTAATCCCATCCTTTAATCACGACTAGGGAGTACTTCCTATTGCTCTATCAGGGGTCAAAACAAGGGAATTCAAATGATTTCAAGTCCAATCAAAGAAACACAGAGATAGATGTTTCAAAGATGGGACTCTGATTCTCATCTTTGAAATAACAACTTAACTACAATTAGAGGTGACATCTCTCGTTTTGTCTCCTCAGTTTGTTTGTTTGTTTCCTGTATGACTCCTTTTCACAAATCTTTGACAGACTTATAATTATAGTTTTGTTTATGTATAATTTCTTATGAATATCTGCTAGCATGAGGTTTAAGTTAGAAAAAAACATGATTTCACAAAAAGAAAATTAAAAAAAAAAGTCAGGACAGGTTTACCTAAGTGTAACCTCTGAGTATTTTATCTGTGAGCTGCATTTCTGCAACACACTTAAGGTGATTTCCCCCAGCAGAACTGGCAGGAGTACAAAACTGTGCTGGGGAATTTCCAGCAGTAGCCAAGAGTAACTGTATAAATGTAAAGCAGGAGAAAAACACGGTGCACAGTCAGCAAAACTTGCCCTGGACAAATCACCAGTAAAGTGAATTTGTATCACCGTGCAGCTGTGAATCAGCGTTTACAGCATATCAGCAGTGTGTTTTATAGTGTGCCATGTTTCTCCCAATCAGTGCATTCTGTATCAGATTTCACAGTAGGGAAGCATGACTCATTGTAAGAGTTGGCTTGGGTCTTACTGCATATTTTCCAGACTTACAAATGAACCTTTGTCCAGAGTCTGGACAGAAACATGATAATGGACATGCTGCAGCATCATGTAGGCCTATTGATCGGATGGTATGCAGCTGTAACTGCTTATCATAAAATGCAATATTGGCCTCTGTCGATGATAATGCACCAGTGGAATGGAGAAGAGTTATAGGGCCCTGTATTGACAAAACACCATACTGTAATTGCAGTACATATTGCAATACGTGTGGGCAGGCTTGCTCTACATCATGTGCTAATACTTCAATTGTGTAACCTTGACAAGAAGCAATCTTTGCGGTTGTGTTCTTCATCTTAAGCAACGGTTAAACCGGGTGCTGTAACCGGTAACACAAAAGAAAACACGTGTAAATACAAGCTGTCGTTTCTACAGTAAAATCAGCAAAATTTTCTAATGATTGTCCTACCGTGATCTGACTGCTTTGATTTACCCAGGCTGCTATAAAACAACAACAACAAAGTTGGCAGCAAGAGCAGGCTGCATGCTTTTGTAGGGGGGAATTATGTAAGATAGAGATGCACTTCCTCAGGTCTGCCCCAGCCACCTTCTCAACAGCTCTTTATTTTCTTTGCATAGAGATCCCATCATCTCCCCGCTTAAATTGTTCACACAGCCACCTAGCGAGCCTTTAGAAGGCTGCGCAGCTGTGCACAAGGAGGCCGTCCATTAAGAGTTAATGAATTCACTTTCACAAAAGGACCTTAAAGCCACAGTTCTCAGTGCTGTGTCTCGGAGGTAAAAATAGAAACGAGGCAGAATGGACGGATGCTATTTACAGTCCTCAGAATATCTGTCGCAGAAAGTGGTCACCTATAGTAGCCCTACTTTCTTGCAAGCGTGGGGGGGAAAAGGCAAATATTCCCTCTGCTTCCCACATACATTGATTACATCTCATGCACTTATAATTATTATTCCGCACACAGCGCCGCCTGAACTCTGTAATATCACAGGAAAATCTAGGATTGCATAAGGAGCCATGCACCGATTACCCTTAATCTGAACTGTGAGCGAGATGAAATGGCTTTTGGGAGCGTGCAACATGACTATACATCAGGAAATACACAGAATCGTGAAAACCTGACTCTGTCTTCATGTAACTATGATCAAAGCTGTAATGAATGTAGGCTGTCTGTGGATTAGCATGAATTACGGATGTCTACATGAAACAGCCAAAGCACATGAGCTTTAAGTGACTGGCTGCCACCAGTCTGTCTTTCACTGACCCCTGGCTGTATGTGTGTGTGTCTGTATGTGTGTGGTTCTGTAGTGTGAACTGGGCCTCAGTGAGTGGGCGCTAACACTGGCCATGACCACAGGAAGTGTCAGGAATGCCTTTGCTTGAGCTCTATCAAACAATAGAAGGCTTATTGGGTATTTGATTTTCCAAATAGCAAGATCAGAGAATTCCTCGCTGTGTGCGCACACACTTCAAGCACCTCGACAAAATTAACAAAGAACAAGAGATAAATTCAAGAAATAGTATTGGGTTATGTAACTACTGTGGTATTTTGGTTTGTTTTGTCTCCTCGCTCGCAGAAGGTGTAAGTTTCGCTTGTGCTGTCTTGTTAAATGATCTAGATTTCACTTACTGCGCTTTAATTATTTTTTCATATTGTGTTACAGTATGGCACATAAATAGTTCAAGCTGTCCCAGTATATTTCACTTATTTAGAAGTGAAGAGGCATAAATTATGAGAAACACTTCAAAGATTTCTTTTTAAATAAGCCCTTAAAAGATATGAGAGTGGTTGAGTGAGTTTAACATCCTCCTCATCCCCTCATCAAAACACATGTGGTCTAAAGTCTTGCATGGTGGGTGTCTAATTATCCCACAGAGAAGAGGAGGTGGACATTAAGCATCATGATTATAAGTGTGCCGAGTAATTCTCTGTTTTATTATTCACTGACAGGGGATTAGATCATGTCAGTGATGATAGCTGTAGGCACGAGGGCTGTGTCAGGTTGAGCTCTCCTAAATAACATGACTACAGGCAGGTGACAGTAGCTCTTTTGTTTAAAACCCCCTTAAATGCTTCCAGTTATGTCGAAGCTGCAAAGAGTGAAATCGTATTTATGTTGTAAAACGACAGAACAAAAATTCAAGAGGGTTCCACTTTAGTGTCACGAATGGCTGCTGACTTGTGTGTCCCTCTGGGTGACATGATTCAACTGAATTTGAAGTCAGGATATGGTGTTTCAGAGGAGGGCAGCCTCGAACACCCATCAGCATGTTGCTGACATTTACTTAAACCACATCATGTTCGCTTATTTTTTTTTTACCATTAATGCACGGTGAACTCTTGAAATAAAAGTAACAAATGACTGTTCTCTGCAGCTCTAAGCCAAACCCCACACTCAGTGTTTTGATATTTAGAAAGAAAGGACATCTGCGGGTCAAATATTAAAATCAGAAAAATAACAGGATGATATTTGTGTTTTCAGTATTGCTGTTAGACAGGAAATGTGTTGTAATAGGGCTTTGTCAGAACAGTTAGTGCACAGGCTCTGCAACAGTGCTTCAGAAAGGCCTTGTGTTTACAGTATTTACGGCACACACTGGACAAACGTTAAGCATGTGTTTGGTGTTGATTGTATGTTACTGGATCAGCAAGCAGAGCAGGTTAGTCTTGCTTGACACACTGTCCCCAACCCCCCTTTGGCCAAACAAACTGCACTCTGGCACCCTAAAGCCACCGTAGACCACTTACTGTAAATATGAACTAATTTCATGTTTGTCCTAGGCTTAGTTTGGCCCAATAATTCCATTAAAGGTCCATTTGAAAACTAATTAGACAACATGCTCGACTTGCCTGAAAGTGTCAGCTCATTCCCCTCACAGACACACCTACAGTGCGCTCAATTGACAGTAAATAACCTTGCAATAATGTCACAACATGGGCTGGTTTCTCTGATAAGAGTTCGGTCCTGCGGTCAGTGACTGTATCAGATTTGTTGGTGTCTAACTCTGGCCTTGTTGTCGGGATGCATGAAAGTGTAGTAGTAGATTTAACGCAGTCACACTCCGTATCCTCCTTGGAAAACATTCCGCTCGGGCGTCTTCACACAAGTCAAGTCACTTTCCCTTACCGCGCTGTTTACAATCACGCCACGGTCACATCTGCTTTCTTACCGTTTTGCGCCGAGACGAAGGGCAGCACCAATTTCCCCAGAAGGACCAACATCACTGCGTTAGGATGCATCATCGGGGCTCGACGAGAGTACCAGGGTCTCGGTCGGACGAATGTGGGAGGAGAGATCGTGTTTTAATCACAAGATCTAGAGAGATGGGCCCAGCATTGCACCGGGTTCTTTAAAAATAGTACGCCGAGGATGATGACACCAAATTGTTTGTAGATGTCTTCCTGATTTGCGGGAGCTTTTGAGGACAGCGATGGGTGAAAGGTCCGGGGGACGAGGCCGGCGGCTCAGGGATGCCGATGTGCGGCCATAGGCGGTGAAGAAGCCCCGTCGGATTGCGGAGGAGAGGTCTCTGGATGTCAGGGAGATTGTCCACAGTGTAGTTCTGAAGATTCAAAGATGCGCAGAGCGATGCGCATTTACGCTCTCGCGGTAACGTTGCGGTGATTAAAATGAAAGTAGCGCACAAATTATTCCCGATGGGAGCTGATGTAGCCGAAACACAAGTCTGCTCCAAAAAGAGGAACAGATGCTGGTAGGACACCGACGGCAGCAACGACAAGCTGCGCGTGCCCTATGCGCTCATGACCGTGGATAAAAAACACACGGACGCACACATACACATACACACACACACAGCCGGGAACATGTATGTAATTGGTTCTGTTTGTGAAGTCAGGCACTTATTCTGAGACTCCATTCTCTGATTTACGGATAATCTCCTTCATGCGATAACAGGTGCACATTTTATCATCTTCCATTTGGAGGATGTTACTGCCCACTCTGCATTTATACAAGTGACCATGGTACAGCAGCAGCATGGTCCATATGGTTTCCTCTTTTCAGCAGCTCTTGCAATATTAATGTCACTATAAATTCACTTCCCGTTTTTCAGCAGCAAGAAAGCCAGTCTTATAAAACTATGCAGGCATGACAAGTATTTGAAAAGGCGCTCTTTTGGGTAGTCGAATTCAAAAAAATGTCAAATGGTTCTATAGATGAAATGAAAGCAAACCTCCCTTTTCAACAGTCCCATCTTTCCAATCCTATTTCACAGAGCCCAAATACTTGCTCCTGCCTGTCAGGTATTAATGTGAGCAGATTATGGTGATGCTCTTGAGCTCAGTGAGGTCATTTATAAATTATGTCATCACATCAGTGGCCTGGCTGTTCTCAAGCTGTATGAACCACATCCCCTTGAAAGTTCAACATGGCCTCCTGTAATCCCCCTTAATCTGTGCTGCTGCATGGGCGCCCTCATGTGGCCACTTGTAGTAAACAAAACCAAATCTGCATGTATTTTACTTCAGGAGCTGCAGAGGATTGCAATAAATGAACCAAAAGGGGGGAAAAAATACCAAGAATACTTTTCACTTGACTATAATTATAACTCAGCTTGTGATATTGTGGCGCACATTAAGTGGCATTACTGCTAGAGGTTTTGAAATGGTAGCTTTTTCTTATTTTGTTCCATGAAAAGAATATATTGGCCTGTAAATTGATTAATCAATCTAGAAACGTCCCCCTTTAACTCTGTGAATGTGTTTTTGCTGAGTTATTGCAAAGGACTCAGTCTGTGTGCAGCCGCAGAACAAACTTCCCTCCACTTTACAGCCCTCCCTCCAGTTTGTCCAAGAGAGACCATATTTAAAATGTAACCCCACCTGAAACCTCACACAGGCCAATCAGCTGGAGAAATGTCAGAGCAGACGGCACACCCTCCTTTGTTCCAAACCAATCAGAGTGGAAGTGTGGCATTTTGCCCGAGGGGAAAACTTACCCCTGGATGAGTTAATTACGCATCACTTATCTGTTGCCAATGTGTTCACAACGGTGGACCCTCTTTTGGGCTTTTTACAACGATTGTCTTCATTCTTTGGTCAATCTAGTATGGAAAGTAGACAACAATGGCTTACCAGGCTGAAAAATGAACTAAGCAACAGTCCTCTGGTATCAAATGTGGCGTTTGGCTTTATCCTCATGGGACTAGAGAAGCTGGTGGAGCTGGAGTTTGAGTGTCCTTGCAACCCCACATGGAACGGAGTGTTTTCATCAGCCTTCTTCATCATCCCTGCCGTCATGGCTTTCACTTTGATGCTGATCATTCAAGGATGCAGATGTGACGCGTGGTGCAGTAAAACTGTTTCCCTCTCCAGTTTTGTTCCTGCCATCGTGTGGCTGATCTTATTGTTTCTAGATGGCCAATACTTTGCTTGTGCCATGACAGACTGGGAAGGCAGATTTGTAATAGTTGACAAGGCGGCTCCGCAGAAGTGGTGCGAGCCAGTTAGTGAGGGAGATGCCCTTCAAGAACTCATGCTTCGCTCGCAGCAGCTCTTTGTCTTTTCTCAGGTAAGTCCATTTACTTTACAGTTTGGACCAAGGAGGATTCATCCAAATTTGATGCCATGACCTATTGTCAACTACGAATCAAGCACTTTTGAATCAAACACAGACATTTTCTGTGAATATTTCCTTAACGAAGTGTTGCTTTACTCTTTTGCACCCAGGTCATAGGCATAATCCTCCTCATTTTCATCTGTATGGGTCTCGTAGTGTATGTAATCAGAGAAAGCTGCCGACAAGAGTTGGAGATGGAGGATTCAGACGTAGCTGAGCTCACAGTGGTCAGGATGAGCTCTTTACGGAACAGGACATCATGAGAGGACTCACACACCCCCACCACTCCTGCTCTTTGTAAATACTCTGAACAGACTTCTCTATTGGTGCCGTTAAAACTCATCACCTTTGGGGGAAAGGTCTTGAATGGTCGACAATGCTGCCACATGAAGACTGTGTCCATATGGATATCACTCAATGCAGTATTTCTGTTTTGTATTTTGTATTATCAGTGAATATATAACCACTGTCTTGCCTGGGTTCATTTTACTCACACTTTAGAGTACATCCTTGTAAATCCTACCTTCCTTTATGGGGAAGTGAGGTAATTTGCAGAATATGCTCATTGACTTATTTGCAGAGAGCTGGATAAAACAGCCCCACTCTCATGTCTGTCTGGTGAATGTGAAGTTGCAGCTGGTTAGCTTAGCTTAGCAAACAGACTGAAGAAAAGGGGACACAACCAACCTAGTGCTCCCTGGTGAGAAAATCAGCTCCTCTTATATAATGAAACGTCAGTGTTTGTTCAGTCCACACAAACGATAATGTTTGAAAGTGTTAATGTTCTTCCTTTTACTGTAGGTTATGTTCAAAAGTAAATTTAAGTCCCCCAGTTAAAGGAGTGAATTACCCTTCCCCTCTTTACAGGTCTTGATGCTAAGTTAAGCTGAGTGGTCGCAGACTTTAGTGTTTCATTTAAGTGACTTTTTTTACTTTTTGTGCCTTTTGTAAACACTCGAGGGGAATCCATGAGGCAGCTAGTATCCATCTGATTAATTTCAGTTAACTTTTACAACTGTGTGTGTCCCAAAAATAATTTAAAGTGAACTTTTACATGTTCCACTTACGGTTTTCATTCCTCGGTTGCAAACGTCTTGAGATTGTAACCAGGAGGGACCCCTCTATGTCACAGTTTTACCTCACAGTGAAAAATCTGGCTGAATCTGCATTTTTGGTAGCATACCCATTTGACATCTTGAAATATAAGTCCTGTAAGTCCTGATTTATATCACAGTATGATGTAAATATAAATTTGCAACAGTCTTTAAATTTTTTTTTAATAATTTGAAATAAAAGAAATTATTTATTTATCTAAAACTGTCAGGGCTGTTGTTCTTTAATGTCATAAGATTATATTAGTGTCCACAATCCTCATGGACAAGCAGTCTCAAGAATCTGAGTCTGTCTCACACTACAAACACAGATACACTGTTTTACCAGGGTTATAATTTGCATCTCTTACACAGCTGTTTCCTAGAGCAGGAAATCCTCTTTAAACTTCTGATGCTCGAGTAAGCAGCACCTTCATGTCTGTGGACACTCTTCATCCAGAAAAGACTGTTGTTCAGTGGCTTTATACTGTAGCCTTGAGAGTCTCTGCAGATCTGGCAGAATTGACAACTACAGCAGGAGATTTTCACTTACATGTCTTGTTATTTACAACATTGCCAGAGTGCAACTTAAGCCTATTAAGTGTAGAAATTGGTGCAGACCCTCCATGTTCATCCTGTGGGGGAGCTTATTCAGAACTTCTCAAATCGCCCTGAGGAAGTTGTTGTCTTTATCCACAAAGCACCGGTTACTCTTCAGCACAACAGGGTGTCATATTCATTGGAAAACAAATGTAGACCCCGGAATGGGACTAACCAGTCTTAAACTACTTATTGTAGAAGAAAGGGAAGGTTAGTTTTGCCTGATCTGACTATGGGACTGTCAGCTTTAAACCTTTTAGCCACTGACATAACTGTATGATGCAAGGCTGCAACATTTTTAGTCATTTAAAACTTTAAAACAGCCAAGCCTTTACCTAAAACTTTGACATGTGAGGATTAAAGTAATCTTAAACTGTGTACAACCTAGATTTGTTTATCACTCTGAAGCCCTCAGTTCCTTTGATAGGAAAACTGTGGCTGCATTTTGTCAGACAAAACATTATATATAATGTCACATCTACACCTTCAATTGGTAGGGTCAGCATGATTAATGGCAGTTTATATCCCTTGTGTGAACTTGTATACATAATTACAGTGTGTTAGGATATATTGTGAGTATGGACATGATTTGATGAACCTGCATAAAGAATTAACAATTGTGCTTATTGCAGTCATGTACTGATGGAAAACAGTGTAGCATTTTGAATGTATGATAACTGTCCTTGAATAATAATATTAAATTATGACATTTATGCACTCATTGAAAAAGGGCACCACCCACCCTTACCGGTGATAAAAAGAAAGAAGACAAGGTTTTATTAAGTAATCAAATGTTAAATCAATCTTAAACAGATTTAAATCAATCTCACATCTGAGGCCGGAATTCTCATTTCAGGGACTTTACTTCTGGAAGGACCCCTAAGAGACGACAACTTAAAATTAAATAGATACTTTATTGACAAATGCTAGGTGATAACATAAATTCAATAAATGGAGATCAAATAGTGGGAATAAAGGCAAACTTAAAAGATAAATGGAGGAATAGTTTAAACTGAGCTAAGACTGGAGGTTAATGATAGTGAGTGAATAAAGAAAAATTAAACCTACGTTAAAGGTGTTACGAGGATACATTTTTGGAAGGGGGATTTGGAGAAAAGGCTTAATTATAATTGAGAATGTAAGCTATGAACGCATGAGACAGCATCATCCTTATTCCTCAGAGAGTTGAGAGGTTTGCCTACTTATTTGATGACAGTTCTCAGTGGGCACTCTTGGAGTGGGTCAACCGAAGGTCAAGGCTACAGGTGGTTTTGGCAGCCAAACGGTGAATCTGATGTCACCCACAAGCACACACCACTGGCGCCCCGTGGATTCTTCAGCACTCCTGTCTCTCTGAACCTTGTGGCTAACGTAGGGTCGGTCCATCGGGCATTCAGAGTTAGCTTTCGTGCAGATATTTGTGCCAATAACTTGAGAAAATAATTTTGCTGGCCAGCCGATATTATCTTCAGGAGTCACTTTGGTGAACTAAACAAAAGAACAAACTTAGACTTCGGTACTCTTTGCACGCAGGTAATTACTTACGCTGTAAAGAAACTTGGGTAGTTTCATCCAAGATTCTAGAAAAAGTCTGAAAACCTCAGGAGAGTAAAAACGTGGGAAAAGATACACAAAATGAGAAAGACTGGGACAAAAACGCCAACACAAGAAAAAACACGAGAGAGAAAAGAAAAAAAAGGATAAGGGGATGGTAAGAGAGCAAATGGCATAAACTTAGTGCTTTTAACCCATTCGTTCGGGGCGTGATCCAAAAGGGGGAGGGGGGTAAGCTGATACATCCATTGTTCACAGCACAGGCTGGCAGGCGAATTAATTTTAACGGGTTAATAAGTGAGGTAGATCTTAGATCACTATGATTAATGCAGTTGATCAAGTTACATATGATATAATTTCACTCATTGTTTTTTATGAGCAGATGCATCAAAACCATAACATTAAATGTAAAGCAAACTTTAATTACCTGTTTTTCTGGTATTTCATAACCTGGGGATTAACAGGCTCTTGGATAGTTAGAGAGATGGGAATCAAATGATCTTTTCCAACAGAAGCACTATAAGGCATAAGAAACACAAGTGATAAAACCAAATTTGGATATAACCTTGTCAACCTATACTAGTAACTGATAATATTCTGGTGAGGTAGACAAACACAGCATTTAAAAAGTTCAAAACACTCTTAACGTAAAGAGTGCATGCATTAAGAGTTTTCGGTTACAACTTCTAATATTGCCAAACTACTTTTGGAATACTATTCACTAAGCTACAAAGTATAAAACATGCAACATAATTAAATTCAAGGAATACGTGTTTGGATTCTGACCAAAACCATATCCAGAAAATACCACTAGGAGGAGCTCTTGGTCTATGGAAAACCTGGAATAAATTTGTGAAGTTAGAAGTTTGGCTTATAAGCAGGCTAGACAAACGGGGCAAAGACTGTTTCACTGCTGATGTTGTGTACAGAGAGAAAATCCTTGTGAAGAGTCCATTAAACCTGAAATTGTGTCATTTGCATTTATTCTCTTTGCACCAAAAGAGAGTCACAGGGAGAGTCAGCCACTCTGAGGATTTATGGCTGGGGTCTGTTTCAAGGATGAGTGCTCCTATTGCACTCTTGAATTAAGTTCATGTGATCTTTTAGGGTGATCTTAAGGTGTAGGTGGCAAATTTGAGCCATTCCAGCCAAGGTGAGAGGGTGAGTGTTTATTCAGTCTAGGGGCCCTGCTTGTAATCAGCAACTTTGTCTCTAATTGACTGTCTGTCTTTTGGGAGAGATCCTCAAGGTTATTTTCACGAAGACAGGAGGTTGTAAAAAGGCCATGATTCGGTGTGGGGATTTAACCCCCATCTCGTCTCCAGTGACCTGGTCACTGATTAAATCCTGTTGGGGTGCTTTAAGGTGAGAAAGCGGTTGTCTCTGCTACAACAGGAAGAAGGATAAAAGATCCAGGGAGGCTATAGATCACCCTGTACAGAGGAAGAGAACAGTATCCATAGTATAAAGGTTTTAGCTTTGGCTTTTCTTGATAGTTGATAAGTAAGATGTCTTGTACAGAGTAAAGATGTTCATGTGTTGTATTTGAAGGGAGTTGCACCCAGATGTGTGAAAAAGATAGCATGCAGAGGGTGTGTCGTTTTTGAAGAAAGTTATGCCCACACATATGAAGGAGAAAGTGTGCAGAGGGTGCTCTGCACTTGGAACTTAGTGGAGGTGTTAGTTATGTATGTCTGTGATACTTGCTTTTTTTAAGCTTACTTAGACTATCTGCAACAACAAGGTGGTATGATTGAATGTGTGTGTGTTAGATATGAATGTAGAATGCATAATACAACTTCTTATTAGGTAAACAGATGGACCCACTCAAGGAACAAAGAACCAGTTTACATGTGAAGACAGCACCCAGATTAGCAAACTTTTGTCTGGGTAGGTGGAGCATCTACCACAGAGGGTTTAAGGGAACACCACAACAAAGTGATTCCAACAGTGATGGACTAAAACCGCCATTGATCGATATCACTAGATAACCACATGATAACAACTAGGAGTCAGTCTGCAGCAGCTCTGGCTACTGAACTTCCCTTAATGGCTCAGCCCAGCGGTGCAGATGTATAAACTCGGAAAAGGACAGACATGCACCTGTTGTTAGAAAAGTTGCCGCCCTAGAGACAGTACAGGGCCTTGGGTTAGAAAATTCAAAGCCTCATAATGGGCCTTAAATGAGCCATGGGAGATGTCCGTACTCTTGTTGCTGCATCTTGTTCTATGGGAGAGCTGATGTCCTGAGGGTGAGGGTTTGAGGTTTACTCTGAAATCTGATGACACCTGAAGAGTTTTTGATTCGCTCTAAACAGCTGTGGCCACACTACACTGGCTTTAATCCTGCTCATACGTCACAGAATATGTTCAAATAGGCAGTATTCTTGGGCTTCCCCATCTAGTTAAAGATAAACTTCAAGATACACCAGGTCTAAGCTCTGAACCTCTTGCTAAATGGGAGACACATGTGGGTCACCACCTCAGAAACTACAGAGACAAACAAACGGAACACAACAACTGTATGAGGGAGCTAGAGCTCTGAATTTTAAAAACACAGACACAGAATTAAAACATGTAACCCCACCTGAAACCTCACACAGGCCAATCAGCTAGAGAATGTCAGAGAAGACGGCACCCTCCTTTGTTCCAAACCAATGTTTTGTTTTCCAGGAGAGGACTCTGGCCTGATTGGACAGCAGCTGAGGAGGGAAGCTGTGAAAAGGGTGACTGCTGGAGGAGCTCTCTCTCTCATTCCTTTGTCTCGACTCCCAGCCAGACCTGTGTTTTGTGGAGGCTCCTTTTGTGTTAGAATAGTGGAAACTTTGTGAATTTTGATTTGTCTTTCATGACATGAGTTTAAGTTGTTTCAAGAGCAGTCTGGTAGATAGGGGTGGGCAGCTATTTGATTTCACAAACTTTTCTCGTGTTTTGGGTTAGGGAGGCAGGTAAGACCCCCTGTATTTTATTTACTACAATTTCTTTTGTTAGGTAAGGTAGCTTTAAATAAAAGAGTCTGTGATACTTGCTTTTTTTATCTTAGACTATCTGCCCAGCAACAGCAAAACGGTATGATTGAATGTGTGTGTTAGATATGAATGTAGAATGCATAATACAACTCCTCATTAGTTAAACAGATGGACCCACTTGGTGAATAAAGAACCAGCTTACATGTGAAGACAACATCTAGATTAGCAAACTCTTTGTCTATATAGATGGAGAATCTACTGTAAAGGTTTCAAGGGAACACCACAACACGGTGACTCCGACAGTGATGGAATAGAACAGCCATTCATAGATATCACTAGGTCATCACATCATAACAACTAGGAGTCAGACTGCAGCAGCTCTGGCTACTGAACTGCCCTTAATGGCTCAGCCCAGCGGTGCAGACATGTGTAAACTCAGAAAAGGACAGACATGCACCTGTTGTTAGACAAGTTGCTGCCCTAGAGACGGTACAAGACCTTGGATGAGAACATTCAAAACCTCACAATGGGCCTTAAATGAGCCATGGGAGATGTCTGTACTCTTGTTGCTGCATCTTGTTCTATGGGAGAGCTGGTAATGATTGAAACAACTGCAAAAACTTTATCTCTCGCTGAAGATTATGAATTTGGCCTGTGTAGGACAGCCTTTAACAAAGCTTTAAGAGACCAGTTTCCTATGAAATGTCCTGAGGGTGAGGGTTTGCGGTTTACCCTGAAATCTGATGAGACACCTCAAGAGTGTGGGGCACCCCAACGTCACAGAATATGTTCAAATAGGCAGTATTCTTAGGGCTTCCCCATCTAGTTAAAGATAAACTTCAAGATACACCAGGTCTAAGCTCTGAACCTCTTGCTAAATAGGAGACACATGTGGGTCACCACCTCAGAAACTACAGAGACAAACAAACGGAACATAACAACTGTATGAGGGAGCTAGAGCTACGATTGTTGAAAATGCAACTGAAAGAAGCTGAAACGAAATGCAGCGTTACAAAAGCCAAGTCTGCTAAACAGGCTGTGGTTTCACAACAGGAAGCATCTAACACAGACACAGAATTAAAACATGTAACCCCACCTGAAACCTCACACAGGCCAATCAGCTGGAGAAATGTCAGAGCAGACGGCACACCCTCCTTTGTTCCAAACCAATTAGAGTGGAGGTGTGGCATTTTGCCCAAGGGGAAAACTTACCCCTGGATGAGTTAATTACACATCACTTTTCTGTTGCCACTGTGTTCACAACGGTGGACCCTCTTTTGGGCTTTTTACAACGATTGTCTTCATTCTTTGGTCAATCTAGTATGGAAAGTAGACAACAATGGTATTCCCTGCTGAAAAAGGAGATAAGCAACAGTCCTCTGGTATCAAATTTGGTGTTTGGCTTTATCCTCATGGTACTAGAGAAGCTGGTGGAGCTGGAGTTTGAGTGTCCTTGCAACCCTAAATGGAATAGAGTGTTGTCATCAGCCTTCTTCATCATCCCTGCCGTCACGGCTTTCCTCTTGATGCTGATCATTCAAGGATGCAGATGTGATTCTTGTCGCAGTAAAATTGTTAAATGTATTGTTCCTGTTAACAGTTTTGTTCTTGCCATCGTGTGGCTGATCTTATTGTTTCTAGATGGCCAATACTTTGCTTGTGCCATGACAGACTGGGAAGGCAGATTTGTAATAGTTGACAAGGCGGCTCCGCAGAAGTGGTGCGAGCCAAATGAGAAAGATGCCCTTCAGAAACTTATGCCTCGCTGGCAGGAGTCCTTTGCCATTTCTCAGGTAAGTCCATTTACTTTACAGTTTGGACCCAGGAGGATTTGTCCACATTTGATGCCATGACCTATTGTCAACTACTAATCAAGCACTTCTGAATCAAACACTGACATTTTCTGTGAATATTTCCTTAACAAAATGTTGCTTTACTCTTTTGCACCCAGATCACAGGCATGTGCCTCCTCATGGCCATCTGTGTGGGTCTCGTAGTGTATTTGATATACACATGTTGCACCAGCGACCGCAAAACACAAAACAACCCACAGGAGGAGAGAGAGGAAGAAAATGCTGCAGAGGTAGCAGTCCGCATGAAAACGATGTCCCCTGGACAGAGCAGTACAGTATGAGAGGACTCACACACCCCCACCACTCCTTCTCTGAAGCATCAAATCTTTGTAAATACTTTGAACAAACTTTTCTATTGGTGCAGTAAAAACTGTTTACCTTAGAAGGAAAGATCTTGAATGGTCAGCAATACTGCCACATGAAGACTGTGTCCATATAGATATCACTGAATGCAGTATTTCTGATTTGTATTTTATATTATTAGTGAATATATAACCACTGTCTTTCCTGGGTTCATCTTACTCACTCTTACTCACAATTTTGGTAGCGTACTCCTTTAAAACCTCGAAATTTAAAGTCCTGTATGTCCTGATTTGTATCACAGCTAAAATCAGCCAACAGTATGATGTAAATATGAATTTGCAACAGTCTTTACATTTTTTTTTAATAATTTGTAATAAAAGAAATTATTTATTTATCTAAAACTGTCAGGGCTGTTGTTCTTTAATGTCATAAGATTATATTAGTGTCCACAATCCTCACAGACAAGCAGTCTCGAGAATTCTGAGTCTGTCTCACACTACAAACACAGATACACTGTTTTACCAGGGTCATCATGTGCATCTCTTACACAGCCGTTTACTACAGCAGGAAATCCTCTTTAGACTTGTGATGCTCAAGTAAGCAGCACCTTCATGTCTGTGGACACTCTTCATCCAGAAAAGACTGTTGTTCAGTGGCTTTATACTGTAGCCTTGAGAGTCTCTGCAGGTCTGGCAGAATTGACAACTACAGCAGGAGATGAGTTTTCACTTATATGTCTTGTTATTTCCAACATTGCCAGAGTGCAACTTAAGCCTATTAAGTGTAGAAATTGGTGCAGACCCTCCATGTTCATCATATGGCGGAGCTTACTCAGAACTTCTCAAATCGCCCTGAGGAAGTTGTCGTCTTTATCCACAAAGCACCCGTCACTCATCAGCACAACAGGGTGTCATATTCATTGGAAAACAAATGTAGACCCGGAATGGGACTAACCAGTCTTAAACTACTTATTGTAGAAGAAAGGGAAGGTTAGTTTTGCTTGATCTGACTGTGGGACTGTCAGCTTTAAACCTTTTAGCCGTTTAGCTACTGACATAAGTGTATGATGCAAGGCTCAAGGTCCAACATTTTTATCATAAATCATTTAAAACTTTAAAACAGCCAAGCCTCTCCCTAAAACTATGACATGTGAGGATTAAAGTAATCTTAAACTGTGTACAGAACTAGATTTGTTTATCACTCTGCAGCCCTCAGTTCCTTTGATAGGAAAACTGTGGCTGCCTTTTGTCAGACAAAACATTATATGTAATGTCATATCTACACCTTCAATTGGTAGGGTCAGCATGAATAATGGCAGTTTGTATCCCTTGTGTGAACTCGTATACATATGATATATTGTAAATATGGACATGATTTGATGAACCTGCATAAAGAGTTAACTATTGTGCTTATTGCAGTCATGTACTTATGGATAACAGGAAGAAGGATAATAGCTCCAGGGAGGCTATATGTCACCCTGTACAGAGGAAAAGAACAGTATCCATAGTATGAAGGTTTTAGCTTTGGCTTTTCTTGATAGTTGGTAAGTAAGGTGTCTTGTACAGAGTAAAGATGTTCATGTGTTGTATTTGAAGAAAGTTGCACCCAGATGTATGAAAAAGATAGCATGCAGAGGGTGTGGTGTTTTTGGAGAAAGTTACACCCAGATATATGAAAGAGAAAGTGTACAGAGGGTGCTCTGCACTTGGAACTTAGTGGGGGTGTTAGTTATGTATATCTGTGATACTTGCTTTTTTTTTATCTTAGACTATCTGCCCAGCAACAGCAAAACGGTATGATTGAATGTGTGTGATAGATATGAATGTAGAATGCATAATACAACTCCTCATTAGGTAAACAGATGGACCCACTTGGTGAATAAAGAACCAGCTTACACGTAAATACAACACCCAGATTAGCAAACTTGAACACAAAATATGTTCAAATAGGCAGTATTCTTGGGCTTCCTGATCTAGTTAAAGATAAACTTCAAGATACACCAGGTCTAAGCTCTGAACCTCTTGCTAAATGGGAGACACATGTGGTTCACTTCTTCAGAAACTACAGAGACAAACAAACAGTTGGTCAAACTATGAACAAGGCTTGGTTCATGCTCTAATCTTGGTTCTGAAACACTCAGACCTCTGCTGTCTGTTCGGTAGGATGAGCTACTTTCGAACCCAGAGATTACTGTTGCACATTTTTTGACTCGTGTAAGTAATAACTGAGCATCAACTGAAAAGTCTTCTGCTCCTAGTCTTCTCTTCTTCTCATCAATGATCACGTAGGAAAAGGGTGAGAGATAATTAAGTAATTGGAGTCAGAGATTTAATATCAGCCAGTACCTTCCTTATTGTGTTTGGGGAATTAGACGTCAGAGTACCCCTTAAGGTGATAGGAAAATCACCCTTTTTCATCATGTGCTATGCTCCAACTGTGTCAAGTTCTTTGCATGCATAAGCTATAATGGTCCCAGTTAATGGAAAGGTAATAATATTACAATAATGGTCTTTTAAGTCGAGAACAGAACTGCCAAAGATGCATAGGAAAATATGAAATCTAAATGCTCATTTTTCATGAGGTCCTTGGCAGTTCAAACCAGAATCAAGGCAAAATAAATCCTGCATCTGCAAATTTAATCCAAAATCACTTTATTTCGATATTTGATAGTCATTTTTAGATTTTCAGCATTCACCATCTCAACATTTCTATTTGCTGTGACATTTCAATTTGTCTGATTTCAACAATGTAATGTCCAAATAAGATGATCACACTTAGAGAGTTTCCTCAGATTTACTGATGCAAAAAAAGCCAAGATTGAGGAGTCCATGGTCTGAAATTTGGAAGAAAAAAAAAACCTCAAGACTTCGGCTTACTATGTTTAAGCAAAAGTATCAGCATATAAAAATGGGAAGTAGCATTACAGTGTCACTTTTATTTTGAAAGTGTGACGTTGGATGTTGAAATTCACATTAGCCACCGTCAGGCTTGGATGAGAAAGACTTAAATCATTTATACTCAGATCTGAACACTATGCTTTACAAGAAATATAGGACATTGTGCAACACCAAAGACGAGAGCAAACTTTGTTCTGTCCAGGAGCACTATTTAAAGAGGGGAAATACATCACCGGTGTCCAATATTTTCATCTAATTTCATGTTGTGAAACTGCCTTGTTAAAGTTTAACCCCTGTCTTTGTGCACTCTGGTCAGAGGTTATCAAAGGGTCACATGTTTTACGTGTGTTATGAATATGTGTTGCAAGGACTTTTTTTTTCAATAGGCTAATGACCAACTTGAAAAACAAAACACAAACGAAGATACACCCTTTTGTAAAAAAAAAAAAAAAATTGTGAAAAAATAATAGTTTAAAAAGTGGATTTAATACAGTCCACTCTATTGATAGAATTACAAATAAACACATTGAATCATTTGAAAATTTTTTCCATTCAAATAGAAAGCTGACTGATTTCTTTTATATCTTCATTTAATTGAGGTTTGTTACCTGATGAAGCATCTTAGGAGTTCTTCCAGGTTACCGATGGATTACTCTTTGGCCACTTTTCAAATTTACATTTATTTTTGATCTCTGTCTATCAAAAGAGGAGGAATATTGTGTTGAAATATAACCACAAATCCAAAAAGCAGCCTAGTCTTTGGTCACTGATAGGCAAACTTAAAAGATACAATGTAAGCATTTATTCTATATAATTATCATCAGTCAGTCTTTCCTTTATGGTCAGATTTCACTTTCCTTTTCAGACACACTCTACAGCATGACCATACTAACCCACCAAAACACAACAATATCAGTAGAGCAAGAGTTACTAAAAATAACATTACATCCACAGAGTGGTAGGAGTACCAGGGCAGCTTGTAGGACTCTGTTCTCAGGTGAGCTGCACCTTTGTGTCTCATGACAAACTCAATCCAGAAGAGGGCGTTATCCAGTGGCTTCATGGGAGTGTCTCTGTGCAGCCTGGAGAGTCTCTGCATGTTCATTCTGTATGAGGGCTCATTCAGGACTTCCTGAATGCCCTGGTAAAAGATTTCTTCATCCATAGTGATGATATCTATATTTTTCCCTGCTCCTTTTGTCTCAATTTTAAACAGATTATCACGTTGATCAAAAATCAGTGGTACACCTAAGATGGGAACTCCATGATAAATTGCTTCTTGAACACCGTTTGTTCCTCCGTGAGCCACGAAAAGTTTAATCTTTGGATGGCCTAAAAGATCATTCTGTGGCATCCAGTCCACCAGCAAAGTGTTGTTGCCTAGATTAGCTGGCCTTTTACCTTTGTGTCTCCAGATGACTTTCTGAGGTATTCTAGCAAAAGCTGCCGCAATCTCATCTGCAAAGTCAGGGGGAAGCTTTGCAACTATCGTCCCCAGTGACATAATGATGACTCCATGCTCTCCAGAGCTCTGCACAAACTCCTCTAGGTCTGCAGGAAGTGGTTTAGCAGGTTTGCACTGAAAGCCTCCCATATAGATAACATTGGGCATGGTGGGGCGAGGAAATTCAAAGACAAAGTCCACTCTCATGAGCCAGAGATCGGCAGCCTGATACAGGGACTCCAAGTCTGTGTCCTGTTGTAGGTATTTTCTTATTATGCCATCATAATGTATTGACACATGACTTGCAGCTCCATATTTTCCAAAGCCATAACCCAAAATATTAAGAACTCTCTGAAGAAAGCTCATCTTGTCTGAAAACTCAGTCCCTGGCAGAGGAACATAAGAAAGAGGAGAGGGTGCAATTGAAAAATGGCCTTCCCCAAAACTAGTCCATCTGACATTGAAGACGAGTGGCAACCTGAGATAGTGGGCAAATATAATCCCCGTTGGAAAAACTGGATCTGTTAGGACAAGGTCATATTTTGCATCTTGAAGCATCTTCATCAGATTGGTATTTTCAAAAAGCAGCTCAAGCATTTTGGATGTGCCTTCATGCAGTTTTGAGGCTATATGCAGTTGTTCCATCTCTAGCTTAAAACGAGCCCAAGCTGACCTCCCCTCTCTTTGGAGCTCCAGCAGCTTGGCTGCAAAATCAGTGGTGAAGTCTTCATCAAATCCAGACTCCGTTTCAAGAGTAATTGAGGTATAGTATGGGGAGGTGTCCTTGATGTACCAGCTGTCTGGTGCTCGTACAACAGTTATCTGGTGACCTCTTGAATGCAGTGCCTCAATGATCACATTCATGTTCACCCAGTGACTCCCGTCCATGGGGAAAACAACAATCTTTCCTCCATAGACCACCGTTGGACAAAGTAAGAACAAAGTTGTCCAAATCCATTGCAAATGCATTTTTGTTCTGTTAAAGGAAAACAAGCATACAACTTTTATTGATTGCATCATTCTGAGCACAGCTAAACGTTCACACATAAATTACTAAGAGACTGAATCTTCACTGAATTATCAAAGTCTTGCTACATATACACTTATCCAGTTTTTCAATGTGTAGCCAGTTGCAGTTGGATTCTTACATGAAAACAAAACAAGGATTTATAAATTAAACATTTTTCATCCACTTTCACTCAACTGAATTGTTGATGTTTCATGCAGTGTGAATGAATTTGATCTGGTGTTAAATACTTAGAAAAGGATCGTAGAAAATCTTACTGAAACAAGAAGATATGTTGCATTCAAGTCCAACATTAGTGATGACTTTAAGAAAGTCAGTGGCTAAAACTACAACAAATCAATGATCAAGACTGAGAAATGCTGGATTTACCTCTTTGGCACCCGCTGTCTCTCTTTAAATGTTTCCTCTTTTCCAGAGAGGTGAACACATGTTGGTCTTTTTCAGGTTTTAGGTCAAGAGGGACTTTGGCACTGCAATTTATGTAAAACATAGAGGTGATAAGAAAGTACAAAGGGGAGTCAACCTCTTAGATCAGAGCTAGATCATTCACAAAACTAAAAACAGAAAATTTAATTACTTCTCTGTAGTAAGTGATCATTTACACAAAAATTTTAGATTTTCATCAATCAAAAGTCAGTTTTGACTTATTAGTACAATTCTGGAAAAAATGTAAGAACTTACGTTTGTATGATAAATGAAAATGTATAGAAACATTCATAGAGATCACCTACCACTGGAATGGATAATCAAACAGATATTTGACAAGACTAAACATAAACAAAAAAATAAAAACTACAAAAATTTTAGGAGTAAAAAAACATCTTCTATTAACAAAAACCAAGTGTTCACAGCCAGACTGATTAGAACAGAAAAATAAAGTAATTGTCTGTAAGCATCCTGTTTAGTTATACATAAGTTTTAAATGACAATACAATTTAAATCATGGCCAAACTTTAAGATATGAAACCAACACAGTTGTGGAGTACCGGGGCAGAAGGAGGCACAGCCCACCTGAGAATCCTATTGGATTGGCTGATCTGTGTACACACTGAAAGGTCATACATATTCATTATGTGGGAGGGCTCATTCCAGTCTTACTGCATGACTTTTACAACTCTCTTGGCTGTCATTCTAAGAGGGTTTACAGCTTGTTCAAACACAAGAAGAATGCCTACAGTTTCATGTTCATGATAATATTAAGGTTTTCATTTTCACCTCCTTCATATGCAACTACTTTTTTTTATTTGCACATACTTGGAGGTATATTTATGGCAAATGCTCAACAAGTAGAATCTTGTTTTCAAGAGTGGCTGGTATGACACCATTGACATGATGGGGCAAGGAATTTCTAACACAGGTCTCCAGCTTGTAACAGCAAGAACCGGTCTACTCTGGACAATGCAGAATAATTTTGCTCAAAGATTTGCTTCTACAGATGCACCTTAATGGTGAAAAAGGAGCTATTTGATCCACTTCACAAAAGTCATTTGATGTTGTCTTTAAGGAGAAAGTGAATCACTACATTGTGATCATACTCTGCATCCTGATAAGACCTTAGTTCCTCGTAATTTTCTGTTTTGTTTATAATCTCAGCTCTGATGCACCATCTGTCTTGCAGCCAGATGACAGTCACAATTTACCCTCTTAAAAAGCCTCGTAACAGACACTCCAAAATTACCCCACCCCGATCATGAAGAAACACCAAATAACAAGCTTTTTTATTTGACTCCTAAAGAAATGTCAAACCTGAACCTGAAACAAGAATATCTTCAAATCTTTCCAAACATAAAACTAAAACAGTGTGTTTGAAAGGATGGAAGTGGGGTGCACAAGGCAAATCATTCCTGATAAAGTAGTCTGGTCCAAATGAGCACAAACAGAAAAGTAGAGGATTTCCCTGAATGACTAAATAGAAAGCAGCCGTGTTGCTCATATCACTAGCCTCTCATTTGTGTTTAAAAAAAATCCCCCTGATCACCATCACGTGGACATACTCATGGGGCTTACTTCAGGAAATGAGACTGCTGCGTTCTGCCAAAAGCTCTGAATGCAATTTGTATTCCCCCAACTCCCTGAGCAACAATGTCTCTTAAAAACCACAAGTGTGTTGATTCTGCATGAAAGAAATATTGAAGAGACTCTGTCTCAGAAAAACACATAATCCCTCTGTAAGAAATCCCATGCACCTATTTTCTATTGATGAAAAGCCTAATCCTTAAATAATGAGCTTGATTTAATAAAACTTGCTTCCCCTCCGTAACATTGGCTGCTAAAAGCCAAAAAGAAAAGCGGTCCTTTCAGAGGAGAACAGCTGAGAACAACACTGGAGATCACTTACTGTTTTCTCATAAGCCAGAATCAAAGTCTTTGAATGTTGGGAGTGGAAACCCTCCTGGGGACTATGCCAAGAAACTCTCGGCAGAAAGTTTAAATCCAAACAGAGAACAGTGAGGGGCTAAATTCTGGGAATGTAAACACTTTCAGGTTTCTTTGACCCACCCACTTGAGATTTCTGTGTCCTACAAGGAAAAGGGGAACATGCCTAGTCATTCTTGTGCAACATGCAAGAGCTGGGATATGAAAAACAGCTGTGGGGCTGAATTATGTGCTATACACAATGTATGCAGTCTGTTATATTTCCACCTTTCATACGATTTCCAAATGAAAATGGACCATGTTTATTGAATCTTCTTGTGGTTAAATACTCAGAAATGGACAGATAACATGATTTATTCACTTTAGGCTGTAAGGTACAAATGACACAAATTGTACATTCTCCACAAAAATGAGCAAAACTAGTTAAAATCAATCAGACTCACAAGGCTAATTCCTCACCCTACATGCAGAACATGAGCAAAAGCTTAGGAGTAAATGTTTAACTCAAGATTTTTAATGCAAGGTAGGTAGCCTCCCACTCATAACAGTTGAGTATAATAAAACCCTAGAAGATCTGTGCACACCGTCCAGGTAGAGACTTCGTACTTGGAAAACATGTTCATTGTTCTCACATGAATCCAGATGCAGAAAAGTCAACGTACTGCCATGAAGAATATGGACAGTACTGTGCAGAGTGTGCTGCCTTGAAATGCACCTGAGCCTTCTGCAGAGGGATTGCGTAATATGTGCTTATAATAGATGCCTCCTTTTAGGTATAACAAGCTGTCGGTTTTGAATCCGTCATTTATTGTCCAAAAGATTTCAAGTGGTTGACAACATTAGTTGTAAACAGAGATTGTGGCAGGTTTAAAATTTGATGCCTTTTCCCCCATGACACAGAGCTGAAATACTTTGAGCTGATTTCATTAAGCTAAACTAACGCGGTCATATCAAAGGTAAGATGCACTGTTGAATTGACATTATGAAACAGTGAGTATGAGAAGATAGCTGTAGTTGAAAGTACTAAATTAACCTTTAAACATGTGTTAGCTTGTCCTAGGTGACTTGGATCTAAACAAACTGGACTGTCAGACTTCAGATACTTATTAAGTTTTATTTTAATGACATTTATGGAAACTTAATGTGATGAAGTGGATAAAGCACTACCTGTGTCTGTCCTCTGTTCACATAAACAGAAGCAGACCTGAAAAAGAGCATTAATGTCTCTGCTTTAACCACTAGCAATGATTTAATTGTAATTTAAGAAATTTATGAGAGCAATAAAAAAAGATGGATAGTGTAATTTAAAAGAGGGGAAAGACCTTTGTCACTGATTTATTTTGATTTTATGAAACAAAACAAAAAAATTTTCTTTGACCATGATGTTCAGCGGACAAAATGTGTATTCCTTGTGTAATTACTCCCTTTTTGCTTTTCTCTTACACAGTTTGGAGAAAAAACAGTTCATCAACATGAAAGACGTGAGGAGTAAAAGAAGCAAAGCTCCAGTCAGGAACAAAACAACGTCCACAGAGTGGTAGGAGTACCAGGGCAGCTTGTAGGACTCTGTTCTCAGGTGAGCTGCACCTTTGTGTCTCATGATAAACTCTATCCAGAAGAGGGCGCTATCCAGGGGCTTCATGGGAGTGTCTCTGTGCAGCCTGGAGAGTCTCTGCATGTTCATTCTGTATGAGGGCTCATTCAGGACTTCCTGAATTCCCTCGTAAAAAATTTCCTCATCCATAGTGAAGATATCAAGAATCTTCCCTGCTTCTCTTGTCTCAATTTTAAACAGATTATCACGTTGATCAAAAACCAGTGGTAAACCTAAGATGGGAACTCCATGATAAATTGCCTCTTGAACACCGTTTGTCCCTCCATGAGCCACAAAAAGTTTAGTTTTTGGATGTCCTAAAAGATCTTTCTGTGGCATCCAGTCCACCAGCAAAGTGTTGTTGCCCAAAGTAGCAGGTTTGTCACCTTTGTGCCTCCAGATGACTTTCTGAGGTAATCTAGCAAAAGCTCCTGCAATAGCATTGGCAAGGTCCGGTGGGAGCTCCCCAAATATTGTCCCCAGTGACATAAGGATGACTCCATGCTCTCCAGAGCTCTGCACAAACTCTTCAAGATCTTCAGGCAGTGGTTTAGCAGGTTTGCAGTGAAAGCCTCCCATGTATATAACATTAGGCATGGTGGGGCGAGGAAATTCAAAGACAAAGTCCACTCTCATGAGCCACAGATCAGCTGACTGAAATAAGGACTGCAAGTCTATGTCCTGTTGAAAATGTTTTTTAAATAAGTTTTTATAATGTGGTTCAATGAAGTACGCTTTTTCAAGTTCAAATAAGCCAAATACAACAACATTAATGACTCTCTGTAGAAAGCTCATCTTGTCTGAAAGCTCAGTCCCTGGCAGAGGAACATAAGAAAGAGGAGAGGGTGCAATTGAAAAATGGCCTTCCCCAAAACTAGTCCATCTGACATTATAAACAAGAGGCAACCTGAGATAGTGAGCGAGTATAACACCTCCTGGTATGGCAGGGTCTGTTAGGACAAGATCATAATTGGCATCTTGTAGAGACTGTATCTGCTCTTTGTTTTCAAAAAGCAGCTCAAGCATTTTAGATGTTGTCTCATGAATCATTGAAGCTGCGTTCATTTGTTCCAACTCTAGCTTAAACTGAGCCCAAGCAGACCTCCCCTCCCTCTGGACTTCCAGCAGCTTGACTGTTAGGTCAGAAGCAAAGTCCTCATCAAATCCTGACCCCATTTCAAGATTTACTGAAGTATAGTACGGGGAGGTTTCCTTAATGTACCAGCTGTCTGAAGGTCTCACAACAGAAACCTGGTGACCCCTTGAATGCAGTTCCTCAACAATGATGTTCATGTTCACCCAGTGACTCCCGTCAACAGGGAAAACGAGAACTTTTCCTCCAAAAACCATGGCTGGACAGAGCCCACAGAGAGTGATCCAGATCCAGTGTGAAGGCATTTTGGCCTGAAGTTGGGAAAATGACATATAAATCATATCATCATCACGCCCAGGACAAAAACTGTGAAACACCTCCAACCCCCATCCCCACCTCAGTGTAAGTGTTACAGATCACTGTACGCAAAATCTACCTGAAACAAAGACAACCGATACCTGATACACACATAAATATATACATAAATGTGTATATATACATACATATATGTATATATTTTATACAAACATATACAAATGAATATCCTCTAAAGGCAAAGTCTTTAAATATTGGAAAACACTGGCATGCACCTAGTTACCTGAATCTGGTGTACAATGTATCCTTTGGAATATTTCTGCTTGTCCAGAGAGCCACACATGCACCATGTACTGCTCCTGTCAGGTTTAAGCTGAGAAGGAGTAGAACTCAGAAGGACTTTGGTACAGCAGTTACATTCTCTACAACAGATTGGACGATAAGAGAGTACAAAGGGAATGTTTATGACATTAAAATTTAAATAAATATTAACAAAACTCGTTCACTGGTAAAAATAATAACTGTCAAACAGAAAATAACATTTCAGATTGTCACTAAATGACATTTTTACATGGAGACCATCACCTGCTGGCTGATAAATGCAAATTAGCAAACCCTAACACAGATCAGACCCATCGGTTTCCCTCTGTTGGTTTGAAGTTAAAGGAACAATAGGGCCTGTGTTCCTGCAGTCTTAATCTGTCTCACTGAATGTAGAGATATTGACAGAAGACACCCTGCACTGTCTTTGGTGTTTGATGGTAATGACAGTGTCTGGTCAACCCTTTCTGAATAATGTTGCAGTTTATCATTCTTTGCAGCCACTCTCTACAGTTGTTGACTTTTGCTTTGTGTTATCTGTGTATTTGAAGTGCTTTTAAAGTGCATGCAGTCGTTTTGGCTTTTTGTACTTTTGCAAATGCTTTTAAAGTTGTGTCATTTCATCACCCTATAAAAATATTGGCCAAAGTTCTTTTTTGACGAAAATTAGTTTTTGGCCTAAATCATCTCTTGATAATGCTGGCCATCTCTGGTAAAATCGCCCAAATCCTTAGTTAAAAGGATCATCTTTTCAACTAAATGACTCCAAAAACTGAGTATTGAATGAATGTTGCAGCTTCTCCTGTCAGTGATTATTCATATCATCACATTTGAGTCAGTCAGTGTAAATGTCCCCAGTGTGACTAATCAAGTACTACTCAATTCACTTTATTACAAGTATTTTAAATTATACAGGCTCATTTTAAAAAAGTCACAGTACTTATTAAAGTCATACATAAACCTAATTGTGTATGATGAAACAAAAAATAAACAAATAAATAAATTCACATGAAAATGTTCCCTTTACAATGTCAGTATTATGTTAATCTCAAAGCTGACAAGACCCCTCCAAATATTGAGGGTGAATGTTGTTTTCGTGTATTTAAATAAAATAATATAAAATAGTCATACCCTTTGAGTAATTACTCCCTTTTTGCTTTTCTCTTACACAGTTTGGAGTACAAACACTTCACCAGCATGAGAGACATGAAGAGTAAAAGAAGCAAAGCTCCAGTCAGGAACAAAACAACGTCCACAGAGTGGTAGGAGTACCAGGGCAGCTTGTAGGACTCTGTTCTCAGGTGAGCCGCACCTTTGTGTCTCATGATAAACTCTATCCAGAAGAGGGCGCTATCCAGGGGCTTCATGGGAGTGTCTCTGTGCAGCCTGGAGAGTCTCTGCATGTTCATTCTGTATGAGGGCTCATTAAGCAGTTCTTGTATTTCCTGATAGAGGATTTCTTCATCCATGGTGATAAAATCGATTATCTTTCCAGCCCCTCTTGACTCAATTTTAAATAGATTATCATGTTGATCAAAAAACAGAGGGATACCTAAAAGGGGAACCCCATGATAAATTGCTTCATAAATGCCGTTTGTCCCTCCATGAGCCACAAAAAGTTTAGTTTTTGGATGTCCTAAAAGATCTTTCTGTGGCATCCAGTCCACCAGCAAAGTGTTGTTGCCCAAAGTAGCAGGTTTGTCACCTTTGTGCCTCCAGATGACTTTCTGAGGTAATCTAGCAAAAGCTGCTGCAATGGCATTAGCGAGGTCAGAGGGGAGATCTTTAACCATAGTCCCAAGTGACATAATGATGACTCCATGCTCTCCAGAGCTCTGCACAAACTCTTCAAGATCTTCAGGCAGTGGTTTAGCAGGTTTGCAGTGAAAGCCTCCCATGTATACAACATTAGGCATGGTGGGGCGAGGAAATTCAAAGACAAAGTCCACTCTCATGAGCCACAGATCAGCTGACTGAAATAAGGACTGGTAGTCCGCATCTGGACCCAAATATTTTTCAATTAAGTCTTTATAATATGGTAAAATATTCTGTGCAGTGTGAAGATGGGTAAGACCAACTACAATAACATTAATAACTCTTTGTAGAAAGCTCATCTTGTCTGAAAACACCAATCCTGGCAGAGGAACATAAGAAAGAGGTGAGGGTGCAATTAAAAAATGGCCTTCCCCATGACTGGTCCATCTGACATTAAAGACAAAAGGCAACTTAAGATAGTGAGCGAGTATAACACCTCCTGGAAGAACTGGATCTGTTAGGACAAGATCATAATTGGCATCTTGTAGAGACTGTATCTGCTCTTTGTTTTCAAAAAGCAGCTCAAGCATTTTGGTTGTTTTCTCATGCATCTTCGAGGCTACCTGTACTTGTTCCATCTCTAGCTTAAATCGAGCCCAAACAGACCTCCCCTCCCTCTGAACTTTCAGCAGCTTTGATACGAATTCTGTCACAAAGTCTTCACCAAACCCAGAGCCCATTTCAAGATTTACTGAAGTATAGTATGGGGAGGTTTCCTTGATGTACCAGCTGTCTGAAGGTCTCACAACAGAAACCTGGTGACCCCTTGAATGCAGTTCCTCAACAATGATGTTCATGTTAATCCAGTGACTCCCATCAACAGGGAAAACGAGAACTTTTCCTCCAAAAACCATGACTGGACAGAGCCCACAGAGAGTGATCCAGATCCACTGTGAAGGCATTTTATTCTGAAGAAAGGACAAAGACATTATGTTCATTTTATTTTAGCAGATATCAAATTAACATGACAACAGGTACACAGAGTAAAGCAGAGACATGGTACCTCCCTACAGTTCAATACCTTTGTTGAATTTTTTTGAAGAAAATACTGTGAATAGATGAAAAATATCTTGCCTGCTGGCTGCGAAATAAAAAATCAACCCACATATTGATCCGTTTAGTTATTATTTTCCATTTATCTCTTTCAACCAGCCTGTTGGTCAGGTGGAAAAACCTTTGCTGTTTAATTACTTTCAAAATGAATAAAAATCATTCCCATATGCAAATCTTCCTTTAACAGCTAACAATATGCATTTCACCAATATCTCGACAATGACAGCCACTGTGTGTCTGTTTGTGAACAGCTTCTGAAAAATGCCCTTTTTATTAACCACAGTGGCTGTCATCATGTCTAAGCTGAGGTGTCTCCAAGTATGGGAAACTAAATCAACAAACTGTATATGAGGATACGTTGTGAAGGAGATGGTACAAAAGATCTTTAAATCTTCCTCCCAAATAGTAGGAATGTGGAAGATGCAAAAAAAAGGATGATTTTTACTTATGTAATTGAGGAAATATGTGCAAAAAAGCCAAGGATATCCCTGCTTAAGTAAGTTGAATCTGCAGTAAATAAATATTGAAAAGCTTCTATCTTTAAAAAAAGGAAAAGAAAACATTATTCTCACCAATACCAATTTCCCTTTAATGAAACTCCTTATCCTTTAACAATTGGCCTAAATCAATCAAAATAACTTCTCTGTAACATTCAGTGGTAAAAGATTAAAACAAAAATGAACCTTCAAGTATAAAACACTTCTTACAATACCAAAGATCACTTACTCGTTGCCCTTCATCAAAGTTTTTCAATGTCAAGCATGCAGTGGAAACTTCCCCAACCTCTATACCATTGTCAACAACAAATAGTTTGGATCCAAACAAAGCATAGCAGATCAGAAAGAAACAGACTCTGGGACTACATACACTCCCAGGTTTCTTTGTTCCACCCTCTGGAGATTCCTATCTCTTCTACAAAAAGCAAATGCTGCACTGTTCCCAAATTCACCACCCATAAAGCAGACTAATTTGTGCAGGTTAAAATATATGAAAATGGTCTGGGTATATTCCCCTTGCACAGGCAGTGTAACGTGTTTTAAAATCGAGTGGGATTCCTCATAGTTTTGTGGTCAGTGAGGGAAAAAAAGGTATATTTCATTGGATTTGGCTGTCAGATTTGTGGTGTTAATTTGAAACACAGACGGTATGAATGGCATGTATCGATTACTGAGAAGTAGAAACTGGGATTTATAAGAAAATCCACTAAAAGCCCTACTCAGTTTTGGGCAAAAATGACTAAAAAAAGGATGTGCGCCTTTATCAGCTATTCAACGTCGTTACCTTGGCGAGTTGGCACAAGAAGCCCAAACAGGTTGACTGAATAAATATCTTAATCGTTGTTACGATATTATATTTAATACAGTACGAAATTAGGCTGTGGTTAGCCAGCCTCTCCTCGTTTTTAACTTCGTCGAGTCAATCGTATCTAGATTCAAGGTGTGCATTTATTCGAGTCTTTATGGTAAATGCTCGACACTCCGGAGTGATCACAACAGAGTGAGAGTGATTCTGATATACCTTTCTCTTTCACACCCAAAGCGTCACATTACTGAAATCTTACCTTCGTACTGGCCGCGAAATGCATTTGTACACCGAGAGCAAACATGCTGTGGTAATGTCTCACATAGGTGGAGGTCGGTGAGTTCAGCGTGAGGACAACTGCGAGTCTGCAACAACATCCGTTTTTCAAAATAAAGTGTTCACAATTAATTTGAAGAAATTCAAGACACCGTGGAGTTTAGGCTACTCCCTAAACTACAAGGACTAAGTACAAGAATTACTGTTTGTGTTTTATTTTCATAAAGTTCAATTTCTTTAAGGAGTTCATTAGTTTAATATTTAAACTTTTAGTAGGGGAGAGTGGGGTAAGTTGAGCCACCCCCTGTTCATTGGAAATGGAGAAAGAAATATTTGGGGGGGGGGGGGGGGGGGATACGGGGTAAGTTGACCATAGGAGACCACTTCTTTTGGCATGCTATATTATCAATACAGTTATATTTACACTTACTCTGTTGGTTTGCAGGGATGCACAACATCTTGAAATATATGCAGATACACTAGTTAGAGACAAAACTATGATTGCCTTGATGTAGTGACCTGAAATATGAAAAATGGCTCATCTTACCCCACTCTCCCCTACCTCCATACGCACAAGTGTAATGTTTTTAACCTGCTTACTTTTCATAAAAGTAAGCAGGTTAACATGCTGTTAACATCCATAGTAAAGCAGTATAATGAGCCTATTTTCCACTGAAATTTATGTTGACATACCGTATACGTACTTCATATGACTAATGCATGCAATATATCAAGAATAATTTAGTCTGAGGTGTTTGGATCATGGAAGACATTATCTTTAATCAACATTAAAACTAGGAAAAACAGACTCATAGCACTGTATTATCATTTTTTAACTGTAAATTGACAAAAAAAAGTACACAGTAAAAGTATTACATATTAGATGTGCATGTAGTCTGTGAGACACTGAGTCTGAACATATCAGGCTCATTTACCACTTCACTGAGAACAGTGAATTAGCCAAAAAGAGTAAAAAAAATCTCCGGATCACCGACTAATTGGATAAAACTGTTTTTGATTCAACATTACTGTTGGCTGACACTTGACATTTGGTTATTGGCATACACTTTGTTCTTAGATTAGTATTAGGCTGAACTTTGGATTTACAATGGAAAGGCAGCCACCCACAGATTAAGACTAATTACAGTACCCACCTAGACAGGTGCACACCCTAAAGATAAAGCTCAGCTATTTAGAGACATGTTTACTCTTGAATAAGTCGTATTATAAAGGCCTAATGTGCTGTTTTGGAAAGCACATAGTGTACAGAGTATACTGTCTATTATCTAGCCTTAAAAATCACCCTCTAGTAAGAGATATAGCAGTGTTGTACATGCCTTCTTATATGATAATAAAACTGTAGTGTTAAGAGGCCGTTCTTTGCTTTCTGTTTTTTTTTAAATTCTATTTTCAAGCACCATCCTTAAAAGCAGAAAATGAGCCACAACAAAAAATTATAGTACTTTCTAAAACTTTTAAATTACCCGAAAGCAGATCTGTTAACCTCCTAAGATTACCTAAATCAAGGTGCAAGGAAAAAGAAAACACGCCTCGGCAGTTTAAAGGAGCAAACACAGATGCTTATAGCTGTTAATAAAGAAAAAAAGTGTTGAACAGGTGAGGAGACATATTTCAGCCTCTCATCAGTGATTTGCGATTCATGCCATTCCTTTTAATGATACTGGTCCAATCCTAACCTGATACCACAGATGCAAAACCAGCTGCAGTTTCCCCTTTGATTACATTAACCCCTTGCTGTCACATGCTACCTTAAAGGCATTTCTGCCATTGCCCTTGAACAAAAGTTAAATACAGATGAAACATAACACTAATCAGAATTATGAACAATCTTTCATTCCAGATTTATTTAGACAAACTTGCTTATTACAAACATTCTTAAGTTCATATGAATGCTGAAAAAATTATGATCAACCAAAACAGTATAAAACAAAAAAGAACCTGAGCAGTGTCAAAAATTTGATTTGATTGCTGTCGAACTTGATTTATTTTGTGATTGTTGAGATAAAGCATTAATATTTGGTCCAATGACTTACACATCTTAAAATCTGCCTAATAATTCTGATCCATAAGACAGATTTGCATGTGGATATCTCTTAGGTGATTACTCACGTTTCACTTTTTTCTTGCACATAATAGCACATAAACACCTGAGGAGCATGAAAGTAGATAAAAGCAGGAGGAGCAAAACTCCAGCCAAGAATAAAAAGACATCAAAGGAGTAGTAGGAGTACCAGGGCATCTTCAAGGACTGTGATTTCAGGTGAGCTGCACCTTTGTGTCTGATTACGAACTCTATCCAGAAAAGAGCGTTATCCAGTGGCTCTATGGGCTTATCTCTGTGCAGGCTGGACAGTCTCTGCATGTTCATCGTGTATGAGGGCTCACTTAGGACTGTCTGTATGGCCTTCAGGAAGTTGTCATCTTTATCCACAGTTTGAATGCTCAGGATCTCTGCACCTCCTCTGTCTTTCAGTCGCAGCAGATTATCATATTGATCGAAAAATAACGGCAGACCAACAACTGGAACTCCGTGATACATTGCTTCCTGAACACCGTTTGTCCCTCCATGAGCCACAAAAAGTTTAATCTTTGGATGTCCTAATAGATCGTTCTGTGGCATCCAGTCCACCAGTAAAGTGTTGTTGCCAAGAGCAGCTGGTTTGTCCCCTTTGTGTTTCCAGATGACCTTCTGAGGTAATTTTGCAAAAGTTGAAGCTATCATATTGGTTAGGTCAGCAGGAATTTCAGTCACAAAAGTACCCAGAGACATGAGGATGACTCCATGCTCTCCTGAGCTCTGCACAAACTCCTCTAGGTCTGCGGGAAGTGGTTTAGCAGGTTTACACTGAAAGCCTCCCATGTAGATGACATTAGGCATGGTAGGGCGAGGAAATTCAAAGACAAAATCAGCTCTCATGAGCCAAATATCTGCATCAAGCATTAATTCATCATAGCTAATACCAGGCCCAAGATATTTGTCACAGAGTTTCTGGTAAATCTGCCAAGTAACCAGATTATTCTGTGCATGCGTAATTAGGTGGGTAAGCACATTTTTGACTCTCTGCATAAAGGTCATCTTGTCAGTGTTGCCAGTTCCTGTGATAGGAATGTATGATAAGGGAGAAGGAGCAATAGCTAAGTGAGCCTCTTCAGCTATCAGCCAACGGACATTATAAACCAAAGGAAGATTCAAATATTTGGCCACAATGGCTCCTCCACCCCAGCAGGGGTCAGTCAACAACAAATCAAACTTGCTCTCCTTCAAGGTTTTCATCAGTTCTTGGTCATCTAGGATCCCTGTTACTACCTCAGCCACGGCTGAGTGTGCATCAAAAAATATACCAATCATCCCCAAAAATGTGGGGAAAAGACTTGTCAAACCAGAAGCTCCCCTCTCATATTCAATTCCCTCTTTTATGATTTTGGTTATAAATTTCTGATCCAAGCTTCTCTCTGCGTGAACTGTGTGGGTAGTGTAATAGGAGGATTTCTCCTTGATGTACCAGCTTTTGTCTGACCGCAAGATTGTCAGGCTGTGTCCCCTTCCATGCAAAGCTTTAAGTATAATATCCATGTTTATCCAATGGCTGCCTTCTGTTGGAAAAACCAAGATGTTTCCACCTTGACAATCTCTGGGAATGAGAATGAGCAGCAGCAGAACACTGCAGCAACAGTGCAGCTTCATCTGAAACAAAAACAGGATCAGCAGATGAGAACTCTTACCCTCTTTCATTGCAGTTGACCTTGTCACTCTGTGAAATGTAGTCATTGTAAATGTAAACATTCCTTTATTTCTGTAGTATGCTGAATACCACTTGGGTTGGCACCTGCTCAAAGGGGGTGGTTACAAATTGGAAATTTGTACATCTTTAGACCAGTTTTCATCATTCTTGCTGGTTGGCACTAGAATGACTATTTGTTCAAACAAATTGATTACACAGTCAGCCTGACATGCCAGTTATACTCAGAGCCTCATCTGTACTGCAGCCACTAGAGGCATTACATCAACATCAGCCCTCACATGGGGGATCTCACAACTGTCCCCCCCAACACCTGATGGCAGCTGACCAAATCTAAAACATGAGCTGTGTCTGCAAATAAAAAGGGACTTTCTGATGTTAAATACTAAACAATTTCTGAGTACAAACCAAGATTGGTGCTTGTGTCAGAGTCCCTCAAAATGAGCTTAATTAGGTGGCAGAGTCAGACCCATCTGCAGTGCACGTTGGCTCTGTTTTGACTATTATACTTGTGGGTTGGTTGGAGTTTAAATTCTGTTAATAACAGTGACAAAATTATTCTCTATAGATTATTCCTCCTGTTTAAAAAAATGAGGAGTGACTTATTTAGATTTTTTTAGAGAAACTCTCATAAACACAACACACAGTGAACATTCCGTTCAGTAGAAATGTAAACACAGACTGTCAGATTATTTTAATTGTAGACTTCTTCAAATGGACTGCAGATGTATGGTTTTCTCTTTCGTGTATTCTACATGTATTTTCACCAAAAAAGGGCCAATTATATAAGATTCAGTTTAGTCTTACTCTGTATACATGGACTTTGAGCACCACTACGAACAACTACTACAACAACTAACTTATCTGCAAATGTTACCTGCGCTGCAGTCATTTTAAATGCACATATCTGTGCAGGACAACGTGACATGAAGTGAATCTTACTTACAGTTGTCGGTTACTTCGAACAGCAGTTGTCACGGTGGAAAAAGCGGTAACAGTGAGTTTACCAAGCCCAGGAGGTGAAGGTACATAACAGTCCGGAAGAAAAGGGAACTGATGTTGATCCGGTGAGAGGAAGGGCTGCAACAATAGCTTTGTAGAGACACCTGTGATAACATAGTTACTCATTGATAGGATCCGCGGATTAACATAAGAGGAAATTTCACGTGTTGTCATCAACTAAGGCGTGTATACTTGAATGAGGGTTCCCAGCCTTTCGGATTTTGTGTTGTTGATTTTTTGCTCTGCGTTCTTTTTTTATCATTACGGTAATTTCTCTGATCCTGAAATCTGAACCGTGTAAAACCTGACAAACACAACTGGGAGTCGTGTTTGTTTACATTCGTTTTTGCAATGAATTGAGTGGGCCTATCGGGCTGCCCATGTAATTTAATCTAGTTCAAGATAAAGCTACCCTTAGTGTGCATTCTTTCATATTGCTCTGGTTTCTGTGCAGACTTAGTACAACTGTACATCGTTTGGATGTTTACCTTTCTGGAGTGAAAATGCATTGCATATTGACTTGAAAGGCTCTTGGTATTAAACTGTCATAAGTGATGGCAAAAGCACACAGTTATCATTACTTATTTTTAAAACAGGCCTTCAGAGGTCTATAAAATGTCTGTGATTATAAGGTCCCAATTTAAAAAACTAAAATAGATCAGTCTGTTGAAATATATAGATAGAGATGTCTTGCTAGTGCATAAACCTAAAAATTAGATTTTAGCTGCACTTTTTACTCGGTCATACCTTGAGGTGTCACGTTTATCATATATTCACTCTGATTAAAATAAAGCTGCATCATGTTTTTGCTTCTGAATGTGCACAATCAAGATGAGTTTTATTAGGGGATGTGCATAAAATCGTTGTTGCATCAACTGCTAAATATTACAGTGTCTAAATATTACATCTGCAGTGTCTGCTCCTGTTTCCTTAATTCTCCTATGTTGCCCCCACGTTTGGGTTTGTGTTGTCTGTTTGTGTACCCTTGTAAGTGTGGGCTGGGCGCCTCCTCCAATCAACTCATCTACTCACCTGTTAGTCATCAGCTCATCAGCCACCACTCTCCTCTGCAGCTTCAAAACCCAGTGTGAATCTTCACTCCCTGCCAGTTCGTCAGCTACCCTGTTGGTACACTCTGGACTAGCATTTCAGATTTTTGACCTGTTGACTTATTCTAACTGTCCTGTTTATTTCTGTTTGCCTCTAGCCCTGCCGTCTCCACTGCCACTCTGTCGGTGCGCCCAGTCCTCCTGCTTTTTTTGTTTTCCTCCATCATTTCTTGGATCTCTGGTTCCCCCAGCTTTATTTTTGAAGAGTTGAATAAACCATACTTTCATCCTTCTCAGTCTGGTGTGGTCTGAATTGTGGGTCCCACTTCTGCCTAGAAGCTCAAAACTTAAATCTTTGCACTTAAGGTATTTAAGCAAGTTCTCACTTTTCATTTAAAATGCAGTTGAGGTAAAGTCGATCATTACTTTATTTGATTCTTTTTGAAAATAAGAGCTTTTGTCATTGATTTAGCAATATCTGATTAAAAAGTAACCCCAGGACCCAAGGGAAGAATGATTTATTCCCCAATAACAGCAGGGTTAATAGACCTTCAAGGCTTTTAACATTTATTTCAAATTTTGAATTACAATTGTGTTTCACATCAAAGCATTAGTCTATTTTTAGCTCTCCTGCATGTATCAGTCTTTCTATTCATGTAGTGGTGAGATTGGAAATCCCAATTACAAACCAGCTGATGAGATTAAAAAGAGATTCTTTTGTAAGACTGAATATCTGTGGCATTATACTGTGAATGAAAACGCTGAATATTCAACACTAACTGTGCAAATCGATTTTTTGCCATATAGACTGGATATTGATTTTTCTTTTCAAACCCATGCAACATCACAGGATCCCCCACAATACACCGTCGCCATGGCAGCACACACACACACACACACACACACACATGCACTCAGACAGAGAGATTGACAGTGACTGGAGGAAAAAAATTATGCATCACATTCTTCTATGGGCATCATTAGATAAACAAACAGGGAAAAGTCATGAAAGCATGATGCAGATTGTCAGACTTTTTCCTGCGTTTCCCTGATGCTGCTGTGAAGAGCCGGCAGAGAGGAGAGTATGGCGGCTATCCCCGTCTGTGATTAGTGACCATGAGGATGATAGGAAAACGGGGGGGAGGGGGTTGTTGTGGCGGTGGAGGAAAGGGGCGGGCTCCCTGTATGGAAAAGGATGAGGAGGAGGAGGCGGAGGAGATGAGGGAGGACGCGTTGTCTTTGTACAATTGGAGGCAAGCAGGGAGTGAGGCAGCATCTGTGTGAGGCGAGAGAAGGAACCTGCGTAGAATGGAGGAAAGCTAGAGCTGTAGAGCCGCTGCTGTCAATTCCAAGATCACCACCACTCTGGATTGTGGGACTTAGAGCAGGTATGTGTGCAGCATTTACTGTGTGAATTTTGTCACTTACTTCAGAGAGGGTCAGGGTAGCAAGGTGAGGAGAGAAAGATTTTTTTTGGCTTGTATAGGATGCCTTCTATTAAAGGTAGGCTATGAACTGCTTTTCATTATCTTCTTTCTTATATCTTTCACTGCCAATTCAATTAGATCCACAACTAATATTGCTTGCAGATTTACTGGAGGTAAATCTACAAGCAATCCCAATCTACTGGCTACCTTTAGATTTGAACCCTCAACCCAAGTCATAAATAAATCCATATTTTGCAATAGCCTTTCTTGTATTTATTTGTTTGTTTGTTTTATTCCCAGCTCTGTGATGCCCGAGGGACCAGCTGTGTGGATCCGATGCCACCTCTGATATGATGGTGAGAGCAAGAGGTGCAGCCACCACTCTCGCACTGCTGCTGCTGCTGCCGTTGCTGTGCTGTTGCCACCTGTGCCACTCGCTGCGTAAGTTGCCAAAAGACTGAAAATAAACGCCTCATCAAATTATTGGGATAGCTTGAGTGTGACAGATGGTATAGATGAGGATGAGCTGGATTCAAGTGGGTACATAGAAACTGGGGTGGAAAAAATGTAGATTTGGCAGATGGTCAGTGAGGGAGGATCTAAGCATGAAATTTTCGAGTTGAACAAAAATAAATGGGTGCCATTAGATCCTCCTCCCTTCTAGTTCTAAGTTTTATTAAATTTAAAGGGCTATTCCTCAAGAGCTGATAGTTTTAGGTGCACTTAAGCAATGAAAACTAAGCTAAGTGTGCTCAAGTACAAGCACACTGCACAAGTTATGAGCCTCTTTCATGGCTTTGACATGTGAGTACGAAAAAAACCCAAATTTTTTTCCCCAAACATTGACTTTCTCTTAAGTCCTAAGAACAAGCATGTGTTAACAACTGAGGTGGTAAACAACCAAAGCTTCATTCATTCATTGACCTGGCCATTTTAGCTGCCAATTCTTGTTTGCTTCAAGGCACCGTGTTGTGAGCTAAAATCCCTCTGAGCTTTCAGAAAAATTTGACTTTCCATCCATCATGTATCTTGTTTAAGGCCACAGAGGTCTGGAGCTGATCCCAGCTGTCATTGGGCAACAGACGAGGTATGCAGTGGACAGGTCGCCAGTCAGTCTGAGGGCAGCATAATAAAAAAATAAAAGCTTTTTTCCTGTTTAATTTACAACCTAAATGTTTCTATGGCTGGTATGTACCTTTTGAGATCTTTCTTTTTAAATTAAAAATTAAGCACAGCATAAAGCATATGGTTATTAGAGAAAAGGTAACCAAAACAGCCACTAAAGCAGTCACGATGACAAATTAGAATTTGTACAACTTAAAACCAACAACTAGTAGCAGTGATTCATACTGAAGTGAACACAGCACAGCTATACGGACAGCTGATAGTGTCAAATGATTAACTGGGTCAGTAAAGTGTCGTAAAAGTCAGGAGAGGTGAGCAATGATGTTAGAGTTCACACTCATATTTTGAATAAAGTCTAAATGTAGATTAGATTAGATTGGATAGAACTTTATGGATCCTTTTGGGAAGGTTCCCTGAAGGACATTTAAAAAAGATTAATACAACATAAAACCTAACAGAGAAGAAAAAGAGAAGAGTCATTGTTGCCATGACAGTGTCTGTGCATATATGTGCAGTGTTTTTGAATTCCTTCCTCCATATATTGGGCAGATATTTCCATCTCTAATTGATGCTTTGCATATTTTGCTCTCTGTCACAATATCTCACCCACCATAAACCTGGTATCAAGGTAATCCAGGCTGTCTGTAGTCTATCAATTCATACATCCATTATATATCAGTTTCTACTTGGTGTTCATAAACTCTATTGAAGTGCAGCCCACAGATGGCAGTAAGCACTGACTCAGCTCTCCTTAAATATGCAGGGATCATTGAATTTTAAATATTTATACTTCTCAGCATGAGGTGCAAATTAACTCAACTGTTACCTCGCAGCACAGTCAATTTTCTTCTGGATATGCATGTAAATGATTTTATACATTCAACTCATTATACAGCTATAAATAGAATCCATCAGAGCCTGCAGTTTGCTGTTGAATCAAGAAAGTTGATGGTGATGGTGTAGGAGAGGCTGCAGGACTGATGAATTTTCTTATCATGCAGTCATTGATTGGGGGTGTTACAGCCTTGTCTTTATTGATCCGTGAGCACTGGAAGGTTGACACCGAGCATTTGTGCTTGGTCTTGTGGTAGATTCCCAGCTACGTTCTGGCTCCATAAATTCAGTATATTACCGCTTTGCGAATGATTTAAGGAGCGCAATGAAAGAAATTGTGTGTAGTTCACAGTGTAATCGATGTGTTCTGCTGTGTAGAGGAGCCTTGCTTCAGCAAAACAATGCGCCAGTTCGACTGCATTTTATACAGTACACAACTCAAGCACTGTGCCTGCACTTATTGATGTAATTGCACACGTTAGTCCGAGGAACATTTGTCAATACACATGTAAGGATCAGCCTACATTATCTAATGTAAAGTGCAAAGTTCTGGCCTGTAGCCCTGGCCTTTTGGAGCACATGAACATCCTTTACTTTCTAATTCACACACTTCTCAAATCAACCTACATTTACACTAGTTTCATTGGAAAGCAGGGATTTTTTTTTAAGATGCCCTTTGAAGTGAATGCCTGCATTATTTATAATCACCATGCATATGAGTCACCCTGCAGAACAGGTAAATAAGTATTTTGCTTTCTCGCTGTGATGAATGAGAAGAGGAAATGCAGCAGATAAGAAGAGAAACAACAACAAAAAAAACCCTGCTGTGGTTTTTCTAATCAAATCTGTTCTGCTGGTTTAGCTCATAAAACTGTGCAATGCTGTTTATGCGCCTGTAAGTGCCTCTTTGATATAAAAGTGGGCAAATGAAATAAGAAACCTAATCAGACATATACTGCACTCATTGCTGCTACATTGAGTGAGTGTGAAATCCACTCTTTTTGATACTGGTGCCCAGGCTTCAATATGTTAAAATATCATCACTGTCTGAATTGAAGCTGTACTCTCTCTAGAGTGTTTTCGTGAAGGTCAAACCCAGAAGCTCTTGAAATAAACACAGTAGAAAGGTCAGGGAGGTGAATGTGATGCTGTCTGAGAGTCGTAACAGTCGTATCAAAGCAAGATCTTTATGGGACTATGAATAAACCAAGGTGAATGGCTTTAAAGTTCATATAAAACCCTAAAATTTTCTCCTTCATGCCTTTTAGGGGTTCCAAAACTCTCTGCCTATGCCAAAGCAGAGGACAAGCTGTTCAAATACCTCTTTGGAAACTACCAGAAATGGGTCCGGCCAGTGGAACATTTAAACCAGACAATTCGTGTGAAGTTTGGACTGGCCATCTCCCAACTGGTTGATGTGGTGAGCACAGATTATTGATATTGTTTATGGCTGTGTGTCAAAGGCTGCACAGCATTCATGTAAAACAAAGCAGGGTTGAAAAACAGAGAGCTGTTCAAACTGGTGCTAAATTAAAATGCTTTGACTCGTGAAATTGAACTGTTTTCATTTCACTGTTCCAGGATGAGAAAAATCAGCGGATGACAACCAATGTGTGGATGAAACAGGCAAGTACAGACGGTCAAAACACAGCACTTCACTTTTGACATGATTAGTTTATATCCAGAGAATTGCTGTGAAGTAATCTCCAACAACCTCTGGCTTACATAGCACTCAAACACAGTTGATCAGCCTCTTCACACCCTCTTTTAATCTGGTCAGGTGGCATTTCACCAGCTCTCCTTATCTCAATGAGTCCTTCTATTGCTGAGTGCCCACGCACCTTTCATCATAAGCCCTGTCCTCCCCCTCTCCTGCTCCTGTCACCCTTATTCATGGTCATGGGCGACGTAGCTGTCATGCATGTTATGAATTATCCCGGAGGACCAGGCTCTGCTGTGCAGAGGTCAGCTGCTTCCTTTCACAGTGATTGATAGTATCATGTAAGAGAGAAATGAAGGGTACTGACCCTCATCATGTCTATCTGTCACTGTCATTAATGACGCAGAAAGACGGCTTACCCTTCATATCGTTCTCTCACAAGGTATTTATTATGTTCAGCATAACTACACCTTTTTCCATAGATTTCTCGAGTGGTAACTTTGTCACAATAAACTTTTGCTCTTTGCCGGAAGCCTATAGATGTTTTTTTCAGCAGGCTTAAGCTTGACTCATGCTCTGTGTTAGCATGATTATGTAGCAGCAAAATCTGACATGCAAAAAGAAGAAATTTTGACATTTTCCATATTAGGCATACTTGTATACTTGTTTTTTCCACTAAAAATGTGACAAGAAAACTGGGAGGAGAGCAGGGGGATCTGAACCAGTTTTTACTTGAGGCTATTTTAAAGGGTTTGACAAAACAAGACAAGTTTGAGACATCTTTGTGGTTTTGCGTAAAGATAAAGTTTACAACTTCAATTGCTGGTTTTCTTTTGCAAAGTCCACACCCAAACTAGAACCAAATCAAGCTCAAACAACGAATGTCATTGATATAAACTGCACAAAAAGAAAAGTAAATATTGATCTACTTTGGCCACAAGCGTTTACAATGACAGTCTTCATTTAGCTTTGGTTAAATAGCCAAGCAGGTGTGCACAGTTCTTCCAGAGCTGAGCTGCTAACTCAACTTGCCAACCATTCTGGCTTATGCGTGTAATCCAGTGGGTTAGAGCTGGCATCATCATTATGGTTAAATCACATTTTGCAACTTACTAAAAGACGAACACATGAGTGAAAATTTTGCAAGTTTGTCTAATTGTTCAGGCTTGAGAACCATGACCCCTTAAACATGAAAAATACACTTTGACCTGTAAAAACTGTTTGTTACACTTAGAGATGTTTATTCTACATGCCTCACTCCTGTTTAAACACCAGCATACATGTGTTCCCTTTTATTCATTAAATTATGTGTTTAAACAAGCGGCTTTTGAGATGCTCCTGCTGGACACATTTTGTTGAGAAAATAAGCTCCTTTTTTGTCTTCAGTCTTTTTGCTGCTGGTTGTTTCTTCTTAGCACAGAGACATAGTTGTTATCAACATTTTCATCAAGCCTGGCATGACAGCTAATTTGCATATTTCCCAAAATGTCAAAGCTTTCCTGCTAAGCCCCCATGTCTTCATTTTACGGTGCTTAACTTCTGTTTTCTCGTCAACCTAGGAGTGGGTTGACATGAAATTGAGATGGAACCCAAATGACTATTTGGGCATCACGATTATACGAGTCCCCTCTGACAGGATCTGGCTTCCTGATGTCGTACTTTATGATAAGTATGTATGCATGGAGGACAATGTCCTGGTTTGAACAATGACTAGAAATAAAAATAAGCCTCTGTGTGACAGTTATGATCTCATATCTTAGAGGAATGACTCTCTTCTTTTCACAGTTCAGATGGGCGTTTTGAGGGTACAGTCACCAAGGCTGTTGTTAAGTATGATGGAACCATATCATGGACACCACCAGCTAATTACAAGTCAGCCTGCACCATTGACGTCACCTTCTTCCCTTTTGACCTGCAGAATTGTTCGATGAAGTTTGGATCCTGGACTTATGATGGCTCCCAGGTGAGTCTCTGTTCTTCAGTGAATGCATTTAACACCAGAGTAAATCCTGACCAGTGACTGATATGAGGCTATCTCTATGATTATCAGGTGGACATCACTCTGGAGGACTTTCATGTGGACAAGCAGGACTATTTCGACAATGGTGAATGGGAGATCGTGAAAGCCACAGGCAGTCGTGGTGTTAGGACAGATGGCAGCTCTTTCTATCCCACCATCACCTACTTCTTCATCATCCGCAGGCTCCCTCTTTTCTATACTCTCTTCCTCATCATCCCCTGCATCGGCCTGTCTTTTCTCACCATCCTCGTCTTCTATCTACCTTCAAATGGTGGAGAGAAGATCTCTCTCTGCACCTCAGTCCTGGTGTCACTCACCGTTTTTCTTCTGGTCATCGAAGAGATCATCCCCTCTTCTTCTAAGGCTATCCCCCTCATCGGGGAGTACTTGGTCTTCACCATGATATTTGTCACGCTCTCCATCATCATCACTGTCTTCGCCATCAACATCCACCATCGGTCTTCGTCCACACACCATGGCATGGCACCCTGGGTGAGGAGGATTTTCCTGCATCGGCTGCCTAAGCTGCTGTGCATGCGCAGCCATGCAGATCGTTACGCCACAGCTGGAGCAGCCAGAGCCGGGAGAGCAGTAGGACTGGGTTTGACGAAAGACCCGGCACCTGAACTGACACCACTTCTGTATACCAGACACAGCCTGGAAGCAGCTCTGGATTCTATTCGCTACATAACAATGCATGTGGTCAAAGAAAATGAGGTCAGAGAGGTGAGTGTACAGGATTTTGTGTATTTATAAAGCACATAAGTTGGAAGCAATAACAAAACAAGCTTTTAGAAAAGCATCAGATTCAGACTTAAATGAGATATAGGACATGGCAAAGTATGCCAGCCAATTCATCTGTCTGGCACTGTTAGTCATTGGTCAACAAAAAAAGATTTTTCACAAACAGAAGCAAACAAAACAATAAAATATGTGCCTCAGCTGCCACTTTGAAATATTGGTTCATAGTGTAAAAAAGGAATTATGATTTGATTTATGTATAAATAAAAAAACAGCAAATGATTGAAATTCAAGATAAAAACATTCACAGAAGAAAAAAGAGCAGTTTTGAGTTATTAATATTATACTCTCCCAGATAGCTGCTGGCCTAAGCATAGCATGTTGATGAATGCATAGCTTGCAGTTAGGTTTAGATTGTCTTAGTGTACTGGGCCAGGCAAAGGTAGAATTGTATCACATCTATACTGGGTTAGTGGTTTAGTCTACAGCTGGTAAAAAGTCATTCAAATACTATGTCAAACATCACACTATACATAAAAAGTATGGTAAATTTTGATTTAGCCAATCGTTTTACTGGCTTCATTTGTGTTTTGTGAAAAAAAAGTCATGGAAAAGAAATTTAAAGATGGATTATTGTAGTCTTATATAAAAATATGACTGTATACATTTCTATTACAGTTGAGAATTTAAAGGCTGAATTTTCTTCTCGTATTGTTTCAGGTGGTTCAAGATTGGAAGTTTGTTGCCCAGGTCCTGGATCGAATGTTTCTTTGGGCCTTCCTCTTGGTTTCCATCCTGGGCTCAGCTCTCCTCTTCATCCCAGTTATTTACAAATGGGCCAACATCATCGTCCCTAACCATGCTGGCAGCATGCTCTAATAAACACAGTCCAGCTAATAACACACAAATAGAGGCAAAGCACATTAAACAGTTTGTTATGGGTCAGATTTGAGAGTGAAAGACTGAGATTGGCCCCCAGATACTGGTTCTGCTCTGATTATCTGCAGTCCTTTCGTGAGCTGCAGCTGTGCCAGAGATCAAAAATCAGTTTATCAAACAGAAACATGTTTTATAGATTGACAGGGGTTTAGAGAGAATTTGTGAGAAAACTAATTAAAAAAAAACAAAAAAAAAAACGATTTAGTTCAAACCAGCTCTTTTCAGCACGACTCGGTTGGCCCATTTGCTTTTTCCTTTGCCATTTATATGAAAAGCTTTTCTGCTTTTTCTGTAAGGCATACTTCATATAAAAGTGGTGATTGGACTTCTGATCTTACGATTAGATGCCTGAAAATACGCACATTTCCCCTTTAATGTTTTTAAAGGTAAAGATTTCAATTAAATGATTAAAAAAAACAAGAGCAAGGGAGCAAGAACAGAAACTAGACACATAAAACTATACTTTTATACTCTATATTAGTTTTTCTGCTGTCTTTGAACGCCTGCACACATTCAGAGAAGCAGTTACACAATCCACAGATGACTATTCAGAGTGTAGCAGGTCAAGCTCTCCTTCTTTGAGTCCCATGTGGATTAATTGTCTCTATTTATTACACTCAACCGTGCATGGGATGAAAGCTAGATGGACTTTCATGCCAAGACTTGAATTTCTCAGGCACCACTGCTTTTCAGCCTGAGGACACATTCTTCTGAAGACTGTACTTCTATCTTTTGTAGAAGATCAGTGAAAGGTGGCGCAGCTCTAGGATGGTTTCAGCTGACTGTAGCTCAGAGTCAAAACCTGGCTTTATCTAAAATGAAAACAGGTCTTGATGTTAGACTGATGTTGCATGCAGAAACCTCAATCGATGTGATTTAGAGACATGTAACAAAAGGTTCTCTCCTAACAACACCAGTGTATTCAAGAACCAGGAAGAAGCTCTTTTAGTCTTTGTTGAGCCTGCACTGCCACTGCATGGTCATGTCGTCACATTACAGCTACAAAGAGGCAACAAAGGCACAAAGACCAGCATGGACTTGTTGGTGACTGAGGTGGTGAAATCTGAAATATATACTACTATCAGTTGCTGCAACACTAAATGTAGAGAATGTAAATAAAAAAGTGATCAGCAAAATCTTATGAAATATGGAGTGGTATGCATTTTGTGTCATTTACACAAGAAAAGATGAGGTGCAGAAGAGTCAAGAAGTCAAGGTAGCCTTAGTACCGTCTTTACCTGACAGTCAGTCTTTCTTTTAAGGCAGATGTCTTAGTTTTCATTTAGCAAGTGCTTATGAAGATGTCCTAACATACAGTGGGGTGCAACAAAAGACTGACATATCAGGTAATAAGAAAATCTTTTTATGTGCCGATTAATCCCAGGAAAAAGAAAGGATGGGGTCTGTGTTTGTCAGTCTATTTAAGCTCAGAGTTTTGCATAATGGAAGGAGTACAGGATGTCTCCTTCCCAACACCAGCAGATTTAACAAGTCTGAGGACGTGATTGAAAAGAATCAAAAAGCTCTAAATAAATCCAACTTCAATTTAATTTCTATTCCTAACTTACACAGGTAAGGCTCAGTGAGATTAAAAATCGCTTTTCCAAGAGTGTCCAAGATCAGCAGCAGGACGTTCATGTGTGAAAATGTTCAGAAAGGTGAAGGTAGAGAATCCTCAATAACTGTATTGTTTTTGGTTTGTCAATCCTGCTTTTAGTTTTTATTCAAGGGATTTAATATTTTTAAAGCAACTTTGCCACTTTTTTCAGAGGATTAGAGGCTTATTAATTAAAGGGCTTTAATAATAAAAAAAAATTGTTTTTTTTTTATATTATTATGATATATTTTGACTATGAAATAAACTGCAGTATATGATTTATTTTAGATGTAAAATACCAAACAAAAAATGCTCCTAGTAAAAAAAAAGGTCTTGTGTTGGGGGGTTACTCATTAGCTTCAACAAAGACCCCTCAGTGTATTTCTTTCGTGAGAGAGAAATCCCAAAGAAAAAAGCTATGCCAAAGTCCAGTTATGTAAGCTGTCCTGGAATTTGAAGTGCCGTGTTCAGTGGTACCTTTGGTGGTCCACTCAGACCTCCATGCACATGCATTCTGGAGCGACTTCATGTTTAACAGGTATGTCAGATATGACAAGTTCAATTGAATTTTAAACTTTTTATTTATTTTTTTTCATTCAGGTTGATTTAAAACTGTTTTTTTTCTCCCATTAAGGTGAAAATGTCCCATAACCGAAATGCAACACTGCTCCTCTTGTGTGTTGTGTTTCTGTCATGGAGATTGAGTCACGGCGGCAAGATTTTGGTTATTCCTTTGGAGGGAAGCCACTGGGTAAATATGGACATCATGATTAAAGCTCTGCACTCTGAGGGACACTCTGTGGATGTGATCCGAACCAACCAAAGCTGGTACATCCTGGACGGCTTCCCACACTATGAAACAATCACGGTTCCTGTTGTTGAAGCCTTCAACCACGACTTTATCCAGCCAGTCCTGAAGAAGATCATTAACATTGAGAGGGGGGAGGAGTCCTTTTTGACCTTTGCCAGTTTGCAGGTTGAGATGTTCGATGCCATGTTTAATATGCATAGAATAATCAGCAAAATGGCGACCAGCATGTTAAAAGACGAAGACTTCATGGACATGTTGAGAGAGCGTCAGTATGACTTGGTTTTCACTGACCCGGCATGGGGGGCAGGTATACTGTTAGCTCATGCTCTGAAACTCCCTCTGGTTTATAATGTGCGCTGGTTAACAAGTGGAGAGGGGCACTTAGCCATTACACCCTCACCTTTATCCTACATCCCGATGACTGGATCAGGACTGTCGGACAAAATGACTTTTATTCAAAGACTTCAAAACTTCTTTTTTTATTTACTTTGGCAATTTCAGGACACAGTCTTCACCAACCCTCAGTATCAGGCAGTGTGTGATGAGATCTTCGGCCCAGAGGTCAAATATAGAGAGTTATTACAAGGGGCAGATATTTGGCTCATGAGAGCTGATTTTGTCTTTGAATTTCCTCGTCCCACCATGCCTAATATTATTTATATTGGAGGCTTTCAGTGCAAACCTGCTAAACAACTTCCTGCAGACCTGGAGGAGTTTGTGCAGAGCTCAGGAGAGCATGGAGTCATCCTCATGTCTCTGGGTACTTTTGTCACTGAACTTCCTGCCGATGTAACCAATGAGATAGCTTCAACTTTTGCAAAATTACCTCAGAAGGTCATCTGGAAACACAAAGGAGACAAACCAGCTAATCTAGGCAACAACACTTTACTGGTGGACTGGATGCCACAGAATGATCTTTTAGGACATCCAAAGATTAAACTTTTTGTGGCTCATGGAGGGACAAACGGTGTTCAAGAAGCAATTTATCATGGAGTTCCAGTTGTTGGTCTACCTGTGTTTTTTGACCAATACGACAACCTGCTTCGTCTTGCAGCGAGGGGAGCAGCTAAGATCCTGTCCTTAGCCACGGTGGACAAAGATGACATCTTCCTTAACGCCATACAGGAAGTCCTAATTGAGCCCTCATACAGGATGAACATGCAGAGACTCTCCAGGCTGCACAAAGACACTCCTATGAAGCCCCTGGATAGCGCCCTCTTCTGGATTGAGTATGTCATGAGACACAAAGGTGCAGCTCACCTGAGAACAGAGTCCTACAAGTTGCCCTGGTACTCCTACTACTCTGTGGACGTTGTTTTATTTCTGACTGGAGCTTTGCTTCTTGTACTACTGACTGCTTCCATGTTGCTCAGATGTTTATGTATAACAGTGCGTAAAAATAAAGCCAAACGTGACTAAACTCTAAAAGAATAATCTTTTTTTTTTAACATTAAATCTCCTGTGATGAGTTTTTTCATGTTTATGACACAGACTGTGAGGAGACTAAGTTTATTTATGTTTTATTTGAATGCCTTAAATTAGTCTGAGGGTTTGGTGTCAGCTGACCAGCTTTAGACAGAGCCCTGTTTTTACGATTCACTCAAAAAACTTGTTGATTAATGATACATTGAACGGGATAAGGTGTCGTTATCCTGCTGACATCAAGCATGTGAAAAACAAGATAAGCAAACCTGCTTTGTCAACAGGAGACGACAAAATATACAAACACTTATAGAGCCTTATCTGAGCTCTAAATCAAACAGTTTCCTTGATTAGAATTTTATTTTATGAACTTAAGCTGAAGTCACTTTAGAGGGAGGTTTTATTTCAGTGAGGATTTCTCACTATTATTTATTGTATTTTTTTTATTTTGCCATCAAAACTCATGCAATCAGGATGATTTTCTCAAAGATGTTCTTTACAAAATACTTGAGTAAAGTAAGTTCATTAATGGACGTTGACAAGATCACAAATGTTAAACTCCTGTGACAAACAGGAGTGACGGACAATAGCTTAAGTGCAGATGGTCTAAAATTCATGTAACAATGAGAATGCTCGAATTCCTTGTCGAGGTCAGAGGGAAACCCTGTGTGACACAATCCATGTTCAGGTTCAGCAGAAGTTGACCCAGGCCTGGGATTATTGGTGTGTGTGTGTGTGTGTGTGTGTGTGTGTGTGTGTTTTCAGTGCAGTTACTCATTATGTAAGGCAAACTCACATGCTCAGACTGAAAACAAGAGAAACAACTTGTGTGAAAAAAAGGAATGTTAAATCCTGATCAAAGCTGTTAATACGGCTCTGAACAGGTAATCCTCTTTGTTTGCAGGTTATTCACAGAAACGCACAGTTTTGTCTAGTTTCTAACAGGTAGTGACCCCATTCTTCCTGTGAGTAGTATCACCAATTTTTTGGCAGCAGTTCATAAGGAAGAAATGAATGATAACAAGTAATAACAGCATGATGGATACTAACAGCTGTGGTGAATATTTTGGACATTTGTCCTGAGATTAGCGGCTCACTAACAGCTAACTAAAAATGTCGTTACCTTTCAGAATGAAATGACCTCTGACAGCTTATGTTCACTACTGTTCAAATAACTTTGGAATAAATTTGGAGACTTTTTGGCCTGGGCTTCTTACTCAGATCTGAGTGATTAATAAAAGCATTTCCCCCTTCATGCACCAGAGAGCGTCACAGGAAGTCATTCTCGCCTGTGGCCATCAAACTTTAGAACTCCTCCCTCTGAGTGTCACACTCTGTCTGTCACTGGACGTATTTCTTTTGTAGTTACTGTAAGCAGCAAACTTGTATTATACACATTTACCCTATTGTCTGTGCTCCTACATAGCTTATTTTTGAAACACTCTCTTTTGTAAAAAGCTTTATTTCTTATATATTTTTCACCTTTTTAATAACTGTTGCAATTTCTTATTTACTCTGATTTCAATCCTACTTCTATTCTACTTCTATTAACATTTGTATTTTCAAGAGCAAGTGCAATGACCAAATTTCCCCCCAGGATAAATAAAGTAATCTGATTCTGATGTCTTAGAAGTCCCTGAAGAGCAGTAAGAGATTTTTAATTTCCTTTTAATCATTGCCAAGCTGCACCTTCTCCTGGTGAGTCTTTTTATGAGGCTTTTTTATGAGACTTTGAAAACTCAGACTACAATTTGCAAAAATATTTTCATTGGAAATAACATACAATCCAAATGTCTTCAAATATCTTTAAATAATATATATACATACACTAGCTTTTGTCAAATGAATTTTGTTTAGAGACTAATTGCATGGAGAAAAAACAAAGGTCAGGTTGAGATTGAAAATCACTGATTAAACATAAAACCACAAATAAAGCTAATCAGTTAATCAAAGTCATTTTGAAACACAATCAGTCACAAGAAACAGCTTTTTATTTTCTATCCCTTTGTGCTTTACAGGGTCAAACAAAGAAAACAACAAACGTGAGAAGAGAAAATATCTGCTTCAATTCAAAGATCTGACAGTTTCACTTGAGCCCCTGTGTTATTCTATATTTCAAAAAAGGAGAACATGTTTTAATACAACATGTAAGAGTTTCTGTTGAGTCTTTGAGGACAAGAAGCAGATTGAAGCTACACTGTCTTTTCAGGTAGATTCAGTGGGTAGATGTTCACACCTTCATTTATTTCATACAATTTATGAAAACAAAAGAAGGAAATATCATCCAAAAAGTGTGACCCAGGTTTAATAACAACAGAAATAGAAGAAAATAAATCATGGCTGCCGCTTTTTCTTTCTGATGGATGTCGCGTAAGTGCACATCGCTCTTCCTTTCTCTTCTGTGGAGAAAAATTCACAGTTAAAATCAATTATCTGTTATGAGAGTCTGAAGATTTCTCACTTGTGCTCATTTTTTTTTCGCGGTGTTTTTTTATGTTTATCGTGTACTGTTGTGCTGATGCCTGCTGTAAACCAAATTTCTTACGGGATGATAATAATAAAGTTGAAGTTGATTTGTTCTTGGTTTCACCTTCTGTTCTTGGTTAATTCTGTCACGTTTTCTCTGAAAGAGAAGGCGACAGAATTAACCCCAGGCGGTTGAAAAGCTTGCTGTAAGAGTCTTTTTATATTTGCTTACACCTGCTACGGAGCAAGATGTGGTTTTCCTGTAACCTACACCAAGCTCACTGACAGTAAACTACACCGAGCTATCGAAAGCTCCAACCTCATGAGCTAGAAAATCTTTGTTGTGTTGTTACTAGTTGGTGTTTAGTCTTTGTAGTGACCAGTTCAAGAAAAAAATTTGATACATCGAAACAAGAAGAGAAAATCATGCATCTGACAAATTGCACAACATTTCATTTTGTCAGCTGTTGTTGAGAATACTAAGAATGGATGATTTAAAAAACATTTTACAGTAACTTCAATTAAATTTGTCAGCATGCACATATTCTCTACATGCTATTAACGTGTTAGTCATGTCACAGATCAAAGTTTTAAAGTCTTTAACTTAAACTCTTAAACTTTTAAAACAAAAGCAGGTCAATCCTTACCGACAGTACTGTACAATCCATCCGGGTCTGAAAGGTTAAGGTTGTCCTCATCAACAGGGACCACATGGCTATGATAATTTTGATTCTCATAGCTGCAAAGTAATAATAATAATAAAAAGGCACCACATACAGTATATTAATTTACATATAGCTGCATGTCTTTGTTAAATTTTTTGAGCTACAAAATGAAGGTAAATAATAAATAATGAAATGATCAATGTGCTTACTCTTCTTCTTCTTCGCCAAAAGAATCTTCTAAAAAAAAGAAAGGAAAAAGTTGAATTAGAAATAAAAATTCACAGCCACTTATATCTAAAAACTTTCCTAAGAAGACATCAGACAAAAAAAATGATATGTTTTATTTCATTCAACCTTCATTTAATCAAAAGAAACTCTTTGAGATAAAAAAATAAAATACAATAAGACTCCTGGCCAAGAAGAGGAAGAAGAAGTAGAACTTTATTGATCCCCAAGGGGAAATTCAAACTAACAAACAGACAAACTAAAGTTTTTGACAAACAAAGAGTAGCTAGAATTTAAAACAGAACAATTGTATGCCTTCAAGCCTTTTGTAAGCACTCATAAAATCAGCAAGTTTCAGGTCATTTCGTAATTTGTTCCAAGTATAGGAAGCCACAAACTAAACACATTTTTTCACATCCGAATTCTGATCTTTGGAGCAGACTGTGAGAAAAATGTCTTGGGACTATAAAATCCAGCCAGATTAGAAGGAATCGGAAGCGGATCATAAATAAGAGTACACATGTTAGTCCTAGGGTGGGTTAGAGATAGGGTTAGGAGTACGGCAAACAATCATGTGTGAAGACTTGAAAGCAGAGCATGAAAACCCTGAGAGGGAGCATACAAGACATCATTATTGCACAGGGATAAAAATGGCAGCAGTTAGTCTCTTTTTGGACACAAAAGATTGGCAGGAGTTGAGTCTTGTGTAAAAAAAAAAAAATGCATTTCTAGTTTTAAAACATAAATTTAGTGCTTTTAAAATTCTGGTAACTTTTAGATAACAAACATAATCTAATATGAGGAAAGCCTGAATGTTTAATCTTTCATCTAAAAAAAACCCAACAACATTAACAAAAGCGGCACCCCCTCTCTGTTATCTGGCTGTTTCTGGTCATGCTGTTGTTTTCAACAGACAGGACAAAAAGTAGCTAGATTACGTTTTCAGGTCATCAGAGTTAATTTCATTAGGAGTTCCCCAGAGAAAGTCTTTACTGTAAATCTATTACTAACATACCATCCTGTGTTTCCAGATCCTCAGCGTCTGCCTGCTCCTGCTGTTCCTCCAGCATGTCTGAATCTGCCTGCTGCTGCTGACTCCCGGCACTGTGAGAAAACACAATCCGAGGAATAAACAAGCTCTTCAATCAGTTCAGTATTGTTGAACTCAAACATCAGAGACAGATTCTTTTGTTTCCAAGAGTTTATTTTTGTCCTCAGTGCACAATTTTGCAGCAGTTGTCTGAGAAAATATACAACTAGGGAAAGCTCAGTGACTGCTCATTTATGATTTTATAGTGCCTGTTCTTAAAGCTGCAGTGAGGAGTGTCTGACGTTCATGAGATGGACTGAAATTCTTCTCGATGCCTTTTTACAGAGTCCAAAAACAAACGAGGTGATCAGTGACGAGACTGATCATTTTTACGCTGTAACTTTTGATACCCAACATGGGTGCAAGGGGGTAGGTGTCAGCCGAGCAGCTGAAGAAGCGGCACTTTTTATTTCCAAACAAAATATTCATGATAAATGCAACATTTGGGCATCATAAATCAGCAGGATATGATAATATCATGATCAGAAGACACTGCTTTGTCCGCAAAACTTACACAAACTGAAAGTTCCTCACAGGAGCTTTAAGTCTGTGAATGTTTTTATTTATCATACAGATTTCAACCCATTGAACTGACACTCACCTTGGGACGCACCAAGCTGTGAGAAACCCTGCCGAATAATCAAAACACACATTTTAGGGGCAAATAAATCAAGTACACTTTAGACTTAGGTACTCAAAAGTTGGTATTCAAGTATGGAAATTTGTAGAATTGAACCAGGAGTAGCGAAATGGCCATTCACTACATAATTTGACCCTTGAAATTGATAACCTTCTCAGTTTGCTTCACATCATCTAACCTTGTTTGATGATGCACCAAAAACCAAGTAACACACCCAGTAATACCAAGAGGGTTATCGCTACACCAATGACGACCAGTCTGAGGAAGAGACCCCCTGAGAAGCAAAACAGTCTTGTAAATACAATGGTTAAAATAACTTTGTTTTTTAATCACTTAAGAGAAGAAATCTGAACTGACTGTCTGACCTGTGACTTGTAGTTCTACTTTATTTTCTCCATGGATCATCTTTTGCTGCTCCTGGATACATTTAGACGGCAGTACCACACAGCTGTAATGACCAGAATCCCTCGTGACGGCTCCCTGGATGACGAACGTTGTTTTTCTCTGCGTGACATTGAATGCTCCCACCTGCAGGATGGCCTCATCCCTCTGCAGGTAAGACTGGATAAGCTGACATTCCCCAAGGGTTTGCAGGGTGACAGAGAGGGTGCACTTGAACTCAACATAATTTCCCTCTGTGACAGTAGACGACCCAAGTAGTGAAATAACTGCAGGCAGAAAATTGGCTGTGCAAAGGAAAGGCAAAGTGAGTGAAGGTACATGACAGTGATACAACAGATGATTAATGATGAAACTATCTTACCTATGACCAGAATCTGAATGATGTTGTGTCCTCTTTTGGTTACCTGTGAAAAGGGTTTTTCCCTTAAGGAGTAGACACAGCTGTAATTCCCACTGTCATGGAGATTGACATTGGACTTGATGAATGTGGAGTCATTTTGATCTTGCTTCTGTAATTTATGCTCATATGCCTGGTCATTCTTGCATAAATAAACAAAAACCTCTACGTTTTTCTTCCCAAATGTGCTGCAGGTTAGATAAAGATCACTGTTCTCGCTGATGGTTTTCTGCTGGACCAGGATCCTCGCAGGAAAGATGTCTGTCACATTTTGAAGTAAACACAGAGACAGACATTTTAGTAATTAATAAAACAATACAAAAAAAATGTAAGAATAAAGAACGGCAGGAGGAAGGGCTCACCATTAGTTTGGCTTCTGACATAGTTTACGAGACAAGCTTTAAAAAAAAGCAAAGAAAAGTTAACCTTCCTTGTTCAGCTTGAACGCAAAAGTTCATTCAGTTAGTTAGATAAATAAACCGAGGTTGTACTTACTCAGAAGAAGGCTGATTAAATACATTTCAGGCAAAGTGAGTATCACAGAGAGCTAACACAGTACACCGTCTACCTGGTTCTTGTCTTCATCTACAAACATCTGAAATAGAAAAGATGCAGAAACTATAATTATCAACTTCCTGTGTGTTCAGTGGTCAATGCTGACATCTGTCTAGTCCAAAATTGAACACCCCCAGTTTAAATTTGGTTAAGTGTATTTCTACACAGTTTCTCTTTCCTCCTTTTAACCCCACATGTCTTCATGCCTCTGCAGAGTTTTTAATTAAGAAACTTCTTTATTTCTGACATCGCGCTGAATCTGTTCAACAGATCTCCTGCCCTCCTGCACATCAACCACACATAAGCTCTGAGTGAGCTTTAATTAAATTCATTAGCCAGATTCCTTATCAGATGTGACGGAGAGCGATTACACTTTCTGTCTGTGCCTCCCTGCCAGCTTTCAATTAATATGGGCTGGATTTTGTTGTAATCGCAAAGCTCACCATCTGCTCTGAGATCCTGACAGTGATGCAGTGACAGACAGGGTCCATGGAGCCCTTTTCATACACCAAAGAAATATATGTACCAAATATTTTATGTCTCTTTAACAACTATTATTCCGGCATCTGTATTTCTGTTATCCATCTATGATAAATTTCCCACGTTTACGTTTCTCAAAAGGCAAAAATAGACCCTAGTTGGCGCAGAGATAAAATTCTGCTTTAATCAGTCATCCTCCAGCTTGTATTCCTGTCATGTTCCCAATTTATTCTTTGTTTTCCTCTTCAGAGACTGTGTTAAATTTTAACTACGTCTTTAATTAAGATAAAATAAGCTGAGAAAACAAACCAACCCCCTCAAAAATGCATTAATAAGTGAATGAATGAGTGAATGTCGAACACACCTACATCTCACAGCTGCTCGACTTGATTACAGAAATGGTAGAAGTTTAAAAACCATTGATACAGGCTGATTGATAAGCACATTCATACAATATTTTTAACATTTATTTACACAAATATTAATTAAAACAGTGCTAAAATAGTACCAGTATATCTTTCAACAGGGAAATTGAATACCTTCAGGATATGATGTACATTCAGTTGACAGTCCTTTTATGTAAATATGACAGCAGCTCCCTGTATGCATTTAATGCATGAAATAAAACACTAGTCCAATCTTTCCTCAACATCTTACACCTCGGAAAAGGTTACAGGGGAGGGTTTGTCCACCTTTCTCTTTAAAATGGGAAGAAACTATATTATTGTCTGTAGTAGCAAAAAAGTACCACAAGATGTCACTGTTTGAACACGGTCAATGTCCCTGCTGGGGAAATCCATTGTAAATGTTGAAACCATCTCACAGTTCACACTGTTAGGACTCATTTTCTTCTGGCAAAGCACTAAAAGTGTTTTCACAAGAGGCTGTGTTTTTAATTCTTTGTTACTGAGCATAATAGTAAGTCTGATATGGACTTTTTAGATACACAATGGCACATTGTGAAAATATGTACCTCTTTGTCAAAGCTTTAGCTTTAAAGCTTCTGTGAGGTTTTTTTCAGTTGGTCATGAAAATGACTGAAATCAGTCCTGGTGCCTCTTTATGGCCCATGAAAGCAAACAAGACCATCAGCCAGAAAATGTATGACTTCTAACGGTATTAAATGTCTGATGATGAGGATGAAATCATTTGTCTACAGGGGTGCCAAAGTTAACACAAATTAAAAGTTGTTTGAGTTTTAGATTCAGCGAATTTCATCAGATAGCAGATACTTTACTCATGTAATACTTACAAATTGGCATTGTAGGTTATATTGGCTGCCACAGTAGAAATACTGCACAATGTTCTTAATAAAACTAACCACCTTGGTCTTTTCTATTGTTTGAAAATCCTGTTCTCAGTATTTCAGACCTCTTAAACCACCTCATCAAACAAAAATAAGCCATCTTCCACAGAGGGAAAGTAAATAAACCGTTTTATCGACATTTTACAGACACAGTCACGTTTTCTTGACTTTGGATCCACTCTTTGTTTCCTCTCTCTCTCCAGGCCAGGTTGAGAGTCTTACGTGGAACAACAGTAGTCTAGTTCAACAGTCTGGAGGATTAGTTTAGCCAAACTGATTCAAATGTCTTCTCCAAGCAATAGAGGCTGCAGGAAGAGGCCAGCTGTTCCCATGATGCACACAAGGACAAAAACCCAGAGGAAGATCCTGTCGATAACCATGGCAACGTATTTCCAGTCATCCTGAACCTGTAAGTGGATCACAGAGAAAAACATTAGATGGCTCTGTCAAAGTTTTTTATATAGGGTTTAAAAGAGCATGATTTAAAACTCACTCACCTCCTTTGCTTCATTTTGAAGCTTCATGTTCTCTGCGATGTATTTGACACTCTCAATAGCCTCCCTGACCTCAGGTGAGAGCGGTAACAGTGACATTATTCCTACATCCAGAGACTCTGAGCTTGAGCAATGACTCCCTCCTCCTCCAACACCAACAGCACTGCCTCCTCCGGTCAGCGTCCCGAGACTGCCAAGCCCTCCACTCCCTCCCCCGGAGTCTGCAGGAAGTTTGCTGGATCTCTGGTGCCAGCAGCAGTTGCAGCGACCCTCACGGCACAGGAACGCCGAGCCGGCACTTTTGGACGGGTCTCCACTTAAATTATTGAGGTTGGAGAGCTCAGTGTTATTGAAAAGCCGATGGCGGTTCGTCAGGCTCGAAACGATGCTGGAGGCAAGGGCCTGTGGTTTGTGCTGCTTCTGCAAAGTTGTTGAAGAATGGACAGTGCAGGGCCTTGAATGCATCATCTGCACACTGCTGGCCAATGCCACCTTCTCAGGGTCCCTCTCCGGCCTGGTCATGAACATCACTTTGGGCAGGAGTCTGAGAAAAACCGCTCGCACCCAACACGGCATCGTGTGGGTTTTTGGTGTGCGGTAGTGCACATTCAACACAAAAACAGTGATGACGATAGACAGAGTGACAAAGATCATAGTGAAGAGGAGGTACTCGCCAATCAGGGGAATGACAAGTGAGGTGGAGGGGATTGTTTCAGTTATGACGAGAAGGAAGACAGTCAAAGACAGCAGGACAGAAATACAGAGTGTGACTTTCTCACCACAATCAGATGGAAGATAGAATACAAGCACAGTGAGGAAGGAGATGAGGAGGCAGGGGATGATCATGTTGATAGTATAAAAGAGCGGCAGACGGCGAATGTACAGAGAGTAGGTGATGTCTGTGTAGATTTCCTCGCAGCAGTTGTACTTAATGTCATGTTTGTAACCTGGGGCATCAATTATCACCCATTCGCCACTTTCCCAGAAGTCTTTCAGATTGATAGTGGAGCCAATTAGCACCAGATCAATTTTGGCCTTGTCATAGGTCCAGGAGCCAAACTTCATGGTGCAGTTTTGATAGTCAAAGGGGAAGTAAGTGACATCGATCTTGCAGGAGCTTTTAAAAATGGCTGGAGGGATCCAGGTGACATCTCCATTGTAACGCAGCAGGGCTTTAGTTTTGTCATCCACTTGGAAATCTCCAACTGCACTGTAGGGAGAGAAACAGACAGAAAAGAGCAAGAGAAAGGAATGAAAACCAACAAGTCATGAGAATTTAGACTTTAAAATATATAAAAACAACTTATTATTCTGACATTAGACAAAACCCGAGTAGTCCAAGTAATCCAAGTATTCAAGCACAGTTAAGTACTTGGGTAACACTTTACAATAACCATAACTTATAAATGGTAAATAGACTATTTATAAATGTAAGCAGATAGTTTATGAATGTTTAGTCATCATCATTGTAAATTTTACAATTTTAAAAACCTAACCCTAACCCTGACCCTAACCTTAACTTTACAATGAGCACCTAAGTAATGTTTATAGGTGGTTTATAAACCACTTATTAGTCATTTACAAAGTATTACAAACATCAGTTGCAACTTTATAATAACCATCTAAGTAATGTTTATAGATGCTTTAAAAAACAAATATTAACCATTTACAAAGTGCTACTGACACACATTTAAATCTAGATGTTTTACAACCAATACTTAAACCCTATATAAACCTTTAATAAATAATCCATTAACAATTAATGAAAGTTAATAATCATAATTTCATTGCTTGTTAATGGTAAAGTAACTATTAACTTAAATTAATAAACTATCTATTTGCCATTTATAATTGGTCTATATGCTGTTTTTAAATGATGATTAAACATTAATAAACTATCTTTTTACCATTTATAAATTATAGTTATTGTAAAGTGTTACCAGTACTCGGTATACAAAACAATCTGATGTGTCTTTAACACACCGTTAAGATACAAACAATGTGACCCATGAAAAAATATGCAGTGGATTAAAAACCTGTACACTTTATCATTGTCAGTCATCAGTCATCAACAATCAATGCAGATCTCAGGCCAGGCTTTTAATTCGTTGTCACACTCACTTGTTGTACAAAACAATGTCTGGCTTCCATATCCTGTTGGATGGGACTCGAATAAACTCAACGCCTGCATAATCTTTTGGATTCCATCTCAGTTTGTAATCATTCCAAATCTGAAAGAAACAAAACAAGAACAATTAAATTACATTCAAAAACAAGATGAGGAATATCCATCCAAAAATGTCCAGCAAAGTTTTATAATAAAATTGAAAACCTGAAGTTTTTAAAATTGTAAATGGTTAATCTACTACATTTAGAATAAACTGCTGCTGCTCTTGGCACTAAGAATTGTGCATCATTTGGCCATACTATTCTTTCAAGCTCCAATCAGCAGATTATATTGGGTTAATGATATTTAAGCCACAAAGTTCTGCTAGATCCATGTAGTCTGCTTTAGTTTTGTATTTTGGTGAGATTAAAACAGGCTGTGAACATCCTCACTATCTGCTGCACAAAGCTGAGCTGTGCTTTTCTATCCTGATGCCACTACATTATCACAGCATACATGATGAGCTGGATGAAGAAGAAATTCATTGTCACCTAGTATTTCAGATGTGACTGAAACTCCAGCTTATTTCTGGCCGTGTAAGAAATGCCCAGGAAGGAAAGGAAGTTACAAAATAGAGAGAAGCTGTCATCGTGCTAAAACGCACCTTGGCTTAGCTTTTATGAAGGCATTATCTCAATCAAGGTCAACAAAACCTAACAAGTTTGTCATAAACAGCTTTACTAAGTTGTAAGCAAGATTTTTAAAGAGTTGGAGGGAACATTTTGTTTCCGGTTGGTGCTCATCTTTTAACTTATAAATGTACTCTGACTTTAAATATATTGTTTGGTAAAATATCCCTCATAAAAAATAAAAAAAACTATAAGAAGTTGCCATCCACAACTGAGGCACATAAATAAAGTTTACACAGAATATAAACTGAGAGAATTGGACCACTGTGAGAAATGTGTTTTATGGACCCTTTGGCAATTGTTTTTGACCCCCTCTTGAGGACACAAAGTGACCCTTTGAGACACATAAAGTAACAGTGAAAAGCTACCCCAGAGAGCTGTAAAAAAAAACTAAGTATTTAGAGCATGCTGTAAGACTCAAATGGCCAGTGTGGGAAATGCACCTCCCAGTGTTGTTGTTACATTGCTTCCAGAGACTCTAAAACAACAGATGACATTAAAGTAAGTGAAACAGTGTGGCACCAAGGAGCAATTACAGCGTGAGCATGGCTCCAGCACAGATGGGTATTTGCTCAGCGCTTGTAATATGGGACCTGGAGACCTGCCCTGTCTCATTTGATATGAAACTGTTAGACTGCAGCATGGCAGAGCAGACTCCAAGTGGGACTAAGTACATGACAAAACATCTAGAAACTGTATACAGAAGCTGGTTTATTCATGTTGTACATTTCTTATGTGTGATAATGGAATACTTCTGTTCAGTTGAATCTGTGTAATCTTTCATATGCACCATACTGGAGATGTTTTCTGACTCACTGTCAAAAGCCAAATCATGGTTGTTGGAAAGTATGATCAATTTCAGACCACTGTCAAATTATTCCAGAAACACAACCATATAAAACTGATCATGGACTCTGGGTTCATCTGGTTTGTAAGATATTTTTTCTCAAAAAAGAAAGGAAAGATAGATATGTTTAAGAAGCGTCCCCTAATGAATAATTCATCTTGTCAGTCTCGCCACCAAGAATCATGTATGACAGAGGGCTGGAAACACACTTGATGTCCTTGCTCAAGGTCCATTTGCACAGTCACACACCATAGACTTAACTTACATGCCTCAGCCACAAATTCGTCTCCATGATTTGATTGACTTCATCCTGAGAATACAGCAGAATGCAATGAAAAATACATTAAGCAAAGAAAAGCAATAAGAGGTGACACATGTGACTTTAAACAGGGAGAACAATGTCACAGACAATCATGCTGTTTGAACCGTTTGTGTGCACAGGGACACAGACCTCTGCACATCCCAGACAAGAGGATTAAGAGAAGTACATCTGAGTTCTCCACGCCTAGAGTGTGACCCACATGACAGCTTTGGGGTCACAGCACAGTGCTTACTTTGATCCCTAACAACCCAGTACTAAACCTGAAGAAGGGGGAACTGAAAGGGTGGGGAGAGTGAGTGTGTGTATATGTGTGTGTGTGTGCGTGGGTTGGGTGCGCGTATTACATAGACCGTGAATGAGCAAATCTCATGACCCAGTGCATAGCATTAAGCATTTATGTTAACATGTCATATTCAGGAGTGGTTGTGTATAGCCTGTGAGCACTGGTGGAAACCAAACTTCAATGGACTATTTTCAGAAAAATGTTAATTTCTCTGCTCTTTGATAGCAGAGGAGAACATCCTGTATCTTACCACTAAATCAGAGTGCAGAGGGACAAAAGATATGTTCGGATCCAGATCAGATAAGGACTCTTTTCTGCTTTTCTTTTATTAGGAAGTACCATTAGAGTTAAAATAGCATTTTATAATTGTTGAAATGCAGTGTAATATGTCATGCTGCAATGATTTAGATGCAGTGGTTAAATGTGGTGCTCACACCCATGACCTAGTTTTGACTTTTGGATATTTCACCTAAGATTGGATAACACGGTCTTTACGACTCTCGTTTATTGGGGAATATAAATGTGCACAGGCAGCTGTTATAGAGGGCTAGGCACAAAGAAAGCTAGCCTTATACTTCCTAGTCCAAAAGCAGTTGCTGGTGCGAGTAGTTGTTTTTTGTTTTTTTTTTTTAATCGAAATTACTGGAAGAAAATGTGTAAAGTTTTGATGGTTTTATATGTGTGTAATTGCAGACTGAATTAGGCTTGGGGGACATTGCCTAATGTCTTGTTTTCAGTCTCACAGCTAGGCTAGGCTAGGCTAGGCTAGGCTAAGTGATTCAGGCTTTAGCATCATAAATAAGGGACAGGTACAAGAGCTGGAATAATGTTCTCATCCAAATCTTGCAAAAGGGTAAGTAGGCCCATGTCCTGAAATTTCGATTTCAAACTCCATTTTGAAGCTCCTGTGAGGAACTTACAGTGTGTCTCAACTTTATGGAAGAAGCAGTCTTCGCTTGTTCCAATATATGTTCCATTTTATTGTGAATATTATGTGGAAATTAAAAAATAGGGTTGTTTCTACAGCTGCTTCGCCGACACCTACCCCCTCACACAAGTTATAGGTATTAAAACATACAATATAAAACCAGCCAATCTTGCTGCTCATGGTTGTTTTTGCTTTTTATATCATATAAAACATCAGTATGAATATATCAGTCTATTTCAGAAAACTCCTCACAGGAGCTTTTAACAACAATCTCTCCTTGCTCTTGACTCACTGCCACCTGTTCTCTCACTGCTGAGTGGAGAGCTTGTCATGTGAACTCTGACTATTAGATGATGACTGGTCCAACACACGCAATGAGATATTGATGGTCTAAATGAGCTTATATAGCCTGGCTGTAATTGGTGTGGGCTGACCAATACCAATTGCATCTGCGGAGCAGCAGGTGTGGGAAGGAAATATAGGCCATCCATCAACGTGGTGTTGTCTGTATAGGAAACAGATCGAGGAAAGATACAGTGTGTCTGACCCCACATGTTTACTCGAACTGTACAGAGGAAACCATGTCTGTAGGCTGCTTATGCACACATTTTTACTTTGTTTTGACTATTTGCAACTATTGGCAAACCTTTTCTTTGATTGACTATTACCATTTCCAAAGATAGTTTGATAAAATTTAAACAACCTTTTCAGCCTTTTTGCAAAGCCCATAAAGCCACCATAAAGCCCACGCTCTGTATCAATATGGTGCATCTCGCTGATGTAGCAAAAGGATTTAACTCTTTGATGATTGTGGAGCAGCTGGTTGAGTAAATTAAAAAAATCATTCTTGATTATTTTGCAGACCTTTGAAGACACAACAAATTTTTGGAGAGAGAAAAAAAGGATACGTTTGCAGGATGTCCTAAACTAACCTACCTTGTTGTAGAGACTAAAGTTACTAAGAGTAATCACATAGAAATAGTCTGTCTTGTCTCTCATGATTTAACATTTTGCTTTTGCAGGTTATAAACAGGCGGATTTACTTTAAGCAACTAAAAGTAGTCGAATTTCATTTATCAAAATCATAGGTGGAAAGTCAAAGCTTGTAAGCCTCTCTTCTTGTCACTCGAGAGAAGCAGACAGACTAATGTGATGAGGTACAATGTGTCCAGAGCTGTTGATTCTGTAAACAGGGCTGTCCTCCCTGTCTGACGCAAGCCTTTTTGCTTAATTATCGACATCCGCTCCTGAGCTGTCTGAGTCAAAAGAGACGCGTCTGTCTGCCCGGCAGCCTGCAGTCAATAAGACCCAGCACAACCTGCCAGAATCCGGGAGTGTTCATGTGAAGTGGCAGTGATAGGGTGATAGAGGCTTTCCTGAACTGGGAGGCACTCAGACAGGTGGCACTTTCCATCTTGTCCTGTCCAGACTAACAGCCAAACTATCATTTTTTCACTTGGTCCCCTCCTCAGGATGTTAAACCAGGGGCTACAGTGCACTGGCAGGGTGTAATTCAAGTGTCCCTGTTGGCATCACAAGTTTCCTGCACCTGTAAAACTTTGTTGTGTAAACCCCTCATATTTCTCTCCATGGTCAGCCCTTCTATGTTTGATGTTTACTTTATGTTATTCCTGTTTTTTTTTTTTTTGCCCTTCAGGTCCTTTCTGCTCGTTCAGCCCGGTGATAAATGTCTGGCTGTGGAGGAAGAGCGTCACATAACTCACAGGTACGATAGACGTCAGCACAAACTGTGAAAAAAATCTTTAGCTTACCACTTTAACCAGCTGTGACATGGACACCTCAAACTGGACAATGACTGGGTCAGAGACATTCTCCACTGGTCGTATGTACTGGTTGTATCTAGAGAAAATGACAGAGAAGAGCTTGTGCTCTGCGTCTGAACAGGACCCACCTGAGGAAGAGCAGAGGGTAAGGCATAAGACTGTGCTACTTTCACGCTTGATAACAGAAAGACAAAGAAGATGACTGGTCTTATCAACTTAACGGAGCAGTTTCATTAAATCTTAAATCTAATGTTTTTCAGTGAAAACATCTTCATTTCGGTCACCGGACCGTGTGAAAAGACATGATTTTTGCCTCTGACGTTTTCTTCAATGTAAGAGAATAAAATCAACATACCCCCATACACTTCTTGAAATAACAGCCAACTCATTACTGATTTAAACTTTCTCAAATGGTTTGCATTTCAAAATAAAGGAAGCCTACATGAGCATATTTTAAATGTATTCTTAATTTTTTGTATCTTTATCATTTCTAATATCATTATTATTATTTTGGTAATTTTGCTTATTCTGTAAAAAATATTCTCAATTACTCATGTCAAAAACGTTTATGCAAAGCAACAAGTCTAAATTTTATCCACAGTGAATCATTACTCACCTTGTAGGAGGAAGAATATAGAAGAGCACGTGCGTAAAAGGAGGCAAAAAGTGACTTTCATCGTGTTTTAAAAAGACGAGTTGATCATTAATCCAGACAGGGTCAGAGGCAGCAGCTCCTCCGAGCAGACAGCAGAGGAAAGTGTGAGAGTGAAAGCAGCTCCAGAGACTGGCAGTGAGAGAGAGAGAGAGAGAGAGAGAGAGAGAGAGAGAAAGAGAGAGAGAGAGAGAGGAGGTATACTGCACTGCATTACCCATGCAGCCTATAGCGACAGAATCTGATGGAAGGAAGAAAAAAAAAATATTTCTCTTAAAGATCACACAGCAGGTTGCCTGTGACCATAAATTCAATTGATTATCTTTGTGCACTATGATAGGATATGTCTGCTTTCTTTGGCAGCCTTTTTTTCCATCTCACTGTGTGTTTTCAGAGTAAATAAAAGCTTTTAAGAAAGGACGACATTTTAAAAACCTTGAATATGTTTCTTTCCTTTGGGTTTTGTCTGAGCTTGCTGTTTTAGGCTACTTAACAAAAAAAAAAAAAAATAAATAAATAAATAAATCACCTATGAGACATTTTTTTTGTCTCTTAATGATTATAAGTGGGTGGAGCCTGAAAATGTCATATTTCTTATATTTTTTAGCAGCGTTCGACAATAAATTAATTAAAGCTCCATATATGCCTCCATACTACATGTCTTTATATTGCATATTAAACCATATCTTACTATATTATGTCTCAGTATTGTAGGCTGTTCAATCAGCTGCCTTCCCGCTACCATTCTTACAGCTGTTACACAACGATCACTGCCAAAACAAGGTGTAAAATAAGACCACTCACTCTAACGGAGAAAAGATAAGTTGTTTCCCCCTTCTCTAAAAGTCTCTCGACGTTTTGAAAAGGAGTAAAACAAAGACAACTTTGGTAACTTATGATAAATTCACATAAAGGGTTACACATTACAGATCAAGCTTCGTACGCCAAGAGACTCAATTTTGTCTCCCTAAATTTCCCATGATCTTCTGAACACAGAAAATTATAATCATAAATCGCTTTTTGTTTTCTCAAGTTGACAAGCCAAATTAACCCTCTATCAAGGGACACAAGCTCTGTTATCTCCAGATAAGGAAAGATTATCTTGCGAGCTTCGGATAATGAGATATGACAGCCATTTATGGCTTCTGAATCTGGTTTCAGTAAGTGGGCTGTTGTTGGTGCAGCATATTAGCTGAATTTTTGAGCTGTAAACCTTATTAAATAATAAATCAGGATGTATTCACTTCAAAGCCCCAGTGAGGGGTTTTTAACTGGTTGTGAAACTGATCAAATTGATACTGAGGCCTCTTTATGACCAACAATAGTAAACAAGACCATCAGCAACCAGGCTGTTTTGTTTATGTAATTTATAACGCCTGTAACTGCTGCGAGGGATCATGTGTTTAAAGATTGAAAGCCTGCAGACGAAGCAGATTTAATTTCTTCACATATTAATCACCAAATATTCCTAAGTGACACATTTTACTATTTGATGAAAGCAGGGTGAGATTTTCATAAACCGAACAGGATCAGCAAAGCTATATCATGTACATCTCCACACACCAAAGCAAACTTACAATTCCTCACTGCAGCTTTAATCTTTTTGCTAAGTCAAAGATATCTAATGTCTTTGGGGGTTTGCTTCAAATCAATACCAGTATTTTACATTTTGATGCACATACAGTGTAAACCAACATTTCCCCTATGGACAGTGAACATGGACCCAGGTGGTGGTGATGAATAGTTCCCTGTGGTGAAAATACCCTCACTGAATCACCATGAAGCCTTCACTTCATTAGAAAAATAATCAATGGCCAGTGTGCACGGTTGGTTTAGTCATGAGTGACCTTCAGAGGAAGCGTAAGAACATAACAGAAGTATTCTTTATTGATTCATTGTTTTTTTAATTGACTTGGTTTTTCGCAAGTTTTTTTAAATCTTTATAATTGAGCTCTCTTCTCACAGGGATATTGTCCTCTATTACTCTTTTTTTCTTTTCTAGTATATCTTTTTGAAGTCGTGTTTTTCTTCTCTTTGGCCAGTAGGGTGGTCCGTGAGGCACAGTAGTTTCCCAACTTAGTCCTTCGTTTGGATAATGGTAAGGTCAGAGTGCTTTAAGGTTACGTCCTTTCCAGCAGCAGCAGCAGAGATGCTGTTTTGTGTCTGACCCTGCGCTGTTAACTGCCTTAAAAAGAGTTGTTCTTAGGGGGACTCATGCAGGAAAACGTCACAACTACATTTAAAAATAATGTTGATCCTGCCAGTGTTTGTTTTCTAGAGGCACATTGCAGTGGATCAGTGTGTGCAGCATAAATTGCTTGCTTTTCCCTTGCCTGTGTGAAAGGGCAATTGTGAGAGCAATGTTTCCATGCATATCTTATTAGAGACTAATGACACAAGACTGCTGACATGAGGTTCGTGATTTATGGGCCCTCTCTGTGAGTGCTGAATGACGACTCCTCCTGCTTTGTTTAGATTGAAACAGATGATTAATAGCTGTCGCTCTCTCTCCTCACTGATAGCAGGAAAACCAACAGGTGAATTACAGGATGAAAATCAGTGATCATTTTGAAAGGAGGAAACAAGGATAAATTAGATCAAGTGCATTCATCGACTCAGATGATTGTTAAAATCTCTTGATTTTATTTTATAAGACAACCAACAGTCTGCAGAATCTGTAACAAGCTCACATGTATTTTGTGAAACACTATGTATACGTGCTGCACTTGTCTCCTTGTACTTATAAGCGCTTCGCAGACATCAAGTCTGGTGTAAAAAAGCACTGAAGTTCCCATCAGACCATATTAGATGGAGTGATGCATTTCATTTTGACTTATTTTCAATGTAGATTTAACACATTATATCAAAATAGTAGGGCTGTTTGTTGTACATAGAAGATCAGTGGCTGTGACTTTATAAAACACTGTATATTATCATTGAAATGAGCTCCACCTTAAACTGTTTTGTCGCATCAACGTTTCTTATTTTTGCCTGGTCACACATTTTCCAGTGAACAGCTGTCTTACCTATTTGATGAAATGTTCTTACTGGCACATCTTCAGCTATCGTATTGGCTCTGAGTATAAACTTTATCACAGGCAACAAAGATTAACTAAGCACTTTGGCAGGACCCTGACAATTTAGAGACTTTATTGGTGGTTTCATGGATTTAATCAAACTGAAAGAGGACACAGTTTACCTTTATTATCCATTCTTTAATCACACATCACATTTTAACTTGGAGACAAATAAAGAGTCAAATATAATCTGACAGCAGACAGATTTTCCTCATATTTCAGTCATAGAGGGTATATTTCTGCAGCGGTTGTAGATACTATATCAGTGCAGTCTATGCTTTATTCAGCCCATTACGGCAGAAGTCTTTATAAACACCAGATAAAATTCCCTCAGTGCAGTCACGTCACATTGAAGTCTTCTTAATATGGATTTCTGTAATATCAAGTACTGCAGAGGGTTGTATTGTTGCAGATCATGTGTTGGTCATTATTAACAGATATTTCATCCAGATTCCAGCTTGCTAAAAGATCCAGTTTCTTCCTCTGATAAGTGATTTCGAATGCTTTTTTTAAGCTGTTATAAGATGCCTTATGGGTGAGGTTTGACAGTGTTACACAACTCAAATCTGAGACCAGCATCTGCTAGAAAGACTGTTTCGCAGTAACCGTTTTGATCACTAAAAAGAAAAAGTACGATGTGTTGTTCATCAGATGCGAGGAGTTTCTGAGCTGCTCTGCTGACTCGGAGTGATATGACTCTGGAAGATGGGCTGAAGGAATAATCCCAGAGTTCCCACCACACAAACTATCACAAAAATCCACAGGAACATCCGGTCCACCACCATGGCCACGTACTTCCAGTCTTCAATCACCTGTAAGTAGACAGATATCATGTTTAAATTCGTCAATGTGAAAAATGCACTCAAGCATACATTGTATTTAACAAAAAAGTTTGACAGAGCAGCAAAATTAACCGTGAATTTTGATTGAGCTGGTGGTCTGATGTTAATGCTGCAGTGTCCTTTTGTAGCCACTTGATGGCAGAGAGAGTAACTAAGTGAATAAATGAGTGAACAATGAGGGAATCTAGGATTTTTGCATCCTGAAACCTTCATGAAACATCTTAAATGCATCATGTAAATATTTTTAAAGTCTTCTGTGGTGTCTTTAGCACTTGAACTAGAACACACAGTCTCCTTTTTAAATTTGCATTTCATCAATTTCTATCAGTTGTGCAAACTTCTCCTGAGGACTTGGTAAATTTTGAATGGGACCAGAGTTGATGGATCCCCCTGTATACAGGCAATTTCCATATTGCACAGACCTACACTAAAATCATGATTGACCCTTTAACCTCATTTCCAGTGTTGTCCTTGGTAGTTGTTGAAACGAGTCATTCCTCATCCCTGGTTTCCTCCTTTTTGTATTGATTTATCAGAGAAAGCCATTGATTTACCTTGAGTCTGCCGTTAATTTCCTGGGTCACAAGCACTACTTATGGTTAGTGGTATTCCTTCATGTGCTTCAGAGGTCACAGAGTCTTCAGTAAATGTTATCGTGCCAACACAAACGGCTTTGATCTGGTGAATTGGATCAGGATATTGAATGGTGACACTGACTGACGGTGGAGCCTGATTCTTAAAATCTTTGGAGCTGCTTTGACAGGAAATGACTTTAAGTTGAGACTTGCAGCTTCTAAACAATTTGAGTTTATATATCAAGTGGCAGAGAATACATTTCTGTGGTTGTTGCTAAATGATAGCCTGTTGTCTACCATATGTGGAAAACAACCATCCGATACGTTAAAGCTGCAATGAGGACTTTTTTGACATATATAAAATACATTAAAATTCATATAGTTGCCTTTTTGCGATATACAAAGGCAAAAAGACCATTAGCAACAAGAAAGGCAATGTTTATTGCTTTTTTTCTAGTTCAATGTCTTAAACCAGTGCTAGGGGGTAAGTATCAGCCCAGCTAAAGAATGAGCCCTGCTTTTTATTTTTTATGTTTTTATTTATTTATTTATTTATTTTTACTATTTTTACATAAAATATTGGCAGTAGATTATACATCATAGAAGAGCGCGGAATGAGAAAGATTTAGGGACTGAATCCTGCTGTTTCAAGTGATGCTAGAATAAAAACCTTCAATCTCACGCTCCATAAGAGTTTACTTCAAGTACCAAGAATTTGTACAGTGGTCATTAGTTTGAAACCGTGCACTCAGCACTCAGGTTGCTAGCATTGTGATAATGATTACCAGTGGTCTACAGTTGTCGGTGTAAATTTCTGAAATACTCCCTGATGGCTATTATGCACTCCATATATTTATAATCGAGCAAAAGTGCATTTGAAAAGTTTAACTATTTGGCCAGTTAAGGTAAACCATGTATTCCATAAAGTAAAAATCTATTGGAAATTTATAACCTTAGCAGAAATCGTCCCTTCTCACGCAAAATCTTCATGTGTCTAATTGACTTCAGTTCAGGTGTAAGTTATTGTTTGTGGCACAATTAACTGCTTGAATGATTTTTAAAATCATTCAGTAGGTTAAAAAAATAAAGTAAAAAAGGTAATACATACACTCTGATCATCATCATCTCCCATCATGTGTTCAGCCACAAAGCGAACCCCGTTCACAGCCTCCTGAACATCAGAGGACCAGTCTGAGTTCCTGCTCTGCTGGAGATCTTGTGAAGAAGTAAAACAACTTGGAAGGTAGTCGTTGTGGCGCAGGTCTCCTTTCTTGTAGGAGTGGCTGTGGTTCAGTGGAGGAGCTATATTTTTGAGTCCTGGTGTGGAGAAAGCAGACTCTGAAGACAGCAGGGCAGCTGATGACATGGTGATACCTGCTTTGGATGCCACTGGATAACCAACACCTAGAATTGCTCTCCTTGCCCTCAGACATCTCTGCTGGCGGAGTCTTTGGCGTGCTGAGTTGTTGTGAGGGCGCCTCATGAAGAGTAAGGCGGGCAGTTTGATGAGAAATATCAGCTTGACCCAGGAGGGCATTGTGTGGGTGCTCGGGGAGCGGTGGTGGACGTTGAGCACACACACGCTTGTGATAATGGAGAAGGTCACCAGCACCATGGTGAACATCAGATACTTGCCAATCAGGGGCACATCCAGCGAAGTCGGAGGGACAATCTTTGAGATTAAAAGCAGGAACACAGTGAGAGCCAGGAGGACAGAGATACAGAGGGTCATCTTCTCTCCACAATCTGAAGGTAAGTAAAAAACCAAGATCGCCAAAGAGGTGATAAGCACACAGGGAATGATCAGGTTTATGGTGTAGAAAAGAGGCTTCCTCTTGATTATGAAGTCATAAGTGAGGTCCACATAGGTAGGATCAAGAGGGTTGACGGTCCGTCTGCCTGGCAACGCTAAGATATCCCACTCCCCACTGGGGGTAAAATCATCCATACTTGCCACCTCAGACTTCAAGATCAGGTCAATCTCTGTGTGGTCGTAAGTCCAGGAGCGGAACTTGAGGGTGCAGTTCTGCTGGTCGAAGGGGAAGTGCTTGACCTCAATCTTACAGGCGCTTTTGTAGATGGCTGGGGGGAGCCAGTTGATGCTGCCATTGAAGAGAACTATAGCATTGGTGAAGACTGTGACTTCATAAGTACCATCCGCACTATGAGAAGAAGACAGAAAGAACTTAAGAAGTAATTTCTAAGGCTAGTTAGAAAAACTAATATTGCCTGTTTTATATGTTTGAAATGAGTGATTTACTGCTCATATATTTGTTCTTGGTTTCACCCATTTACAGATTTGTACCACACCATAGGCTGTATACAAGGATAGATGACATTAACCGCCCCCCATAAGTCAAGACAAATGAAACCAAAATGTAAAAATCTCAATACACATCATATTATTTGCTCTCAAATATAGTCTCTGTTATGATAGTTACCCTCTGGAGGGTTTTATACCTCAGGACTCAGACCCCAGTCCAAATCATGCTCAGATTTTCTAAGACTTGTGGCTTGACTTGGGCTCAAGCACTGATAATGTGGACTTTGAATTATGACTTGGTCGTCATGAACTCAGACTAATTTAATGATCAAGACCGGCTTATTGGATTTTTTTCAAGAAAGGGTCTTAAAAAATTATGGGCAGCTCTCAACAGTGTGACCGTTTCACTCGCATTCACTCCCAAAAATAGATGTGTGCGAATCGTAAAATGTATTTAGGGCCACATGTGCGCATAAAAAAAATCAGCCGAGGCAATAAATGTTTTTTTATGTAAACACCTCGGTGAAGTAAGTTTTAGGTTGGATATTCAATGGACATTCACTGCCGATCTGCAGCAGCAGCACGGTTAAATCTACTCGGCATCCTCACTGTCAATGTTGGACGTTGAATAAGGGACTGTCAACAGTGTTAAGGAATACCAGGTTTTCCTTATATGGCTTCCATGTCATGTGGCCAATTGACCTAAAATTGATTTCAAATAATAGTACTTATGTCGACCAATAAGACACACATTATTTGATTAATTTTCATTGTGCCCCTAAAGTTCTTTATGTGCTCCTCACTTTTTCAACTTAGGAGAACATGTGCTCCTTGTGAAAATAGTTAGTGCCAAGCCCTGAGGGGTATTGATTTTTTGGACCTAAATTGATAACAATTAGAAGTAGTTAAAGAGACTGGTAACTAATATCTAAAAGTAAAATGCATTTATGGTAAAACCAAAAGTGCAAAAGTTTAAAGGATGATATATAACAAACTAATGTTTAAATGACTCTGATAAACGTTTAATCCAAACCAAAATGTTTCACATCTTATACTGCGGTGTGACAGTCGACCAAGTCACCAGTTAGACTGCAGTACAGATGGCATCTAGCCACTCTGATAGTGTTGTGAATATACAGTGAGACAAAGCGGTGTTTGGGAAAGACGCACAGGAAGAACAGTAACTTTTGAATTGATTGATTTGATTGGCCATCAGCAAAATGATTGGCCAAATACCAAATATCAGCCAATAATTGATGATTGGTCCACCCCTTATCCAAATCTCTAAATACTGGCATCAGCACAAAATGTCAGCACCCGTTCCTGCTGGAAATTATTGTTCCACTTTTGCACAAAGGGAAAAGTGGAGACAGGCTGTCTGTCTTTTTATCCAGTCCATAAAACACACACACACCTACATGAGTTTGTATTTTTTCACCATGTAGTCAAAGGGCAGATGGGGAGAGAGCTTTTCTTTGCAGACAAGGACAGTCAAATCCAAACTAAAACTCAAATCCACATTAAAACTAATCATTGTATCAAAGAATGATCATCTGTGTAAAGTTAGAGCAAATCTTACAAATCTCTAACAAAAAGGCTTTCCGGTGTTGCTTACTTGTTGTACAGAACGATATCCGGGAGCCAGATGTGTCTGGAGGGAATACGCAGCTTGTCGATACCTTCATACTTTGCAGGGTCCCATGATAACCTGTAATCCTCCCAGTGCTGACGAGAGAGAGAGAGAGTGAGAGAGAGTGAGAGAGAGAGAGAGAGAGAGAGAGAGAGAGAGACACCATGCTGTCGAATCTGATTCCATGCACTCCCTCAGGACCAACTCATTTCTCATTACATGCTTCATTATCAGTAATGACCAATGTAAAAAGCACAATTACAGAAGCTGTTTGTTCCACATTTGAAGAAGAGGAAAGGATGTGGTTTATTACATCTTCAGATGGAAGGGTTTATCAAGACACAAGCAGAATGGGAGTTTATGACGCTGAGCTTCATCACGCTTACCTGAGTGAGCCAGACATTTGTGGTCATGATCTGTTCTCTTTCATTCTGGAAATGTACAAATGAGATAAGAATTACTATTGGAATTGTTGCATAAGCAAATAACTACACAGATGGATAAAAAAGACAAATGCCAGGATCAAAAGCAGTTAGCAAATAAAAAAGCAAAATATTACCCTAAGAAAAATTTGTCAAGATAACAGTTGTCTCTCCTCTTGAGTCTAGCATCCATTTTTAAAGAAAGGATTAGAAACAAACAGCATTTACCTCTCCGATTGCTAATCAACGTACTTGACATCAAACCCCAATTACTGCAGTGTAATACAATGCAATGAAAACTCATAAAGTGAGGCTGTGAGTGAACCCTGGCTGGCCTGATCTGCAGCTGAGAGGAGCGTCTGCTGTAAATCAGAGGAGAGCCTCTATCACTGTGGCTAAAACAGCTTTATGGCCCCTTTTAATCCAATGTGCTGAAGTTTCAATCTGGACATGACAGAGGCAGAGATCACAGCTGACCACATCTATCCTCGACTTCATCCATTTGTTTAGAGCTATGGCCTCCCTCTGTACACGCTGCTGTGTAATTAACTGCTTTCTTAAAGCTTCGTGGCTGGTGATCGGTCTTTTCTATCATCCTCTTTCTTTCACTCTGTCTCACTTTTGCTCTATACCAGCACATATTTTCTCCTTTACACACATATTAATAAATATGCATTTATCATCATGCATTGCAGGAGTATTTGAGGTCTTACCACACTGATGAGCTGAGCCAGAGACACTTGCAGCTTCACTGTGACTCTGGCGCTCCTGTTGACAGCTGGCCGGATCAGCGGATTGTAGCGATTCTTTCCCAGTAGCCAGTTCATGAGGCGCTCCTCTGAGTCTGCAGCACTGCTACCTGGTAACAAAATGGAGTTCAGTTACGATAGCTATGTGCAAATCTATAAGAGCTAAGGAAGACTATATGTTATGATTTAGGTAAAATGAAAAGATGTGTCCATGTTTCTTTTGTCTATTACCCACTGAGCAATAGGCAACTATTAGACGCCTCATTTTTTTTTAGCCCTAATTTCAATTGTATAGATTCTGTACATTTTTAGATGGAATTTAGACGTTGCACTTTAACCCATTATTCAGTAACTATTTGTTTAAAAAAGCAACTGTGAGTTGCATAACAGATCTCCAAGTACTTAACCAAAATAATCATGATAGCCGTTGAGCAATTTACAGTGTAGTATAGATATAGCTCTGTTAGCTGGCTAGTCTAAACTTGGTCTAAATTTAGACGTCTAAAAAACTTTCTTTTTTCGACCTGTGATAGCTTGATTTTAGACCAATCGTCTGGCTACATTTAGATGTCTATAAGACCTCTTTTAGACCAAAGAAAGCTCAGTGGGTAGTTATTTCTATTATATCATCACATATTTCTAATATATATTAGCTGTATTAATTAACTACAGAATTGGTTGTTGAAGAGACAGTGAAAAAATGATTCCATAACCTCCCAAACCCCGTTAAACCCAGTGACAAACATGATTTACAGTAAAACAAACTCATTTATAACCTTTTACAACAACTGTTTTGGTCTTTGATGAACATTTCTCTATTCATAGCAGCTTTTTCAACAACAAGTTATTCAACAAATGGTGTTTTGTTTAATAGTTTCAGTGCCCATCCAAGTAAGGCTAGAGATTTTAAAGGGTAGTATTCTATTACTGTTTTGGGGCTACATACCATACCTGGCCTGTCAGCTTTGTCCAGTGTGTATTATTCATCTGTTTAATTGTCACTAACCCATTCTTATCAAAGAATGGCTGTGTGTCCCTCTTTTTTAGTCCAGGAAGTACTTCTTTGCGTTTTCTTCTTGAGTCAGGATAATTGTAAGCTTCCCCTGGAGAGGTTGCAGTAGGCAGCCATAATAAGTTATGTTGTGCATGTTGTCAGCCGCAACTGTCTCACTGGAGATTTAGGTGCATAAACAGCATCTCAAGTACGATGGATGGATGATCGGCTGCAGCCTGCTACCATCACACATAGAATCCTGTTCTACGGGAAAAATGAGAGTTAATCAACTCATTCACTGGCTAATTGATTATCAATAGGTATTGATGGTTTGCCCTGTCAGCCAAACCCTCTTATGTCTCCAGTGCCACCTTCTCCTCAGAGCATGGTTGTTTCTGGCTTTAGGAAATCTCTGCCAAACTCAAGGTTCTGCTAAACTCCCAGTTGAGAATCTCGGTGATTGAAACCTGATTGGGAAAGTTTGCTGTAGTTGAATTCCACGATGAGCCCAACAGTCCAAAATAGTGTTGATCACTGTCTGTCCTAAGGGTTCAGATATGAGACCCCACAATAACTTAAACCCATATGATGAAATAAAATGCATAAAGGCTAACTATTATGTCACAATAACCAAACACAAAGCAGTGAGTAAGTTTAGAGAGATGTTTCTGTTTATTCCAACTGGGGTTGTGTGAAGTACTCGTCATCAGCAGTTGTATCAGCCACAGGTTAAGTGTGGTCAGCTGGTTAGCCTAGCGGACAATCTAACCACACTAAACAGAGTTAGGCTATATTATATTTCATCTTCACATATGTTCAAGCATTTATTATTTTGACAAACAACAAAACGATATATCCAACATGATTCCTCCTTGCCACAAACTTTAGACTCTCTCTGTGCCAGAAATTTCAAACACCATAAAGAAGGAATTAAATCTGTTCGGCAAAGCACCTTCCTCCTTTAGCTGCTCGCCCAACTTCCTCAGACTGCTCTTTACAAACTGCATGTACAACTTTCAAGGTCCTTTGGAAAATGGCAGCTGCAAAGCTGGGCTTTCCTGTGTGATGGAAATTACATCAAAAGGCCGCAAAGTCATTTCAAGTAATTACATTTTGGAGGTGGGTAGATGATTAGTTTGCATGTTAGGAATTCTGCTCATGCTTTAACCCACATTTTTGAACGTTAAAGCATGTCTGAATAAGAAGCTAACAGAGACACATCCTCCATCTCTTCTCTGTCTCTCAGATAAATGATGTCCATGTCAAATGTGAAGACACGCTGATTGAAACTGATGATCAGTGCTTCTCAGCTGGAGCAGAATGAATACATGTAGCACTAGCTCTTCCACTTTCCTTACATAGAGCTGCTTATCAATGTCCACTCGAGGCCTGCACTGGCTGAGATGACTCTGTCATGGAAAACATGCCAGTGAGGTAAGGCTGTTACTCATGGACCCACTGAGGGAGAAATGCTGCTGTCGTCAGTACTTAGCAGGGGGATTTTGATGGCTACCGGGGCTCAGAGAGTCAGCATTTGTGCAGCTGTATGTGATGCTGCAGTATAAGAAGTACCATATGTCTGACTGATATCGGCTTTTCTGCACCGAGAGTGATACAGACTTTAGTAGTTCATGAAACTGATGTGCATTGACAGTAAAAATCAAAAACATTTTGTTCATATTTAGATTTGGAATATTACAAACACCAACATGCAGCATTGTTTAAACACCTTTAGCAAAATGTCCAATAAACTTAAAACCACCAACATCACATACAGGAGTAAAGAGCTAACCAGTTACACTTACAGTTCAGCTATGTCACACACTTGTATGACACCTTGCATGTCAGGCAGTGTTTTGGGCAGCAAGCAACAAGCAAGGGGGCCTTGAACCAATGAGGGCCAACAAAGGTTACACAGCAATGGCAATAAGCAATTTTTAATGACAGAAGAAGGTGACCCAAGAGGAAACCACTTCCTCCCATTGCACATGCAAGAGCCTGTGAAATGTTAAAAGTTTGAAAACAAAAGCCACTGAGAAAAAACAAAGAAGAGTTTCCATCTGGGAGTGAGAAAAGAAAGCAAGACGGTTGTTGGAGGACCTGCTAAAGGTTAATAATACAGCCTAGTAATGCTGCATCTCTGACCTTAAGTATGGGAAGACACACTTAAATAACATTATTTCCAGAGGCTTCACATTATGGTGTATTCTGTTCGGTGTAACTAAAATATTAGAAGCTTTACAGTGAAAACAATGCCCTCAGAGGAATAGAAAAATATTCACGTTAGAAAACACTTTTTTCGCTGTGTTAGGTTGTTGGTTGTACGGCTCCTTAAAGCTTTTGCCTGGGGACCAAATTAACCCTAGCATTGCCACTGGAAGGCAGGACATTGGATGAGGTAACTGATGAATGAAAACAGACCCAAAGGGAAAAAAAAACCCAAGTAGTGAAACCAAAGTAGTCATTTTACCTTTTATTAATTTTGTTAGGGATCAGTAGAATTAGAAAATATGATTAGGATAATTGGCCAAATGTCAAATATTGGCTCCAATATCTGGAAGGCAAAAATTGATCTCCTTCCTTAAAGTTTGTGAAAGACCTTCAACCTAGGTGTTTGTCTTTTTGCCAAGTTCACAATATGTCATTGACATCCTGAAGCTTTCTGGAGCTGTGCATGGCCAGATTTGGCCCACGGGGTCAGAGCACGCTGTTATGCCGATGCCCTATAAGTCATTTTCCTTCACAGCACTTAAGTGTTTTTTCAAAGCCTTCAGGGACCAGAACCATTAAAAAAAATCTAACCTTCTTTAGGAGTTAAGCCTCTTGCAAACTATCCAAATTTGTGGTAACTGATGAACTGCCACTGGTGGGTGTAGGCTATATGCAGTATGTGTACGTAGAGTGACTGTGTAAAATGAGTGTTGTGTTGGCATTATGTTGATTGAGAATGAGGTCAGGCGTGTTAATATGATGCTGGAGTCAGCCACTGTAGAGTTGATAAGGTCACGGCACGCTGAAAACATGATTTTACAAAAATCTAATACAGTTTGAGTCCTGGGAGCGTAATGGGGTAAGTGAATGAAGCAGAACAGGGCAAAGGTTGAATGAGTGGATTCAAAGTATGAATACACTATTTCTCTTACTCCTGGTGAGGTAGTTCATGGTAGTATTAAGAGATTGATCAGACACACTGTTGTAGCTTTCTCTTTCTTTCTCTTTACTTCATAAAAAGCAGAAGGTAGACAGCTTTATCACTTTGATGGATACAAGTTTGCAAAATAGATTTCATGTCTGTCTTATTGCTTGTACAGGAACAACTGTACTGCGGCTTTTTTAGCATCCTGTGATCTAATAAAGCAAAGAGAAATCCCATTCACCTCACTATGCAAACTTGTGACATGTGAAAGAGATAAAGAAAGGATATGGGCACAAAGTTTCCTGGTACTGAGATTCACTTTAAGGGTTTAAAAAGCTGCTTCTTATATGTTTTACCTCTTCATGTTATAGCAGATTATAGCAGCCTGTTGATTTTGATCACACTCTACATTTATTCTCATGTGCATTATTATGATCACTAGGCCACAGGAAAAAGCAGAAGTGATTCATCAAATTGTCCCATGGAATATAAAAGTGCCATCGCATTCCTGCTTGTCTAACATTAAACAGTAAGATACATAATGTTAGACCAATCCAAGAGAGAATAGTTTGATACAAGAAAAGGCATTTTTTAAATTTCAGTATTAATTCAAACATCTCGTGGAGAAGTAAAAGTGGCGTTTCCGTGATGCATTGGAGGAGAATAAACATGCACAAAACGTTAGTGCCGCTGCACAGAACTTAGCTGCACACCATTTACTATCTGACTTGGGACGCTAAATGAAGGACTCTCTTTTCCCTCCATAGAAACAGTTTTCCCAAATACATTTGGAAACACAACAACATAACATTGAGAAAGACACACTTACTGTGCAGCAAAGACAAAAAGTAAGCGAGGAGGATGGGGAGAGCCCGAGTCATTTTTTCGGCACCATCCGCTCAGCAGGAGTTGTCGATGATGAAGCGTCAGAGCTCTGGTGTCCAGCGCTCTTCCTCTCGGACATGCCGAACACCCCACAGTTTGGTAGGTATGAAAAAACAGATAATTGACTAGTTAGAAGAATCTTTTGCCGTGTCGTGTGGCTACTTTGCAACTAAACGACCCACAAATGGTCCTAGAGTCTCCACGAGAGGAAAGGCGTTTTACGCACCACGGACGCGCAGCAGCCTGCCCCCCGCGCGCTTCTCTCTGCGTCCCAAGCAAGTCTTGCTGGTCCTGTACCGGGACTGCGATCAGATATTGGTCCGTCTAGGCTGTTGCCAGTTGTAGGTTTTGGTTCATCGCACTATTCTCTTGACTTTTTGTCGAATATTTTCATCTTTTGACACAAATATGTTAGTTTGTTTTAGAAGGAAAGTAGTGGAAGTGCAGTCAGTGCGAAAGTGTGGCCCATATTTCTCTTTTTTTAACCCTTGTTGCCCCCATACCCTAATGATTTGAGATGTATAAATAAGGATACACAATAGTCAGAAGTTTGTGTAAGCTCTCAAGGAAACAAAAAGTACTATGTGAAGGTTTTGGTCAGCACTGGATACTTCTGCTAACAGAAAACAGGTCAAACTACACTCGGAGATATACAACTCCAGACACCTGAGCACAGATGTTGATCTACACACATGGACCTAATTCTATTCCCACCAACAAACATTAGTGACAACTCCTGTTGACCCGTGATCATTTGCTGACTTCACACTGCTCTGGCAAGCGTGCTCAGGGAGTGGACGGTAAATTATTCTCTGGTCCAGGATGTGAGATTTAGTGTGCTGAGGTCCAGTCAGACCAGAAGCAGTGCAATCGTAGCCCAGCAGATTTACAGTCACCACGCTGCTTAAAGCCTCATTATAATGGCCAGTAAAGAAACTGTATCAGGCATGAGGAGTAGCCTCAAGGACTGCTGTGGGGTTATAAATTTGAAACCCAAAGACTTCTTTTCTGGGTCATTGAGAACAGATCAATCGGAGCTGATTAGGTTTTGACCCTTGCTTGTCTTTTATCAGCTTGGATTGGACCGGGCTGTGGACAGCGCGATTTACTCTTCTGTTTGTTGAATCATATGTGTGAAGGTTATTGGAATTATGAGTAAAACTATATTTACTATATGATACAACCCTCTTTACTTAAAGCAGCAGACTGTGTCTTACTGACTTGTCTCGAATCTCTGCTGTTTACTGTAGGGCCAGCCCACTATGCATCACTTTCAATCATGCCTTGTGCTGGACTGAGAGCCTAGTTTTATTTTTGTTTTGCTTTCTCTATCAAACTTCCTACTTATAATTTGTTTTAAGACCATGACCCTCTGTTTGACTCTAAAATATGAACTTCTTAGGGTGTAAACACGCGATTCTAAAATGGGTATCCAATTCTGTGATAAAGAAATGAATCAAGGGTGGAGTCAGGGGTCTGCCATCCCTCAACTCCAGCTTATGGGAACTGTGTCCCTTTCAAAACGGTCGACCAAGTCACAAATCTTTGATCAAGTCTTTGCTGTGACCTGATCCTTGACACTGAAACAAACAGCAGCATCAATAAGGCCTCAACAGACATCGATCACCTGTACAAAAGGCTTTTTATCACAAAATCATGAAGGACAGCACCAGAGGTAAAACACAAAATTTTGTGGTGCCACCTGGCTTTATAGGGCAGAATGATGAAATGGATACAAATGACTGATTACCAACCTGAAGGCTTTCATATTTTATGCCTTTAGAGGGTTTTTGGGCTTGAGGGGAAAAGGAGAAAACAACAAAACTGACCAACTCCACATATTGCAGAGAGGCAGCAGAGGTAAAACAACATATTTAGTTGTCAGGGTATAAAATATGAATGCTGCACCACTACTTTGTCAAACCCTCCCTGGACTGCAGAGTCATGCAAAACAGGCTCCTTGTGGATTACATAGGATGTTATATATAGATGTTGTATATCTTGCTATAAATAAGTGTACAGTAATTCTGTGAGTTAATTGTAGAGGCTCTATATGCTGGTTGCCAAATTATAAAAATGACAGACAGATGAAGTAGCAGACTGCCATCAAGCTAACAGAAACAGCCCTGGGATTGTAATAGGAACTTTATTAACAATCCTTCAAAGCACTGGGAAATTTATCCAATCTTTCTAGCTTCTCTGGTCATCGATGGCCAGACAGTCTCAAGAAATTCGTTAGTCCTGCAGTAAACATACCAAAACACGACGCCAACAGCTCCCTTATATATGATCTTTTTTTCCAGGCTTAACAACCCAATATCTGTTGCCCAATGGATTTTTATGTGGGATTTGTGGGGGATAAAATACTCCTCTGGCTATTCAAAGGTTGGCAGATTTTGATAGTTCTGTGTTAACTTCATTGTTAATTAAAGAGCACAGTCTGAGTAAAAGAGATGGGTATTGTTTTCCTTGAGACCCGAGAAATATAGTAAAATGATGACATAATAAATGGCCACATTACTCAATTTTGTGACACTCTGTACATATTTGAGACATCTGTTCTCTGGCTGTGTGTTTTTATTACAACAAATCAAAGCGTGAAGAGTGGGCAAAATGCCTGGAATGGATCCTGTATGCACCAGCAGGGACAGTAAATGTGTGATATACAACAAACTGTAGTACAGTCATGAGTGGTAAAACATAAAGCCCATATGATTTCAGGAATGAACCGCTGCCAGTTCATTTTGTAAATGGCCATCTGTTACTTAATATTTCTCGGTGGTGAATTACAGACACATTCTGTGAAATTCCCAATACAAACAAAATACCTGGATGCTTTTTGAGTCTTCAAACAACAACTGACAACCATTAACAGGGAGTTATCGCTGATGTTTGGATAGACAGGTGTATCATGACATATATATTCAGAGACTGTTTTAGGTGTGGTCTGAGGGGTATTTGGTTTTAATCTAGGTTTCATTTTAAATTTTGAATTAGATAAATTTGAATGAATTTCTCTCCTTCTCTATCCCTCAATACTGCCTGTCACTGTTGCTTTTCTGAAAGTCATCTTTAAAGCTTATTAAATTTGAAGATCGACAAAAACTAAGATTGGTGATGAGAAAAGCTTTCTAACTTAAGTAGAGTACTTTAAACTTAACAAGTTGATGGATCTCCCTGTAGTGAGTTGGGAACAAAATAAATACAATAAATATCAGTCAAGATTAGAAACATATCAGAAGGATATTTCCTTGAACACCTTATTGCAGAGGTATAAATGATTGGTAAACAATTTTGTGACTTAGGTTGAGCTATGTGGCAATGGGAAGTTTATGGGTGGAAGCATACACCTTAAAAGAGTACATATAACTTATGTCTGTTTGCAGCGGCTCTGCTGTTTGCTCTGGATATAAAGCGCTCTGTTATCAGCCGAAACAGCCTTTAGTCCATGTCCATAACTCATCTTAATCAAGTTCAGCCTGGAGGGAAGCCTGTCTTTACTCTCAGTGGATACAATAAAAACAGGAAACAGCTTCCAAACATTCTTCAGATGTTCTGCAGACTGACAGGGTCTTGAGAACAAATAATGTTCATTCCAATTCAGGAGAGTCAGATACAGCTGTATATGAAAACAATAACTTGCATTTGCTTGTACTCTTTGTGAGGACAGTTTGAGAGTGTCTCTACCACTTGTCCCATGTTGGGAAACAAAAAGTCTGAAATCATTGGGAGACAGAGCTGTGCAGCTCTTGAATACTGAGGGTGGCTCCACTATCGAAACGTTGTCCTGATTGCATTAATATTACTCAAAGTCGAGCATCTCAAACATACAAGTACAAGATAAAAGGTTAGACCAACAAAAACAGCTCTCAATAAACCGCCTCAGAGAGTATGATAAAACAAAAACCTGATATGAGATGATGCCACTCAAAGGAAAGCTGAGTGAACGACATGACAGTCTAACACAAAGGAGATGCTGACATGTTGACAGACTATTTAGTGTACGTGTGTGTGAGAGCGATCTCCCTCTGTACCAAGGGAGGCGTGATGGGAGAGAAATAGCTAATCAAAGAATTGCTGCTGTTGCAGTACCATGTTGCACCACTGCAATCCTGCCCTGTGAGGGAAATATATCAAGCAGGCAGTTCATTACCAGGAGTGCTTGGCTTCTGTACCAGAGAGTCTCACTCTCATGTAAGAATATCGATTCCCCAACCAACCAATGCCTGCAGGGGGGTAAACCCCATCTTGTTGGTTCCTGCATTTTATTATTTCAACCTGATCTATTGATACTGTCAGGAGTTTTTTGTCTGCAGGTTTATGTTCATGTGTAAACGCACAAATGTTTGTGTGTGTGTGACTGGATAGCTACTTATCAGATTTTATTGTTTCACTTAAACTTTGACATGTAAAGTATGTCAAAAAGCATATTGCTCAGATTTGGGGTGTATATTGAAGCACCATGCAGGGTTCAAATTAACATATTTGACATTCAGTGTAAGAACAACATAGAGGCAGGGGCTGTCACACACAGTAAAAAATAGAAGGTTATTACTTAGCAGAATTATATCCATGTGTACATGTATAAACTGTAACTACAGGATGACTGCAGATGAGAGGCTGTTATTGTGCTTGAGTTAATTCTGTTTAACAGTTCCTCGTAAAGTGATAAATATTGCATTTCTGAACATTTTGGACAGCTTGTATTTCTAATTATTTGTTTAACCAGTTAAAAAAAACAATGGCTTGAATACAACCATAGGCGTTGTAATTAAAGGGATATTCTGGCACAAAAGTAATTTAGGGTCAAACACACCATAACACCAAGTTAGACACCCCCTCGAGAGATGAATGTTGCCGACCGCTTGTTTCTCTAGTTACACCAACTTTAGTAACGGCCACACGATAGCAATACACAGCGGTCCGAGAAGCCATAAACAAACCTCAACCAAAAAGCCACTCTATAGCCACAAATAATGCTCAGAACAGCACCTAACTTCATCAGCAGTACATATAGGGTCCTATCCACAGCACTAGCCAGCAAACATCTTTTTAGCTTTGCCTGATTTCTTTAGCAAAGAGACTAAACACAACTCACGTACTCTCCTCCAGCAGCCGCTTGTTTGTAGCGAGACCTTGGGCCAGTCCATTACAGACCCCAGCGGGGTGCCTCAGCTCAAGGAAGAACATTTATGATCATTTCTTTATCATTTCCTTGAAGTAATTATCACCATATTAATCATTTTGCACTGCAGACACGGTAGTTCTTTTGCCTTGGCGTCTCGGTCTGACTGCATTTCCATGAAGAAATGATCATAAATGTTCTTCCTTGAGCTGTGTCACCCCACATCAGTCTGTAATGGACTGACCTGAGGTCTCTCTACAAACAAGCTGCTGCTGGAGGAGAGTAGATGAGACCAGCTAAACCAAGTACTCATGTAAATATTAATATAAAGTAACACAATATCATTGTAAAATAATAGCCACAGGAGTCATTTTTAAGTTTCCCACTTATTTTTTTTAACAAGTTGAAACTTCGCTATTTCAAACTGGATGCTGGACCTTCCCTAAATTGTTGGTCTGAGTTACAACAGGCTAATGCTCTGCCTGTTGTCGTATTTCATTAAAACCCACTCATCAGTATACCATTGACTGTATTGTACACTGACATAGACTGCATGCCAGTACTTTGATGCGTAACACAAACACTTAAAGATAGATATGGTGGTTCTTCGTCGATTTATCCCTCAAAATAAAAAAGTAAAACTGAGATGTTTGTGGTCAGTGTAGGCATGATGCATTGCACCAATAATATTTCAAAAACACTTTAAAAACATGTTTGTGTGTGCAGTTACACCCATGCCACCACTGCATAAGTCAAGGCAAGGTGCTGTGAAATATGTGGGCATGCCCCTGTCATCAGGGGTATATAGGGTCCACGTGGAATTGCATTTTGGCCGGCTATTTCTTTGAAAGATGATAAACATGTTGGGAAAGATAGTGAATTTAGAACACAGTCATTGGCCACTGGAAGGATTTATCTCAGCAGTCCATATCTATCTCATCAGACTGAGCGGTCAGTTATGGATAGTCTCTGGAGAAGACAGATTAGCCCGCTCATTAATGCATTCAGCCTCTCAGTGACGGACAGGAAGGTGAGGCCGCTCCCAGAGTTCTGTCCAATATGTCATACAGCGGGACTGAGGAAGATAAACTATCTAGCGTGACACCTGCAGATAGAGCAGGGCTTAATGTGACCTCCTGAATGTACTCCGCGGTGACATTTTTTACAGCTCAGTAGGGGTTATAAACCACATCTGTCGTGTGGTGCTGCCCCACTAATCTTTATAGGATTAATTGGTCTAGGCCATCTCGGATTCACCCAGAAGTCTGATTTACAGGTGGCCTTCTCCTCAGGTCCACAGTCAATGGGCTTGGCTGGTGGTTTTAGCCAACTAAGACAGTTTTAAAGTGGACTTAAAGTTGAAAGAGTTTTCCAAGTTTTATGTCAAAAGTAAGAACTTGAACATGTGGCATTTATATGATCCTCTGGTAACAGGGTGAGTTTGTGTCAGATTGTTGAATGTGTGTTTATGTATTTTCAATGCATATGCGGGGCCTTTTTTATCGGCAGGTTTCAGTTTGTCTCAATGTGCAAGTCTACCTGAAAGTTTCAACAAAGCACACCTTCTCATTTCTTTGTGTTAACTGTTACAACTGACCTCATTCATCACTGTGAGGTCTCCTGCATAAGCACTATTTACTGACATGCTTTCTCACAATCACAGCTGACTGGAATTGATTCTTTCCGCTCTAGATGAAATCTTAATGTGCTTGGAGAGGTGTGTCTAGGACAAGAGCAGGGTCAAAACAAAACCATGTAAACTCTGTCCACCTTTCTCTGCTACTTTCGTTGAAAGAGTTAGCGGTGAACAAAAGGAAGCTGATAACAATCACCTCCTGTGGAATTTGGCAAAAATTCTCACCACCTTTGTTCATCCTTTTTGGTTTCACTGGAGGATTTTTCACTTGGTGTATGTCTGTAGGAAGTCTGTTTACAGTCTATGGTATGAAGCAAACACTAGCTAGCCATTTGCTATCATATCAAAAGTCTAACAAAGCTCATGCTGGCAACTTGCATAACAAAAAGAGATGACCTGTGGACACAAGACTGAGAGTGAGTTTAAACATCAACTAAAATTAGCCAAGATAAACACAGACTTAAATTAGACCAAAACAAAAACTGAGTTCCTCTGGCTGAATCTTGACCATAGACTGTATATACTATGGACAACTTGGTTCCGCCTTTTGCCAGTATACAGATTTGAAGCTAAAAGCTCTCGGAAATTCATGAACCCCTAATAACTTTTAAAGATGACGTTGTAAAGAAAAAAGAGGATTTGAGCACAAACCAGTCTTACAATAACTACATGCCAACATCACAAGTAGGGGTGAGAAAAATTTATACATTGTGTAATAAATTCCTAAAGTTTGTCCACAGCCCCATAAGGATGGCTGGCGGAGGCAGGACTTTTGACCTATACCGCAGCACGTCACCAGAGGGTGCTGTTCTAGGAGTGCCTTCATCCAGTGAGGAGGCAGACGTTGTCCATTCTACATACAGTCTATGATCTTGACTGAAACACTCAAAAGAGTCAAATCGGACTGAAATCCACCACTATATTCTGAAAATTACTGCGTCACTGCATCATAAGAATTGTGACTGCCTCTATAAGATCTAAAAGATTTCAATCCTCAATGTCACAGCGTGGTCACTTTTGACACCATTGGATTTACAGTATTCAATTTCATATTCTCAGTTACATTGTCTTCACATACGGTGTATGTGTATGAATCATGGTAGTATGAAAAGTCTGACACATTGAGGCAGAAAGTTTTCATGATTCTAAATAATAAAGAATATATTACAAAACAAAAAAATATCTGCTGCTGTGTCACAAAATGTTAGCAATTGTCATGCAAGTCAATTTTGGAAAATAACAGATAAATCACTTGATTTTTAAGCATTATGTTGTAGATTTTCCTTGAGCCAGACCAGTGGAGAAACAAAAAATTGTGAGCTACAGATTGATGATGCAGAATTAGATTATTGGTTTATGTTTATGCACAAAAACAGACAAGAAGCATTTTCCTAAATTGAAGAGATGTTCCATTTCTAAGCATTAAGATAACCTTCCATGAATATTAGTAGCAAGTAATGTTAAGATCATATCAAACTTCAAATAACATTATCACAAAAACTGAGAGTCTTTATTCAGATTTTGATGTTATTTCCTTGATTGAAATTTATTGCAGTAATATTCCCTTTTAGGAGGGATGTCTGTTAGCCTGGCTGTCTGTTACAATAATACACTCCACACAGTTCTCTTCTGTTTGTTTCCTCTCTGCCATTGAAATTGCCGCATTAAATATCCTCATACTTCTATCAACCTCCTGAAATAATTTGAGTAACCCAAGAGGATAGAGAGGAGATGTTGGTCATGGCTGAAAGATACAGTAATTATGATGGAGTGAAACTGACAGTGCATCTCCGATGGTATTGGACTTTGGGCCCTAAACTCCTCTCCAGGGGCTCATAGTGGGGTCAAAGCAGTGTGGATTGAATCAATGCCTATCAGCGCTGGACATGGAAATGATCCACCTGGGCCTGACCAGCGCTGGGAGATGGGTAATACACCACAGTTAGAGGGGGTCCTGGTGGGAGGATGCATCTTTACAAAAGGAGAACTTAATTGAGTCTGCTGTAAGATGAGATGGGAAACATGTTACCCACCAGTTCAACAAATTTAGACTTAATTTAGTCTTATCCAGCATAGATGTCCCAAAAGCGTATTTTGTCAAAAATCTATGAAGTGGCAAATCTCAAACATTGCATCCCCTTAAAAATAGCGGTTCAGTCATTGAGAGTACCTGGAAACTTTACTATAAGACCAAATTTTGTGTGATTCATGTCTCTGACCTGTATGTGACTGCAGCTGTCATGAGGCTGCTAGGTTCTGCTTGGCGAACTGGATACAGTATCTTGGGTTAATGACATCAGTACATTTGGTCAGCGTTATGTCTCTGTGATTCAATTCTGTGTCTGTGTTACCATCAAAGCAACTCCCCAGAGAGAGAGATGGAGAGGATGAAGCCTCTCTGTCATCCAGGGTACTCAGGGGACCGCAGAGGGCCTCATCATCGCACAGAGCTCATCATGGTGGGCTGGGCTCAGATGGCGATGTGACTGATTGCCGAGTGTCTGTCTGGACTGGCTGCTAATGATGCTGGGTAGAGATAATCAACTAACCACAGGCAGCCTGGCTGGTAGTTACTCCAAAATAAGTGAAACAAATTAGATGAGAGGCTATGTTGTCCACTTGTAAATCCAACCATTAATCAATCCACAAAGAGGTAACACTCCCAGGTGAAGAGGATAGTTTTTTTACCTACAGAGCTGTACTCCAACAGCTGCTTCCTATCTTGTGGTTGTCTTGCATATTTCTCTAGAAGCTGCTATCATAAATCATGAGGTGATATAGGAAATCGAACTTCAGGTTGTCTCTGTCAAAGATGCATGTACTTACTAACCTGTCAGTCAGTAACAGCTAAATATTGTATCAAATATCCAATGTGCCCTTCCAGAGCTTCACCATAACAAATAAAATAATTTAGTGAGAAAAGAAAGATTTAAAATTTGACAGAGTCTGCCTTTTGTGCAAAGGGATAATTTTGTGGTTTTGTAGTAGTTTTGTCGGCATCTTACCCTCCAAAATGGATAACTCTGGAGGGTAAGATGCCATTTACTTTTTGTATGAGGCTCAGAAGAGAAAGATGACACTACTCACATGCTTGTTAGTTAAATGTAAAGCCATAGTCAGTCATTCTATGATTTAAAATCAAGCCTTGAATCCATTTCAGTCTGCTGTGCCACTGTGAGGAGCACCTGGGACACTGGTGTTAGCGACACTAGCTGATTTTGATGTTAGTTAGTCTTAAGAAAATAGTTGTATGTGTCGTGCCCTTGAGTGTTAATTAGACATTTGAGTTATCTAATTGATTACAGGATGATTTATTCCTTCGATGTGGCTTCATATGGCTCCAATATCCTTTTGTTTGTGTGACATGAAGACATTTGTCTAATAGAGGGTTCAGTGATTCATTAGACTGAAGTCTTTGTTCCATGAAATGTGACATTAAATCCTGAGCTTAATGATCAAGTGATGTGATGATGGTATGAATGAAAGACTCTGTCCTCAGCATTAAACCAGAGGAAGAGATGAGGGGAAACGTCCTTGCTTTGATGAGATGTATAATGCTATCCTAGCATAAGTGCTAATTCCAAAAATGCAGTAAATCCATTTACAGTGTGATATCTGTTATAGGGGACAACTCAAGGAAAAGTTTTACAGCACCTCAGGCTTATGGGAACATATCATCGTATGGGCTCAACATCCGTTCATCCTGCTATGCAGATAACTACTCATAAAGTTTCTTGTATTCAAGCTCTACTTCACTAAGTGCCCCAAATCTTTGCTTTCCTACTGCAGAAAGTAGCTTGACCTCTCTAAAAAGTGAGTGTTGTCGAGTCTGACTTCGTTCCCTCTGACTGTTGGCCTGGTGAGCTCTACAGAGAGGTTCCTGACTGGTCCACAGGTAGAGGTAAATTGGATGTGTCACAGCTCTCAGGAATCCAGATGGTATGTTGCACCCCTTGAGACCCTCTCCTTCTTGCAGCCTCCACAGTGAACATAATCATTGGTGGAAAATGTTATCTGCCACATACAGCTTCTCAGCACAGACGCCATATGTCCCCACCTTTTCTCTTTGTTTGATACCACTCCCTGTTCTCCACACCTTGACTGCACCCACAGGACTTGACGGGAAGACACAAGGACAGGTAGACAAGTAGAGGGCAACTTACAAACTTTCTTGCTTCAAAGTCACAGTTCTTCTCACATAACATGAGATTTACAAAGTCATTTAGCTGTCTTGAGCTCGGTCAGAGTGAAAAAACAAGCTTGATTTTTTGCAAATGATAGACACCAAAACCTGTTAACAGCAGTGCACAAAACCTGCAGAGGAGCGTATTTATTTTAGGTTTGGGCCAGAATTGTCTCGTATGGGACGCCACTTGTCCTGTATATTGACAGCATTGACCCTTCCATTGGCAATGCCATGGTGACGTCAAAGTATTAGCTGAAGGTAAAAGAGAAATAAACTGGAGTAACACAAAAATCACCACAAGATGTGATAGGGGTCATGGGAGCTATGAAAGTGGTCTTATGTTGTTGAGTGCCAGAATACAAGAAATAACAGTAATATCTACAAACTACAATTCTGCCATATACCAGCTGCCAGTGTTCATCAACAAAAGTAAAGATAACTGTGGCTAAATGCGACAAAAGGACGGGATGGAGGTGATCATCAAACATGCGTGCGTGTGCACATTTCATGTAGCTAGTTCATGTTTAATCTTATATAAATGAATGACGTTGCGTGTAATCACCCTCCATGTACTACTGCAGGATGTAGTGTGTAGTATAAAGTATGTACTGTATACTGTGCTTGCTAGTAGTACATGGTAAGACTGTTCTGTTGCTTTTTTTTGTACTGTTGGGCGCAACTACCCCTTTTCTGCTCCATCAAGCGGCTGATAGTAAATCACAACAGTGTAGCATCCATGCACATTTTTTTTTCAAGTTAAGAAACAAAAAAATGTCAAGTTAGGACAGGACAGCAGTAACTGAACAGAGGTTCTCTGCACTTCATGCCAACAGGACTTCTCCAGTAAGTCATGCAGGTGAGCATGATCTGAAACAGAATGGCTATGCTAGTGAAAGGTACATGAACGATTAGTGCAATTTTTGGGTGAGAATGGTTTTTGAAAATGACAGATTCTGCTGCGAGAGAGAGGAGGATTTGTAGATCAACACCCTCTGCTTGGATGCAGAGGTCTCCAGATCAGAATCCCAGTATTTGCGGGTAAAGCTGAGGGACTTTACACTTACTTATACGCAGCAAAAATAAGCTTTGCCTTGATAAAGTCGATAATGTATTTGAGGTTTGATCTGCAGTTTAAATGCGGTGCCTGCTGAGCTGTGCGTTGATAAAATAAGTGTATGCTTCGCTGTCAGCACTTCAATCATGGCTCTGGCTCATAGGGAATAAATGCTAATCTCTGCCTGCATATGCCTCCATCTCAGGCGAGTTGCCCAGGGCCAGGCACGATATGATTTAGATGATATTTGTCCTCTTAGCTAATTGATTTGAGCAGGGTCTCTTTTCCCCTGTTGCCAGCCTGTCAAGGCCTCTCACTGGCCTTGTACACTGTATTAGCATTATGAGGGTTAGATTGGCAATGGCGTGCTCATTTACGAGAGCCCTTCCACCAGCCCATCTTGCCTCTTGCCAGAGCAGCAGTGCCCCAGAAAGTAAACAGACTTTGGCTCGAATGTGATTAAGCTGCAGTTTACTTGGTTAGACCACATGAGAAACCACAGATCCCACTGAGCAGAGATACCCCACAGATAACCCTTATCAAATTAGATTGGCACAACACAGTCCATTTATCCATTACACTGTAAAACTTATGAAATATACATGACTTTGCAAGGCGCAAGAGCAGCTATTAAACTATTTTTCTGTGCACTTGTACATGCTTTCCTCCTTCCCCATTAAGTATTTCTTTAAAAGGTCTCGTCTCAGACCTTTACTCTGTATCAACATGTGTCAGACCAGAGCTTTACTCCATATCAGTGTCACGGCTTAAATATGAAGTTATGTTTGTCATTTTGTTTAAAAGCTGCCGGGTATGAATAACACTGAACCAGCACACAGCATGAATATTAAGATGTACTACATGATAAATAATAAAAGAATTTTCAGAGTCATATTTTTCTGCTCTTATTGTTACTGCTTTTGTCGTGCCAAAACCGATTCTCATCACAGGTTGTCAAATACTGACGCACTGTCATATTACTTTGGCATCTGATGCACAAGGTATCTTTTACATCTCACTGGACCACCAAGGCAGTGTTGATTAAGTTTAAAAAAAAAAACACATGCATGTGGGTCAGTTCCCTTTGCATCTAACACATTGTTTATATGAAACAAGTTTGGTTTAAGTAGATAAAACTACGTGGTCAAGAATCGGAAAAAACAGCTGTCTTTGGTGATACTGCCCTTACCACAGTGCCAAGCAGGATATTCTAGTCTTTGTGCAATAAAACTCATCTAATTTGTCAATGAAAGGTTGTGTATGGCAGTAAGTTAGAAGCCCAATCTAGACCCTGAGGGATACCTTTTGAATCAGTCAGTTTGTTTACATGCACTGTTAAGTCAAGCTTTAAAACATGCTGAATTTTAGGGGCTTTGAGTGAAATTATCTGCAAAAAAAGAGTTAATGTGGGGCACTCACCCAGAAGTTGATGCATTTAGAACACCACTGGTAAAAAAAAAAAGGAGGAAGAAAATTTATCTTGTTACATATTGTATGTGGCTAATGGCTGTTGCTGGAGTGGGGCAAGCCAGAAGATGCGTGTTTTTTTTATTTTTCTGTTAAAGTATTATTGTAGTCAGGAAAACTGCACAAGCAGGGCTTTGCTGGATAGAAGAGCAAATTGGCTATAATAACAACAAGTAATGTTTATGCCAGCATGTAAATGTTTCACTGTTTCACTGAAAATGCAGTCTTAATTTTAAAAAATAAAAAATGAATGAAATAAAATAATAGAATCAGTCAATAGGCTCACTATGATCAACATATCGTGATAGTTATGCACTGTGCCTTCAGTGTAGCACCTGTTTGTGTATCTCTTCGAACTTGACTCCATTTAAAGCTCTTATTCATTGGCACTGAAGTAAAGGGACAGCTACACCACTGTTCAAGGTGACATTTGCTCTTGATTCGGTACATTTGAAAGTAACGGCTCCCTCTGGGCTCATCAGAGGAATAGTGAGGTCGAGTAAGACCCATGGTAATGACAAGTGTCCTTTTTATGTGATAATGATTGAAATGACACTGGGGCCAAAAAAAAAAACTAGTGAAACCAGTTTTTTGCCGTGTTATGGCAGTGATACAGTAATCCTCAAAATTTTATTCACTCATTTTTTGTTTTGTTTCTTGTCAACCGAAACATTGATCATCAGTGTTTACCTGTAGTTCTCCTCTCAGTTTGGTACAGAATCCCACATCGCCCACTGTCTCATCTTATCTGTATTTCAGTTCATTTTCTAAAAGGTTTTCTGGGTGCAGAGAATTTGCAGGGTACTGAGAGAACCACAAAGCCTGTCATTATCTACTGCAGGCTGATTTCTCAAGATGCTTGTCAATTTTAGGAAAAAAACCTCCTATTACACATTGGAAAGAAGTGTGAAGGGCTGTGCACAGGTGTTCATTTCTGGTGCAATCACTCCTGCCATAAAAAATGTTGACCGATAAGACCGAGCCTGATACTGTTGGGCCATGCTCATACAGTATGTGTATGGTTTATATGAAGATTTTATTTTGGATACTGATAAACTGGGGACGCAATACTGTGTTTATGATTCGTATTTACAGCCACCTGTCCGACACAAATGCACAACTCTTCTGATGTACTCTAACTCCAGTCGGATAAAAATATAACTTCACAGTCAACAAATATTAAAAAAATAAAACTGCAATCCATTACTGACAAAACACACCACAGAACAGGAACTTAAAGTATCTTGGTCAATAAGAACTTTAACAGCAAATACACTGAAAGGATTGGCCACAAAAATTGAGTTCGCTTAGCTTTTGATTATTGCTGAAATTGCATTCTGATTTACTCTCATGCAATCGTAACAACAAGCAACAAAAATACAAACAGGCTTGCTGAAAGGCTCGACTGATAAACCACACGGGCTCAGTGAAGATTTTTGGCAGCTTCTAGTTCTGAGAAGATTGTCTGTAAATAACTTGCTATCCCTCTTAGGTGTTCGGATGATGCAATGACATTTGACACACTCACTATATAGGCCCCGTGTCCTGGGTGTGAACCGTTTTCTCTGTCTCTCCTCAATTACTCACTGTTCCCTTGAAGAAAATTGACTATCGCTCCTTGTTGGTGGGAATGGTGCAGTCTCCTCTGACAAACGACCCTGCTGTATGTGGTGAATCAGCAGCAGGGCTGGGTGAGGAATGGCTTCAGGTATCCAAAGCTAAACATCTAAACACCTCTAGAGCCAGACACAAGACAGAGGTCTAACACCACAGTACCTCTGGTGCTTGTTGTTTAAAACACCTCTTGCTCGCTAACGCTGTTGATAAGGACAGTTTTAGTGAACCGAGAAGCTGACTTTATCTGCAAATAGACTCTGCTGGGAAGTGGAGCTTTTAGGGCAGGAACTATCAGTTGGTTCAATTTCACTTCTGCTGTGCTGTTAATTTTATGTAACTACCGTTCATAGACAGGCCAGTCGGTGTAAAGTTTAATAGGGATCGTGCTATCGGTTATGCACACACAACAATTTGTAATAGAGTGTCCAATTGGGATGACAGAAATAAAACATGCAGGCATTTACATCTTAAAATGAAGTTCAGCAAAAAGAAAGGTAGTAAAGCCTTCATGCCTCACCCTTTGACTTTAACCCGGGGGTTGTTCATAAAGAAATAATAAAGGCTGTGAATGGTGGGAGATGATTTGCTCTTGCTGTCTGGGATGGAATGAGGAGACAAGGCAGGGTTTTAATTAACTTTTGGTCTGGTGCAGATGGAGGGCAGAAGAGCAGGATAAATCACAGAGGACAACAGCAATCTGCCTCTTTATTAGTGCGTACATAAGCCCGCTGTGACAAACGACACGTCAGCTGCTCAATCATAAAACAAGGCTGAGAAGACAATCAGGATTCAACCAAAGATGTTTGTTTTAGTTTCTTCTGACCTTTTGAAGAGCTTTGTGCCTGTGATCCTTGAAGAATAGGTCACCTATTTCTATATATATGAGCCTAGAATATATTAACTGCAATTTAAGCACTGAGGTCTATGATGCATTCCTCATTTGACATGTCCTCTCATTCATTTAACATGCCCCTCTCTTCGCTAAAATGGATGTGGCACTATATGTGCAATCAATAACAAACCGTCTACAGTATCTTCTACATTGAAGGGCCATCTATTTTACACATGTGAAAAACAACATGACATATTAGTGCACTGTGTGTTTTCATTAATGACTGGTCAGGATTAAAGAGGGCGAACTCTGGTGTAATTAATAAGTCCATCGGTGACAACTTTTATCTCACAGAGTAACACACTGGGAGGTCTAATTGCATTTGGTGAAGGGTTTTACAGCTGCTGTCTTCAATAACATGACACGGCAACAGTAAAAACATGTTGAGGGTAAGTGCCTCAATACAGCCTCATCAATAAGCGAGCGTTGCAGCATAATTACAAACCAAGAATGTATACTAAGTGATTTGACCTGTTGTGAGGTCCACGTAGGTGGAGAAGGCACTAAAACACAAAAAGGCTGATTATAGGATTTTGATACACAAGTGTCTCATCTATTCTTAAGTATCTAGCCTACCTTTATTTTCTTGTGCTTTCTTTCGGTGCAATTCTGTTATTGTCCTGGCCTTTCAAATCTCACCTTTTCAGCTTAATAATATCCCTCTGTAGGGTCAGAATGAAAAAGGTCAACCACATTTTGTGTCTTCCACTTACTCTTAATAATTCTACACCACCACCCTTTGGTCTCCTTACCAACTAAAAATGATTACAATGTTTGCTAGACTGGAACCTTAACCTTTCTCATGGAAACATTACATCAACAAGTCCTTGACCTCACTGCGCATTCATTGAGTCCAAGTAGTTTGTTGGAGTTTATTGCATGCATTTGTAATATTCTACAGCCAACTCAAGACTTTCTCAACTCACATGTGGATGAGTATACTGTAATATACTGTAATATACTTGGTTGAGTGTGTCTTTTGTTTCATAGGTAATCCTTGACCACCACTCACTGTAGTCTGTGTTAGGTTTGCACACATAATATAAGTTTGGGCAACAGTGTCAAGCACCCCCACCCTCTACATTCATGGTCCCTTTATATGGCAAATCAATACATTGTTGCTCAGCATTGACACCGTTAAGTCCAAAATACCTAGCCTGAGAGCTAAAGCACAGTGGCGAGTAACTTCAACCTACTGATCAGGTTTAACTACATGTTCATACCTCCTCTCTTTCTGCTGAAATGTGATTAAGTTATGATACAGTTGGCGCATGTGTATATATTTATTTTTTTATTCATAAATAACACAGTGGAATAGCAAAATGTTACTCTCTCAGGCTTCATTTTCTTGGAACTGAAATATAAGGTTTACCTCTAAAAGTCACAACCGGATTTATCAACATGATACTATCAGATATGAGTCACTGCAGAGCTGCTTGTAGTTTAAGTGAATTACCTTTGCAAAATTCTCATTTAGATGGGGAAAATGAAAGAAGTGTAGCCCTATTGCAAAGGAAACCTTAGGGAAGCATAATCATAGGTGACAGGAAAGCATTATTCTGGGCCAGTTTGCTACTATCAAATCTCTTCTGATACAGCCCGCTCACGAAAGGCACTGCTTTTAAAATGTGCTTTTAAGGTTTGTTGTCCTTCCCCTCAAATCACACTATCTATCTAATTCAATTCATCGACTAAAATAAATGTTTCCTGAAGGGTTACTGCCAGGTTCTTGGTATTCAACCTTTTTGGCTTTCAACCTGAAAGTCAAAATAAAACCAAGCTCTAATTTCCCAGAGACATTCATCAAAGAATAGTCTTTGGGCAAACATTGTAAAGCACTGACACTTTCACTGTCTGTTTCAATGTCCAAGTTATGCTAACATCTGTGAAATATAGGTATAAAAATATTTTCACCACAGTGCATTTTGATGTGTTGTGACGCTACAACCCCAGCAGCAAAATGTGGACAGACACCATCCCCTAGTGGGCATCAGGTAATACTACAGACTTCATTTCACGTAGAATAAGACTGTCAATAACTGGTTGCTATTTGGAAATAAAAATGCTACTTTCCTGATTTCTTGTGGACAGAATAGTTTTAACAACCAACCATACGTCAGATAGAAAGAAAATTTCGTCTGATATCTATCAAAGGAAGAGCATGTGATGTTGTATTCTCACAAATCCGAAGGCTGAGTTTAATAGCGTGGCAAAGAAGAATTTGGGAATGAATGTACTTCATATCACATAGTCCACACAACAATAATTATACCAGCTATGATAGGGCATGATCCTTGCCGTGCTTCCCAAAATGTATGATTTTTTATGAACAGATATGACATTAATTAGATTTATTAAATAATATCACCATCAAAAAATAAAGACAGAAAAAAAAATTGACTTAACTTTGATTCTGAAAAGGTTTTAAGGTTATTGCCTGTACACACGTCAGACAGACCACTGTGCTTGAATCATTACAACATGCCATGATGTTTGCATGTGTTACTGGTGTACACTTAGATTCATAATTATTAAAAAGTACAGCAAAGCCCTGTATTTAAGTTGCAACAGTCAATTTTCCCAATATTTTCCATATTAAGACTCGACATTAAAAGCATAATTGTTGAAAAATATCATTAATAACTTCTACTGAGGACAGCTTTAGACAGAGACACAGCAAAAACTATGATTTTCATGTTAACACCATCCTAAAGATGCTGTAAAGAACTCAAGCTGCACGCCAATATTGGCAATGTTCCTTGGCAAAAATAAAACTAAAATAAAGTAATAAAATTTATCATGCTTTTGCTGATATCTAGATTAATTACCCACAGTGACCCTGGAAACTTAACAGATAGAAGAGGAAGATGAGGAGCATGATGATGTCTTCTGTAGTGTACATAAAACTCTTCACTTGACGCCTACCAGACACCTGGCAGCAAGTTCAGACATTGACAGTAACTATAAAATAATTTTCAATCTTTGTGTTCATTCAATTTTGGTCCTTTGTTGCTCATACACAAGCATCATAAGTTATCTAAGTCCTAGAACACTTTCGCCAGGTGATTTTCACCCGACCAAACATGTTTATGTGATTTTCATTATGTTGCTTTTGTCTGAGTATCATGGGTCTCTGGGTAGCTTCAGCATTGCTTTTGACATCTTTGAGGGCATATTTGTTTTCCTGATCCAAAACCTGCTTTTTCCTACAGGCACGTGTCGGGGTGATTTTCACTCACCAATAGTGATAAGAATAAGAAGAACTTTATTAATCCCCAAAGGGAATTTCAATTGTCTGTTGTCTCACTTGATATGTCTCTAAAAGTTATCTACTATTTACACAAGAGTTATAAAGTCTGATGGCTGTGGGCACAAAAGATCTTCTCTTACTGTCCTGCAGCGAAGAGAGAGGAGCCATCCACCGCCATTGGCCCTTTGGTCCATCAAAGTGTTGTGAAGTGGGTGATCCATGTTCTTTAGAATAGTCTCCACCTTCCTCATAGTAGATCTCTCCACCACATCCTCCACTAAGTCCAGCTTGAGTCCAACCACAGAGCCAGCCTTTTTCACCAGTTTGTTCAGTTTGTTAGGGTGGATTGGATAGCTGCATATGTAGAGAATCAGGTCAGTTAGAGTGGTCCTGAAATTTGCACGCTATCTTTATTTAGCACAGTGGTTATGAATAACTATCACAAAGTATTGATTTTAAAGGGAATTCATATGGTGATAAGAAATATTTTGATCAGCGGGTCAATTTTACTCACTCAAAATATGCCAAATTGGTTCTCTCTCCTGCAGCTGTTATTGTGCCAAGGACCCTGAGTGTTCACCAGGGAAGACTTACATGCCCCAGGAATGGGTGGAAAAGAAACTAAGTTGATGAATGCCTAGTTATAGTTATTTTGTTGCATTTTTATATGGTCCCCCATGGCATTTTTTTCCCTCCCTCTGGACATTGCATATTACAACATACAACAACATATTAAGGGGAGAAATGTATTCAAGTAAAATGACTGCAAAATTATTATTTTTTTAATTTCACAAATATTTTTTTTTTGTTAAACTTTGTGAGTGCTTCAAAAAAATATGCACTGTTATTAAACTTTGTTTTTTATTTTCGCTCAAATAAATCGACGACGCGCTGAATGCTGGGATTCTGCGGGAACGGTTAGATCGCAAAACGCCATCTTTAAACCCCACAAGAGAGGCCAGAGCTACAGTTGAATACCGGGATGAAAAACCTTCACCAGACCGCGGAATATAAGTTCACATCATGGGGCTGGCATGGTTGCTCCCCTGTTAAATAACTCAAAGAGGAACTGTACGATGGGACTTTAAGGAGATGGTCAGAGGGCAGCGGGAGAGCATTAAGCTGTTGTTGTCATAGACAGACAATAACAATAGACGGAAAGACAACAACAACGGAGCAGCGGGCTAACTCCGCTAGCTAGCTAGCTTCTGACTGACTGAGTGAGCGCTGCGCTGTTTTCAAATGCGAACTGAGAGCTAACTCACCTTAGCTACTTCAGCAGCAAATCTGCGCCCAAATTCGACTAGACGCTGGTGAAGCCTGGCAGTGGATATCCAGCAGCTTTCACCCGAGCTGCTCGCTACCTCTGTGCTACTTTTAGGATTAATTTAGTGTTTTTTTAGCATTGCGTAGGGGCACTAGTTAGCTGAAAGCTAAGTCCTGACTTCTCCCCCTCCCCAGCGGCCCGGCCGGAGATGCGTGGAAGATGTCGGTTTCGGGGCTGAAGGCCGAACTGAAGTTTTTGGAGTCCATTTTTGATCCAAACCACGAACGCTTTAGGATCATTGACTGGAAACCCGACGAGCTGAGCTGTCAATTTAATGTGACCGGAGAAAAGCTGTTAATAATCCACTGTAACATCACGGTGAGGAAACAGATTTATACACTGCTCTCTGTTAGCGAGCTCAAGTTAGCTCCCTGCTAGCTTGTTAGTAGGATACCTTTTTAACTGTATAATCTGATGCTATGCGGGACAGGCAGTGCGTAGTATCATAAACTGATGTCAATGAGGGTTTAGTTGTGTTCTTAGGATTAATTTTTGTCTGACAGTTTGTATTTAACAGTTACGCTTTTGACAAGGAATCATTGCTAAAGGCTAATGCTGCACCCTTCACCGTCAACCCCAGTTCTACGTTGTTTACTGACTCCGTGTTAAACCCTGCGACACACAACTGTGTCAAATGACATAATGGTTTGTCCTGTTTTTTTTTTCTTCTTCTTCTTCTGTGCTTTTACTGTATTTAGGAATCTTATCCATCTACGCCGCCAATATGGTTTGTGGACTCTGATGACCCGAGCTTGGCGCAAGTTTTGGAGAGGTTGGAAGATGTGAGAAAAGGAAGCACTCTGGTATTTATCCCGACTTTTTTTTTTTTTTTTAATATTTTTTAATGTGTGTCACGGAGGAAAAACGTGACCATGTTTGTACTTTACGTGAGATTTTGCTGACATTCTCTCGGCCTACCATCTAACACTCTGCCTGCAGGACAGATCCTCTCTTTCATTGCAGCAATGAACTCCACAAAAATGAACAAGCAAACAGATCTAACACACTGCTGAATCATCTGTTGAGTATCTTGCTGTTGAAAATAAGGTGGACTTCACCACTGACAAAAAGCCAGGTCCTATCTTTAGATTCAAAGGTGTTCCTAATATTTTGGTCCTTTTGTGTTCATTTAAGAAATGGACAAAATATAAGGAACCCTTTTCAATATGCAAATTAAAATTTACTGCCATCAGTGGTAAATATAAAGCACAACAATCGCCTGTCTAACCATGTTAGTTAAAACTACACATTTAAATGCTTCCTCAAAGTAGAAGATGTGGTTGTGTTGGACTGAATCAGGTTGTCCAGGTGATCCTAATATCATGACTGGTTAGCGTATTACTGTTGTATGACTAGATGAAAAGACTATACTTAATGTTACTAAAGGGAATTGCTCTACCAGACAAGTAGTAAACATATCTAGTACACTGCTGAATCATCCGCTGAGTATCTTGCTGTTGATAATAAGGTGGACTTAACCACTGACAAAAAGCCAGGTCCTACCTTTAAATTCAAATGTGTTCCTAATATTTTGCCCCCTTTGTGTCAGTTTAAGAAATGGACAAAATATAAGGAACCCTTTTCAATATGCAAACTACAATCCGTGGTAAATATAAAGCACAACAATCGCCTGTCTAACATGTCAGTTAAAACTACACATTTAAATACAAAGATGTGGTTGTGTTGTCCTGAATCAGGTTGTCCAGGTGATCCTAATATCATGGCTGGTTAGTGTATTACTGTTGTATGACTAGATGAAAAGACTATACTTAATGTTACTTAAGGGAATTGCTCTGCTAGACAAGTAGTAACCTGGCTGCCTCTCAGCAGGAGCCTCCGCTTTGGGTTGTTGCACTGTGCCAGCTTGCAAAGTTGCACCTCATCAGGAAAAGGCTGATTATTTTGAGACAGAATATTTCGGTGTCATTATCGTGTTCTCAACTTCAAATATGTTGAACACTCAGATCACAAAGTTTAGGGTTTTTCTCATGAGTATTTCAGAGTTCTGAGTCTTTTTTCATGTATGTTTTGCATTAGAAATACAAGAGTTGACTTGTTTTTGTGTGGTTAGAGAGTTTACAAAAGTAGCATGTACTTTTTAAGTTTGCTTCAAGTGTCTTCTTGGTATGAAAGCATTAAAGAGACAGCTTGTATGCTCTCTATGAATGTGTGTCTTTGTACTTAGGGAATGGGATGAAGTTGTATTTCTAGCAAGTGAAGGCGGGCAGGTTTTCAACATACCAAAAGGCCATGTCATTAGATCATTGGGACAGCATTTGAGGTCAAAATGTGTGTGACAAGCAGGTTCTTATGCAATCCTTCGTGTGGCGTGACATCCTGAGCTTAGTTAGCCTACTTATTCATGCTGCACTGTTTGTAGGACACAAAATATGCTTTTTATAGAAGTGCTGTCAGTTTTTTTGGACAGAAAGGTTTCATTTGTAGGTGCTGTAAGTGAGTCAACAGTTTAGATGAAGATTAATGAAAATATTGTTTATGTTACAACTTACACAAAGGAGAACTTGTCCTCAGGTGGAAGATAAGATCATTTTCTCACCCTGTTTTTGATTTGCACCAAGTTTGCAAAGGCAGAATTAAACTCAATGCATCAAGCTTGAATATTATAACAACACTCAAAGATTATAAGGTTTTGTGTTGTTCCACTGCTGCAGCTTAACAGTCGTGCAACCACTGCCAGATGAATGATGTGTTTATATTCTTTGCCTTTGTCTTGAATTGCTACTCTTGCTGGTAGCAACCTATGATATTAAAACAATCATTTTAGCAATGTCCATACATGTTTTATACAATCTGCTCACACATTATTTATAATCAACTATTGTCTGCGCCTGTGTTGTGTGTTTATGTTTCTGCCACACGCCTGCCCTGTGGCATAACTATAAAACTCTTCTTTGTGCTTTGCCATTCCTAGCTTTTGCAGCAGTTGAAGAAACTCATATGTGACCTTTGTCGACTCTACAACCTTCCCCAACACCCAGATGTGGAGATGCTTGACCAACCCCTGCCTGCAGGCCCTGTAGGACAGGACCGAAAGGCAAGCAGTCTAGCTTAATCTTGTCAAAATCAACTCAATTTAAAGGAATATGCCATGTATTTGGATATAGATGTTTAATTATGGACACTTAAAACCATTTTTGCTTGGTAGTGAAATAGCCGCCTACATTACAGAGGGCCTTGGTGATTTATATCAAGTTGTTCCCTAGGCTAATCAATAGGCTCTTCCTGTGGTCATGGTCAAGAAAAGTTGGAAGATCAGCAAGTCCAATGAGCTCTGTCAGACCACTTAATTCAGCCTGACTTAAGGATTTGTGTGTGTGTGTGTGTGTGTGTGTAGCATGGGACAGAGGAGGTCACATCTGAAGAAGAGGAAGAGGAGGAGATGGGGGAGGTAAGTCATCAGCTCGAGTCTGAACAAACAGGTGTAGTAGATGTTAAGTAGCATCTTTGTCTTGTGGATGTTATGCATGCATTGTAATAACATGCTTGCATGGACTGTGATTTTGGAGATGGATCATTTATTGAAGAGAAAAAAGACAAGTTTTACATGTGCTTACTTACCTTGATCTGCTGAACAAGTTTGATCACATCTTTTGACTTGCCAAAGGCTTTGATCCATGTGCTGCATATTTATTTTAGCATGAACACCTGCATAATAGATCTATAAAAACTGTCTGAAATATAAAATCTAAACTAACAGGACATCGAGGATCTTGACCACTATGAAATGAAAGAAGAGGAGCCTGTAGATGGGAAGAAATCTGAGGATGATGGCATTGAGAAGGAGAATCTAGCCATCCTGGAGAAGATCCGAAAGAATCAGAGGCAGGACCACTTGAATGTAAGTGTTCATTCAGCTGAAGCACAGCATGGGACATAGAGGGCTTATTCTGTAGTTGATAGATTTTGTCAAAAGAAGAAACAAATTCACACACTCCGAGAAGATGTTAGAGCGTTCATACATGTATTTTGTTGGCTCTTGGTATTAATGGGATGTTTATACTTTTGACAAACTGACCTTACAATCCAAAGTGTGACTGTTTTCCTTATGTGTCTTCAGCTGTCTCTCTCTGTCTGTCACTCAAGGCAGCATAGACCTGTGTAAAGACTTGTTTTCTTTTGGGGAGGGCCCTCGGCTTTCTCATCATCCTGTTACATGGCTCAGCTGCAGGATTGAGTTGACTTATTACATGTGTTTGGAATAAAAACACTATATCCTAACAAAGGAGCCGTGATTCATGCTTTTCATACACATTCTGAAAGATTGTGAAAGTGTTAAGGCTTGATACAAAGCTTTATCTTTTATTATTGTGCATTTTAAGTACAGATGATGGGTGAATTGAAAAACACTTTTTTCAGTGTTTTCACTTATTTTTTGCTCTTATTGTTACAGTTGTGTTGTGTTTTACAGGGCGCTGTGTCTGGTTCAGTGCAAGCTTCTGACCGCCTGATGAAGGAGCTTAGAGAGATCTACAGGTCTCAGAGTTACAAGACAGGTATGCGCACTGAACAAAGGTCTGCTATTTGTTCCATATCGGAGTGAAAAGAATACTAGCATGTTTACCCACAACCCTCGCAAGCATTAGTCTGTGAAGTGATTCTTCCAGGACTTTTGCCTTCATTAGGTAGGAAAGCTGAAGAGAAACGGGGGGTTAAGAGCGGCAATAGATATTCAGCAAAGGTTTGTGGTGAGGAGTAGAGTCAGCAAAGCCATCCTCTCACCATCCTCCAATTTTTACCAATGAAGTCCACGAAATATAAAAATCCAGTCCTGTCGTTCATAGATCATACATGGAGTAATTGTATGCAGCCTATATCTATATAAATCCTGCAGTTTTGAAATATTACTGAAAAAAGGAGGTTTATAAGTGTGTTAAAGTGATGTGAACTGGCATAGTACTGACATTTAAGGTGATAACATTAAGTCATCATGCCACATCAACATCTAATGTGACATGATGAATGTCATGGAGGAATAAAATGAAATAATATGAAATTAAAGTGTATCATAAAGTTGTGTGTGTGCGTATTTTCTAGCTTTATTTTGTCTGATACCAATTACATCTCTGAGTAATCATTTGATGCTGTGAATATTAAGCATTTCAGAATAAAAACACAATCAACAAAATCTAACCCTAAATCTGTGCTGCTTATTGGTAAGAGGGTTGTTTCACAGTGTGGCTGTGGTGACAGTTCTGAATGTTAGTGCGCCCTTAACTGTTGATTTCCACATCTTTTGTGGAGCTGTAGATTCAGTTTTTGTGGCTGAAAAAAAGAAAAATTATATTGCTCTAAATGAGACACAAGTAGAATTAAACGCATACACTGCTATTCTAGGGGGGGCACACCTGAACAGCGTCACATTTGTGGGACTGTTTGATTCATAAATATGTATGAAGTAAGGCTGCACGATATTGGAAAAAAATAATATTGCGATTTTTTCAACCCTGCGATATATATTGCAATATTAAAAATACAGTATTTTCACCAGATGACCTGAATAGCACTTTATGTTATGCTGCACTGCTGAAATCTTGAGGACAGTTAATCTGCTCTGATCTTACCTCTTTTTGTGAATGTTAGAAGAATGGCTTCTGTCTGTCTCAGAGATATTTTTAGCTTTTATTGTGCTGGGACGTTATTGTGGCAACAGATGAACACAGAACACGTGTTTTGGTCGACATCATCCTTCTTTTAACCGAAATAATTCCAGATAACTGACTTTCCTTTTCTTTTTGGCAACAAGTCTTTATCTTCTGTGGTTTTCGCTTGTTCGTTGTTCATTTTGCGATCGTTGTTGTTGTCGTTAGCGGTGTTGTGCCGAGAAACGCATGTCCTCCGAGAATTGCATGCACCTCGCAAAACGCGCACCGCTTATAGTAGAGTGGTCCACGGAAATGTACAATCTAAAACCCATACAGTTCTTATTTGTTGGGCTTAATAGTCATGAGTAAAGTTCCGAAAGTAATTCTCAGCGGACACACGTCTCCCTCCATGTGCAGAACATGTGCAGGGGTGGGTTTTCTCCTCCCTGATTTTGATTGACAGCTGGCAGGGTAGTCTGATTGGCAACTGAGAAGTGAGTCTGATTGGCAACTGAGTTAAGGACGAAGGCGATTGGTGGATCGCTGCACAGCACATGCAGAGTCACATGGAGTGTATCTCAGTCGGTTACCCTTGAAATTAAATGAGTTAATTCACCTCCAATATCGCAGGCTCTGCGATGTGACTATCGCACACACGTACATCGCGATGACGATAGTCAAACGATATATCGTTCAGGCCTAGTATGAAGCACAACATTTTAGCAGTAGATGACCTCACCTATTGCCTTTTTGGCTTTTTTGACCTCCTCACTTTCCTACATGACTTAAAAGAAATGTTACAGGATTAGCTGACAATTGTATTATATGAGTGTATTTAACAGTAACAACTCATTTGAAGCTCAACATTAAGGAATTGCCTTTCAGTTTTAATTATAAAGTGTTATGTAATTTGTATTGCTTATTCTAAACATCTGATAATTATGATGTTTTTTCTTATTCTTTTGCAGGCATCTATTCAGTCGAGCTTGTTAATGACAGCCTGTATGAGTGGCACGTTAAACTAAGGACGTAAGTACCCATGAAATCTTGTCCACGGCCATGTTCACACTCTCCTCTGCTTGTGCATGAATTTTGACTCACTGCATAATTTTACATCCAACAGGGTGGATCCAGATAGTCCCTTACACAGTGATCTACAAGTGCTAAAGGAAAAGGAAGGAATGGACTACATTCTACTAAACTTCTCATATAAAGTAAGAGAAATAGACTTTTCGTTTAAAGGAGTTGAAAAACCTATTAGTTGTCTGTAGAGTTTGAAAATTAACTATTTTTCTGGGTTCCTTCACAGGATAATTTCCCCTTTGATCCCCCATTTGTCCGGGTGGTTTCACCTGTGCTTTCTGGAGGGTGAGTTAAATTAACCAGCACACTTTTAAGTTTGTTTTATCCTCACAGACGCTTTTACAGTTGAAGCAGAATTATTCACTAAAAGGTTGAAATATTGTCTTTTAATTTTGGTGGAAGACTGTTGCAATCTTCTGATAGCACCTCCACTTTTTGTTTTTTTGTCCTCGCTTTAGGTATGTTCTTGGAGGAGGTGCCCTGTGCATGGAACTTCTCACCAAACAGGTATTTCATATGTATTCATTAAATCTGAAATTTATGTGAATTTGCTCTACATGTGGTATAACTCTGCATTGTACTTGAATCTACATAACAGTTTTCTTTTAGTGACATTTACCTTCCTGTTTGCAGGGTTGGAGCAGTGCCTATTCCATTGAGTCTGTCATCATGCAGATCAATGCCACTTTAGTGAAAGGAAAAGCCAGAGTTCAGTTCGGAGCCAATAAAGTAAGTGAGAAAGCTCAAAAGGTTTCATTTCAATTTAGGAAACATTCTGTTATAGTTTTGATCACACATACTGACTCTTGTGGTCTGGGTTTCTGCGACTCTTATCAGGGGCTGTGAGAGAATCTGCTGTTTCAGTGTAGGTTAGCTGTTTCAATCCAGTTCAAATAGGGAGATGCAGTATGTCACAGCTGGATTGGGCAAAGTAGGCGCTTATCTTTTCAATCTGCCTTTTTCACTTGTCGTCACTTGTGCTTATGTTGTCCTCTATGGCAACTTGTCAAACTCCCAGAGAAGCCTGTAGTCTCTAACAAGATTAGATTTGTACCATGGAGACATAGATATTCCTCTCACAAACTGAATCTCATAAATGCAAATCCCATTTTGGCTCATCATGTTATTCGATTCAGGCTGGAATAAGTTCATGTTTTTCATGTTCTTAGTTTTTTTTTTTTTATGCCTTCAAATGTCATCAGCCATGCCTGAAGTTGTGTTTTGGGGTTGTCTTTCTGTCTCTCGTTTTACCTTTAACACACTGTCTCAGGAACACCAGGGGATTTCTGCAAACTTGACATTAACATCACCTTCGAATTTATGATGAACTGTCAAGATGGTGGTTGTCAAAGGGAAGGTCACTGTCAGGAATATGCTGTCAGTAATGTCTTAAGAGAATTTCATCACGTGTGCTTTACTGTAGCGTTTCATTGGTCCAAGAGAATGTTGCTATTTGTGATCAACTGGTGGACTTATTCTCCTCTTGTATAAGACACGTAGTCTTTCTTCTTATGATGCATCCTGTTTGGTCTTGGAAGCTCCACGATGCCAGTGTAATATGTCCCCTGAGTCAAAGTTCAAAGAAGCTACAAGTACCAGAGCTCAAAATCCAAGATTTCTTGTGTCAGGTTGATTAAAGCTTTGCTGTTAATAGTATTTTTAAGAAACTTAGTTTTGCTCCATGTAATCAAATGAGTTGTTCTGTTGCTTTCACCTACAAACATTTTGCAGCGTGTTGTTATCACCTGGAGTTGTGCTAACAAAGCTAACAAGGACTGGAGCTAAAGCTAAACAAATTTCTGAGTTGTTTCAGCTTGTAACAGGAATGCAGTCATCCTGCATCATTCCCAGCTGCGTCATTAGACGTCAGAGCTTAATGGAAGAGACCACTGATTTTCCTTAATGTCAGTTATTTTTTAATGAAAGACTATGTGTGTTTCTCATGCAACAGCAGTCTAAGCAGTTACACCAAGGTTCTGTGTGTCTTATGGATGATATTAGCTGTAACACGACTGATTCGTGGAGCAATACCTTCATAGACCAGTAATTCAACATGGCTTTGGCTTGTGGCGAAGCTTTGATTAGATCTCACTGTGTAATGTCAGCGTTATGATGGCTGAGTATTTGGGTCACTTCCTCATGGAGGTATTATTTGTTTATTTTTTTGTCATACAGTGTCATGAAATCGGACAAATAAAAAGATAGAAGAGGTGATAAGACCCTTAGGGTTTTATTTAAAGGGAACATTGTGCGTTTTTATTTGCAGAATAAGGAAACCGTAGTGTGCTGTAAAAGTGAATGGGTTTACACTTGCTAGAAAAGCTGTTTTTTGAACTGTCACAATAAGGGTCAAGCAATGGAGAGTAATCAAATGACAGTCTTGGGAAATTATTAGTTACATTTTTTAGTTAGTACTATCTAGACGTAAACAATTTACTGTCTGCATTACTGCTGTAAACACAAGTAGCTACTATAAAAAGGAGTTACTTAAAAGCAGACCTTGGCTGTTGGACTGAGTGTCTTACTCCTTGATCTACTGAGCTGACATGAGCTGCACATGGCTCCCCAGTGTTTACAGCACCAGACTTACTGGCAGCTAGCTCAGATGAAGTACTTTATTTGGTTTATTTGGTACTTTAAGATTGGAATTAGTCATCATGGTGGTGGACAAAGTTTACTCAACCACACACAGACTTTAACCCTCCACTGTGGTCTTGTTCTTTACCTCAGGGAAATATGAAGATATTTGTTGAGTTACAGTACTGTGTTGACTAGGCTGCTCTTTATTGTTTAGAAAAGGTTGCACAAAAGTTGATAGTCTTAGTCATTGTCTACACTACACGCATTGGACTGGATGATGTTAGTTGTTTGTGTCCTCACTGCTCTCAGAGTCCAAAAAACAATCACTGAATGCTCTGATGTAAATGGGGGAAAAAAACAATGTGAGGTTGAAGTACATGCTTTGGTTTTCAGCATCATCGCCTGTCGCATGAGCGAGAAACAAGCCATTCTGTAGCCTGTAGTATGGATTAAAATAGAAGTGTGTATTTTTCAGATGCACTGTCTGAAAAGAAACCACAGCCTCTCAACGTCGCTACAGGGCTGCTCTGTAGACTTTTTTTTTGTGTGTGTTTTGTAGTTTCACTCTCAGCTGACTTTTCCTCTGTGATATCCTCTGTGCCCTTGCAAGAGAACTAACTTTTACACTTAAGTCTTCAACAAAGAAAGTAAAGAGCAGTGATGTGCCTTGATTTTAACAGAAACAAAAGTCCAAAATTTACCCTGAATACATAACAAGTGAGTTCTCCTTTACATAGTCAAGGACGTCATAGCTATGAGTCATTTCAATGTCTATCTGAAGTCTGAAATTTTGGCTTCATTGAACCCACAGTTTCCATTCTGGGTAACTGGCAGTTCACTCTTGACAAATCACGTAGACCTACTTGAAGTCTCAGTTTGGTGGGTTCGTGGAACGACAGGTGTAAAGGCAGATCTAATGTGAATGACGAAGACCAGGTGTGTCTGGAAAAACTGAATTGTCATCATCCTGCTGCGCCCACTACGTTTTGTTTTTGAAATCGGAGATGGTGAGATAAGCTCTTTTGGCTCGTAGAAAAGAGCAGTCATTGCTGTTTTGTGTTCTGTGCTGTCATCATATTTCCAATGTACACTCTCTCAAGTTGATTTCCTATTTCATCTGCAGAACCAGTACAATCTCGCCAGAGCACAGCAGTCCTACAAATCCCTGGTTCAGATCCATGAAAAGAACGGTGAGTGTTTTTTGTCTCCAGTTTCAAACAGAGTGCATCACTGACCTCGTTTACTGAAACCGAATCCCTCCCATGCATCAAAGCTGAAATTAGTGCTTGTACTGTGTGTATGGTCCAAACGGGGACAACATTTACATCCATTTAGTACGCATCATTACTCTTAGCTGGTACCACTGATGACTTTAAGGATTCAAGGAAGTCAGATAGAGACACAGTAATGCACATGCAAACTGTTGGTACATCATTATCATCATCATTAAATGTCACATTTCCATTCTAGAGATATTACGTTGGTGAATTAGTCACTTTGGCTGTCAACAAGACTATTGGGGATTTTTCAGCTTTCACCTTAAAAATTAACCAACACACCTGATTACTAGATATTAAAAGCAGCTCAGTAGGCAACAGTTTCTTCTAGGGATATTTGAGATGCTCCTACACACATAAATGCAAGCCCTTTTGTCGTTTAGTCAATCCAGTCAAGGGAGACTTTACTAAAAGGTCTTATTGTCAGGTGCTAAAAGGAAATTACATTTTGATAGTTGGAGGTTTGATTAGCACAGGACTGGATTTAAACACCGGTGTTAGTAAAAGGATGTAAGACATAATGAGCTTAATGAGAGGGGTTGATGTTCTCAAATATGGACCGTTTTAAGTTTTTGTGTTGTGTTGTGCAAGTTCACACTGAAAACAAGCTAGCTCAAAGTTCAGTTCTCACAAGTTAAAATCTTTTGAGTTCTTGATTCTAGATCTTAAACTAAGGTCACAGTACACAAAATGAATTAGTTCACAATCAATTTATTTTTCTTCACAAAGATTCTTTTATTTTTTTTTTGGCTAGTCTTTTATGCTTGAATCTCAAAACCTAAACCATTGACATTTCCCAAACAGAATAACTCTCTATGCTAACCACCACTGAATAAAAGGACTGAGGGTGAATGAAGAACAGAAAAAAACAACAGAAAATTCTCTGTTTTCCTAAAGCGACGTGTCTGTCATACACTCGTCTAGTATGTGTCCAGTTCAAGTTATTTTTCCTCTTGGGGCCTGACCTGATTTTATCATAACCTTCAAATATTCACAAGTGCTGGCTCCAGTAGTGCCACTAGCTGCATTATCTGAATTGAGAACTGCATAAGCCATGCCAAGTGCACTCTGGTGCCATAAAATCAACTTGGGCTGAAGTAAAACACAGTGCCTGATAACTCTCGGTACCTCTGCGGAACTCCAGGACTGTAAGCTCAGTTCATTTCCAGTGGTTCTGATCATTATTTGCACATTGATAAGCACATTTCACGGCCCCTCAAAATATAGTTGTTAAAGGGATATTCCGGCGTAAAATCAATTTAGGGTCAATGTTGACAACAGCTTGATTCTCTAGTTATACCAACTTTAGTTACGACCGCAGGATAGCAATACACAGCGGTCTCAGGAGCCATAAACAAACCTCAACCAAAAAGCCACTCTTTAACCACAAATAATGTTCAGAACAGCACCTAACTTCATCAACAGTACATATAGGGTCCCAGCCATAGTACTAGCCACCAAACATCTTTTTAGCTTTGCCTGATTTCTTTAGTGAAGAGACGAAACACAACTCACCTACTCTCTTCCAGCAGCCGCTTGTTTGTAGCAAGACCCCGGGCCAGTCCATTACGGCCTGCTGCGGGGTGACGCAGCTCAAGGAAGAACATTTATGATCATTTCTTCATGGAAATGCAATCAGAGCGGTACATTAAGGCAGAAGAACTACCGTGTCTGCGGTGCAAAATGATCAATATGGTGATTATTACTTAAAGGAAATGATAAAGAAATGATCATAAATGTTCTTCCTTGAGCTGCGTCACCCCACAGCAGTCTGTAATGGACTCGCCTGAGGTCTTGCTACACACAAGCGGCTGCTGGAAGAGAGTGGGTGAGTTGTGTTTAGTCTCTTTGCTAAACAAACTAGGCAAAGCTAAAAAGATGTTTGGTGGCTACTTCTGTGGCTGGGACCCTATATGTACTGTTGATGAAGTTACGTGCTGTTCTGAGCATTATTTGTGGCTATAGCGTGGCGTTTTGGTTGAGGTTTGTTTATGGCTCCTCAGACCACTTTGTATTGCTATCCTGCGGTCGATACTAAAGTTGGTATAACTAGATGTGCAAGCGATGGGCAAAATTCATCTCTCTCGAGGGGTTATCTAACTCAGTGTTACGGTGTGTTTGACCCTAAATTAATTTTATGCTGGAATATCCCTTAAAGGAGAAAATATGTAAATAAGTTTAACTCATCCAGTGTACATTGAGGTATATTTAGATGAAGTAGACTTTAAATAAGGATCTCTGAAAGCATTGCTGAACCTTTTTGAGAATTCTGAACCATATGTGCCCCTCGGTGTTGTGGTTTCTGCATTAAAATATGGCTGCCATTAGTTGGAAATGTTGATGTAAGCCACTGAGGCAGAAAACAGTGAGTTTGCAGAAATAACATAAATCATGACAGTAGTGGTGTTTAGTGAAAGTGGGTAGCTATATTAATGTCTGTTTGTAATTGTTACTCACTGTTGTGTGTCTTTTTTGTCTTACCCCTAGGCTGGTACACACCCCCAAAGGAGGACGGCTAAACAGACTGTTGTTTTCCTGCGCTGGGACCACATGTCTTTGATTATTTTTTTTTCCTCAAGACCAATATATTTTTTTTCAAATCCTGCAAACCATTTTGTTCTCTTCATGAGAGTTTGAACTCCAAAGCAAGTTTGTCTTTCAGTGACCACCCAGAACCAAGCTCATCAACACACTCACCTGACATTTTCATCAGCTACTCGCAAGGGTGTCGTCTCTTCAGATATTTATCTCTTTACACATCTTTTGTCTTCTACCATCTAAGTTTTCATCGCAAAATTCATCCTATTCCAGGACACAGGTGGACTACATGATGCATAGAGTCACCCTTTTGGTTTTGGCGTTGAGCATGCCGAGGTTCCTGCTTTCTGTGAGTTGAAAGGTGCGGCATGGCTTTACCCAGCAGTGTGTTGCTCCAGTCGCTGGACTCTGCCTCCCTGGCCAAAAAAACTGGATCTAAGAATGGCATGTGACATTCCCTGATATGATGCAGTGGTGGCTGGGAAGACATTTAAATGTGAGCAGTGGGCAAAACCACTGCTTGTTTTTTTTTCCACGGACAGCCTCTGTAATATTGTGCTCATGTATTATCTTTCAAAATGCCAAGATCCCTCCTCTGGAATAACGTACTTCTGAGGCTTGCTTGCTTCCAAACCCGTTATTCTCTTACAGCTTGTTGAAGCCCTGAGGTCGGAGTAGGGGGACGAGGAGAACTTTTCCAGCCTGGGTTGGACAGCCCTAGTGAAGAAAACATCCTGCTGTCATCACAACCAGCACCTGGACATCTTGCAGGATGGGTACGGTGGGCGGCTAGAAACATGAGCTTGCAAAGCAGGGGTGTGTTTGGATATGATCACACTGTAATGTAGTTGATTTTAACTCCACGTGTAAACATGTAAATTTGTATTTCTGCAAAAGGATTTAATTGTTTATTATGTAACCTTGTCTGGGTCTTTGGCTTGGCAGAGACTGTATTACTATATACCCTTGACTATTATAAGCAGGGGAACTGCAACTTCTGAAGACCCATTTAGAATAAGAAAAAGTTGCTTCATGGATACTCTTGCAGAAGGAAACAAAAGTACGCCATGTTCCTATGTAAGCTTAATGACTACTGCGGTTTTTGTTTTGTTCTTTTTTGTTTATTTTTTTTTTTATATTGATTTATAATCATCACGCTATTGGCAACATTGACAGAATCATTCCCCTCATTTTAATGGCACCTCTCAATACAAAGGCCGTAACAATAATGGCACAGACACAGGTGTTTTCTGGCATTCCAGATGTTTGGCTTTTCATATCGAATCACTCGAACCAGATGAACCTCAGTAAGGCTATGCAGTGAAGACAGTCTTGTGGAGTTTCATTGTACTGAAGAAAATAAGTCTTAACAGCGTAGTCACCTGCTTAGTTCTTGTAGCTGGTTCACACCCTGAGCACTTTGCCAATCCTGCAGTCAAAACAGACAGGCTTGGAGGGAGAGAGAAAAAAAAAAAAGTGACCTTTGCCTTCTGACTTTTCTTTGACCTCACGGCTGGTTTTTAAAATGCAGCCAGAGTTTCAAATTCACAGCAATAGTCTCGACCGAATACCTTCTGGCTTCACACTTGGGTAGATCAACTGGAGTCCGTTCCGTTTCCAGAATATTTCTGTCGGTTTGATAAATATTTGTTCAGATTTGCCACAGGAAAGGACCCAGCTCTTCCCATGATCACCTCTCTGGTTACTATTCATAACCACTCTCAGCACTGCTGCCCCTCTTCTCAGCGTGCTGGGTCTTTGATGTAATGTGAATAATATGCAGAAAACTGTGTGGATCATTCCAATTAATGCAGTTACACGTTTGTTGTGGGTGTTCTATTGTGTGGTTACTTGCATTGTTTTAAGTATATTGTCCTGAAAAACCAGCATAGAAAGCTTAGTTACGCTAATTCATACAGGCATTCCTCAATTTTGCGTTGATTTTGATTTTATATATTTTCAGTGATACTAACCTCAGTCACCAATATCTTCAAAACAGGTAGAGATGGGGTATAAAAACAGACAGCTTTCTCTCATTTATTTGGACTTGCTGGATGTGTATAAACAAGTTTCACTCTGCTGTCGTGTTTCACCACAAGCTGATCCCAACATGACTTTGGGTCTCTGGCATGGTTGTTAGCTGTTGTGATGCCATCAGTAATGTTCTACTCACTTCATTCTGGTCACATTGTTGAGCTCACCCCCACATCCTCTGGAGAAGCAAACTCAGGAATTCATACTGCACACTTTGAAAAAGATTGCTTCAGAATATTCTCATCAAGTGCAAGATTGGGCGTATCAATCTTTTTTTGCCTCTGTTTTTTGTTTTTTTTAAAGGGGGGGTGGGATGGGGGGGCAATGTAGTGTGGTTAGCTGTCAGATTGAGGTTTTTTTTTTTTTTTTTTTGAGGTTGACCAATAATTACCAAGAAAGTTCCTGGAATAATAAGATGGTAATGACTATCCTGCGCTTTATAAGGGGTCCAGGCCGCCGTCTACCCTGTTTCTTTGATAGTGCTGTATTTTGCATGTCAATATATCGATGGGTGTTTTCCTCCAAGCTACTGAAGGTTAAGAGTGGTGGGATTGGGTGGTTAAAAAAGACTAGATCTGTCAACTTTCATGATCTGCTTACTAAATATCTTACATCAGTGCACAGGATTACTTTCTACTTATCGATCCAGGTCATGTATTTTATTATTCAGACATCCTACCTGCTTGGAGTTTCTTCTTCTAAAGATGCCAGGATTCCTACCAAAAGTAGCAGTACAGATTTGTGTGCCATTAGACCAATTCCAAGCCCACATTCATAACCTGACCTTGGGAATGACGGTGTGTCCAAGTCTGTTGTGCACTGGATAACAGCTTATTTTACACCATCTCATGTCATCTGACTAACTTCTCTGCTGTGGTGAGCCACACATGGGTCTGAGGTCTGAGTTAGCCTGATTCTGGGTCTTTACCGTGCTTCATTAACTGCAGTGGCCGGGTTATAAAGTTATGCACTGTTAGCATGCTTTGGTTTGGTTTCATTTTTTCCATTGCAAGGGTGATTTTGAACATGTAAAGTAATTTGTAAACTTGCATCAAGTTTATGAATAAAGAATTTTATGAAATATCTCTCGAGTCAAGTTAATGTGTGAAAAATGTAAAACTAGTATTAGTTTCCTGAGAGACGCTAGACGCGTAATGAATATACTGTATATTACCCACTTTTTCAAGGGAAATCAAGTCAGCTAATTTTGTCCTTTTGGACACACTGAACATACTGATTTTATGAAATTCATCTCATATATCATCTTTTACTATGAATGGATGTGCGTAGGGCTCTTCAGTTTATTCCCATACAGAAGATCATGGTGTTTTTGTTTGCTTTGTTACCAGTAGGGGGCATCCTTTGTCAAAAAGTTCATGTCATATATACGTACTACGCTTAAGTCCAGGGCTGCTGTTGGCCTTTGGTGGAAGAGCTCTTCTCTGATCTCTGAGGAAACTGAACCAATGCTCCTCTGATATCCCACTTTGGTCACACCTTGACTCCTGTTGGGTCTTTTTTAGTTGAAGTGTTGTCCTTGCCTATTTCAAACCTTGTTTTATGGCTCAGGACCTTGAAATGCAGCTGAATGTGGGGCTTAATTCAGTTAAGATGAACGGCTGAAAAGACAGTGCCTAGGAAACTAGACATCATGTCCTATGCAGAGTGACAGAGAACATAGCACATACATTCAAAGTGAGCACAGTTAAGTTAAAAGCGAGGATTTGTAAGAAAGGTTACATATGGTTCTCGCATATTCTTTTTTATTTATTTATTTTTTTGTCATCTTTTTGTGCCTTTATTTTAGAGGATAGGACAGTGGACACAGTACAGTACATGTTACAAAATCACCAATGTATGACATCAGAACAGCAGTGTAGTTTTTCCCAGGAGGGTAGAAGAGGGTCAGTCTCAGAGTACTCATTGCAATTTGTTTAAATGTGTGTTTGAACCAGTTTGTGTTGGTGGGTACAGTGACTTGTGATTTATGACTCCTAAAGGGAGCGGCTCGATCAAGAGGTGCTGTGCTGCATGAGTGGAATCCAAGAGCTTACCACTAGATGGTGCTAGAGCACTCTTAAACTGTGGGCTGTTGCGTTTTATTTACAGGTGATGGTCAAGAATTGTAAATTGAACCAGCAGCTTATATTTTTTTATTAATTCTATGAAATCCTGATCTCATCATGTTGCCTTGTTACTCATTCAAATGGAAATCAAGAAATGAGAAGGTTATTTTTCAGAGATAGGGCAACAACTGGGCTGTTAAAGTTCAGCAGTGTGCTCAAGAATGCTGTAAAATCCTGCACTCACAGCCTACACTGAGAAATAAGTCAAGAACGGTCCTCCTCCCCCAGGATGCTGAAGAATTGTAAGTAGGCAGCTGAGGCAAAATATGACCTGAGCCATCCTGTTGGGTTTTATATTCTTGAGGGCACCCGCTTAACCTCTTAAATATTTGAATGTACCCCAAATATATAATATAAAGTTTGAGTCTGCTGCCACATTGACAACTTCATACAGGGAAAACCCACTCTGGTTAAAAAACCACAAAAGGAAAAGTGGATTTATTTAACTTTTCTTCCAAATCAAGTTAACAAACAGTATGTAAAGCAGTTAAAGCTCCTGTGAGGAGTATTTTGGTGTTAATGAAAGAGTCTGAAATTCATATTAATTGCTTTTTACAATAGAAAAACAAATAGGATCATTAGAGAGAAGACTGACAATTTTTTAAATTGTAATTTTTATTGCATGACACCAATGTGGGAGGGTAGGTGTCAGCCAAACATTTACGTTAAAATATTCAAAATAAAGAATAAACTTGACCGTCAGAAGTCAGCACAATATGATTTATTTATTTATTTATTTATTTATTTTGTCAGTAAATAACAAAGACCGTTTCATCCACAGGGGTGCAGAAAAATCAACACAAACCAAAAGTTCCTCACAGGAGCTTTAAGTTAATTCCATTTTTTAAAAGCAGATAGTCAAAAAAGTGGGATAGGATTTTTGTCTTGCACAAGACTTACACAAGGGCACAATATCAGCAAAGATATTAAAGATGTCACTTTGACCAGAAGGGGGGCGCCAAAATGGGACAAAAGAAAAAAAAATGCTCACAGGAGCTTTTAAACAGGGTTGTTCAAGTGCACAGAGTGGCAGAGAAAAAGTTATTTTCTGTTCAACAATATATATTTGTCTGAATTCTCAGTATTATCTGTAAATTAGTCTTAAAAAATGAATTTCTTGAAAAAAAAAATTGAATTTCCCTTCAGGGATAAATAAAGTTATTCTTAATCTTAAAATTAAGTCTGATAATATCCTCTGTAAAGTTGTGTGGTGGTGGTACCCCTTTGGCTAGAGCTGGCACTGGTGCTTGGCAAGCGCTGCTCTAATAGGTGTCAAGTTTGTGATAAATATCAGAATCAATCCCCATCAGTTCATATGAAGCAGAGGGCTGAAGTAGATAACAGGCTGACCTATTGAGTGTGCGGTCGATCATGCTGTTGCAGCCCAGATAGTTATGGATATTAGAAATCACTCAAACCAAGAGGCAGAAAGTAGGAATGCAGAGTGGGGAGTAGAAGAGCCGATTTCAGTGAGGTGGATGAGCAGTACACTGCAGACCACAAACATAAAGACTAATTGCCTATTATTACAGAAACTATGTTTTTCTTCTCTCTTGGCTGGAGAGCACCAGGCCTCATTATCAGGCTTCAGCCAGTCTGTTTGGCCAGCCTGTCACTAGCATCGGACACAACATTATGGAGACTAGTTGAGGCTCCTGGCCCAGAGGATTGAGGAGGAGAATCTCTGTGATTAACTTGCTAGTGCCCACACTAAGACAGCGAGAAATAGCAGGTTTTTCTTCCTTCACCCCAGGATAGAGCACAGCACACTGTGGGCAGCATTAAGAATCAGCTGGAGTTGATTGATAGCCGGAGGCTTAGTGGCTGCATCCATCAGAGTTTAAATTTGAGCGTTTTACCTCCTATCCGTGATATAGTCAAGTGTAAAAACACAGATTCAGGCTGGACATGCCAGAGAAGGTGCAAGGATTTTTCTGACTCAATCTGACACAGATCTTTATACTCAGTCGTTAATTGCTGGGAGTGCGATTATTGACTTTTGAGTTGGCAGTTACATGAGAATGCTGAGATCCCGTTTAAATCTGTCAGTTCCTGTGTAGATTTGTATGTACACTGAAAAAAGGAGGAAACAGCCGGTAATAAAACCTCAAAGTTGCTCATCCATGCTCATTAAACTCAACATCAGAGCATCTTACTTTAAAGCATGTTTGTTCTATGATGCCGTATGTTGGACTAATTAAATCTAAAACCAACTGCTATGGCTAGCTGGTACCTAATTTTCCATTCTTTGTCTATACTAGAGCCGAGCTAACTTACTACTGGCTGCAGTTACAGAGACACAAGAATCTATAAAATTTAAGGGATAAAATTTAGATACGTATATTATTAACATCTCCTGAGCACCACTATATCATCCACCCAAGTTTTTGTGTTTTTACCAGTATATAAGCTATGAAAAGATGTGTTTGGTGTAAAAAGTTTAAGACAAAATTTCACAATCACAATCAACATTCAGTATCCTGTTCAGAAGTGCTGGAGAAAAAGGAAACCATACTCAGTAGAAAGTCTCAATACTACACTTCTTAAGTTGAAAGAGCCTGCAGTTCTCCCTTTTTCCCTGACCCATTTAATTAATACAATCTGTATCTGCCAACTCCTCCGGTCAGACTGTCTAAGACGCTTTACACAGTCTCAGTAACAAAAGCAGATGGGTTCAGAGACAGCAGGTGATTCCTGGTATTAATAGACAGCCAGCACTTTTATAGTTGTCTGTGCTAGCCTTGTTTTGAGTAAATTGAGGACACAGGCCCAGAGCTGCAGTAAAGTCATCTGGCTTTAAAAGACTGGCCTGAATCAGTGGCTGGACAAGGACCAATCACACAGTGATTCTGAATGACCTGATGTTAGAGCAGAGCATCTGGAGAGCAATAAGACAGGTGTCAGTCCCACACACACACAGTTACCACACAGCAATAAAAGTCTCCAGTGATCACACTCTGTCTGTGTTATTGTTGGAAGAAAACACTTTCTGCTGCTCTTCTTTTCATTGCCAAACTAAATTAAGGTCGAGAGTCAGGACCTGAATGTAAAACTGGGGTTGAAAGTGTTTAAAGTGTTAAAGTGTATGTTTGCTATCTATCTATCTATCTATCTATCTATCTATCTATCTATCTATCTATCTATCTATCTATCTATCTATCTATCTATCTATCTATCTATCTATCTATCTATCTATCTATCTATCTATCTATCTATTAGTGATGGGCGCGGCAGTTCTTTTAGATGTACTAAATCACTACAATCAGTTCACTAAAAAGATTCGTTCAAAAGATGTGTTCACCAAATCACCAAATCATTTAGCGGGAGAAACCTGCGACCTCGACCTCCTGACACAACTGAACAGTTCAGGATTCAGTTCAATTCATAGCTTCTGGGACTGGGAGACGAGAGTGTTTGGCTTTGTTAAACAGGTTTGTAAAAATGAACTTGTTTATAAGTCATGATGTTTTAAGTGTACTGTCCTATAGTTTGTTATTTATCAGGTCTGCTCGGTAAATTGGGCTCAATGAGTGATTCTTTCATTGAACGTTTAGAAGAATTCCCACTGAACATGCACGATTCTCTTGCAAACTGCTGCAATCATAGGATGCTGCGGGGTAAATGCATTACTTGTTACATGCTGTGTCCTATTGTATGCAAGTTCTTGTGGTGGCAATTTAGCAGTAAAAAAAAAAAAAGGTAATTTTATCTGACAAAAATGATTCCAGAGTGTGTAGTTCAATGCGTGATTTGTTCACCAAGTGATTCAGGCGTCGGTGCATGTGGTCCCTCATTTGCCGGCTGCTGGCCTGGCAATGCTGTGTCTTACTTCTCACTCAACTGAAGTGAGAAACAAACGAATCACTTGAGGAAGTGATTCGATTCAGTACGTTCAATTAAAAGATTTGGTTCTTTTGAACAAATCGTTCGCGTACGACACAACACTACTATCTATCTATCTATCTATCTATCTATCTATCTATCTATCTATCTATCTATCTATCTATCTATTTCACAAATGTACACAGTGATGGAGAAAGAAAGATGATGGCTAAGAATGAAGAGGGGATGAGCAGAGATGAAAAAAGAGATGGAGCTCATTGCTCATTTAGTCATTGTGTTGTCACTGTAATAGGGGACACTCACCACCTCTGCTGGAGAAAATGGAATTTCAAATGATGGTGAACATGAACTCGTTATTTCACTTTGAGGGTTTTACTCCATTTGGTTTATATGTAGAATAATAGGTTTCATAAATCCACCGCCGCTTAAGTGTAAAAACTTGTATGAATATATATCGTTGCTGAAAAGAGCCTTCAGAGATTTAGCTTTACTCTTGATCAGCAGCAGTGCTTTACTGTGCCGATCAACAGTAAGCCTCATATCCACTAGTAAAAGACTTACAGTACTTTCTCTTTAGACAGGAGGCCAGTCTTATCTAATGTTGGGTAACTCGTACACTTGAAGAGAACACATTTGCTTGCTGCAGCAATGAGAGACTGACCTTCACAGGCCTTCTTTCATGTCTCCATTAAAAAGATTCACTTCAAATGTATTCATAGTTCGCCTCTCAGGCTGCAGCCACGTCACAATCAAGAACCAGAACGCATACATTACACTAAAAGGCCCGCCTCAAAATCCAATTCTCCCTGGCTCAAAGTATATGTAAATATTAATGATCCGTCTGCGTTTTGCTTCATATTCTGAAGCCTTTGTGTCTCTTTCATACAGATCAGATAATTCTTTCAGCAGAGGCACTCTCTTTCCAATCAGCCGAGTGTCTGTGTTTACCCTTGAGTGCATGAAAACACGACCATTAGTCCTGTCCTGTGAGAAAATTGTTCAAATTTGGAAAATGGTGTGTTAAAGATGCAATCAGTTGCAAATGCATCAATTCTTTTCATTGTTTGGTCTCAAAATGACCCAGCAGACCTTTTCTTTTTTTCTGTTGATAGTCAAAGAGGTTATTTAACCTTGAAAGTTGATGGCTTGTCCTCCCTTTGCTAAAAGATAGCCTGGGGTTCAGTTCAGCGTGACAATATGCTTCCCTGCGCAGACTTATACTTCAGACCAAGCTAAATGGATTTCCATTAGAGGGGCTATGACTCATTCCAGATGCTTATTCAATACTGTGTGGGCACTGTAGCAGAAAGTTTTCTCCAGAAAGAACAAAAAGGGACAACAAAGCCAAACATTAATGTACGAGATAATGTCCAGAAAGGACTGTGCTGTGTTCCTATTGTTTTACTTGTGACATCAATGAAGGTTGTCATTAAATTATAATTCAAGTGAACAGGAGAATAACAAAAGATGACATAACACAGAAGAAGCGTCCCCTGCAAAGCTCACAGTATGGACAGCTCAAATGGAAATCAGTTAGTTGAAATGCATCTTAGACCCTTCAGATGCTTATCTTGCTGTATTTGTGTGGGAGCCCAGGACAGAAAGTGCATGTTATGTTCCTCCTCTGCTGTGTGTACATCTCTACAGTAGCGCGTCTGGGCTCGGGCTAACCCTGCTGGCTGATCAATAGGAAAAGTAATGATCTCAGTGAAATGAACCATCTATCTAACCGTCATGCAGCTCCTCCACCGAGGAGAGGAGACAAAACTGACTTAATGTCTGACCACTGCTTCAAAGATCTCTTTTGTTCTCTGTGCAAGTTCTGAGGCACCCTAATGAAATAACTCATTTACAAAAATCTTGTAAGTATACTTTGAGCTCAAGCTTACCTGACCATCTAAACCTGCAGTCTGGAAAATAAATTGGATGAATGAATGTCTAAATTCATTAAAAATTTAGTTGTTTCTTCTTGTCTACCTTGTTAAGTTCAGTTTGTTTTTATTGGACTCCCCCTTTTTAACTAGAGAACACAAATCCTCTTCACACCCTTTCAGCATTAATAAGCTCAATTTCCTTTAATATGACTATATACTATGATATCTATATATTGTGAGTCTGTATCTACACTTTATAACTTGATCCAGTAACACATTTCTCTGACCTTTGTTTGCAGAGCTCATGGGGTCCAGACTGATTAATGCAGAGTCAAGCTTCTTATTATTGTTTCATGATTTCAGGTTAAGCTAGATAATCTTTCGTTTGTTCTTTGTTGCGACACGTACAGTCATTACAGTTATTCTCATGCAGAGCTGTGCAGCTCTACATTGAACCTCCTGAACAGTATTCTTGCAGTGCGACTCTGCAGGGCAAAGAGAGAGGCAATGGATCTAAAAGCTAGGATGGTCTGTAAAGTCTCATAGGCTCCTGGGCTGTTTCTAAGCTAAAAGATGATATTCAAAGACCAATGCAGTTGTTACCAGAAACCAGCAGCTCATATGATTTATTTCTGAAACAGACAAAATGCTTTCTGAAGACCTTTTGACATGCCATTGCAGGAAAAGCACAGGTATGATTATTGAAATTATTCACATCGTTTATTTGCGCTTTTTCCACAGTTCTTAAACCGTGCACGATTATTCACTGTTAAGATTGTTAATGAAACATGTTCTCTCACTATAGCGGTCACAGGAGCCACGTGCTCAACCAAAAAGCCACTCTATAGCCAGAAAAAGATGTTTAGTGGCTAGTGCTATGGCCTGGGACCCTGTATGTACTGTTGATGAAGTTAGGTGCTTTTCTGAGCATTATGTGTGGCTATAGAGTAGCTTCCTGAGACCGCTGTGTATTGCTATCCTGCAGTCGTTACTAAAGTTGGTATAATTAGAGAAACAAGCAGTCGGCAACATTCATCTCTCTACGGGGTGTCTAACTTGGTGTTCTGGTGTGTTTGACCCTAACTTAATTTTACGTCGGAATGTCCCTTTAACAAAGGTGAAGATGTTAGGGGAAATGGAAAAGAGAAGCACAAGTAAAAAGGTGGATGTTAAAAGACAGCGGGGGGAATAGGGGGTGGAGAGATGATTAAAAGTAGGGGTGAAGGTGATGACATGGTGGACCTCCTGGGACTTGGCTGAAATGCCCCCCTCTTCTTAATCTCCTGCTCTATTTTGAAGAGCAGCAGGAGGGATGCCCAAGACATGAGGAAGTCTGTGATGAATGATCCGCCATGAGGGCACTCTCCAACCTGACGAATGGGATCTCTAAATTGGCTAAATGGCTCAACCACCATGGAGGAAACAGGGGCCAACAGGGAAGACAAAAGACCCTCCATTACTTGGGGACAATTACATTAACAGGACTGGCTTTTTGCCATGAAGTAATATTTGAATTGCTATTTGCACAAAAAGACAGTGCATCTTCAAGACTGATGCTGGTGCTAATCATGACTACATTCCCCATATACCAGTAAAAACCCTCTGTCCTCACCAAAATTTAAGCTATATAACTGAGAAGTGACATCAGCCCAGACATTTTCTAGGCCACCAAAAGTGTGAAAAAGTCAAAAAGCTAATTTTTATTTTTCCCACACAGCTTGAATTCCTGTTTGGGATAGATTTTTCTCTTTGTGTTTTAGAGCCAAAAGAGTCTCTATGAGAGAGATAAGGTTGCAGAGTCTCAGCAGTGATAAGTATCTTATCAGCCTGTCACCTGCCTCTTGAAGTCTTAGAAGATACTTGTTGTGTAACATAATATAAGGCAGCCGCTTCTACCTGCAGACAAAAACCCCTTCAGTCTTTGAAACGTACACTTTAGAAAAAGCAACCTTTAGAGAGAACATTAATGAACTCATACATCATTTCTCATCAGCTTAAAATGGGTCATGCCAGAAGTTTTATGCGGTGCCATCTATTGCTGTACCATTACAGTGCATTACAGTCATCTGTTTTCGACTTTCCGACATTTAATGTGATATTTTTAGAGGCTAATGCACAAACCCAACGACAGACATATTTATAATGCCTTTTCTGCTGCTAGTTACACTGAGGATCTTCCGGCAGTTTCCCTTGAGTGTGATATATGTCAGCTTACATTGCTTCTCGAACAAACTGGTGGAAGCTTTTCATTTTCACA